CATGGTTGTTGGTCATTTGTTCATTATAAGTTCACAAACTCAACTGTTTTAACTTTTCAAATTTCTCTTACATGACTTGGCTCTTTATATTTGCCATATTTATACACTAACTTTATATTCTGCAAGTAATGTTTGTCAATCCATTCGCAATTAACTTATATTTTTCACTAGCATTCCCCGCGGCTCCGCCCGCGTTCAGATGACCAAAAACTAAATTCTTAGGTTTTAATATTAGTATACTCTTACATTGCAGTTTTTGTATTTTTTCTCAGAAATGAGACATTATCGCGGTAAAATGTATCCTATATGTTGACCCGGATAACAAGCTAATCACCATAAGAAATTTCATCAAAATCCCTCCAGTGGTTTTTCTGTGATGCGGTAACAGACAGACAGACAAAAATTCTAAAAACTATAGATTAAGCCTCTGTATCGATAATAAATAATAATGTTTATTTCAATAAAATTTTCCAAAAAATATTTAATGTACAAATTCGGCTTCGTTACAATTTTATTATATTTTTTCATAAGATTTTTCCGCCTTAATTGCTTATAAAAATAATGTTAAATGAAAAATTCATGAAAGCAGTTTTTCCTTAGCTAAAATACTTCTGATATTCTGGTGAAATATGTAGTATTTGTAACGATAGTTTTAAATACTAAATATTTCACCTTAACTAAAATACTAAATATTTTTAGTCATTCAATTATACTCATCTGTACAAGTATGAGGCGGCTATTGTTTCTCTCGTAATATATTCTCAAGATGTTAATCACATATAACACCCGCGTCATCTCGTTTCATCGGTTAGGAATGTTGACTAACATTTTCACTATTAATTATATCATCTCTTCATTAATTAAAAATGCAATTGTAATCTCTATATTGTTACTGGTCCTGACTGGTTCGTCAAAGCGCAGAAAAATATATGAAACTAGCATTGTCCGCGGCTCCGCCCGCGTTCATATGACCAAAAACCAATTTCTTAGGTTTTACATATTAGTATACTCTTACAATGCAGTTTTTGTATTTTTTTTTTTCAGAAATGAGATAGCTTCCCGCGGTAAAAAGTATCCTATATATTGACCCGGATAACCAGCTATCATCATACCAAATTTCATCAAAATCTGTCCAGTGGTTTTCTCGTGATGCGGTAAATGACAGACAGACTAAAATTCTAAAAACTATAGATTTGGACTCTGTATCGATAATAATGTCTATTTCAATTAGATTTTCCAAAAAATATTTAATGTACAGATTCGACTTAGTTACAATTTTATTATATGTAGGTATAGATGTAGGTTCAGGAAACAAAATCTTATTAAAACGAATGTAAGTCGTTCGTAACTTCATGATACGCCGTGGGAAAGATACTTTTTATTCGTTTCGTCGCTTGCCGTAATAACGTTATTGTTCGCGTTTCAATCAATCTCAAACCATTCGATTGTCTTAATGTAATTTACTTTCACTCGCTGTCTCGCTATTTTTTGTATTTTCGGTTCAAAAGGTTTTATAATGACGAATTTAGTTGCAATTTATATTTTAATAATATAATAAGTAATAAAAATATAAACTAATTATTTTTGTCTGCAATATCGTCCATGTCGGAATTTGCCGGAAATCATGTCGTGCTTTAACAAAAATAAAATTTAATAAAATGAATAGAAGAGAAAGTAAAATTTTATAATATAAATTCGTGAATTTCATACTAACTTAATTCTTTTAAAACGATCGTACACGATTACTTCACAATTTTATTATCTTCCATAGAAGTAATTTACCTATTATTACTAACATAACCCATGCTCAGGGCACGAGTATGAACTCATCTATCATACTTGCGCCATGTAGCCGTTTCACTCCAATTACCATAATAGTTGGGTGCATCGCAAAATTCCATAACATCACTTTCACCGGTTTCTGTAGAGTGCCAGCTTTGCTTTCATGTCTAATAGCTTGGCTTTGTAGACTGAATAACTTTTGCTGTTATTTTCGTTTTAATGCTCTCATAATTGACGATTTCATTTTCAAACTTCATGCTATCCAATGCTTTCTAAGTCAGTAAGTAGCGGGTAACCTTCATGCAGCATTAGCTGTTTGTTGCAATATATTTTCGATTTTCTTAATTTGTCTGAATTATTTGGCCTTGACTGCATAATCACTGTATATGTATTAACTTAATTATTATAATTGGTAATAGTCTACTACGCTTATAGTATATGTACTATATTTGACGACACGTCTGGCTCAGTTTGTTGTGACCCTGCTGTTACTTGCTGTGATAGCGGCCGCGGGTTCGAGTCCCGCTGGGGGCATTCATTTGTGTGATGAGCACGAACGTTTGTACTTCAGTCATTTTTGTTTAATGTTTATATGTATGTATTTAAGGTTATATGTGTAGTGTGTTAACTATCTGATATCTATAACACAAGCTTCGCAGATACCATGAAACTAGATGGTGCTCTGTGTTAATGTCCCAACATATTTATTATTTATTTATTATTATAACTCATAATGACTTATAACTAAAATTATAAAAATCTACCTATCCCGCAATTTCAACTTTTAGTAACTTACTGGGAATTTTCGTACAATTATATTTATATATATTTTTTTTTTTGGAAAAAAAAGAAAGCTTATTTAAACGCTACCTGCCGTTTCTACCTAGTATCTAGTCGACTTGCACTTAATTGAATGCGATCATTCCAACGACCTTTAGTTTTCGCTTCTATTATGTAACAAGCTAGTTCATTGACACCGCTAAAACAGTAGCTTGAATAATATTACACTGTGGTAGTTGCGGTTTTATTATTACTATGTAGGTAACAACAGTGGTATGTAATTACTAGAAAAGATGTAGGTCGGCTTTAAGTGAGTTGAAGAAAAGATTTGGTTAGACGTTAAATTATACATTAACTAGAAATATAGCAGATTCTAGAAGTACAGGAAGTGCGCTTGAATAGTTATAAATAGAAAATAGCAAGTACCCTATTTAAAAACTTCAATAGGATCTCATCAAAACCGACAAAGCCACATAGAAACCATATTTATTGGTTTCTATGTGGCTTTTCTGGGTTTTGATGAGAACCTATTGGAGTTTTTCAATAGGGAGGTATCTCTGACAAGTTAATCTTATGTTCGTTCAAAAGAAAGTATTAAAGTTGTGTGTGCAGAAAAAATTGAAGCCCCTTATGAAGAAGGGCTATCGAATTATCTTCGCGTCAGAATCAGGTCAAGGGATCTTGTAATAACTGAGATCGCGTCGCGACTCGCGAGGGAAATGCTACCTACCGACTGTGAAAACTCATTTACAACAAAATCTATGAAGTCATTTTGCTAAAGTTTCGTTTTGATACTTGTTTATTGACCATTTGACTATGTGTTTAGTCAAATGTAAGTCTGCAATAAAGTTATATTTGAACTACCAAAGATAAATTTCCGTAGTAATAAATAATGAAACCTTGAACAGGCATCCGTTATAGAACTCGTAAGCCATCTGATAGTTTTCTGTAACATGATGTTTTCGTGTATTTTTAAACATCTCTTTGGTAATGTGCGTAACATGTGGTCGGTCGGTGTTATAATTATTATGAGAACGGGCTGCATTCAATGTTGGAAAACAATTGGCGGATGGACTTCCTTGTATTGAATGTTTCTTCTTATTTAATAAAAAAAAACATGCCTTCCACGGAATTATTGATTTATTCGGGCCATGCCGTTTGCGTGAACTTGTCGCTAATAATGAAGGTTTTTTATGTAGTTGCTAGCGGCTTTATTATGGCAGACATGAATAATTTATTTTCTATTTGAAAATATTTGGTCTATTGCTAATAAAACCCGCACGAAGATAGGTTCCGTACCTATAAAATATATCCGTATAATTCACTAAAAAAACTTTTTCTTAATTTGCCACTATTACTCTTAAAACCTACGAAATTATTCACCAAAACCTAAATGTACCAAATAATCCTGTCCTTTTCAAATAGAACACGAATTTTTTCTCATATAATACATTATCAGTCTTCCAAAATGTAAAACAAAATATTTAACAATGTTGTCCAATAATAAACATTCATTTAATTTAGATAAGATCGTACTGTACACGTTACATTCATTCATGCTATGTAGGCGTAAACTAATGACGTTATATCCATCATTTTCTTAAAAAGTTTTCTGTAAAATATTTTCTGATCGATGTTCGCTTATCACATATTGGCTTATATCCATAAAATTAAATTTTATTTTTACTGCTTTATAATATTATCCGGTTAATTACTATAGTCTGGTTTATGCTATTAGTAATGGATAGGTCTTAACATATGGGATACAGTTTTGTTTTTGTTCAGATAAAACAAAGAGTATCCTCTAAATATTCTTTTCTCACTGTTTATATACTTATAAATCTTTCAAAACTGACCTATTTCTTATCGTGTTTAAAGCTATTATCCATTGGAATGTTTGTTGTTTTAGGCTACGATTGAGTTTAAACGCTATAGAACAATATTTATTACCTAGTTCAAATACTAGATCAATGCTGTTGGGAACTATCAGATATTTTAATTGTACTTAAAGTTACAGTGCAACTACCATACATTATAAGGCCATGAAGAATCATTTAATTAACAAATAGAAATTTGTTATCTTACAATGCTAGCACTTAGAACAATATTTGCTCCATTTAAATTAAAACCGAATACTATTATTACTAAAACAAAAAATGATATACGTAAAGTTTTTAAAAATATCAGGCCAATCTTTAATTATTACGATGTTATCTTTATCCTGACGCTAAACTAATTTTATACGCGGTGGATAATCGTGCCAAGTTTACTACGGCCGTACCCAATGCATCATTCACGTTGAACTGGCTGTCGGCGCGACCGTTTCAAAATAATTCGAACTCACTTATATACCTAACAGGCAATTCAATGATCATGATGGAAAGCAATCATAACGGAAACGTAATTTAAATTTTAATGCTAATTAAAACAGTGGAACGATGAATCGCGACTACTACAGAGTGATGTTCTCCAGCAGAAACTCTAATCGTTCAAGTGTAATGGACAGTCATGACATCCTAGACAACGATACAGAGTTCAATGCTAACCAGTTCAAATTGTACGACGACTTCACAACAGACATACGCTTTAACTTCAATTCTTTGAGGAACTTTCACGAAGTTGTCAGGAATGAAGTTAGGCGGAGAGGTGATCCCAACGATTCAGGTGTCGACGTAGAGAACGGCAACCCTTTGGACGACGCTACTACGTCTAATGATAGAGACTTGGTAAGTTTGTCGTGTAGTTCGTATAGGATATTGTCGTTTACACATCTTACTTCGTATGTCGTTTTCGTTGTGAAAATTAAGCATTTTTTAGGAAATTCATTAAAAGTTTTGTTATTTATTTAGAACCCATCCATCCCCACTTTCCCTTAAAGGATGATTTCTGGGTTAAAAAGTATCCTATGTCCTTCCCAGGATCTCAAACTATCTTCTTACCAAATTTCATCGAAATCGGTTCTGTAGATCCAGAGATTACCCCCTACAACGTCACAAACTTACAAACTTTACCTCTTTATAATATTAGTATAGATCATGATATATGTATAATGTATATGTATATCAAATTATATACAATGTTTGTATAAAATGTTAGCTTTCTGCATTCTGGATTTGAACACTTACTGAGCCAGGTTAAAAATGTTCGTATATTCATATAAAGCCTGAATCCAATTAGTCAGTTTGCCGACTCCATTTGTCGGCGCCAAGCCATTGTGCTAGGAGCGGAACATTAGCATGCCTCGTTTATTGTGCCTTCGTCCACCACCGCCCATTGTTAGTTGAAACTATACAATATAAACTATAATAAAATTAATCTTACTTAGTTATATTCTCTTCGATTGTTTACTTAAACGTACTAGAAAAGGTTATCAAGAGCTAAATATAATTTGGTTTTAAGAAATCAATATTCAAATTTAAAAAAATAGTAATTACCGTACTAAAACGAAACAATATTAAATTTCTTCTCTAGCGGCTATAAAGAATTATAAACTGGATTAAAGCTATAAAGTGCACTTTATACAAGTGCTTGTAATAAGTTTAAATTGCACATAAAAGAAATGCTTGATGACGACCACAGTCTACTTTCTCCATTAATCGTCTACCTTAATGATTATATGGACATACAATTTTCTTCTGTTTGCAAACCTGTACGTCATTACTATGATTTGCACTTGGGAGTGTCAATACTTCCATATTAGCGTTGAAATAGACTGATTTCAGTATGAGTATTTTCTTTTTATAGCTTCAATTCCAGATTTTTATTGTTATTGTAATGATTGACTCACTTGCTGGTGTATATTATATAGTACAATACTTGAAAATGCAATATGATGCGAATTCCGTTATGAATATGACGCCTTATGATTTTTGTGCTAATTTATAAAGTACCGCTTATTGTGTGTTTGATGATTACATTATAAAAGAGCGTTATTAACAGTGCTTTTATATCAATATACCTGTCGTTTTCATAAAATATTTTATGCCTTAAAATTGCTTAAGTTTGCCTTAATAACTTACGTAAATCGCCATGCGTGAGTTTTGCTTGCAGCGATTCAGTTGAATGACCTTGACCGAATAGCGATTAATTCTTTTGACTGCATTTTTTTCGAGTCGATTGCCTTACAAGTATTAAGTTTTAATCTTGAGTTCATTTTGTTTTAGTAATTAATGGATTTTATAGTATGTATTGTCTTGTTTCAGTTGGAGAACGAAGTTATGGTAGATCCTTGGAGCAGTATGGACTCCTCGAACTCACCATTAACTGATTCTGGGCCCTCCGCCAGTGATGATTGCACCCCTTCTACTTCAAGTGAACCAAATAGCGGGCCTTTAGATACTTCTTCACCTATATCACCGGATACGCGCCGCTTTCCGGACCCAAAAGACGCCAAATCTAAATATTCCAAACACCTTACCCCTAAGTTTAAAGACAAAGCGCGGACCCGTGATCTTACTCTCGATCTAGATAATCTCGAAAATGACCCTCTTTCACGCCGCCCGCATTTTCTCGACGATGACTACCATTTACCGTCAAAATCGAATATCGAATGTCGAATTCCAAAACCACACTTCCTCGATCATTCGCCTTCTCCAGACGAATTCGATGAACGTAGTGACATCACAAATCCAAACTTCTTAGAAGATGAAGTAGAAGGCGATGACAATCAAGTACAAAAGAAAGCTGGTGCTCTTCCGAAAAAGTCAATGAAACCACAGTCTTCCAGCTATTCAAACCAAGAAGACCGACCGCACAGAACCAATTATAGAAGCACTTTGCATTATGGACTAGAAAATGCAGCCAGATCAAGCGAAAGGGATAAAAGAGCTTCACAACTATATCGTGGAACGTGGCCCGGAGAGCGGGATGTGTGGACATCTCATGATTCATCCAGTGTTCGAAGTTTCTCTAGTAACGGTTCAGACAGTACACGACCTTCATCTAATTTAGAAAATAAAATGGAATGCGTTTGTTCACTAATATCCTTGCTTAGCTTATCCCCGGAGAATAATGCTGATTTAAGCGGACCGCTTTTAGATATGAGTAGATCTGTAGAAAGTTGTATAGCAATGAGACAAGCTGGATGTATTCCTTTGTTGGTCCAATTGATTCATTCTAAAGTAGCTAGGGAAACTCGAGATCGTGCTGCAAAAGCGCTAAGAAACATAATTCACACTCAAACTGATGACAAAGCTGGTAGAAGAGAAGCAAGAGTATGGAGATTATTAGAACAAGTTAGGGAATACTGTTACGTGCTAGAAGATATAGTTGAAGCGAGAAATGAAGGGAAAGAAGCAATAGAGGATGATGTTACGAAACATCCGAGTCAAAGTGTTGCTGCGCTAATGAAGTTATCTTTTGACGAGGAACATCGACATGTAGTTTGTCAATTTGGTGGCTTACAAGCTCTTGCGGCCTTAGTCAGTGGAGATCAAGCAGCACATGGTAGCAGAACTGACGATAATACTTGCTTGACAATGAGAAAATACGCTGGTATGACGTTAACCAACTTAACTTTCGGAGACGGAAACAACAAATCACTGCTATGTTCGTTTAAGGACTTTATGTTGGCGCTGGTTGAACAACTAGAGTCTCCAAACGACGATATGAGACAGGTCAGTTTATATTATGTACAGATATGGGACATTATATATTTGTGTGTATACTTTATATTTTTATATTGATTTTAAAAGTGATATTTATCATGAATTGTTTTGTTATTACAGGTTACTGCAGCTGTGCTGAGAAACCTCTCGTGGAGAGCAGATACAAATAGTAAACAAGTTTTACGCGAAGTAGGCGCTGTAAAGGGACTCACCAAAGCGGCAATGACGTGTCAAAAGGAGGCAACTCTAAAATCTGTTTTATCTGCCCTCTGGAATCTTACGGCTCATTGTTCTATGAATAAAGTAGCTTTATGCTCTGTTGATGGAGCCTTGGGCTTCCTCGTAGATATGCTAAGTTACAACTCCCCTACAAAGACATTGGCAATAATAGAGAATGCAGGTGGCATTATGCGCAATGTGTCAAGTCACATCGCAGTACGAGAAGATTACAGACAGATTCTCCGCGAGAGAAATTGTTTAAGTGTCTTGCTTCAGCACCTGAAATCTCCAAGCTTAACTGTAGTTAGTAACTCATGCGGCACGCTATGGAATCTGTCGGCACGATGCCCTCAAGATCAACAGTTTTTATGGGACCACGGAGCAGTACCGATGCTACGAAGTTTAATTCATTCGAAACATAAAATGATCGCTATGGGCTCGAGCGCTGCTTTAAAAAATTTGCTTAATTCTAAACCTGGAAAAACACATATAATTTCATTGGACACGACAGTGAGGAGCATGAATTTGCCCGCCTTACCTACTCTGGGGGCAAGGAAACAAAAGGCATTGGAACAAGAATTAGATCAAAACTTAGCTGAAACCTGCGATAACATCGAACCAGCAACTTCCCCAACTACCAGTAATCGGGAAGAAAAGAATCTATTTACAGCCACCGAAAGGCAAATTGCTATGAATTTGGAAAGGCATAGAATGACATCTAGTTCGCCTCTCATGGGGACTTTAACTTCTCAAATATCCCTCAGCCATAGTGCGCATTTAGCGAGCTATTTAAGCTGCAGTAATACTTTACTGAAAGGAGCCTTAGTGACTCGTTCCTCTGGTAGTAGTTCTACTAATGTTAACAGATCAGAAAGTAAAGATTCAGTAACAAGTACTCATTCGGATTCAGTCTTTGAAAGAGGAGTGCGACCTGGAAAAGTTCCTGTCCCTACACCAAGAAATAAAGATTTAATGAAAATGGATACTGGAAGTGACACATTTAAATCGACTAAATCTTTAACGAAAGAAGCCGGCTATATCCGATATTCCGGTCAACCTCCCATTCCACCTCCAAGAAGTACGGAAATGAGAACAAATTATACAGAATCTGGTTACGACGTCGACCAAGATTCTTGCGACCAGCCTATAGATTTCAGCAGAAAATACCCTGAAACAAAGACTGAATCAGAACCTGTTGAGAAACCTAAAACAGAAAGCAAAAAGTATTCTAAGAAAGATAGTCCAAGCACATTTGGAGATTACCAAGAGACTGATTTAGATCAACCGACCGACTATTCACTACGTTATGCAGAACACCAATCAGAGAACGGTTCGGATATTTCGGAGCCACCAGCGCCGTCAGTTCACGAGGACACCATAAAACATTTCGCAACAGAAGGCACGCCATATGAAACACCCATAATATTTTCTACAGCTACTTCTATGTCAGATCTCCGTATAATTGGCAAAGATGGAAAACCAAAAACATCAAGTGTTAAAGAACATCCAGAAGCGATGACGCATTCTGATGAGAAGGACACCTGTTCGATTGAAGATCCACCCCGACATGATAACGACGTCGCAATATCTACGCCACCTCCAGTGTCTATACCAGAACCTGTAGTGGAAAAACGAGGTGTTTTTGACACTAAATTCAGTTCAGGCATGATAAGTCCAGAAAAGCCAGTGAATTATTGTGACGAAGGTACCCCGGGCTATTTCTCAAGGGTCAGCTCGCTAAGCAGTTTGGGTGAGCCAACTGAAGAAGATAGCTTAGCCAAAAGAAACGCACAAGCTTCAATCAATGTGGAACCAAGCCCTCAGGAACAAAGCACTAGCAGTTCTGGAAAGGATAAAGAAGGTATGTATTATTTTCTATATTAGGAGCTGGTCAAGAATTACGTAAGCAGGCTGAGGGGGTGGGGGGTCTATTATTTTCTTTTTCTCAATATAGCTTTTTTAATTTTCGTGTTATTTTGTGTGGGGGGAGGTGGTCTAAAATTCTTAAAAATTTACTTATGTAATACTTGAACGGCCATATATACAAAAAAGGTCCAACCAATCAGTTGGTCCACTGATCGAGTATCTGGTTAAATAATGATTTGTTATTGGTATGTAATAACTATACATTTTGTACTGACTTGTCCACGTTTTTCCTGTTCGATAGACAAGTGGATAATCAGTTGGCCAACAAGTTTAATTATAACAATTATATGCAAAATGTGAAAGTTATTTGTGAGGTGTAGTAAACACAGTAGATTGAATATATAAAATTATGTAAGAACGGGAATCGATTAAATGAAACTCATCGTATACTAATAAAATCGCGTTTAGACCTGTTTATGAGCTCCAATTAAGTAAAGCATTATAACATTTATTTGTTTAGTTACCATATTACAGTAAATCCACGGATATAGACTTAAAACTTATTATTCACTTTTTCATTAGAAGTTAACAAAAAATTGTTTTTTATCGTACAATCACAATATATTATGTACATCACGTCAATTGTTATCTCGCATGTAAAAATTGTGGATATATCTTATTGTTAGTCCTGAAATTTCTATGAATGCTAAAATTCGAGTCTTGTCTTCAGGTGTCAATAAGGCCAGCAACGCATGCTCAACTCCCTTTATATTGAAGATTTTTATAACCGACTGGCGACTCACCCTCGCTTTGCTCGAGTTCGTCCCTACGTTGCTTTTCCATACAAACTTTCAACCCCCTTTAGGGATGATTGCCGGGATAAAAACTATCCTATGTCCTTCCCAGGGTCTCAAACTATCTTCTTGCCAAATTTTATCTAAATCGGTTCAGTAGTTTTTGAAGCCTATTCGATACAAACAAAATTTTCCTCTTTATAATATTAGAATAGACTATACTTACCATTTGTCACTTTTTTGTGTAAAAAATAATACGAATACCTTACAGCCCTTACAGAATTTGCTGCTGATTTATAACGTATTATTTTAGGTCTAAAAGCAGTAACATTCGCAACAGAACCAGTGTCTATAGCCCAAGAAACGTCAGGTGCGGCGTCAGCTCGAACGTCCTCGCCACAACGCTTCATAGAAGACACTCCATTGATGTTCTCAAGGTCGAGCTCCTTAGGATCACTACCAGAGTGCTCCCAGCAAGATGACCAGGGTTCGGTCGTGTCTGAAGTTAGGTATGATGTTTATATATAATCGATAATTAAACAAAAAAAAATGGTACAAAATTGAATAGATCATGTATTTTGTATTATCAATAGTTAATAGTGACAGACTTATTTGACATATTTTTTATATATATATATATATATATATATATATATATATATATATATATATATATATATTATTTTAATGTTAATTATTTATATCGTATCGTATAAATATCGATTATATATAATAATTATTTAATAGGACACTTTAACTCTTAATTCTAAAGTTAGGACAAAACTGGAGCTTAAACTCTACGGTTTTATCAGTAACTAAAGGACAGTTCAGCAGAAGGACTGAATTTGTCTCAATTTGTAGTGTACTTTCTGTTCCACTGGTCGCGGGTTCGAGTCCTGCTGGGGGCATCCGTTTGTGTGATTAGCACGAATGTATGTAATCCGGTTATAGGTGTATATTTATAATATATTTAAAGTTATATATGTGTAATGTATCAACCATCTGGTATCCATAACATAAGCCTCGTACCTTACAATGGGATTATGTAGGTGGTGCTGTGTGTTAATGTCCCAACATTTAACATTTCATTACATAGTTTGTTACTAAAGTAAGTTTAATAAATATATTTTTTTGTCCCTTCCAGCCGCCTCACGTCCGGCTGCATATCCCCGAGCGAGATCCCCGACTCGCCGGGACAGAGCGTGCCGCTGTCGCCGCGCGCGCGCCACGCGCCCGTCCCGCGCGACGAGCACACGCCGCCGCCAGGTGAATTGTGTACCTTATCATTATTTCTATATCTATACATAATACGTCTTATAACATTATATGAGCAATTCTTGTATATTTGTATGTATATAAATTTATTCCGTGTATCTCGGAAACGGCTCTAACGATTTGGATCAAATTTTGTATTTAGATGAGGTTTTGCTTTTTAAGTTTATCTATATATGTATCTTTATTGAAAAAAATGCAATTTATCAGAAAATATCATTTTTTCATCTAATTAATTATTATTAGACTTTTTCTATCTGGTCTCACGCTTTTTTGTAGTACTTGCATTGTCGCTAATGTATCTTCTTCTTCTCGTGTCGACGGCAAGTTTTAAATTAAGTCAGCCCAAAACCGTTACTGTAATGAATGATAACTTACTTGAAGGAGCGCCTACGACGAGCGAAACTCGGTCGCCCAGATAGATACTATAATAATATACTAAAAAAGCCAAATCTATACATGCAATATTTTTGAAAGCAACGGCTCAAATGAGTTACATTCAAATTCATTCATAAGTACATTAAATGTTTAAATTAATTACACAATTTTATTTTGATATACATACATCCATACTTTAATATTATAAATGTGAAAGTGTGTTTGTTTGTTTGTCCTTCTTTCACGTCGAAACGAAGTGACGGACCGCGTCGCGAGAGATTATCTAATTCCCACGGGAAAACACGTTATAATACAATCCAAAAAAATATTTATGATCAGAATTACTTGAAACTTAGTATTAATGCTCTTCAATAAAATTAAATAAATACGTGTTTGAGCATTTTTCGAGATTCATCCTATAAGGGGGTAAAATAGGGTATGAGAGTTTGTATGAAACTACATTTTTATTTGTAGTTTGAGCGCGAGCGAAGCCAGGTAGTAAATAATAATAATATTACATTTTCAGTAGAACCAAGGAACATATCAGTGTTCGAAGAGCGCACGTCGCAGTTTGTAGTTGAGCACACTCCGGCGCAGTTCTCAGCCAACACAAGTCTTTCCAGCCTCACTATTAATGATGAGCCTAAGGTATTTCCTACATTTTATATATTAATACGAATGTGTTCTATTTGACCACAAGGATTTCTTTTTTTTTATTTGACATATGAATATTTTTATAAAAGTATGTTCTTATACTAGACAATTTCTATGCTTTAATAAATAAAACTATCTTTTCGGATTATTTCGCGGATTTATTTTGATTTTTGGTTCCCGACGTTTCGAATGCTTTACAGCATCCATGGTCACGGGAGAGACTGAGGTGTTACATGTCTTAAAGATATAGTTGTTACAGACAGCCTACCCACAATTAACAAAATGAAAATTGCACCAATTACATTACAATATTTTTAACTTTAAACATTTTTTATAATTTTAATTATAATTGAATATGGAAAATTATTTATTTAATTTTTGCTATTATTTTTATAATTACTACAATTTTAAAAATATTAATTAGTAATCTATATTTAGTGTTGCCATTATTATATTTATAACCATAAATAAAAATATAAAAAAATATAAAAATATAGTATTAATTATTAATTATTAATTATTAATTATTAAATTTATATTTTTTTATATTTTTATTTATGGTTATAAATATAATAATGGCAACACTAAATATAGATTACTAATTAATATTTTTAAAATTGTAGTAATTATAAAAATAATAGCAAAAATTAAATAAATAATTTTCCATATTCAATTATAATTAAAATTATAAAAAATGTTTAAAGTTAAAAATATTGTAATGTAATTGGTGCAATTTTCATTTTGTTAATTGTGGGTAGGCTGTCTGTAACAACTATATCTTTAAGACATGTAACACCTCAGTCTCTCCCGTGACCATGGATGCTTTAAAGCATTCGAAACGTCGGGAACCAAAAATCAAAATAAATCCGCGAAATAATCCGAAAAGATAGTTTTATTTAATAATGTCAAACATTCGCGTAAATCTAAGAAAGTATTATTCTATGCTTTAATATTAAATATATATTTAATATAATCATTTTGACGACACGTTTGGCTCAGTTTATAGTCATCCTACTTGCTGTGCCAGCGGTCGCGGGTTCGAGTCCCGTTGGGGGAATTTATTTGTGTGATAAGCACGAATGTTTGTATTATATTTATAATATATATATACCTATTTAAAGTTATATATATATATATATATATATATATATATATATAGTGTATATATAGTGTATCAACTATCTGATATAAACGTGTGTGTGTGTGCAAGTTCCATATTGACCTTCCTCTTAGTAACTTCTTTCACCTTAACTTTCAATTTCGTACACTCTTGTAAGGTGGACGAACTTGTAACTTAATCTATACATATAATTAAAGTGTAACTGATCGCTGTCTGTACATGGAAGATATTTCAGAAAAACTACTGTTGGCGGTCTTTATTATTGCAATAACCCAAAATCATGATTTTTAGAATTATTCTCTGTGCGTTTGTGCTCACTAATCTCAGAAACAGATTAACCGATTTGGGTGTGGTTTTCACTTATGTATTGTGGTAAGCTTCACTTAACATTTAGTATTTGTTTTATTTAATCTGTTCATAAATAAAAAAGTTATGTCAGTTTAAAGAATCACCTAATCGCTGGTACATCATATTTTTTTGTAATTTATGATTCTAAAACACTTCATCAATGAAATAAAACGAGTTTTTGCCTGTAGTTTTGCGTGGTAGGTACATCGATAACAATGTATCACATTCATATAATGTAACACATCCATCCAGAGTATTAAAGGCCTATTAAGATTTTCACTCAAACCTGTTGAGTTGTTACAAATTACAATATGAAGAAGTCACAAGTACTGGTTCACTTTATATTTCCAAAATCTGATAAGAAAAATGAGTTCGTGCAACCTTTGCGCGCAGTTGTAAAATCTCTTTGGCGCTGTGGCAGATAACACAATTACATTAAAACAAATTTAAATATAAATATAAAATTTTATTACATTATTTGTAATAAATATTAATTTTTATTAGTAATAATTATTACAAAATTATAAAATTATTAATAATAAATCTGCCTCTCACATCCGCGACACTCACTTCCGCGAGGTTTTACTTCAATAAGTATATGTGTATAGTTAGTAAATAGTAATTATAAAAATCAAATAAATGGTTCGCTCACAGTTACCATTGCTACTTGAAGATATAAGCAGGGAAGACAATCCAGAGCTCGACGTGTCGCCGCCTGGAAACGAAACTATGAACTCTGAAATTCTCGACGAAAGGTAAATAGAAATTTTTAATTGTATACTTAATACTTTCTAAGATTTACGCCAAAATTTGAGATTTTAAACGACGTTTCGTTACAGCTATCGTGGTCACGGGAGACTGTTCTGACGTGGTCATGATTGCTACAAGGCATTTGAAACGTCGGGAACCAAAAATCAAAATATGTCCGCGAAAAAATGCGAAAAGATAATTTTATTTATATTGTATACTTATTTTTATTTTCTATAAATTTGAATTTAATTCAAAAATGTAATCATTTTTTTTTCTTAGTCCACCCGCAGAAGAACCATCTTCAGACGCTATTGGTGACCACATTAAAGGTAAGAGAAAAGAAAGTTGATTTATTTGACAATTTTTGGTTGAAACCTTTGTATAACAATTGATCAAGACCGTATCTCTTTTAGTTATTTATTATTTATAACTAGCGACTTATTTTCGATCTGCTCGGGTGTGTCCCTAAGTGTCTAATATAGCCTTTGTGTTATTCTAGACCATAGTCTTCTCACATCTCAGATCATAGATAAAATACTGGACGTTTTTTCAATGTGAAATAGTAATAAATATAATATAAATTTTCGATTTTTTATAATAATTTGATTTTTAACTAATCCCATACATTACAATTGGTATTAATGACGAGTTGTATCTGTCAGCAGAGAGAGAATCGTATCACTCCGCGGAAGGCGCGGCGTTCGCGCACTCCTCCAGCGACGACGCCAGCGACGCCGACCTGCTGCACGCCTGCATCGAGAGGGGCATTGCGCAGGTGACGCACACGCACACGCACACATAGACACGCACGTATACATACATACGCACACACGCGCGCACGAACACACGGACGTATACATACGAGTATTCTATATAATATAGAAGACTGATTCACTATACTCTGTTTTTTAATCTCGGAGACAAAACTGACATTACGTGGGTTGCCAGTTCTTTGCAATTCTTAAATAGTGATATGCCACTATAGAAAATTAACGTTAATAAAATCAAGTATCGTTTTTTTTTATAAGTTATCCTGAAATAATGTGTAGGTACTTATTTAAAACGTAATAATACAAATTTAATCATGCAAATTTAAATTTAACAATGTGAATTTTAATGATTTAAAATTATTAAATATAATATTTAATGATTTAGAATTAATAATGTGAATTTTAATAATACCCTTAGGAATAAAAAACTTTGAAGCGAATAATCGTCTTATAAAGATAAAAAGATATGATTCAACAAACCGGTATCGTAGGTATAACACTGCACAAAAAAGCTGGCAACATTATTTGTAAATTTAACATTTGCATATATCAATTTAGTCTCTGTGATTAAAAAACAGACAATAGTTACTAGTTATTTCAGTATTTTAATTTCATATATTTTGACATTTTTATGTTGTTACTCATTGTTTCTATTGTATCTATACTGATAATCTTAAAAAAATGCTTTTCACTGATAAGTAATTTCAATGATATATTCTTTTATCTTAACTTATTTTTGTGTAAGGTAGTATAATTTAAATTTATGTTACCAATTATTTATGTATATACATATTTTCAGGTGGTAAAAAACAAAGGACCTCCATCCGACGTGTCTTCAATTAACAAATATCCGATGAGAGACGATGTATATGTAAGTTAATAGTGATAATTTTTTCCCAATTATATTATTTAACATATACATAAGTATATTTAGTTAATAACTCTTAGATTTATGCAAATATTTAACCGATTAAATAAGACTATTTTTTCAAATTTTTGCGCGGATTTATTTTGGTTTTTGGTTCTCGATGATTGTTTTACAGCAATCAGTTTCTCCCGTGGTCATGATTGCTGTAAAGCTTTCGAAACGTCGAGAATTAAAAATCAAAATAAATATGCGAAAAAATCCGAAAAGAAAGATTTATTTAAAAATATATTTACTCTTCTTTATCAAGCGATCTTAGGCTTGTTTTACATTACATTATGCTGGTAATACAAATACAATATGATGCTGCATTTAAAGTATACAATGTACTTTGAAAATTAGTTCTCATAATTATGTAAATGTTTTATTTAAAATGATAAAATAATTATATTACAGAGATCATTGCCTCCATACTTACGATCATCCACGGAGACGGTCATGATGTCACACGACTTTGTCAGGAATGTTAGAGATAGGTAAGTTTTCTAGTTTTTTTTTTGAGAATATTATATTTTCCATTTATATTCATAACACAAAAAATAAGTTAAATAAATGCTTATCTCAAAATAAATAAAAACAATAAATTATCAAAAAAGTGCTAAAAGAAAATTTAGTATCGATATTTTTTTTATTAAACAGTTTTTTTAAGTTTATTTGTTATTCTAAAATAAATGAACGAATAACAATAAATTACTGATGTATATTTTTTCATTTGTAGTAGTCCGCGTCAAAGTCCGCCGCCATTGCCGCCCAAAGTGCGACACCCCGAGGCGCCGCCGCGACCACCGCCGTTAGAAGATCATCACTTTGAAGGTATATTCTTGTTTTATGGAATTTATTCAAATAATTGTATCAAAATTCAGTTTGGTATATGTACAAGTGTTATGCAAATAATTATATTTATGTGTTTACGGGATCTTTGCAATGTCTTTGAAAAAATCTAGAGTTTATCAATATTTAATTGCTTTGTTTTTTTTTTTTTGTTTTTGCCTGAACTTATTCAAATGGTTTTATTTAATGAACAGTAAATATTTTGAATTTGTACAAACATAACATTTTTTATTTACAGGACGAAGACACGAAAGCCGACAGTTGGAAAAAACACACCGCGACAAACCAAAACTACCGGCAACACAAAGCTTAGCACGAAATGATTCTCTCAGCTCTCTCAGCTTAGACTCATTCGGATCCACTGACAGGGAGATATTTGAAGAAACAGTGAAAGCTGGTCTTTCCAGTGTCAACCCTCGCGCTAAATTCACTTTAGAAAGCAATAAAGGAAAAACCCATTCGGTTGAACGACGACCGGAGTCAACTAAATATTCAAGGAATCACAAATCATTAGACCGAAGCGATAAGATTTCTCATCGCGGGCCCAAAGTACGGGATCCGGAGTTCGAGAGGAACTTGGCTTCTGGTGCGTATAATATCAAGTCGACTAACAAAGTGAAGAAATTAGAGCAGGAATTCGCTAATCTCAATGTTAGGTCCCCATATTCGTACCATGGGGAGGGATCCGGCCATTTTTCAAGGTTTAGAGGTCAGTCGAGGTTTTACGATGATGGTCCTCCGAGCCTTCCCGCTAGGATCGATGATCACCGAAGACTAGATCGAAGCAATTCACTCAGTTCCCTAAGTAATGATTCCATCGGGTCCACTGATAAAGAAGTGTTCGAACGCTGCGTTCGTATAGGAATGACAAAACCACAGACTAAGAAAAAAGACGACGCAAAGCTTAGAGTGCGCAGTGACGATCGTTTAGAGGTACGAGAGTCGAGACGACGTCGTAAAGACAAACCACACCAAGGCGCGTTAGACAAAATGGTCGGCGAGGAATATTCTAAAGATAGAGCGATTTTAGAAGAAGTAATAGCACGTGGTGCTGGCGAGGTTAAAAATGCTAAAGCTAATGAGACAGGAACTCAGTCAAAAAACGTTCCGGCGCCGTTTGCGGTTCTCGCGGCCGCAGACGCGCGCGCAAACATCGCGCGAGACATGGAATCTGACGACTCCGCTATAGGTAATGCCGAAACCATCGACGATTCCAAATCGATTAACGATCAAACCAATGCATCCGTCGAAATCACTCTCAATTCACAGCCGTTATCGATATTAGACCGTTCCAACGAATTGCCGACAGTCGATTCGGGGAACACAACCCTAGATTCGGATTGTAATGAAATGGATCATTCTAATGAGTATTTGGCGCCGAAATCTGGGAATATTACCGTTGAGTCTGAGAGAGATGAACTCAACAGATCGAATGAGTCGTACGCCGACGTGTTAGACGGTACGTGGAGCGACGATGAAGATAAACCTAAAGAATTCGATTCTGGCACTCTAACACGGAAGAAGAAACATAAATTGGAATGGACTGATATCAAATGTACAGACAGTCAAATTAACTTTGAGGATGTCTCAAAAAAAGATAACGACACATGGAACGAGAATACTTGTCCGGACGACGTCACTTTCCCTACTATTAGCGGTTCTGTCCACATGGTTTCGTCGTTGAGAAGTGAAATCGTAGATGCAGCCATGGCGTTGCCAGATTTACTAGAAAAAAGTGACATTCCAAACATTTTCTCCAAACCGGATTTAACTGACAAATTAGATGGCTTAGGCGACAGTGACGATGGGAAGTTAGATGATAGGATGTTAGAGAACATTCCAGAGCCAAGTTTCACGTCGCTAGTCGATGACGGTGAACAAAAGTTTGACTCTATATTATCTTTAGCGATTGAAAAGGAAGCAGCTAGATTGGCAGCTCAATTAAAGAATTCGCATTATGCATTGGAAAACAGTGTGACATCACTTACGTCGATAGACTTAGATAACGTCAAGCCACCGTCTAACTTGGGTAGCTTACTTTCTTTAAGTGCTTCAGGACATTGGGATGAATCTTCTGCCCAAACGTCTAAAAAATCTCAAAAAACACGAAAGAAGTCTTTGCCAGTTGCCTTGATGGTTAAGAGAGCTCTAAGCAACTCTGCTCATCAAGGAAGCTCTGAACACTTGGACAGTATACCGCTAAGTTTCTTAGATAATGTCAAACCGCCTTCGGAAATGGAAAATATCGACATGGATGGCAGCATGATATCTGTATCTAGTATCGTATCCGAAGTTGCTGAAGCAAAAGACAATAAAACTCCAATCGTATTCGACTTTAAGCAACCAGTACAAGATTTTCCTTTGTGTACTACATTCACGCATGTTTTCCACGATTTAGATAAAGTCAATCCGCCATCTTTGTTTGATGAAATGGCTGAATCGACATTAGAACTGGAACCGACTACAGCTCACGAAGTGTACGACGATTGTGTGTCCAATACTCTAAACGTAATACCTGACATACCTTCTGGTTCTGAAAATTGCACCCCGCTCCCTTCAGATATCAGTAGCGTTGAATCGACTCCAAAAAGACAACGTGACTCTAAATATTTAACTCCGAAAGAAAAACGTAGTGCATCCAAATACAGATATCAAACTTACACTATAACGGACACGGTGTCCCATAATGACGTGATTCTAAAAGTGGAATCCGAGGAATTTATGACGTGGACCAAATCAGAAAGTGACAGGTCTGATGATTACGTCACAGCGACGTCAGAGCCTAAATCCAAAAGACGGGTTAGCGCTAAACAACGAAGACAAGAGGATAGAGCTAGATATCAAACTCAAACAGTCAATATTCACAATATATTGACGTCTTCTCAAGAAACATCAACTTCCAAAGATCAACCTTATCCTCATATAGAAAGCTTGAAACAACGATTAGCCGCGAAGAAGACGTTAAAGCAAAAACGTATGGAGGACGCGGAAAGGTTCAGAACTAGAACGTTAAGTGAAGACATACCTCCCTCACCGACGTTTGTAACAAAGGACGCTAACTTCGAAAACGTTGAGACTACTACAGGCTACGACAGTTTATCCTCTAACGAATTAAACCATCAGCAGTTGAACGATGATAGGCAAAGTGACGATGTTTTTAGGGATGTAGATAGTGGGAATAATGAGGATGATTTCGAGTTAAACTCTACACAACTGAAAACTTACACGCAGAGCTTTAGGAACTATTTGCCCGTAATCGAGAGCCCGGCAGCGGTCGACATGTGTGTAGTAAACAACTTGAAAAATATAGAAATGACCGCGTCATACCGACGTAATTTGCAAAGCGATAAAAATCAAAACCCTAGTAGTAGTGACTTTGCGAGCTACGAGGGTGATAGCAATTCAGAAGATAAAGTGCATTCAGAGTCCGATTCTGAAACACCGTCTTCGAGACCAAAACCGAAAATAATAAAGCCAGAAAGGAGAGATGAAAGTTTAGATTCGAACGAATCTGGCGAAAAAGATCATGAAGCGCCAAAAGCCGTGCGTGGTAGAAAGAAAGCTATGTACGTGTCACCGTACAGACGAAATGCTCCCAGTCCAAAAAAAACCATAACCCCCGTGAAAACACCGCCTAAAACAGTTACACCAAAAATCGCGTCAAGTACTGCCAAAGCTCAAACTAGTGCCAAAACACCTAGTAGAACACCAGCTATTAAGGCAACCATTTCCCCTAAAAAGACTGCGCCAAACAAATCGCCATCTAAAATAGCTCAAAAGCCTATAACGATTCCACCGGTAGCAAGCAAGCCGCTACCTTTAGAGCGACAAGGCACTTTTACAAAAGAAGATAGCTCAGTGCCTGCGAAAGACTTACCAATTCCGGAAAAGAAAGCAGTTGGATCTACAAGACCTACAAGCTCGCCTACTAAAGTCGTTAACACATCTCCTTCAAGACTACCCCAGTTCAGTCGAACACGCCCCACTACAAGCAAGACTACCAAGCCCAAACAAAGTACGGCACCTAAACGTTCTTCAGAGCCGATAATGAAGAATTCCCCTTCAAACCACAGTTTACAAAGCAACGACAGTGGAAAGACCATCATCCTGGCTCGAGGCTCCCGACAAGGCAGCACGTCCAGCGTGAACTCAATCTCTTCATCATCCAAAACTAAAGACGTCGAGAGTAAAATAGCAAATCTCTGGAAGAAAGTCGAACAGACCAAGAAGTTGCCAGCCAAGAGTGACAAGAAAGTGTATATTGAAAGTGATAAGACTGAAACGCCAAAACTTATAAGGAGTTCGACGTTCGAAGGCCAGCCCGCTGCGCATGTGTCTACAGCGACCAAACAGAAGTCTGCGATTGGTATACGAGTGTCGCAAATTCCAGCTTTAAGGCCGAAAGCAGTGGCGAAGACTACAACTAGTCCCGCTACCAACAAAAAACCCACTAGAGGGTTTCTAAGAAAAGGCAGTGGACAGATGACCTCTTGAATTAAAGGTTACGTTCCCTACATGGGATGAGGACGACAAAATAACCACTACACATGATTGGAAGCAATAATCAACAGAGAATATCGATTTTTTTTTAATTACTAATAATCAATTTTTGATTTAGACAAATTGATTATAACTAGATGTTTTTGAACGAAATGATTGTGCAAACGGAGAATAATAAATTAAAAGTTTTTTACTTTTGCATAATTATTATCTTTATTCGTTTTAGTATTTCTCAAAACGAATTATACTTTTTTATTTTACTATTTACTATAATATATGTTGCATTTATTTACTCTTGAAACAAAAGTATACTTAGTGTAATCCATGAATGAAAACGTCACAATTTAGTATTCTAACATGATGCGATGTCTTGAAGCCTGTTTTCTCTTAAAAGCTATATATGAATGTATGGTTTGAAAACTTGTGCTTTTCGACTTTACTATTCCTTATGGTGTTTTATGGGATTTCATTGTAAATACTATAACCTAGTGTAAGGTTACCACGATACCACATATTTGTATATTTTTCATAAATATTCATATCCTAGTAATAAACGTCACGTCGCTTGAGTAAAAATGAGGGCATAGTGTGTTATGTCGTATTTTTTACGTCTAGTCAGTTTTAACGTTTAGATAAGCAGAGTAGATTTGGCTTACGATTTTTAGTGAAAGCTTCGCATAAAATTAAGCATAATTTTACCAATTTCATACTGGCTTTCCATTTCTTACTTCTATTAAACTACATAATGTTAGTGAATTTACATTGACACTTAGCAAAATCGTGCTCTTTTACTCTAATGAATAAAGTCAATTGAACTGATCAACAATGTATACCAGACTGATGTAAAAATGTCGCTTTAAATATTTTTGGAGCATCTTATGAGTTTTTATTGAGATTTTTGCAAAATTTATCAAATTTATTCTTCTCGCGAATAAGATTAAGAATTGAAAGTTTTTTTTGTATGAAGTTTCATGGCGTCATCCAATGTACTGATTTATTTAACCCAATAGTTTATTATAGTGAAGTGTTAGCATCAACAAAGCGATGTATTCCATGATCTAGCGATCGATCATAGTAAGTAACGTTTGGTTGTATCTCGTAGTATAGTGACGAGCCAGTTTTAGCTAAATGATTATATGTATTACGTTTAGTTCTAAGTTATTTGATGGTAATAAATGGAACTTACCGCATACATTCTTTCATTTAATTATCTGTGTTGAGTTTTCTTGATCTGGGGCATTACCCCCTTTTTTTTAAATATTCTTTATTTTTGTAAGTTGTTTTAGGGTGCCATACGTAAAGGGCCTTTATTAAACATCCAGAAGTCTTTCCATCCAACTTCTTGTATAACTTTTGGATAATAATATAATAAAATTTTGGTATAGTGATAGCTGGTTATCCGGGTCAACATATAGGATACTTTTTACCGCGGGAAAATGTCTCATTTCTGACAAAAATACAAAAACTGCAATGTAAGAGTATACTAATATGTAAAACTTACGAATTTGCTTTTTGGTCATCTGAACACGGGCGGAGCCGCGGGCAATGCTAGTAATATTATAAATGCGAAAGTAATTCTGTCTGTTTATTATTCTATGTATTATATCTATTATATGTTACGTATTCACACCTAAACCTTGATATATTTTAGTCTGAAGTGAAACGAGTACGGGATCGAAAATGCGAAAGGAATAAAGTGAAAATAAAGGTACTAAAGGAATTATAAACTAAAAACAAAGTTTCTATACGTATTTTTCTTTACTATATTTTCTTCCCATATCGATACCTTAATTGGCAAACCGGCTAACTCCACATTTCGTAAAAAAAATTTTTGGTTCAGATTGTATAAAACAGTAATTCAATAGGATTATTTTAGTAAGACCTTACAGTATCAAAAATAACAGTAGTGTAAAAAAATTTTATTAAGTTTTAAGTGTCTCCTGAAAAATTGCTCGTATGGAGTTAAGCTGGTTTGCCAATTAAGGTATCGATATGTAAATTCTCATCAATCTCGTTGCAGACTGTTTTACATTTTTATTAAAGGTAATGCTTAGTAAATTCTTCTAAATAGAAGTCACAAAGGTCACAATCGAAACAGCTGAAACTAGATTTCGTGTACTTAACAAGTTTCTGCGTTATAAGCGTTTAAAAACATAAGTATTTCGAAATTATAACACTTCTAGAATTAAAGTACCTATAAATTAATTACTGAAGTACTAAATTTACATGATACGTATAACAATCGACAGATTTCGGAAAATAATAGGTTTTACTTAGTTTATCTGGCACAATCAATTACCTTTTAAATTATAAATTTTGAAAATAATACACCCGTCGCGTATCAACAACTTTTACAAGATAAACTTAATAAAATAATAAGGCAGTTTGTTTGATTGAACGTGATTATCTCAGGAACTATTAATCTGATTTGAAGAATTATTTTGCTTTAGATTGCTGGTTTATTGAGGAAGGCTATATATCATCCCGGAAAAATGACCGTTTCTAGATTTGTTTTTGTCTAGGGACGAACTCGAAGTGAAACGAGGGTCAGTCGCTAGTTTTGCCATAAAATTAAGAATAATAATAGTATAATGTCAAAATTCACCTCATGGTACAAATTGAAAGAAGGCTAATAACATTTTCCTAGCAATTTTGGCGTCGTGATGTCACAAAACTGCTAACATTGCTTTTAAGACGTCATGGTACGAAAAGTCAAAAGTATTAAGTAGATAATATTATAGTATTCATGCTATAAGTGTTCATGATAGGCCCACTCTAAAAAAATGATTAACATTACAAGGATAACAGGTGCATCGGAATAATAAAAAGCCACACGCTAGTCAGATTGTTTATTACGTCAAATATGGTTCCATACATCTGATAGGAGTGTTCCATCTACTTAACTGAAAACATGCTTACATTATTTACTTTTACAACTTTATTTTTGAAATAGCACAATAATCGCATAAAACCTATTTATCCTAAGTATATCTGTTTTATATAACATACAAAAATATTAATAACAAAAACTATAATTAGTGTATTTACGGAGGCATGCTTATGCAGAGGTAGATCGGTACATTATAACACTACTGTAAAGCCGGATCGCACTCCCCCAGGCGTCGCCGCGGGACAAACATAACCATCGACAGTAAATATATAAAATACAACACTAATACAAACGCTTACCACAGAGCAGACTCGATATTATCGATATTATAATTGATCTCTCAACATTATAAAAAAAACAAAATCATTACCACATTCAAAATCAATGAAAAAAAATTATTATTTTAAAAAATAATGTAAAAATATTTTATTATGCGATATTGCGTAACAGCAAGTTAAAATCAATCAACGCGGCCGCGGACCTTGCTTTACAGTATATCGGTTATCGACTTACGAGCAATACGAGCTATCTTACAAAAAAAATTTACGTTTAGGAATTGAATACATAAAGAACAGCGATTTCTATTTACAGTCAAGCTTCTCGCACAAAAATACGTAATTTATATAGAACATTTTATGTCAAACACTGAAAATCTTAATGCCCCTGTCGCCAGTCGCCACTCACCCCACACTTCAAACACTTGATAAGAAAATTATTAAAATCATTATTTATTATTATTTTTATCACAAATTCTTCGAAATTTACTTTTAAAATATACTTAATACACGATTAAAATAATAAATGTATGTAAATATTTAATATAGAGCAAATACAAATTTTGTACTATGCGACAAGGACATTGCATTGTACATAAACATTTCATATAAGAAATACATCGACAAATAAGTTTCGAATACACAACTTCGAGAAAATAAATTCTATGAATGACCTATTATGCAACATTTTAGAAGCACTAAAATATAAGTTGAAACTATATTTTGCTTACTACATGTAACAGACCGGGCTTAATTTTTCCAGACATTTTTTTTTTTATTTTTTTTCATACTTCATAGCTGTTAGACACCGGGCTATAAACTTCTATTACAAAACAACCATCTCTGATATTAAATTCAATTCATGAATAATGCCATGCCACTTAACTTTTACTATCCCATTATTATCGCTCATTTGAATAAGCTTTCGCCAAGATTGTTTTGAAATCACGTGAAATAATTTAAAATCATAATTTAGCAAGTGTATTCGTCGCGTTAACATTCTTGCACATCACACAACACAAGTTAAAAAACAATGTAGGAGCGCAAACAACATTATCTCGACAACATACTCGTAAACATAATATCAGCATTATAATTCCTTTGACAAAACTGTTAATTTGGCTAAATTTTTGTGCCAAAAAGGCAATAGTTATAGACCGATGTCCAAAACATCAAAGCGCGAGAAAGCCCGGCCGGGAAGCTTACAAGAGACAGGTTTAGATGGAAACTATTTGTACACATGTCGGGTATTGAGGTAGTATTGTTGACCCATCAGTATCGGAGGCTGGTGCTTACTTATCGATATCATAAAACACATCCGTAAAATAGAACCACAATACCCTGTGCTCGATTCTAATCCTAAAAACTTAAAGCTAGGGACAATAAGATCGCAAAGGTTGCAAACACGACATTTTTATATCAAAAATAAATGTTTAAGATAGAATTTGTGTAAATGTACTGTGTATAACACATTATAAATGTACGAGTCGCTCGACTAACACCACTGGCCAACTTACATAATTATAACGTTTTTACTACTCATTTTTTTAGCCTCTATAAGTTGTAAATCACGTTTTTTAAAGTTGGCTGATTTAACTTCTACGGGTCAAAGGTAGGCCTTTTTGCTTTGCAACCCCATCATTCTTCTGATGAATCAATATTCTTATAATATTGATAAATATAGTGTTGTTACCCGAGCGGTGTTCAATACTTAATTTAAAAGTTCCAAATAGACATATTTTTATTTCACATTATAAAATTCCAATATACATTAGCAGCATTAAAATAGAATTTAAAAAATCCCGACAACTGCCACCTTTGCGACGAAATTTACATAGAAACTGTTATTTTATTATGAAATATAGAAGTTTTTGAATAAGTACTATTACATTGAACGATGAGGTTTTAAGACTATGCAACACCACCAAATATATGCTATTTACTGTCGTAACGGAACAAAATACACTGCGACGTGTTACCTCTATCGATGAAACAGTGAACCGACCAATTATTATCAGAATATATTGACAGTCTGAAATTACCCTTATAATAAATTTTAAAAAAGGAACACCAATTTTTTTTGTTTTTTTTTTATTATTTTTTTGTATGTCGCAGTGAATTTTGCGGCTAAGCTAGCGTTTGTAGACAGTTCATGCTGCGCTGTAGTCAGTAACGCTGTAATAGCCACTTACATTATTTACAATAACCTTATACAATGAGAGACATTTATTTAAAACTAATTTGGAGAAAACAGATTGATACCATCAATGAATGACTACAGCACAGTGTTTATGATTATATTTTCCAAGGGGAAGATGCTACGTTAGCCCGAAACACGCTCGTCACTGAGCGTTTTATTAGAAAATCTTCCCCTGTTATAATTTTGTATTTCAACAAGCACGCCGTCAGTAGACTCGCTATGCAATTGTCGTATCGGTTTCACACCAGATAGATATTGTATCGCCGCACCGCGACCTGTGTCCTTCGAAGCCCAAAAGCTACTCAGCTATTTTATCGTGTTTTTTTTCACATCTGACTTTTTTCCCTGGCTTTACCTCCATACTTCTAAGTTCATTGAACTTATAAATACATACAGTCTTTGGATACTTTTTTATCACTAAGACCCCTTCGCCGCGAAATTGTAAATAGTTTACTCTCTCGAAAATATATTTCGGAGTTCATTTCTTAGCATACATTTTTCTTACTCTTTTTAACTCTACGTTTTGTCATGCAGTAACCTGCGAATTTTTTATCTCCTGTCATTTTTTACGTGAGATTTACACGAATTTTGACCGCATATGGACATTCTTAATAATCATTATTATATTATGCATAAAGCTCGTAATACACAAATACAGATATATAGAAATTTTCCCGCGTTCATAGCGTAGCCGTTTAATATTAGAAGAAATCTGATAGGTATCTGATAAATATCGACACACGTAAGTTTCAATAAAAATCGATTCAGACAATAGAATCGATTCGGGAAACATCGATATCCTCACAAGCAAACATCTTCCAACACTAATCGAGCTACATCACAGAACAAATCAGTGATCAAATTGTAAAATCCGCCTGAAATATTAGGTCCATATGCGAGTATGTATTTGACAGCGTCCGCATTCTGCATATTAAGCCGTCAAGTCGGTCTTTAGAGAAAATTAGCCAAGTCCTATATAAAAGCTGATACTCGAGTAATATCCTAAAGTATATGTTATTATATTTATGATATGAAACAGGACATAAGAGCCATGGTCACGTGACCACCGTGATATGGATTAGTGGTCGACTAATCCATATCTACTGATTAGGACCATGGCATTTGCAATAGTGTCGAAAAATCGATAACACGTAAAAGAAAGCGAAAAACATTAAACATCTCGTTTCATAACATAAATATTATAGTGTCACCGACATGACATATAACGCTTAGCTATATTATTTATATATATACTCGTGACATTTTCTCAGATAATAAGTAATGTCAGAAATAGGACGCGTCTGGCTGTTTATCATAAATAAAGTTTGTACTCGTTACATATCGCTCGCTACACTTACATCTAAATATACATAAAAATATCACAGCACTATCGATTCACTTACACTATGGCCGCGACGCTTTGCGTCACAGCCTTTAATAAAATAATTAAAAAAGGAATCGAAAATGAAATGCATGTCCACCATCGCACCTACGCTCATATTATCATTATAATACAATAAACAAAAAAATGTTGACCTAGTTCCACATTCAAAATGTTAAAAAAAATAACTTCAAAGAAGAAGTCAATTGGAGAAACACCATATTTTATTGTAACGATAATAAAAACATGGCGATGGTATAAAAATCAAGCATAATTAAAAATGCAAATTACAAAGTGCCGCAAAAAAGGTACCAAAAATATTTACACAAGCTGTTGTTTACCAAATCTTAGTCTAACTTTGGAAATCGATATTATTTTACAGTAAACACCGCCATTTATAATCTGTATACAATATAGGAAATATATTTAATCTATGGACATTGAACACTATTATTTGAGGTATATTTTGTTATTGTTTGTAAAAATGTGTATTGCGGTGCTTAATCTAATATAAAATGTCGGCATTTATTGTAAAACTTTGGGCTAAACAATAATTAGTTATTTTTTAAAATTTTATTTTCAGCCCATAATATTCAATAAATCGATAAAAACTGAAATGAAAGTGCGAAAAAAGCAATCACTCACCTCTCACGCAAGTATACCGTACGACGTCTGCGTTAAGTTGCCGACTCTAAGGCCGCTGTAATACTTATATTATATAAATATTGAATTATTAAAACGTATTTCACCATTTGTATAAGTATTAAAACAGTATATACAATAAAACAAATAAATATATTAAAAAGCTTATTCTCAAAATTGAATAAGGACATAATAATATTCTTTGTATGATTATATCCTTCGGGTCAATGACCTTGTACCACGTGTGTGACGTCACACAATAATAACACGAAAATCTTAATGAATTTCGTTTCCACAAGTTTTACTTAAATATGAAGCCTGTATGGTTAATAGTAGTTATTATTCTTAATTATACATGTAATAATATTAATGTTTTTATTTCCCGTCAAATATTATTAATAAAAATACACGTTAGAGTCGGAAACCTATGACACACAGACACACGCACTCATACATGTTATTTATATGCGAATTAAACTTAACTAAATGAGGTAGCAGTATGAATATGATAACATTAACCGTTCTAATGTTTGGTGGGATTTATATATTCTATCAACAATAAAATAGATCCTATTGTATAGTGAGGTACATTGTCGTTTCTGTTTGAGGTAGCTATGTGTTTGGGGGCTGCCCCTACTACTGCAACATTAATGTATCGTTTCGTTACTACTCTATTGAGACTATAGTAAGCGAAAAGTGAGAAAATCTATTGAAGAATCTGTAAATTTAACTGTAAACACTATAGTAACTATCGATATTATAAGAAATCCAAAGAAGTAGTAGAAAGCAGCCATGGAGCGAAACAGATGCATCGGTCACAAAACGACCGACAAACTGTTCCATAAACAATGTAGATACAAAAATATGAATCAAATGTAAAAAACTTCAAAATATGTCTGTGTTCATCATCGACAGTCGGTTCGTCTCGACCATATCTCCGTAACCGTACGAGTAATCTGGGTAGACTTTGGTTATGATGGGTTCCCATTTTGGTTGGTTGTAGGGTGCGGGTTCGATGCTCGGTTGATAGTTTTGCGAGTACATTTGGTTGTATTCGTTCTTTATAGTGAGTAAAGGGTCTATGTGGGGGAGCATGTGGTCGTCCAGATCGATGAACCCGCTACCGTCTGTGTGGAAGCCCGTGTTGAATTCCGGGCCGTACTCCGCTGGGTAGTTACTTGATGTTTGTGGGCTCTCGTGTATGGTATCTGTAATGTTTAATAATTAGAGATGAAGTAGATATCTGGTAATTATTTTCCCGCCTTATTTAGCAGTCTGCCTAAAAACCGGATATTAACGCAAGATCCCACTGGACATCATATACGTTTGCAGATCAAGAGGCCCAAGGTTCGAGTCCAAGGACTTAATAACACTTATTTAGTTTTTAGGTCAATAATTTCTCAGTAACAGCTCAGAGTTGGGAAATTGTCAGTATTGCACGCGAGCCTTTCTTACAATCGTGATTGCAATCGTGTAGATTTTTCATTCCACCAGAGTATCAACAGTGAAAGGAATAGAGACTGTACTTGTGTATGTATAGCTTGTGCATAGTGATAAAGTGTAATATCTGCTGTGATGTTGATGATGATGTTCTCCCGACCGATTCCGGCCACGGCGGCCAATCTCATTGAGACTAGCCAACTGCGCAGGAGATATTATAGTGCTCAAGTGTACGCGCAGACACAAGTGCACTCTCTATTCCTGTCACTCTCATACATAGAAAATAAAAGTAAACTTACCACCAAAAGTCACATTGTTAGTGGGCAACACATTAACGAACTCGACTATCTTGCTATTATTGTTAGCGTTTTCGAATATCTGCAGCTCCTTCTCGATGAGAGTGGGATCGATGCTGTCCGACTCCATCGTACTGTCATCTGGTTCATTGAACATAAAGCTTTCCAGTTTTGCATCCGACAGTTCCGATATACCGACGTGTAACTGTGCGTTCAAATCATTCGATTTATTCGTTTCTTTATCAATATCGTTTTCCTTAACATAGCTATTTGTAGGCGATTCATCATCAGATTCTGTTATGTCCGGAACATTCTCTGACTTCTTATACTTTTTGCCGTCAGTTTTGTGCATTCTACGCAAATGTTTATGCCAATTGGGGTAGCTGGCGAAAGTTTTTTCACAAACGGGACATTTGTATGGTTTAGATCCAGTGTGAACGTTGAGATGCTGTTGTAACTGCCCTAGTTTCACAAAACCTTTACCACAGTAAGTGCAATTGTGTGTTTTAGTTTCGGCATGAGTTTTGATGTGTTCTATTAATCTGTTCTTGGCGTTGTAGACTTTCCCGCAGACTTTGCATAGATGTAAGACAGTTTCAAAATGTTGCGGTATATGTTTTAATATGAGATATTTCTCGCTGTAGTTTCTATTGCAAACAGGACAGACATAGAGTTTCTTGTTGTGCACGTCCAGGTGTCGCTCGCAGGACTTGAGGGAGGTGAACAGAAGGCCGCACTGTCGGCACCAGTTCTGCGCTGAGCGGTGCACGCGTTGGTGGGTGATCAAATCCTTGGGTGTTGAAAATCTGTGGGTTTAACATTTGGTATATTAATAACTTTATGTAAACTTTTTTACAGAGTTACTTGTTTTGATTGATTAATGAAAACCCAATCAATGAACATAGGATTAATTATAGGCACTTATAATGAATCTTATTTTTTTGAAGATATTGCTTACTGCAAAAAGGTCATGTGGAAATAAAATTATTTTAGGTGTCATATTTCAAATAAAGTAATTCAATATTATATCTAATCTAATATATTTAAACGAGCAATTCTTGTATATATATATAATCTGAATCTCGGAAACGGCTACAACGATTTTCATGAAATTTAGTATACAAGGGGTTTTCGCGTGTTTTCTAAATTTCATGCGGTTTTGTTTCGCATTATTCCACGCAAAATATGGTCGATAATTGTGTATGTTCGGGCATAAGCATCACGGTCAAACGGCCAAGGCGCAACATTGACAATCATAGATATCCGGGTTCGACTCCCGGTCGGATACAAAAGGTATAATTTATTTTTGTTTTTTTTATTAATTCAAGTTTTTAGTTTTTTAAAAAAAAGAAAAGTGTACTTTTCACCAAAAACTCCGAGCGAAGCTCGGTGGCCTAGGTGCTTATTAGCATACAAATAGTGACACTTACAACAATCTGTATATTCTTCAATGAAACAGACCATAAACACCTTTGTCACATTTATACTAAGCTAGCGACTCACCCTCGCTTCGCTCGAGCTGGTCCCTAGGTACGTTTTAATTTCTATAAGCCATTATAAAAAAAGAAAAAAAGTTTTAATTTTTTTGAGCGGAACCCTAATTCCTTTTCTAAAATAAAAGTAGCCTATATTACTCCCTATAACATCAGCTATCTTCCAGTGAAAGTCCCGTTAAAATTAGTCCAGCCGTTTCAGAGATTACACGGAAGAAACAAACAGACAGGCAGACAAAAATTTTAAATTTGACATTATAAACAGACACTTCAATTTTATTTATCTGTATAGATAAAAAAAAGCCAACTCACACTTTATTACACCCGTCCTCGGTGCACGTGACGCAGTGCACGGCGTGCGCGTCGCGCAGGTGCTCGCGCAGGCGCATCTCAGTCGCGTAGCGGCGGCCGCAGCGCACGCACGCGAACGGCTTGCCGGCCGCGCCCGCCTCGCACGCCGCCATGTGCGTCACCAGCAACGAGAGACGACTGAACGTCTTCTGGCATATGTCGCAGCTGGGAACATTTAAACTATATTAAGTTTCTATCAATTATAATATAACCATCATGACTTTGAATGAAAACAGGCATACAAATTGCATATAATATGGCCATGGACGAATTAGAGACTGGACCTGACATAAAATACAAATGTATGAAAACTAGTTCAACCAAGTGACGCATAACGCACACAAAGATTTTGTTACATTATTATAAACACTGATACACAATACAATATTTCTAGTGCTTGAACGTAATCGATAAAATACATATATCGATGAACTAATGAATGACATTTTAGACATTTGTAAGCATAGTCATCATATTTTACTACTTTTAATTTAAAATATCTGTAATTATATAATAAATTAAAATAAATGAATTAATGAGGCAATAATAATGTGTCAAATAATAATTAAATAATAAATAAATAAATATGTTGGGACATTAACACACAGCGCCATCTAGTTCCATGGTAAGCTACGAGGCTTGTGTTATGGATACTAGATAGTTGATACACTACACATATATAACTTTAAATACATACATATTATAAATATAAACACCCATGACTGGAGTACAAACATTTGTCATCACACAAATGAATGCCCCCAGCGGGACTCGAACCCGCGACCGCTGGCACAGCAAGTAGGGTTACTACAAACTGAGCCAAACATGTCATCAAACATATTTTTTTTAATTTGATTTATATAAATACGATGGCATTGATGGCTACATTCTGTTGGCCTATAATAATGTTAATGAACAAATGAATATCGGGTGTATATTCCATTAATATATAATAAATATTATTTTGTAAAGATTAAAAAAATATTAAGCTAATTTAATTAAATAAAGTGATTTTGTTGATTCTGTTATTGAACTATTTTAATTGGCAATTGATTGTCTCGGGTAGTTATAAAAATATGATACTTTCCTAATATTGCTCAGTTCTTAATAAACATTTGTGCAATTAGGAAAAAGAAAAAATGATTGCAAATTGTGAAAAAGTGAGTGTTGGATCGTGAAAGTAAAATAATTAGTGCAAGTGGTAAAGTGTTTTATTACAAATCGCCAACCCAGAAGTTTAGTGCTATAACATTATTGTTTGATTTTGTGTAATTTATGTGTTGAAATAAAATGATCTTTATTATTATTACAATGGAATAATATTCCAGTGTATAAATGTGGTATAAAAAAAAAAGTACACATACTAATTATAATTTTTGCATTTATATTTTTATTTGATTCAGAAAATATTATAAATTTATTGTCATCAGATTGTAGGATACTGTGATAAAATATTTTATGTTATTGTACTGTACAAATAACACAATTCGTTCAGTTATTTCGTCAAATATCGATATATTTTTCGACATTGTCAAGCACAAGTCGCTGTCAAATGGACTCACTCGACAGTTTTGTCATTTGTTCTGAATGGTATAATCCTGCCCGTTTATGATGGTTGTCAGATGTCAACAATACATAGAAATATCGACTATATTTAACATAGTTGGATAATATGACATTTTATTTTAAATTAAATTGAATTTTGTGATAAATAACAATAAATGTAATAAAATAATGTATTTACAAGTGAAAAGAAATAGTGTTGCTTCCGCCGTTATAGTTTTCACACCATTTAACAGAACATTTAGTCATTTTTGGGAGATGTTTTGTTGACAAGTAAGTGCTTGAGACTGACACAAAAAACAAACGACCTAGGCTAAAATTACCCTGGTTACTAACATGACCGGTGAAGGTACGTCCGCTTATATGTCTGGTCCAGTGGTTAATTCGTTCATGAATATGGCTATTGCTTACTTTTGACACTTAATAACACTTCTGTTTAATATTTGTAACTAGCAACTTACCCTCACTGCACTCGGGTGCGTCATGTTTTACTTTTTTTTAATGGAACCCTTATTCTTTTTTAAAATAAAAGTAGCCTAAGTTACTTCTTATAACATCGGTTATTTTCCCGTGAAAGCCCCGTCAAAATCAGTCCAGCCATTTTGAAGATTAACCGGAACAAACAGACAAAAATTTTATAAAATATATAATGCATTAATATCACAATCACAAACTGTTAAAATTAGTGAATTGAGATGTAGGAAGTGAATGTCAGAACAACTAATGTGATACATTTTTTTATAATAATATAGAATATTTTTTATAATAATATTTATAAAAACAAAACAAATGCAATCTAGTTTGAGACAATGTTAAAAGAAATTGAGTTTCTTTTGCATCTTTATTACATCATCATTTAATTATAACTGGGCAGATTCAGTAGAACTTATTGTCATAGTATTTAATAGTAGACTCAAAATCTGAATATACATTGAGTAAGGCACATTATAATTCATTTTTACAAAAAAAAGTTTTCTTTAAATTTAGGATATATCTTATATATAAAATTTCCATGTCACAATGTTTGTTACAGTACTCCTCCGAAACGGCTTTACCGATTTTTACCAAATTTTATATGCATATTCAGTAGGTCTAAGAATCGGCTACTATCTATTTTTCATACCCCTAAGTGATAAGGATAAGGGTGGTCCTCCCAGACTCCACCCCAGGGACGAACCCGAGCGGAGCGAGGGTGAGTCGCTAGTATATATATATATATATGGTCTATTACACTTACCAAAATCTGTCCTTCATGACATGATTGTAGGAATGATCACTGAATACTGAATATTTTTCAAACTGCTTTCCACATACATTACATGTGTAGACTATATCCTCACTCCCATGTTCGCATGAAAAATGGGCATCAAACTCCACCCTATCTTTATATACCAGTGGGCAGAATTTACATGAAATTCCACCCAATTGCTTTATGTAATTTTCTTCCTTTTCCAAATTTGTTTGTACATATGAGCCTTCATCATTAATATCTCCAAAATGTTTTTTTAAATGTTCTGAAGCATTTTCTTTGCTTGAAATATTTTCATTACAAATGGGACAAAAGTAAATAGAAGATGAATGAATATCAACATGTTCCTTACAGCCTTCTAATGTATCTATTTGCTTAGCACACGCTTGACATTTGAATGGTGGCATGTCTGTGTCATTGTGAATTATTTGATGCAATTGCAACTCCTTTTTAGTTGTAAATCTGAAAATATTATAAATTCTATATAATAAACTGACATTGATATTACAATTCTTCTATGAATGAATTTCTAGTTTTGTATAAAACATATATGTATTTTTGACTTACTCTTTACTGCAAACTGAGCATTTGAATCTATGCATGACCTTAATATGTTCCCTTAAAGACAGGGATTTTGAGAATAATTTAGAACAATGTTCGCATCTGTAATAAAGGATTTTTTTGTATAACAATTATATTACTGAGCACAAATTATTTATACTTCATATATTATAATTGTAAATACATAACAAGTCTAATGGTATAATACAATCGTTGATCAAAAAAGTACTTTATGATCAATGTGTATTATAATTTAAATATGTATGTACTGAATAGTGTTACCATCATCTATGAATATGAATAGAAATTTTATCCATATTATTACCTATAATTTTTAAAGGAAAGCTAAATTAATTTAAATCAATTAGGTAATAGTAATCTAAAGATAAAGCTTGGGCTCTCCATTCAGCATATTTCCTGTCCAAAAATAGGTCCTACTCAGTAGTTGTAGACTGATTTTAAATACATTGCAGGAAAAATTGTCCAGATAAAATTCTAACCAAGTAATAAATTCAAGAAATATCATATGTGGAAAAAGTAGTGCTAAGTCAGATTACATTTCTACTTACTTGAATCTCTCTTTGATAACATGACTTGTGTAACAGTGACCACGGAAACTTGGATAGCCAGTTATCTCTTTATAACACACCACACAAGTATATATTATGTCTTTGCTTCTTGTTTCATGTTTAACATAATGCATGTCATATTCTCTTTTATTAGCATATGTAATATGGCATATATGACATTGTATGCCACCAACTAAATCAATTGTTGTGGGTTTAGGTCTCCGGTGAATAGCTGAGTGAGGTCTCTCTAGGTCTGTATGGGTGTGCGAAGCCATTTTATTCCCCCTTGCTAAGTGCAATCCATTTATTGAGCATCTATGTCTGTCAAATGTGGGTTTTTATGACTACTATGGGGAACATTGTTGTTATATTATTGTTTTGCAACCTACATGTTTTTAATGTTGTTTTTGATCTGCAAAAGAAGTAAAATATTATTTTTAATTATCTAATAATCATTGTATTAAATAATAGATAATTTATTTGTAATATTATGCAAAACTTTCATTAGAATGTAATAAGGAAATCACGATATGTAAACAACCTTATCTTTAAAAAGGTCAAAGGATTATCACTATGCTCATTCGTAATAGTGAGTTCATTGAATGAATGCAAAAAAATAATATCATTTGCAATGATAAAATCTATAAAAGAAAATTAATATTAAACAAATCTAGGACGAGAGGTTCCAATAACCCGCGACCTTGACTATCTTGTAGTATTTCAAAAAAATATGGATATATATATAATTATGTATTAAATAAGTTATATTACAGCTACATTTTATCCCACGATAAAATTTATAGGGTGATTCATAAATAAATCATAAAACATCTCGAATTAACAATATAATTTTGCGGGTCGCGAAGTGCGGCAGTAAGTAAGGCATTTAAAGATAAATATGAGTTAGTACTTACAAAATCTGATAAAAACTTATAAATTTGCATCGGACAGAAGTCCAACGTTACATTTTACATTACAACAGCCGAAATAAAACTTAAACGATAAAAAATGTAACGCCGGACGACAAACAACGCCAAGAAAACGTGTGAAATTTGGTTTTTGACATCTGTGGAGCTGCTGTAGAAAAAAAATCAATATCTAACTTTTATAGATACCGCTTGCTCTAAACCTTACAATGTTAAAACTATATATAAAAATTCAAAAAATATTTTTTTAATTTATTTCTAACTTAGCTATTCTTCCTGGAAAATAATTACATAATATTTTTTATTTTATATTTATTATTGTTATAACAGTATTGTTTTATTCTTACAAAACTCTCATTTTAGGCGAATGGGGACATTTTTTATTAATTCTGAAGCTGTCAAATTGACGTATTCAATGGTAAACAAGATTTTTGCGTTTTATTATCAAATCTTAATAATATTTTTGTAAGTAATCAACTATAATCTTCTCTTATTAATTTTAACATTATTCGATACTGTGAACGGTGAAGATTAATTTTTCAAGGTTCTTTAATATACGGTAAGCGCGTTCCTTTTTATTACTTGTTAAATTTCATATAATTTTGTACTTGTTTTAAAAAATAGTATTAGGAATTATATATAAATACACGTTATCATTTTTTCATCAAAAGTTTATAAATGAATTCGGTGATAATAGCTCTATGCTCTATGTATCACATTTTAACAGATTTAATTTTTAACATTTTTATATTGAAAACCTCGGTGTTCTGAGGAACAGATGAATAAGGGCATCAAAGATTCAGAGGTTGATCTAATGTTTTGTATTCAAAACAACATTTGGCACCAGGCCAATTCAATTCCAGAAATAAACCGCGTGAATCTTGTCGGACGTATATACGAAAATCACGTAAAACCGCAATTTCTTTAGTTTTGAATTTTTAATAAATGGACCGTCAGCAAAACCTACATTCGAGCATCCATGGCTCCTTTAGGAGTAGAGATTCCTCATCCACAGCTGAAAGCGATCCACGAGAGAAGATTAAGGATTGTCTTCGAAAATTCATAGCATTTATGTTTACGCAAGTGGGTGTAGGCGCCCTTGTCGTGTGCTACGCGATTTTGGGTGCTGCAAGTTTTATGCATATTGAAAAAGACAGTCCTGATGAACAGATGGAAAATGTTATTAGGTGGAGACAAAATTGTGTAGAACAATTGTGGAATATCACCAATAAATATAATGTTTTGAACTATACTGCCTGGATGTCTAACAGTAACACAGTTCTTAAAGTGTTTCAAAATAATGTCACTGCTGCCATCCATTTGGGTTACAATGGAAGATCCTCAGAAGATGTATGGTCATTCCCTGGTGCTCTTATGTATTCTTTGTCTGTATTCACTATGATTGGTTATGGCAATGTTGTACCTAAGACTGTTTGGGGCAAAATAGTAACTATAGCATATGCTTGTTTTGGTATACCTATTTACGTTCTATACTTTTGTAATATGGGAAAAGTGTTGGCACAGACTTTTAAATGGTTGTACATAACAGCTCATGAGTGTAGTAGAAGAGAAGATCCATTATTGGAAGATGGTGAAATACAACCAATTAAAAAGAAAATTACAGTGCCATCTACTGCATGCCTTTGGGTTATATCATTTTACATATTGACTGGCACAATAATGTTTGGAGCATGGGAGAAGTGGAATTACTTAGATTCAACATATTTTTGTGTAATAAGTTTGTGTAAGATTGGTTTTGGAGATTTTGTGCCTGGTGCAAATATAGCTGATTCAGCAGAAGGTTCGCATTTGAAACTTGTGATAAATTTCATTTATGTTTTATTAGGAATGGGCCTAGTGGCCATGTGTTATAATTTAATGTGTGAAGATGTAAGAGTCAAAGTGAGGGAACTTCGACAAGATCTTAAAAATTGTTTAGATGATATTACATTAAAGATTACAGTTTGTATGAATGATACCAAGTATTACCATCAAAAGCAAACTAGAAATTTAAAATGATGTTTTTGTGAATATTGCTTGTCTGTGGTGACAAAATCAGATACTCTTGAAATGTGCTTTTTCTGGATTTTTTATTTTAAAAAGTAAAGTGCAATGGAGGAAATATTTAGTACAAGTTGCTTTAAGTTGGTTATGATATATGTTTGTCCATAATTTATATTTTAGAATATATTTTGGTTGTGACATTACATCCTTGTTATATATACATTATTCATTTATGTAAATAGTGGTGTTCTACCATTGTTTTTACTTTTTGTGTCTCTAAGTAACATTGTCAATTTCAGTATTAAATTTTATATATATATATATATATATATATATATATATATATATATATATATATATATATATATATATATATATATATGTTGAAAGCATTTATTGAAATTTAATTAAGACTTTGTTTATTTGCTTTAAGATACTACAAAGCAGTACATGTACTTTTTTTATTATTGTAATTTTACTGAAAATAAAACATTCTTTATATTTTTTGTTTTAATTTAATTTATTATAATTTGCCATCATCTTGGCTCAAATGGTTTCCTGTTAGATTGACACTGCCTATGGACTAGGATTCGAATCTTGCAAAAATCAATATTATTGGTTATATTGACTATATAGTATCTGTTCAAATTGCAGTTGAAGTAATTAAAATAAAGTTAAGTTTTGGACTTTAAGTATAATTCACAGTATGATTCTTTGCGGGTATAAATAATATAGTGTTTAAACACTTTATTGGCTTACAAAAGAAAGGCTTTATTCCTTTTGTCTAATACTCACATGTTATTATAGATTTTACTTTATTTTCTTTAAATATCCCTCTTCTATGCTAGCCTCTTCATCTCGGGTAATGCGCAACTGATGTTTCTGGTTTAGCAAGTACCATTAATGAGCGGATCATACATTATTTACATCCTTGTTTGACAATATGTTTGGCTCAGTTTGTAGTGACCCTATTTGCTTTGCCAGCGGTTGCGGGTTTGAATCCCGCTGGGGACATTCATTTGTGTGATGAGCATGAATGTTTGTTCTTCAGTCATGGGTGTTTATATTTATAATATGTATGTATTTAAAGTCATATATGTGTTGTGTATCAACTATCTGGTATTCATAACACAAGCCTTGTAGCTTATCATGGAACTAGATGGTGCTGTGTGTTAATTTCCCAACATATCCGCATGGGATATAAAAAAATATATTTATTCTATTTGTTACAACTTCAGACAAGGTTTCATATTCAAACAAGAAGTTATCAAAGAATCTCTTATCACTTTTGTATCATTACATATTATAAGTTAAAGTTGAGTTTGTTTGTTTGGGCTAATCTCAGAAATGACCGTATTTAATAAAAATAATAGAAACTCTTTATTATACAAACAAAAAGAAGACAAAACAATACAGTGGTAAGAGAATGCACAAGAGGCGGCCTTATCGCTAAAGCAGCGATTTCTTCCAAGCCACTTTTAGGTGTAGGAATTTGCCAACTGTGAATTGAATGTTTATATATATATATATATATATATATATATATATATATATATATATATATATATAATTTCTAAACATTTTTCAAAAATAATTTTTCCCTATGGTATTTGTTTTGGCGAAAGCCACTAAATAATAAATAACTATTGCATACAGCTATGTATCGAGAGTGAGCACGATGTTGCCGCTGCGGTTGCGGCGAGTGTGCGGACACGAGGGGCGGGCCAATGACATCCTCTTCATGCCTGCCGTCTGTCCGCCTCCAAATGGCGCTCATTCACTTGTGTTCTTTGGTGGCGATGTACAGGTTGGTTTTACACTATCGATAAAATTTTTGAAAGTGTACAATATAAAGAGAATATAGTATTCAATCCTTTTTGACGTCCAACTGATGAGCACAGGCCTCCATTCAATACGGACGATCAGATTCATACGGGAGATCAGGACTTACTCCACCACCGGCCAAGTGCAGATTGGCGGACTGCACACATCTTTCGAAAACTATTAAAAATAATATTATATATGATATTGTAAATCTAAGAATAATATTACAAATATAACATGAAGTAAATTTAGATGGAAGACGTAGAAGATATTGTTTTTTTAAGATAGTCTTAAAAGGGTAATAATTTATTTATTATAGATTTTTCGTTCTTGACTGTTCCCTCAGGACTATCCAGAAGTGATGCAAGCACACCGAGATAACAGAAACTACCTAAAATGGAACTTAGAGAACACGGCGCGCATCCTCTCCAATAACTTTCCCACTAAGCACATACTGGTTGTGAGACCCGCTAGGTAAGAATGCAGGAAGAAATAGAATGTACCTATTATGTTTTAAATTTCTTATTTTCAGTAGATTTTTTATATTTTTTTAATGATTTTACCAATCATTATACATCATTAAAGATTTCCTGGTAGCGATTGTTTTGAGTAATAAGCCTTTGCATGCTTTGAGTATTTTCTCAGTCAACACTAAAAATTATCACATTTTCTGTTTAATATTTTTATATCTCGGTCATTGTTCATACAGAGCCCATACATAATATTTAGAATTTCCTGGTGCTCATAATCATGATTAGTACTTAATTATTAAGTATACTAGTGACACACCCTCGCTCCGCTCGGGTTCGTCCCTAGTTACGCTTTAGCGGTTAGTATAGATTTCTCAGAGATGAGATATTTTCCCACAGTAAAAAGTATCTTACATGTTGACTCGGATAACCAGCTTTCATCATACCAAATTTCTTCAAAATCCCTCCACTTGTTTTCTCGTGATGCGTTCCCAGACAGACAGGCAAAAATTCTAGAAACTATAATCGGCCTCTGTATCGATAATAATGATTATTTCAATAAGATTTTCCGAAAAATATTTTATGTTCATATTCGATTTAGAATTTTTTTATATGTATAGATTAAAATAAAGATTGTTTTCTTCTCTTTCAGGATAGAATACAAAAGTTTTAGCTGCTATGACAACTTCGTGCCGAGCAACAACGCGGGCGTGCCCGACCACACGCCCACACACAGCGCTTTGCACCATTTGGAAAGGTAAATGCTTTAATTTACATCGGATTAGTAAATGAGAAAGTTTGTTTGTACATCTGTGTATGTTTGTAACTCCTTGACGCTAAAACTGCTGGACGGATTTGGATGAAATCTATACTAATATTATAAAGAGGCAATGTGTTTGTTTGTTTAAACGCGTTAATCTCAGGAACTACTAATCCGATTTGAAAAATTCTTTTTACATTAGATAGCCTGTTTATTGATGAAGAATATAAGCTATATATATATATATATATATATATATATATATATATATATATATATATATATATATATATATACTAATATTATTTGTACCAAATAGGCTCCGAAACTACTGATCCGATTTGGATGAAGTTTGGTAAGAAGATAGTTTGAAACCCTAGGATAAACATAGGATATTTTTTATTCCGAAAATCATCCCTTAAGCTTAAGGGGGTGAAAATGGGAATGAAAGTTTGTATGGGGTATCAACCTAGGGACGAACCCGAGAGAAGCGAGGTTTAGTCGCTAATAATATTGTAAATATAAAAGTGAAAAGGCACTTAAGGACGCACCCGAGCTAGGCGATAGTAAGTTGCCAGTACAATGTATCACTATATTGCACTTTAAAGACTGCCTTGGTGGTGTAACGGCTATTAATTATTATACACAGGCGCAAATTTGGAAGTCCTGGGATCTAGTCCCGAGTCGAGTCAAGTTTAGTTATTGAGTTTTTCTATTAAGAAATTCTCAGTAGTAGCCCGGAGTTGTGAGAGTCAGTATGAGTATCGAAGAGTGCACTGGTCTGCGTAAACACTTGTGCACTATAATATCTCCTACGCAGATTGGTGTAATCGCTGATATTGATCAACAGAACATCACTTTAAACAAAAATAATAGAAAAATGTAACAAAGAAAATTAAACTAAAACCTATTTCTTCTTCATTCGACATAATTTATATGAACTGTGGCAGGCTGCTCCAAGGTGTCACCAACAGATTAAAGTCACTCCCGACGACGGAGCTGTTGGAGGCCGTCTCGTCCGTGTCGCTCCCGGAAGAGATAGATATTGAAGAGCTACATGTAAGTATCTGATCGTATATTGTGTTTTTTTTATATATAAATTTTATTTGTTGATTAAACTAGCTTTTTTAAGGTCTCTTGAGGTTTTTAAAAGAAATGGCCTTTTAATTTTATATTTTTCTTGTTTGATTAAACTAAAAGCATTTTTGAGATTTTATTTTTTTATTAAGGAATGGTATTGAAATGTAATGCATTTAATAAAATATAGATATAAGTAATATCATTAAAATCGGTAATCGCATAATGTTATGTATATTTACAAAAATGTCAGTGCCACATCGAGATATCGTTTTCTTCTAAATGTTGGTTGAAAATTATCCGTACTATTGTTCTAACTCGGAAGTATTAAGATAGTAATATTATATTGCGAATGTTTACGAGTGTGCGTAGGAATAATCAATAAGTGAGCGTGTGTATGTGTGTGTGATTTTTTTTTAATTTAGAGTAAAGACAGTTCATTATAAGGGGTTTATACAAAAGTTTAAAGCTAAATTAGATACTACCTACCACGTGAGCGGAGCCACGGGCAAAAAGTTTATAATAAAAATGGAATGGAAGTTTTTTATTAATTGCCGAGAATTAATTAGGAAGTTTTTAATTTAAAGATACTTACATTCTTGTACTTGTTTAAGTAACTTCTGATAACAGAACGCGTCGGTGCACGCGGGCGCCAAGTCGAACGGCGGAGCGGGCTCCAGCGCCAAGCCGTGAGTAGGTTTAGTTCCAATCGATGTTGTGTTCTTGCCTTTATCACTTATCTGTATAGTGTACTAGCGGCTCACCCTCGCTTCGGTTCGGGTTCGTCCCTGGACAAAAACAAATCTATCCCATGGGAACAGTACGTTTTCCGGGATAAAAAGTAACCTATATGCTATTCCAGACTATAATCTATCTCTGTGTCAAATTTCATCCAGATCCATTCAGCCGTTCTAGCGTGAAAGAGTAACAAACATCCATACATACTCACAAAATTTCACATTTATAATATTAGTAGTATAGTGTATATGCTTTCATTTAGGGCCTATGCACAACATGTTTTAAATAATCTTTTGAGATTTTTTTGGTTCCCCACGTTTCGAATGCTTTACAGCCATCGTGGTCACGGGAGGGAGAGATTCCGCGGAAAAATCTGAAAAGATACTTTATTTAAAATGTCAAATATTCGCGTATATATAAGGAAGTAGCACATCATATTTTATAATCGCGAGGACTTGCGTGTTGTGAACGCACGTCTATATTCTACGCTGCTGGTAAACTTAAAAGGCTATGTGTACACGTATTAAACGTGTCCATTTCGAAAACTTGCTAGGTTGTCTCAGACCTGAAGAGTTCCTCACGATGTTTTCCTTCACCGTAAGAAAAGTGGTAATCATGTTGGAAATTATTAGCACATGAAAATATCGGAGGTGCGAGACCCGGGATTTGAACCCGCCTCACTTGGTTCCCCAAGCGAGCGCGTTACCACTGGGCTACCACTGCCTTATCTATGTATCCATAATTCAGTACATATTAATAATATTAATATTTAAGAAAAACATGGTGGTTCTCAATGCCCTACAAATAGTTATATATACTGTAACTAACTCGATAATATTCGAGAATCGATGGGAACTTCTGTATAGTTTTGGAAGCATTTCTTTATTCTTATTTCTCGATTTTATGTCATATTCATATCTACAAGAATTTGTTTAAGGTTTCGCAATGCATGCCTTTTAAGTCGCTTTACGTATAACCATTCGCCTTAGTTCTGTGTTAAGCCTACGTCGCTAAAACTGGCCAACAAAACTAGCAGATCAGTTAGCAAATTTATGTAGCTGAGTGTACTAAAGTTTGTTTTGTTTGTTTTGGTTGTTTTGTTTTGATTTTTTCTGCTGATTTGATTTGAATGGAAATACCAACTACCCCATTTCTAGATATATTTTTGTTTATATAAAATAATTACTTTTCTCTGTATTCGACTCCGACTTTCGTACTCAATATCTCGGGTCCGCGTCGACTTAGAAACTTGTAACTTTCTGGAGACCTCCAGCACTTGTCGAGGGACCTATGGAAATAATGAAAACCCCAGCGACGCCATTTTTTGATTGTTATTTTTCAACTTAAAAAAAAAAAAACATTTTTTCCACATTCGACTCCGAATCTTAGTACTTAATATCTCGGGCCCGCGTCGACTTAGGAATTCGAAACTTTCTGGAGACCTCAAGTACTTGTCGAGGGACCGATAGGAATAATGAAAACCCCAGCGACGGCATTTTTTGATTGTTATTTTTCAACTTTAATAAAATCATTTTTTCCACATTCGACTCCGAATCTTAGTACTTAATATCTCGGGCCCGCGTCGATTTAGGAACTTGAAACTTTCTGGAGACCTCCAGTACTTGTCGAAAGACCGATAGGAATAATCAAAACCCCAGCGACGGCATTTTTTGATTGTTATTTTTCAACTTTAAAAATTCATTTTCTCACTATTCGACACCGAATCTAGTACTCAATATCTCGGGCCCGCGTCGACTTAGGAACTTGAAACTTTATGGAGACCTCCAGTACTTGTTGAGGGATCGATAAGAATAATCAAAACCCCAGCGACGCCATTTTTGATTGTTATTTTTCAATTTTAAAAATTCATTTTCTCACAATTCGACACTGAATCTAGTACTCAATATCTCGGGCCCGCGTTGACTTAGGAACTTGAAACTTTCTGGAGACCTCCAGTACTTGTCGAGGGACCTATGAAAATAATGAAAACCCCAGCGACGCCATTTTTTGATTGTTATTTTTCAACTTTAAAAAAATCATTTTCTCCACATTCAACTTCGAATCTTAGTACTTAATATCTCGGGCCCGCGTCGACTTAGAAACTTGAATCTTTCTGGAGACCTCCAGTACTTGACGAGGGTCCCATAGGAATAATCAAAACCCCAGCGACGCCACTTTTTATTGTTATTTTTCAACTTAAAAAAATCATATTCTCCGTATTCGCCTCCTAATCTAGTATGTACTCAATATCTGGGGCCCGCGTCAACTTCCTTAGTTGACGCGGGCCCCAGGTATTGATTTTGTAGATATTGATTGGCCCCTTAAAACATTGTAAATGATAGTTATAAAATTAATTAATTACCATATGTGAATTATTATTGTGGCTATATATATACTAGCAGTATCCGCGGCTTCGCTCTCGCTAAAACTACAAAAAAATCTCTAAAAAGTTAGTTTCATACACACTTTCATCCTCTATTTTAGCCCTTTATAGAATGAATTTCGAAAAATGCTAAAACACATATTCATTTAACTTTATTGAAAAAAATAAATACCAAGTTTCAAGTAATTCTGATCATAAATATTCTTTTATTGTATTATAACGTATTTTTTTCGTGAGAATTAGATAATTTCCCGCGATAAAAATAGCCTATGTCACTCTCCAGCCCTCCGACTATCTCCACACAAAACATCACGCCAATCCGTCACTCCGTTTCGACATGAAAGAAGGACAAACAAACAAACACACTTTCACATTTATTATATTAGTATGGATATATTTAATTTAATTTCTTTAACGTAATGATTAATCAAGAATACTAGTTATGTTTTTGATATATGTATGAAAGTATGTTTTTTAAATTTTCATAATTGTGATACACAGGAATATTCAAGTTGTATTTGATTTCAAACGGTTATGTATAATTGGTTCACAGTTTAATTATTTAATTTAAATAATTTCTTGTAAAATATGTACTAACCACTAACAAACATTATTAAAATAAATAAACAATGGAAAAGTGGCGTCACTGGCATTTTGATTGTTGCTATCGGTCCCTTGACAAGTGCTGGAGGTCTCCAGAAAGTTTCAAGTTCCTAAGTCGACGCGAGCCCGAGATATTGAGGACTAGATTGGGGGTCGAATGTGGAGAAAATGATTTTTTTAAAGTTGAAAAATAACGATCAAAAAATGGTGTCGCTGGAGTTTTGATTATTTCCATATGTCCCTCGACAAGTATTGAAGGTCTCCAGAAACTTTCAAGTTCCTAAGTCGACGCGGGCCCGAGATATTAAGTACTAAGATTCGGAGTCGAATGTGGAAAAAATGATTTTATTAAAGTTGAAAAATAACAATCAAAAAATGCCGTCGCTGGGGTTTTCATTATTCCTATCGGTCCATCGACAAGTACTGGAGGTCTCCAGAAAGTTTCAAGTTCCTAAGTCGACGCGGGCCCGAGATACTGAGTACGAAAGTCGGAGTCGAATACGGAGAAAAGTAATTATTTTATCAAAAAAAAAAAATATCTGGAAATGGGGTAGTTGGTATTTCCATTCAAATCAAATCAGCAGAAAAAATCAAAACAAAACAACCAAAACAAACAAAACAAACTTTAGTACACTCAGCTACATAAATTTGCTAACTGATCTGCTAGTTTTGTTGGCCAGTTTCAGCGACGTGTAAGACGTGTAAGCCTCGGAGTTATATTTTCTGTGATAAAAAAGGACGGAATCATGTATAAAATAAGATAACGGATTTGATCCTTGCACGGTGTTCACTGTTTAGCTATTATAGATCAGTATTTTAAGTGAAATTCGAGACAGAAAAACAGAATATCTTATTAAAATTTATTTTTAAAATAAACATTTATGTGCATTGTAGTTGTATATGTAGTCTATGTTAATAAGATAAAAACTCGTAAAAGGTAAAATTTAAAATATATTTTTTTATTAATATAAACTTTTCAATTTTCTAGGGATTTAGATCTACTATGGTGGCGGGATAAGCTCGCGTTGGACGAAACCACCCTCACTTTGATAGGATTTAGCAAGGGTTGTGTGGTCTTGAACCAGTTGATATACGAGTTCCACTACACTAAGACGCTAACCCCGGGAGATGATCATATGATGAGGTACGGCTGTAATATATACAGAGTTAGTGGTAATAATAATAAGTCTTTGTGAGTACTGTGATGGTGTCCAACCGATTTAGGCCACGGCGGCCAATCTTACAGACTAGCCGACTTCAGGAGCACTTCCTATTTTCAAATTACAGAGCCTATTGCCGCACTTTGGCGCTCAATGCCGAAGTGTGCTAATGCATAAGTGGAACGTGAATTAGTATTCAAGTGCACCAGCAGAGGAGATAAAAATATAATTAACTAATAAGTGTATACATATTAATACATATATTACTAACGATAATGTAATTTTTCTTTTTATCAATGCCACCTTGAAAAGACACTATTGAGAAAAAACACTATATTTTCTGCGACTGAGTTGGTATCCTTGCACGCCAAAGCAGTACTTTTCAAAATGCTCGATTGTGCGGAGCGTTGCTGTAGTTGAAACTCTAATTGGAAAACAGGGATTATAGTGCAGCGCGTGTGTCGGTGTAGTGTGTAGTGTGTACGCGCAGACACAAAGGCACTCTCTATTCCTGTCACTCTCAAAATCTATTTTAATGATGATGATAATGATGACTCAAAAATAAAATCGTTCGGCGCGTGAAATTTCCACCAACAGTTAACCGCCCAAATTATAAGTGCTATTTACATATTTACTCAGGTTACGATAAGCCCCATGATTTTATTTTTGAGTCTGATCGATGCCCTGATTGATGAAAGTGGTGTGATGACTATTACCTAGGACCTACCTAATTCGATTTATGGCTTTTAGTACATTATCTACATCATTATTATCTTTCTTTTCAATAAAACCGTTTAACTTAAAAAAATACCTATTTTATTAAAATAAAGGAAAAATAATAATCTATTGTAAAGCACAAAAAGTATTTGTCGCTTAAACAAATAAACATATAGGCGTATATATTTATTGTAATTTATAACTTTTCAATCGGTTGAAATACTTTAAATGGAATTTGTTATTCAACAGGTTTATAGGTCGTATAGAAAGCATGTACTGGCTGGACGGCGGGCACGCGGGCGGCAAGAACACGTGGATCACTTCGCGATCTCTATTAGAAACACTTACTAGGCTCGGTGAGATGTTATTTATTTATTGAAGTAAAACTTCTTTACGCACACTTGACTTGGGGGGTGATCTGGTCAATGCGTTACGGCAACAATGTACGTACGTTTGTTGCCATGGTAACCGTTGTTATTATCTGACAAATGATATATAATATTATATTCTTTCCTTAAACGATATTCTATAAATGTATGATTGTAATATGCATAATATGCGTTATATTTAGTATCTCACCTATCCTAATTATTTAAAACATAAATTGAATTTCATAAAGAGTACCGATAACCTATAGAAGTTTTACTTCTTGCGCGTGTACACATTCATACACACAGTCTTTAATTTATTATATATATAGGTATATATATATATATATATATATATATATACAATCACTTACAATAATACACACAAATATAAAAAGTAGAACTAAGAACTAGGAACTAATTGTAGCGATTACTTACAAATAAACACAGCATGCACAGAAATAGAGATTTTAAAATATTAATATATTTATGAAATAGAATTATTTATCTGTAGTCCCTCATTCTTCTTTTTTGGAAGTCAACAAGTGAGAGTGAGGGAGGTCCTGTGTGTTTTCGACGTACCTACTTTATATCTTTGTTGTAAAACGGTTTTCTTGGTCACATATGAATTTAAAGAAAAAATTCTAATGATTGGGACGGAATCCTAAAGGGTTAAAACGGAATAATTATTTTTATTAAACGATTTTTGAGTCAGCGACTCAAAACGTATATTTAGTGAAAATGTAGGTATGTCTGTTATTTTATAATAGAATGAGTTTAGAAACCTTTTTTGTAAGCATTGTGATTAAAGCTGAAGGAAAGCAAAGCAAAAGCCTAGTTTATAAGTATTAAATACATACATAAGTACTACTGCCCTCTGTGTGTGCAATAGGGTATTTATTTATATATTACTGGTGACTCACCCTCGATTCGCTCGAGTTCGTCCTTAGGTTGCTTCCCCATACAAACTTTCACGCCCTTAAGAGATAATTTCCGGGATAAAAACTATCCTATGTCCTACTCAGGGTCTCAAACTATCTTCTTACCAAATTTCGTCTAAATCGGTTCAGTAGTTTCGGAGCCTATTCGATACAAACAAACAAACAAAAAACAAAATTTTCCTCTTTATAATATTAGAATAGTTTAACCATTTATCTGTTAAATCTAGATGTGAACGTGTACATCCACGTGAGTCCCTACCAAGTGCAGGACGAAGGCCGTCCGTGGATCGGCCGCGAGGAGAAAGCATTTACTAGTTTATTGAAGAAACTAGGCGCAAAGGTATTTGTTTGTTTCGTTTTGATTATATCTTGTAGTAGACAGTGTTTGTTAATAAATGTCTGTCTGTTTTGAATTTAATATCAAATACTCAGTTCTGCAATCCCTTGTGGCTGTGTCAAACTTCTAAGTTAACGCGATCAAAAGATACGGCAGTTCACGCCGCATAGAGTGAGAATCAAAATCAAATTTGTAGTTTATATCCGAAAAAACATTAATCATAACTAGAGTAATGAATGGCCGTATTCCTAATATGCTGTTTTTTTCTATTATCTATTTTATTGTATTTTTTTTGTAATTTATTTCTTTTCTTTAATATATGTAAACTTAATCTATCCATCTGTATTGCATAAATAATAAAAATCCGAAATTGGATTATACATATAACAATTTTATTTTCTTATGTACTTTTTATTTCTATATTATGTAGCTATGGATTAGTTTAAATCTATATTAATATTATAAAGAGGCAGAGTTTGTTTGAACGCGCTAATCTCAGAAACTACTAATCCCATTTGCAAAATTCTTTTTACATTAGACAGTCTGTTTATTGAGGAAGGCTATCGGCTATATATCATTCTGCTACTAACATAACACTATATTAGTATAGAGTATAGACAAATGTTGTTGTTTATATGTGAACTAGCGACTCACCCTCGCTTCGCTCGGGTTCGTCCCTGGGTACTGTTGGGCGGTTAGTATGAAATACAATTTTTTAGATTTCTCGGCTTTTCTGTACTATAATGTGCATGTATTATACATAATATATAAACCTTCCTCTTGAATCATTAACCAATAAAAAACCGCATCAAAATCCGTTGCGTAGTTTTAAAGATCTAAGCATACCTACATGGGGACAGACAGACAGCGGACAGATGTTGTCGTTTATATTATATGAATGTGTAATATGAACAATGTGCAGGTGCGCCGCCACCTGCACGCGCAGGCGGGGCTGCCGCAGTCGCTCTACATGCACTTCGAGGTGCTCGCCAACTTCAAGCGCGCGCAGGACGCGGCGCCCGCCGAGCCCGCGGACACCTCCGATGACGACGTTTAGTTTATTTGTAATACATGACATAAACCAAACAATTATAGCTTAATTCTCAAGTCGGTTAACTACAGTTTAGTAAAAAAAATAGTTAAAATTATGGATTCGGGTAAGCCCGAAAATATCATTTTTAATAGTGATATATTATAACATTCTTTTCGAACTTGTTATATTATTAAACAATTGGCCTTTTAGTGCCACTTGAAAAGTTCACTGAAACAAAATTAGCTGACTCGCTTAATTCACTATCGTATCGACATATACATCTATCTATATATGTATATTTTTTGAAATTATTTATTAGGCAAGCCAACGCGACATACAATGTGACATATAAATAAAAGATACAATGTAAAAAAACGATTTCATATATTGATATACACACTTACGGGCTAGCACAATTGATTCTTGTTCCATTCTATACCTACTGAAAAATAAAAATAAATAATATCTTTCTATATTCTTGGTACATGTTTTTTTAATATGTTGGGCCATTAACACACAGCACCATCTAGTTCCACGGTATGCTAAATCTAATTTAGAAATAAATATAAACACCCATGACTTGAATACAAACATTCGTGCTCATCATACATAATATGTATGTATTTAAAGTTATGTATGTGTTATGTGTAGGTTATAAACTATCTGGTATCCATAACATAAGCCTCGTAGCTTACCTGGAACTACATGGTGCTGTGTGTTAATGTCCCAACATATTTATTTTATTTGTATAGATTCTATATCTTGTGACGTCACTTATTTGTAAACTAAATTTACTAATTTTATTATTTATATTGTTTAATATTAATTTCGCCGTAACCAAAAACCTGATTTTACAGTTAATTGAAAATTAATCGGGTTTTCAGTTGTAAAATATTGAGAAGTTATGAAGTTATGAAGTCAACTACCCAATCATATAATACACCTTCTAATGAAAGTATCAAGTCATAAACCGTACTGACCAAAATCGCGTTGGCAGGTTTCCCACTCACAAGGCTAGGTTTATTCAGAGTTTGTGGAATAAAGGTGTCAGCCCATTACACCGTCTCATACCATGATCGTGCTATGAACGTATCAGGCACGGAAACGAGCATGGCACGGACTACTATGCCCACTAGAACGTATCAACAGCGTATCATATCCATACATAACGGTTTTAGTGCTGCGTATACTCACTATTGTGCCAGACACGGAGCGTTCCGGCACCGTCGTTACCGCTCCAAGCTGGTCGGTGACGGAACGATCCAGAGGACAGTCTCATAGTCTCATACTTTTTAATACAAATTATATTTTTTGCCTGACACGGTCCTAGCACGGTCATAGTATGAGACGATCTAGTGGGCAGACTGCAGTATAAGCATATACCTATATAACTTAATAGATCAGACAGTGTGTGAAAGTCAATTTACATACTTATGTCTTATATTTAAAAGTTCATTTTACTATGCACATTGCAAACGAAGTACACATTTCACACATATCAAATTATCGATGGTGTTATTAAATGAGATTATTTAAATATTTTAAACCTCCATCATTTTTACTAGAGTTTATATATGCACTTAGTACGAATTTTTCATGTCCATTACATTGCATGTAACGATAACTAATATTTAAACCGTATATTCTAGCAGTTACTTTAATGGTAATATACAGAAAATGATATATTAAAAATTTTAAAAACCCCGACCATCTAATACCGATTTTCATCAAACATATCTAAGCACACTCCCGACTACTTCACCATTCAAACAAAAAAAAAACAAAATCAAAATCGGCTCATCCGTTCGGGAGCTACGATGCCACCGACTGACACACACAATACACAGACACGTCAAACTTACGAGTATAACACCACGTCGTTTTTGGGTCGGGGGTTCAAAAAGTCTAAAAAATGAAAGAAAGTAAACAATAAAAACCAAAACAGTTTTGGGGGGTATTTTAAAAATTCATACCATTGGTCATCTTTTTGCGTTTATATGTAACTGATCTTCTGCTTGGCATTTATTAATCCCGGCTTTTGCCATGGTCTCTCTTTCTACTTAGTCTACTCCGCTCCTTAGCATCATCTGTGTAAGACCATTGGCATTCATGTCCTGCTTCACGACAGCCATCGCTTTCTCGTTTCATAGTTTATATGTACCTGATATTGATTATGTAGTTTTTTGCGCTATGTGTAAATAATAATACTTGGATGTAGAGCGGAAAGTATGAAAAGAAAGTTTTGTTATATTATTTGTAAAGATAATTGAAATAATAGAAAAAAAATATAGAATGTTAGGTAGAAACTATATCTAATATATAATTTGGTCACTTCATTCCCTTGACTGATTTGAAAAAGAGGGGCTCAATTTGGTTGTATTTTTTTTTTGTGAATGTTATGCGATATCTTCGCAAATTGTGAATATTATTATATATATTTAAAAAAAGTGCGTGTGTGTGCAATTCACACTTGGTAGAAGTGAAACTTAATATTATATATTTGTCAGACAATAACACCGGTTACCATGGCAACATGGCAATGCATTCTATCTCATTCTCTCGCCGGCTTAATCCTATATATTTATGTATTTGTCTCTTTCTCGTGCCGCATTTCCGTTTCATCGAGTTTCAAATCACAACGATTCTAAAGAAGTTTCACTTCAAAAATAATGAATAGATTATATCTCTATAATGATGTCATATGAATTTCATAATAGAACATTTAACTTTTTTGTAGTAGTTTTTACTTTGATTTGCGAGTAAATATTAAATTTTTCGCCTCAATTGATGGTAACGTTATTTTTAGCAATTTTGGACAATAAAGTCCAATATATATGTACAAATGATTTAAAAATATATTTCAAGAGAAAGCCATTAAGACATCGAAATATGTTTGAATAGGTATAGCTCGCATTTTATTTCTATGAAGAAGGAAAAAATCTTGCTATTAATTAAATACATTTTGGTGAAAAACAAATTTTCACATTCATGAATTACATACAATAATTATTTGCATATTCAGCCATTTTAACGCCCCACTGCTAGGCGTGGGTCTCTTCTCAATACGAGGGGAATTAGACCATAGTCCACCACGCTGGCCAAGTGCGGGCGGACTGAGCATGTCTTTAGAAAACTTCCTAGGTTCTCTCAGACATGCAGGTTTCCTCACGATGTTTTCCTTCTCCGCAAGACAAGTGGTAGTCTTGTTGGAAATGATTCGCACTTGAAACTATCAATGGTGCGAGACCCGGGATTTGAACCCGCTTCACTCGCAAGCCCAAGCAAGCGCTTTACAACTGGGCTACTACTATCCTGAACTTTATTTGTTACTTCAAAATGAATACAGCACTTTAACTATTACTATATATAAAATTGTAGAAATATTTAAAAGGAAGTATATTATTTTTAACCACTTGCACGTGTTAAAAGAGAATGTATTGTAATATATTATTCAATAATTATTGCAGATGCTTTCAGACTGGAAATATATATGGTTGTATTTGTGTGATTTAAAAAAAAATATATTGCATTAGAATTAACATATTATAATATATTTTTATTAATAAACATAATCATATAATATATTTATGAAAAACTTTTAAAATAACCGGGACATGTTATTATGTACTAACAGATGACAGATGACTGAGCCGTTTTCTGATCATTGTATTAAAAATAACGTGTGTGTGTGTGTGTACTTATGTACGCACGTAAGAAGTTATACTTCTGTGGCGTTACAGAACAAAAATAGCTAAAGATTTCATCCCGTATGTCACAACTCTCTGTTTGTAAAAGGAATGCAACTAACTTCATCATGTCGCTTTTTGGCTGTCGGCGTGCGCGCGCATCGTAAAATTTTTACTATCACAATTTTTTTCCGAACGTGCCAAAAGAAGTATAACTTCAATAATTACTTAATTATTTTTATTAAAAACAACTCGAAATATTACTGTTATTATATTACCTGTAAATTGTATTTTACTAAAGTTTCAATTACATTTATCGTTATTTTAAGATGTAAAATGACTCTTCTTAGTAAGTACATACAAGTTAATATGTAAAAATTATTTAATATACTATGTATAATATATATCTATCCATATAATAAAATTGTAACTAAGCCGAATCTGTACATTAGATATTTTTTGGAAAATCTTATTGAAATGATTATCATCGATACAGAGGACAAATCTATAGTTTTTAGAATTTTTGTCTGTCTGTTACCGCATCACAAAAAAACCACAGGAGGGATTTTGATGAAATTTGGTGTGATGATAGCTGGTTATCCGGGTCAACATATAGGATACTTTTTACCGCGGAAAAATATCTCATTTTTGAGAAAAAATCAAAAACTGCTATGTGAGAATATACTTATATGTAAAATCTAAGAATTTCGTTTTTGATCGTCTGAACGCGGGCGGAGCCGCGGGCAATGCTAGTAATATAATATAGTGACACAAAAAAAAACTTAAGTACATGTTTAATACATTAATATGATTAGTACATATTGCAGTTGAAATTTATGCTGTAATGAATATTTATTAAAAAGAACAATATATAAATTTTGAAATTTCCATATTAATTATTAAGTTACGTGATATTTTATTAATGAGGAGGGGGTCTTTCAGAGATTTTATTTCATGGCGATTGGCGACTCCAAAAGCATGTAACAAATAGAAAACAAAAATATAGGACAAAAAATATTTGTTTATTGTTTTTAGACATGTATTGAATAGTGATAAATGATAGTACTGATTAATTTACTTACTAAAATTACCTCAATAAACATTTGATAGATTAGCTTAAAAATACATAATACTTCAAAAAATTAATTTTATAAAACAAAAAAATCTGGTTTTGATCTTCTGTAATGTAAACTGAAATGTTTAATTATTATAAGACATTCATGAGTTCCACTCTCCACCTTCATTTTTACCCGACTGCGGCGATGCCCAAAGGAGGGTTATATCGGATAAGTTCATGGGTATCTTGTCGTTTATAGTTATTTCATTTGTTGAATTTGTCTCCGTCTCAAATAGCAGAATAACTATTAAAGCATCAAAATATCAAATTCACGAAAAAAAAATTATTTGGCTAACGTTGGCTAATAACTATTTATATCTATTTAAAACGTATAACTCGCGTCATCTAAAAAGAACGCTGGCTGTCAAGCTGCGCAGAAGCGATTTATCGGTCAAATTGGTGGTAAGAAGTGGGGCGCGGGCGGCGGAGCACGCGCCGCATGCTTGCCGGCGCGCTATTGGTTCGTCAGTTCGAAATACCATCGCGCACACAAAAGTTTTTAATTACTACGAAATGGTTTTATATATCGAAAAGAGAAAAATTGTTTTTGACGTAGGTATATTGTTTTACAAAGAGAGAGTCTAATAATAATGCAGTTCATAATAAAAAAAATGTATTAAACGTATTAATTTAATTTTTTGTAAGTAGATAAACATTCTGCACTGAATCAAACATATTTTAATAATGAATAAAATTCTATTTAATGATATTCTATCTAATATATTTTTCAATGTCCCTACCAATAATTAATATATGAAGCTGCGAGCGAAATGCTATGAAAAATAAAATAATAGATTTAGTACTTTTGTGCGCGAGTATACCTATGCGCAAACATACCCTCTCCACTTTCTTCCAGCGTTCTTTTTAGATGACGCGAGTTATACCTACCTACGGAGCAGGGACGTACCCAAGCGAAGCGAGTCTAAGTCGCTTGTAGGTAATATAAATATCTCCTAACAAAAATAAGTATTATAAGCTGCGTTTCACAAAAGACCTCCCCACTGTACTAGGCTTACTTGATGTATATAGCTTAGAAATCTTATATATGTTCTCTGTATAAAATATTAATGTAGTATCGATTATTTTATGTAAATAGAAACAAATGTTTATGGAATATTTCGAAAATAAATATTATTTTCAATGTAATTTAGTTTTTTTTTTAGAAGAGTCGTCATTTTATATTCGAGTATGTAGGTATGTATATTCTATCAACAATCATTTTATTTATCACTATAAAAATGAGTTCCTACCGTGTGTTGTGTTTATTATAATCTATCCAAAAGTACAAAACAGATTTTAGGCCAATGTTATTATTACGAGACTGCGGCGAAGCAGGAAGGTTGTGTGACCTGTATGTTCGTATGGCCGTTATAGTATGTATGTATGTTCGATCGGGATCCTATGTAAACTCTGAATCACTTAACCGAACTTGATGATTCCTACGTCGTTAGATTCGTCTTGACTCTTGATAACGCGAGTGTTATGAAGGATTTCAGGCGCCAATTTGTGCGTCTTTAAAATATTTTTTTCTTCATATCCTGTGGAGTGGGGTGTCAAATTATGAGGCGATCACAAAAATTTATGCAATTAATATTTTTAAGAGTAACTTGGCATAAGAAATTGCTAAATAAGACTCCCAAATTCTTAACTGACCCAAAACTAAAAAGCCGTAAATAATAATTTATATTAATAAAAAAACCCGACTGTGAAACTGCACTGAGTAAAAAAAACTAACTTAAAGGAGGCTTTGAACAAGTTGACGAAGGAACATAATATTATGCAGTCGAATATTATTTATTTTTTTTTACTTTTTTCATTTATTACGTGTAACACAAAAGAAATATTTAGAAAAGAAATTGAGAAAATTAAAATGACAATATAATATCGAGTATCCTCAAATATAGAAGTTTTGTTTACTAATTCGTGAGTTGTGTCTGAATAAAGTTATCCAGGTCAATATACCTATAGGATACTTTTAATTACGAGAAAATATCACTGAAAAATCTATATTAAACGTTAAAACGTAAGTAGGGACGAACCCGAGCGGAGCAAGGGTGAGTCGCTAGTGTGTAATAAAAAAAGGTTTCTATGTAATAGTTTATTTTCCATTCCACAAAGAAAATTATATCTAGATTGTACTTATATACAAACACGAAAACACTTGATAATAGATGTGTATGTAATACAGACATTTTAAACTACCACAGTCAATATAATTTAAAACATGGAAATGAAAAAAAAAGAATTTATAAAATAAAAAACAGTACATACAAGAACAAAAAAAACATCAGTAAAAAGCCTATTTAATAAAAAATTTAAACTTTACAAACTATCTACGGTTGTATTTTTAAAATACCCATTAACCTACATTTAAGAGCAACATGGCCAATTAGACTTACGCTTCGCATTAGAAATCGTCCAGCAATAGGTCTTATATAAGAGATTATCAGTGCAAAAATAAAAAAATGTATGCCATAATAGACGTATATTTGTATTGTATATAACCAATATATTACCCAAAAAATTTTGTATATATTTCCAATATTATTAGGTGAAGGAATGATAATAATTTGTTACTTCTTTTTTTTTAAATGACAAGCGATTTAATTGTCAGTTCTGTATGTAAAGTTTGACTATCACTTTAACGCTGACAACCTGAAGCAAACGTCTGATAGAAGATCTCCACAGATGCCCCAAGAACAAGTGTATATGAGACAGAATTCATAATATGAATATACAATAGCTACAAACAAAAAATTTACAAAGTCCATACATATCATTATCCAACTTTATAAAGTTACGAATATGACCTACTTTATTTCCAGTGTTAGATCCAGCTTTCGAACCACAATGTACGCTAAGCTTTAACCAAATAACAAACATTGAAAAATTCATGACGAACGACTATAATAATATATTTATGTGTATATTTTATTTTTGTGTTAAGTACTTAAAGTATTTTGAGAATCTTAAGAAAATCCATGAAAATGTTTTAATTATTTAGGGTCATGACATGACACAGAAAGGAAAAAAATCATCACTGCAAAGCAAGCACCAAAATATTAAAGTGTTTGGACAGTTGTTGGCACCAATATTAATTTATCATTTTGTTTTTCTCAGATTCACAATCTGACCAACAAATTGATTTAATAAAGCAAATTTCAAACAAATACCATTAAATGGAGGAAAATACAATATGAATAGTTATACTAGACATTGACATTTACTAGTGGACTCTTTACATTTAAAAATTCAAAGAAAATGACAACCTTAATTTGTTTAATTACATCATATTATATTATGTTAAGAATTAAGTCATACTTGCTTATGATAAAATTGTAAATGATGAAATTTTCAGCTATTTACATAAGAACAACACTCAATTCTAAATTGCCTCTTAATATTTATATAATAAAACTATCTTATACAATTTTTGCGCTGTTTTATTTTGATTTTTCGTTCCCGACGTTGCACATAATTCGCTGTCTGTAACAACTATATAAGGACTTTTGAAATACATAAAACCTTAGTATCTCCCGTGACTATGATTGCTGCAAAGCATTCCAAACGTCGGAAACCATAAATCAAAATAATTCCGCGAAATAATCCGAAAAGATAGTTTTACTTAAAATGCCTCATACTATTTGGTAAATTAATGTAGATGGAAATGTTTGACTAAAGTACAAAAACACCACCGCGCAGGAAAGGGTTTAAATATAAAACAAATTCATAAATGCCCATTCTTATCCTCAAAGCTAATTAAGAACTTAATGTTTAATTAAAAAATTTAAATGTAACACACATATAACTAAAAGGCTTTCATAGTCCATAATCTACAAAAGTTTCATTAATTTCTATACTATCTTTGATGCTAATACCACAGTCTATCCATACAGTCCTCTAACGAAAGGCGTCTAAACAGGGCAATAGTACGGGAGAAACAAAGACATAGCGAATGGACTAGCAACACCCAATTTCAATTCATAAATGGAATGTAAAAACATTGTAACACTGTGTAATAGAAAAAAAATGGTTATAAATATCTATCTTCATTAATTGCATTTCAATGAATACAGAAGACTTCGGACAGCACATTCATTTTGTCTCTGTCGCGCCTTTCCGCCATTTTTACCTGACGGCTGACAAAGGTGCACTCAGTTCGCTTTCTATGTCTGTGGGGAGGACGTGGGTGAGACGCACCCGACTGTCCTAGGTGTGACTGGCTTTAGGGTTGACGGGTATAATTGTAACTTGCCACGAGATGGAGCTATGCTATGAAAAATGATATAATTGACAACCCTTGCACACATTTTCTTTGAAACCAAGTGGCTGTATATAGTATACTGTATGGATTCCTACACTGTGCAATTACATGTTCTCGAATCTTCCATCCTTGTCGAGCATGAGTATATTAGGGTTTTCCTTCTCAAACTCGGTGGGTTTCCGGTCGCGCTGCTCGTCCGTCCACTCGCCCTCGCCCTTGCCCCACTCGCCGACCTTCTCGCCGATGACGTCCACTTCCTCGCTGGCCAGCTTCTTTTCTACCTATAAAGTATTAAGATAGAAATATTATGAAATTTTCATATCAAATCAAAATATAAATTATTCACATAGACTTTTACTAGCACTTTTGAGTCGTCGCTGAGAAGAGCTAGAGAAAAACTCAACAGTTGCTATTTTAAAATAATTATTGTTTAAAAAGTTTTTTCAACTTCTAGAACTTTCTAATATATAATGTGGATGTGTGTACATATTCATAAATACCACATATTAATACAAAACAGGAACTTTTCCGAATTTCGCCTTTATTTCAAAGACACAAGAACTATTGTTTCCATCCCTTTTCATTTCGAATTAAAAAAAATTGTTCTTTAGCGTTAAAACGTGACCTTTGAAAGTGTCCTTTACCCGCTAAGTGATACCTGCTCAGTTTTGTTTGTACTACCAAAACGTGCAGATAAGCTAGGTAAATATATCAGTAGGAACAAACTGATAATATAGTTATATAATATACTAGCAACTTACCTTCGCTTCGGTCGGGTGCCTTAGTAAGTTTTTAATAGGTAAAAATAATTATTGTGAGTGTACCCTTATTAAATACACTCTATCGTGGACTTTTTCGTGAAATGGTAAATAAAAGGTAATTTTAAAGGGTTTTCGAATTTTGCGCTGAAACTAAATATTCCGGAATAAATCATACCCTATATGAAGCCCTTTTTTTTTAACGTTGGGAAATGCATTTACGCACGAGGTGTGGGACTCACCGGCGTAATAAAGCCAGTACTACCCACTAAAACCCAACAAAACTTTCCCGCGTCTTAATGGGGCGTCACAGGATCGCTTACGCATTCAACTTCGACGCCCCGACGGCAGGTCTGCCGAAGCAGACCACAACAACCACGGGGTTGCTCCAAGGTCCACTCTGCTATCAGAGAAGTACCAGGAGCAACCCGCACGGTACACCGCCCTCCGAAGAGGGTCACCTCCCATCGCCCACAGAAGTGGGCTACCTCCCTGTGCGTTTCTTGGCTTTGCGCCCGCTGGATTGCCGGGCACTACTGAGCCCCCCCCCCTCCACGACAAGGTGAACTCACGTTGGGGGGGACCCTATATGAAGCCCTACAAACTCATCTATCTTTCAGTCAATGACCAATTACATACGGTTACGCCGTTCTAAAGAATACCATGGACAAAAAGAAAGACAGAGAGACAACAAAAAATTTAAAAAAGCTTGTTTTGCTACTGGTATCATATAAATAATACAAATTACTTGAGAGAACATCATTATTTTAAAATTATATGCATATGTACTCTACATGGGAATAATAAGAAAAAAAAACAAGTTTAAAATTTTTGTTTGAGTGTCTGTTTGTTTGTTCCGGCTAATCTCCATAACAGGTGGACCGATTTTGACCGAACTTTAACTGCTTTTATTTTAGAAAAACAATTAGAGTTCCGCGCAAATGTATTAAAATTAAAACCCATGAAATTGTGAACATGTTCCATATATCTAGGTGGAGGTGGACGCACCCGAGCAAAGCGGGGGTAAATCGTTATTTAAGATATATGAAACAAACCTGAGCGTCGTGCTTGGCGAACTTGTCGAACATGTTCGCGTACAACTGCTTCTCGCGCTGTTTCTGCTTCTGCAGCGTGCTGCGGCACACGGCGATCTGGTTCGCGGCGGCCTGACGAGGCAAAAGACTTTTAGTGATAAAATATATGCAATGCAACAAGTACATAGTAATCCAGTCTTTGCTTTAAAACTATCTGTAAATATTTGTTCTAAACAATGGAGGAGTTTCATGTTTTTTTTATCATTAAACTTCTTCAAACATGAATATTTAAGCTAAACCTAAAAAAAGTATACTTTGACAATCATTGCACATGGTTTTTTTTAAGTTATCTTAGTTCTAACTGTAAATATCGTATCTTAAAAAAAATTACCTTTCTTTAGACAAAAATCTATATTGATATATTAATAATAATGATAATAAAATTTGTTTCACTCTCCGATTCACGAAACTTCTACATTATCAACATCAACATACCTTATTCTGTGGCTCCTTTTCAACAATCTTTTGGAAGTCGTTCAACGCTTGATCTGCTTCACCCAAACCGAGCAAGGCCTGGCCTCTCCTGAACAATCCTTTCACATTATCCTCATCGAATTTTAGTGCTTTAGTAGCGTGGTCTTTGGCTTCATAATGGTGTGGGGGCGTTACTTTGAGATACACCAGAGATAAGTTGAGATGGGCTGAGACAAGGAGCTCCTTCGCTTGGCTCTTGAGCTCGTCTTTCTCAGATTTGTCTTCTGGCATATCTATTTAAAAAAATGTATACTTAGTTATCAGCAAATATTATTATAAACAGGATTTTGTTTGTTTTTAATCAATAATCGCTGAAACTATTGATTTTAATAAATCAATAAATCTTCCACTTAATAGTGATAGCTTCATATTTATATTTGTAATTTTTTCTAGCAAGTTGGCCAAAAATACAGCCTTTTATGCCATTACCTAAGTTTATATAAAAGTGAAAATACTTGCATATATTTTTTGACTACACAATGTGTAACTGAATATTTGACCTAAATATTTATTCTAATAAAAAATAAATTATTTCCTCAGCACAAGTACTAAATAGGAATAAAATTGTCCCTTAACTGTATGTATTTTAGTTATATAGTTAAAAGATTATGGAAAATACATCACGACTTGCGCACAAACATGTCTAGTCGATATTTTATATTAGTAGCAAAACAAACTTTATTCGTCCATTCAGCTGAAAGAGGAGATTGGTTCATTAATCAATTATTTAATATTATATATGAAACCCAACTATTCCACTACTGTTTTTTTTAAGGCTAAGCTAAAGGTAAGTTAAGCTTGACTTTATAATAATAAATTTAAAATAGACATTTTATATATAGCTATATTGATGCTATATGACATGCCTATATATATAAGGCAGTGGTAGCCCAGTGGTAACGCGCTCGCTTGGGAAACCGAGTGAAGCAGGTTTAGATCCCGGGTTTTGCAGCTTTGGTATATTCATGTGCAATCGTTCCCAACATGATTACCACTTGTATTAACGGTGAAGGTAAACATTGTGAGGAAACCTGCAAGTCTGAGAGAACCTATCCAGTTTTCAAGATAACATGGCCCCGATCCCCCTCATATTGAAGACAGACCCGTGCCCAGCGGTTAGACGTTAAAAAGGGCTGAATACAATACATATACCTATATATTTTTTTAATATTTATAATCCAACTGAACTCACCTTCCAAGAGAGACACAACTTTCCTATACTTCTTGATGGCTAATTGGAATTTGTTTGATTTGAAGTAATTAGTGCCTTTCTCTTTTATTATCTTCGCTTGCTCCAACTTTTCTGCCCCATCCATAGCCCAAGCTTCTTTCGCTTTTTCAAAGCTAGTTAACTTAACTGTGTACTCTACTACAGAGTTGGGAGGTACTCCCATTTCGTTATTGCCTTCAGATTTAAATGCATACTTAGGTTGAAGGGTCAGCCTGGACTTTTCACCTAGTGTGAACTTCTCCAGGGCTCGCTCAATCCCCTCACATATATTATTCTCTGTTCCCTCACCGAGTGTGAATGTTACTGTGCGAGTGTCAAATACTTTTCCATCTGGCAGTTTTCCCTCAAGCTCCACTGTAAAATGATACATTTATTTAATTTTTAATAATATGACACAGTAAAAGAGTGTTTGATTTGTATTGTCCAATATGTTTGGGAATCTCAATTAAATTAGAGAAATAATCCTCGAGTGTGATTTCTTTAAAATTACATGCTCATATTCTTTAAAGTTACAATTTAAAAGTCCCTATCTTATTCCTCAAGATTTTCAGGTTTTTACTTGAACTCTACAATATTTAATATTATGAAAGTGTGTTTGTTTGTCCTTCGTTCACGTCGCAACAAGTGACGGATTGGCGTGATTTTTCGTGTGGAGATAGATGGAGGGCTGGAGAGTGACATAGGGTACCTACCTACCGCGAAGATTATCTCATTCCCACAGGAAAACACGTTTCCTACAACAACTCATCATACCTATGTACAATAATATATAGTCTAACTGTTCCGTACAAACCATTAGGAACATACCATATAAATTTGTAACATTTAAATTTCCACACACAAAATATTTATGTAAATCATTTGACTTATGCAAATGTCTAATAGTAAGTAACCAAATCTATAAAATGAGCAGAGTACTTTTGTCTTTCTGGAATTAAAGCCGGAATAGACTTTTATTTAAATAATTAATACGAACTATATACATATATCAACCAACAAGAATGTGTTATTGAAACCATACAATACAAAGTATTACATCATGTGCCTCAGGACTTTGCAATCATTTTAACAAGTGTTAGGAGTTACTATTTTAATTTTTATATTTAAGTTTCCTTTTGTACTATTTTATTTTATTACAAGCGGCTCACCGTCGCTTCGCTCGGGTTCGCCTCTAGACAAACAAAAACAAGTATATCCCACGGGAACCGTACATTTTTCCGGGATAAAAAGTAGCCTATTTGTTAGTCTGATGTATAAACTATATTATTATACAGTTTCATTAAAATCCAATCAGTAGTTTTTGTGCACTAAGCTGTATAAATTACTATAGTTTTTTAACTATCCCACAGGAACTCTTTAATTTTCCGGGATGAAAAATATTTAAAATGTTGACCGGGGATATAAGGTACCACCATGCAAAATTTCATTTAAATCGGTCAAACAGTTTCAAAGATTAGATAGAGAAACAAAAAATTTGAAAAAATAAAATGGATTTGTTCTATTTCTCTTCTTACACCTCCCTGACTCGGTTTTTGGCATTTTTTTTCTATGTAGAAGACTTTCGACCTCTACAGTTTTATTATATGTATAGACTAGCGATTTATTGATTAACTGAGTCCCTAGGTACGTTTTAATTTTTTTGAGTGGAATCCTATCTTTTTCTACGATAAAAGTTGCCTTAGTTACTTCTTATAACAGCAGTTGTCTTGCCAGTGAAGTCCTGTCAAAATCAGTCTAGACGTTTCAGAGATTAACCGAAACAAACAGACAGATAAAAATTTATTTTCTTATGTGTTAAGTTTTACCATTACTTTCATATGCATTTAGAAAAAAGGCTGTTATTGTGACATTACAAACAAACACTTCAATTTTATTTATCTATAGGTTGAGATAATAGTTTTAATTTTATCTTACATTATTTTGTGTTTATAAAAAATGTAAGATAAAGAACAAGTTTAGTAGGAAGGATGTGGCCCCTGAGTGGGTAATATTTTTAAATCGGAAATTTAAATAACAGATTTGACTTGAAAATGATAGATATATAAGATGATGATGAATTAGAAGTGACAAAGTGACTGCGAATTTCATGTTTCTTTTAATTCCTCAAAATCATTTTTATATATGTTGACTCTCCATCACTCAAATTATAAATATATACATTATCAAAATGTTTATTGTAACTTTTTGAACTTCTACTTCTTTTGGCACATTAGGAAAAAAATATGAGTAAAATTTTTACGATGCGAGCGCACACCGACAGCGAATTAGCGACATGATACAGTTAGCTGCATTCCTTTTACAAACAGAGAGTTGTGACATATGGGATCAAATCTTTGTTCTGTAACACCAAAGAAGTGTAACTTCTTACATGCATACATAAGTACACACACACGTTTTTTTTTTTTAATTTGAATTACTATCATTTTGATCAACACAGTAAGAACTAACTACATCTAACGGTATGTTACGTACTTTCAATTTTTTTTATTTGTCTATTTGTCCAATAATAATAACAACTAGCAAACATGGGTAAGTTACTTTTTAAAGCTAGTTTTTAGTCTTCTTATAATATCCTATTCCTAATTACTTTATACACAGAATTAAAACACATTATTAAAAAAAATCTAAATCATCAGAATTTAATATAAATATTCACCTGAAACTTGTGCACCATCATTAGGGTTTTCAAAGCCACTGCCTTGTTCCACAATGTGCCTGAGAATTCCCTTATTCTTGTTAGGGCTCAAATCTTCCACTTTCCAGTCAATCATTTCAATCTGTAACATATTTTAAATTTAAATTGGAATTTATACTTATTTACCAAAGCACTATAGCACCTATGCTTATACTCAAGCATATATTTGTAGGTTTTCACCCATCTCATGACAAACGAATCTAGCAAAGATCAGGGTCAGGGAGCATTCTATGTGTGAATGTGGTCTTGACAAAGGTACAGGAAGTACTCACATTCTTTTTAGTTGTCCTAGACTCCTTCATCCTATCTATGATCTTCCACTAAAGACCCCTGTCCCATTTTTTTAACATTTCATTCCATCATTAACATTTTTTGTAAAACAACTATAATTTAATAACCACTTATCTTTAATTAAGGTTTTTATGCATACATTAATGGTGCTGTCTTTTGTTGTAAGTCCAAAGTTTATTAAGGATTTATTGCCTTTTTACACATTATAATCTATACTAATATTATAAAGAGGCAGAGTTTGTTTATTTGAATGCAATAATCTCAGGTACTACTACTCTGATAAAAAAAAATAATGCATTAGATAGCCTATTTATTGAGGAACGCTAAAGGCTAAATCAAATAATATATCGATTCCGTACTAACCGTTAAAACATAACTAGGGACACACTACTTTAATATATGTAATTTTAATGATCTTATTTTACAGACCAATCTCCATATATCTTCTACATTCTAATGACATTGGCAAAGTAATCTGTGCTGAACTGTCACACTTTGAAGTCATTAACAAGAAAATTGAATTGAAAAATGAATCCCTTTTACTTTGACTTCAAACCCTATCTGTCTCAAGTTAATTTTACTAAAATATACATTTCATAATGATTGTATAGTGTTGATATAGTGTTGTATAAAATATTATATATATTATTTAAATACCTCAAACTGCAACGTAGAATTTGGTGGAATTTTAGGGGGGCTGCCATTTGCACCATAAGCATACTCTGGAGCACATGTCAGCACACACACTTCTCCTTTTTTCATGGTTGCCACACCAATGTCCCATGCTTTTATTACTGTGCCTATTTAAATAATATTTTAAAATTAATTAATAATAAATTGTATATTAAAAACAAAGTTTCTTTTTTTAAGTTTTACATTATTATTTGCAATGACAAGATAGATGATATTTTATGAAACTTAATCAAGGGTGTGGTTATTGTTTTGATATATGCATAGATAAAGCTAGCCACATGGCCCTTTCGTTATAATTTATTATCACTGCCAATACCATAAAATATTCACAAACTCATTAAAATAAAATATATTGATCTTATAATTATATTACAATTATTTTCTCATTATAATTTATTTTGTATGAAGCGAACCTAGAGATTCATAAGATATGAACACAGTTTTGCATGAGACTATAACTGGTTGAGTAGTGGTATTCACAGTTGACATTGGCCTTCCGACTTAAGACTTTATGTAGAAATAATTATTGAATAAACATGAAAAATTTTGGACTGCTTAATTTTTTAAATCACAAAATGATATTGAGAGCTTTACAATGCAAAACTCAAACTATTTCAAACACGATGAATTTGTAAAAAATAAAGAGCATTCATACCTTTGCCAAGATTAAACTCGAATGGTTCGTTTCTGTCCTTGCTAGAATCAAATTTTGTACCATCTAGTAGTGTTCCAGTATAATGTACAGTAACTTGGCAGCCGGCATTTGGAGTATCGGTGCCTTCGCCTTCTTTAATAATTCGTTTTAAGACCCCGCGATCTCCTGCCTTCGTAATATCAATTCCTTCATCCACGGTCATAATTGCACCAATATAGTTCCTTTAAATTTATAAAATTAAATACAAAAAGAAAATAAAATTAATTATTAGCACGTTACCAAAAGAGCACGTTGTTCAATTTTACATTAAAAGTGTTTTAATATTCTAGAAAACTCAAGATGCGCACCGGCTATTGCAATCTGTAACACAATTCGAATGAAATCAGTAACAGCGAGCAAAAGCAAATACGATTTACGAATGAGTGAAATGACAGTTTTGATAGAATGATCAATGAGTAGAATTTTCTAGACATGAAAATCGAATACTCGTACTTATATAATTATTTCTTGTCTATGCTTTATTAAAGCCTGTTTACACGTGCAGTGAACGCGCCTTCGATACGCGCTTACCTTACTGCGTTTTTTCTATCGATAAGAAAGCAATCAATTAATTTAGCCTTGTTAAACAGTATATAGTTTTATAGTTAATACTTAGATCTGTTCATATGCTGTGATGTTCACATTTTAAAAGACAGCATTTATCTGATTGTATACTTTAGAATAATGATAATTAAGCTTGTTTATTTCATTTGTATGTCGGTTTTTGAACTTATAAATAAATAAATAAATCTGAATTTTTTAAATTTATCATCACAGAATATTCGCGACGTACGCTTAATGCTTATACGTGCGTTAATGCACCGACTATTTAGGAAACGTGGTGTGCCTATGCCTTTACATATGTTATGATTTTACCCATAACCCCTCAACTGTCGCTGTCATTTTACAAAAATATGGCGCATCTGTCGGCTACTTTTCGAGGGCCTGCGCGAAATATGTACGCATCATTAAAATAACAATATTTATTAAAATTTTATATATAAGCTATATATAAAGCTTATATCGTTAGAATCGTTTTAAAATAAACTAAGAATATATATATAAATAAGATCAATTGTATTTAATATTATATAGTTAATTCTAAGTTGAAATTACTGTAAGTGATTTTTTATCAGTATATAGTATGAAAACAGGAATTATTATAAAATAAAACTATTATTTTAAAAACTTTTAATTTCATTTAATTATAGATACAATATTTTATATTAATTGATTAAAACAACACAACTCACTGTACATTTTTTTTACACCACAAGCTTAACAATAACATGTTTCAATTATGGCGACTTAGCGCCGGATAAAAAAGAGGTGTTTTTTATACTTGAATTCTAAGAGCATTGAAGATCAAGAGATTTAGGATAATCATTTATATTATAGTTTAGTCCACGTACGTTATACTGACAAAGTTTGAGTTCTTATAACTATTTAATTTACGAGAATTGAACAATAAACCAAACACTAGAAAATAAGTGCTAAAAAATGTCATCTCAAACTTTGGATCGCAGAGCAAATTCTGATTAAATTTTCTTTAAAATATATTTACACCTTACAATTAAGTGATATTTCAAAATGAAAAATAGAATAAAAAGACATGTTGCCGTATTAGAATATTTCAGAAATCAATTCTGTAAACTAACAATTTTACTATAAGAATTACAAGGGACAGCTAAAAAAGTATGGATACGACCAATTCCATCACATCTGAACAGATTATGTTATGGAAATAAAATGATAATAAAACATCAATTCAAAATAAAACAACTTTAAATATTGATTCGGAGAGGAATTATTTTTTTTCTACTGTTTTTAACCTCCGACGCAAAAACTACGGGGAGTTATTTGTTTGACGTGCTTTGTGTTGTGTGTGTGTCTGTCTGTGGTATGGTAGCTCCCGAAGAGATCATCCGATTTTGTTTTTTCTCTGAAAGGTGAATAATTCGGAAGTGTTCTTAGTTATGTTTGATGAAAATCGGTCCAAGATGGCCGCCGCCACAAAATAGCGGATTACATATTTTTTCACAACTCCCTCAATATGGGTATCAAATGAATTAGGCTTGACTAGTATAATTTTCGAATCCAAGATGGTCGCCACCACAAAATGGTGAATTACATGTCGGGGTTACTTTTAATTTTTCATTTATATTTTATAAGATTGAAGTATTGTGCCAGTTACTGTATTGAGTATTTGATGGACTCCATAGTTATAGTAGTAAAAAAATATATAGTAGAGTATAAAAACTTTGTAATTAGTACTCACAGATGTTTTAAATCTGAAGTAGAAAATTTTGGATGCCTTTTGTTAGGTAAAGGACACTTTTTAATGAATATTGCTTGCAGGTAGAGGCTTTTACACATATTTATTTTAAATGAAAAAAAAGATGAACACCTATCCTAAAAGCAACAAATACTAATTATTACTAAGTAAAGATACATAAGTAACTATACTAACCTCCTCCCATATAATGTTCACAACGTCTTCGATGTTCAGTCACGTCGTCGAAACGAACAAAGGCGTGGTATAATATATAAATCAGTTCCAGCCGATGCAAAGTAAATCTAATATATTTCGATACATAATTCATATTTACGTATTAGATATTTATATCTTAAATAAAATATTGTCGGCTGGCACCGACTTCGAAAATATCTGATTAGGTATCTATTCTAAATGAAAACCTCCGTTAAGCTATTTTTTACATTTTAGTGCCTGGAAGTCGGTTTTTTTTTAATAAACAGTTATTTATACTACACCCTTGTTCGCTTTCGCTCTATGGGGTACATTGCCTACAATTGGTCTTTCTTGTTCACCCTCCGATCATAATATTGTAATCTAATAAGGCATGTTTTAAGCAATTTTGGTGCAGCTTCAATAAACATAAAATGCAACATGATACTAGTTTAAGAGATGCAAATAAACTTATTTTCTACCCGACTGCGCGACGCAAAGGAGGGTAATGTGTTTATCAGTCTATGTATGTATGTACATATGTATGTATGACACTCTAGAGACCAAACGCGTGGGCCGATTTCTATGATTCATATGTCGTTAGTTTCGTATTTACGCGAGTGTCATAAGCTATATATAGCCTATAAGTCTCGCGTTATAGTTAAAAATTTAAAATAGTTAAAAAGTAAAATGGCGGATATCAGGCGCCAATTGGTCTGTAAAAAATTTTTCCAAATCAATCGAATGGGCTCTTAAAATAAAGATTTTTGGTGATCACAAAAAATTAAGAGAACACAACTTACATGTTTAAAGGTAATTTGGGATAAGAAATTGCTAAATATTAAGTCTTTACCTATGAAATTGTCGTTTAATATACAGAAAGTTAAAGTATTGTATTTTTATAAATATTTTTCATTTCTATTAATCAAAATATGCACCCATGCTATTGATGCAATTTGATGCAAATGGACCAATATTGTTTTGATGCTAACGTTGAAAGTTGCTGCTATCTCAGCCACAGATTGAGTATCGTCAGCTTCCACTATCGCCTTTAATGCGTCGTTACTGATTTTAGTTTTCGGGCGACCACGGGGTTAATTTTTTTAAGATCAAAATTTCGATGTTGGAAGTGTTCAGACCAATAACGAGTTGTGCGTTCGTTTGTAGTGTCATTAATGTTGCGAGCCGTTTGTGCGGGATTGCTACCGCGATCGAACTCGTATTTCATAATTACTCGTATTTTTATTGTGTTTATATTGATGAAAAACAAATGTAGTGAAAAGAAAACACTAATTAATAAACAAATGACTGAATTCAAAAATAGAACTCCATACTTTTAAAACAAAATTCATTTGAATTTAGAATTTATTGCCGGCCAATCATAAATTACGTTTCCAATGGCCAGTAAGTATTGTAGAACGGCAATTTCAAAAGACCTATTATAACTTCAAATTTCTAATAAAATTAAAAAGCTGTAAATAAAAAATACATTTCATCCTTGTCGCGAGATGTACATGTGTATGTCACCAACTGCATAATACTTCATTCCTTCGTCAACTTGTTTTTATCTTTTTAGTTAGCTGTTATGCAGTTAGGTTTTTTTTATTTTTATAATGTTTTAAAGTAATGTGTAAGTTGAACTTATATCTGTAAAATAAAAATCGTACTGTTTTAAAAAAATCAATTTTTTTTTAGAAAAACAGTTAAAATATTTATAAAATATTAAATTTCAAATAATCCTAAAAAACATCAATGAAAATATTCTAATGAATATTAAAAAAGCCTTCCCCATACTATCCAACAGCCGTCAAAAATGGCAGCTCGAATTTGGGTTACGTGTTATTATATTATTAATTACTTAAAATCTAATAGAAAATTTACAAATTCAATTATACGTAGTTATTTAGTTATAAATTTAAATCATGTTAATAAAAATATTATGCTATCACTAGTGTATTTTTTATTCAGAAAAAGTGAAAATATAAGGACTAAGCGCGCGTGAATGCTTACGATGTTTGACAAATATAACAATTTCTGTATAAAATCTCTATTCAATACACATCCTATGAAATAAAAACTGTTAATTACTTACCCTTCCATCATATTCCAATCCTTATACTAATAATTTTACACTATTTTGTTAATTTTTTACTCACAAGTATTGAGTTCAAAGATCGCCAAAATTTAAATAAATTGTCTGCACAAATTACAATAATTTATGTTATTGGAGTTATTACTTTTTTGACATGTAGTATGATATTATTGCTTGTATTTTTCTTTACACGTTACAAAAGTTAGATAAAAATAAATATAGTTTAAATGCGAGAAATCACACATTAAATGACATCGGGACCAATCGACCTTTAAAAGGTCGCTTGACAGACAGGGGTGTTTTTGACATCGACCTTTAAAAGGTCGATCGACAGACGAGGTATTAATAAATCCATCAGAAGTTGTTTGGAGTGCGTAAGCAATACTTCGAATCCATAAGATGGCAATGGTTCCTTTGTGATTGAGTAGGTACTAGTAGCTTTTATAGCCGATCAGTCTCCAGTCTCCACAAAACCACCTACAATAGTGATATGAGTAAATGCATTTTTCAACGTTAAAAAAACATGTTTTGTGTTAACACAGTCAATGAAATGCAGAATACTGTACTAGTAAGTAATACAGATACTCCATCCATTGCAAAGAAATTGTAGGTACAGCTAGCTTTATTTAATCTAGCCAGATTTTTATTTACTTGAATGGATAATAGATGTCGTTGACTCACAAATTATCAAATGATTTTATTTTTAAAAAATGTGCAAATTAATAAGTTACTGATTGTAAAATTTATTAAGAATTTAATTAACAAATTTCTGCCACTAACAGCTTTTAACTGTAAGACATTGAAAAAAATATACAGCGCCATCTTTGAACATGTATTACAAAATACAAACCTGTTACTTAAGTGCCCATTTTTCAATAATCACTAAAATTATGCATTTTTTTACAAGCGCCGTACTTTATTTTCCTTTACACAATCTTTAATAACAAATCGATACACATCATGATATCTATTTTTATTTATTTGAGCTATTTTTTTGTTACAACTATTGCTATAATTTTCCTTCCTGATGAGACCCAATGGCGTTAAGTCTACCCTATTTGCCACAAAGCTTCATGTAATTCCATTCAATGGTTTATGCATAACAAGTTACAAATATATAATCATCTTGTCAAACATTCACATCTATAATACATATCATTCTAATATTAATATTATAAATGTCAAAGTTTGAGGATTTATGGATGTCTGGACATTTGTTACTCTTTCATGCAAAAACTACTGAATGAATTTTAGTTACAATAATATTATAGTTCATACATCACAATAACACATAGGCTACATTTTATCCTAGAAAAATGTATGGTTCCTGTGGATAGATTCAACATAAGCAAGAAACAAGTAAAACAAGAAGTATGAGCTGCACAAATTTAATTACATTTTTTTCTGGCATAGACACTTAAAAATATTTTAAATGTTTAGTTTTAATTTGTCCCATGACATTACATTGTAAAGAACAAAAACTTTAGAACATTTAGGGGCTTATAAGTAATTAAGTTGATTATGATTCAATTTATGTACATTTAAGAATTCTTATTGCACTATGACAATTTTTAACTATCATCAGTCTTCTTAACATTTTTGCACATATTAACTATTCAGAGAATAAAACTGAAAATGTTCTTAATATTTTATCTAAAATTCTCTTTGAAATGATGATCAAGTGAATATACAAATAGTAATGTCTAATGAACTTTGTAAAGAAATATAAAACTGTTTTCAAAAGGAATGCATGCATATTAATAAATATTTACACAGTTTTTAGGTAAACTAATAAAAGTTTGTAGACTTTTAGTTATTCACAATCTTGATCTATATCTAGTGAATAAATATTTTCAGTAGGATCCTGGTTTCACATGTGATATAATATCCTCTACTCTTTTTTGTTTCTTTTTTTATGAAATAAGTACTTACTACTTTAGGATACTAGATAGTATTTACAACCTTTTAATTTCATTATACTACATATATAATTATTCAAGTAATTTATTACAAATGTTTGGGCACTTCGTGACATAAAATCTATAATGTTTTGCCATACTTTGACTCAGAAGATTTTTCTTTAAGGTAAGCCATTCATCTGAACCATCACAGCAATCGCATATACCATCATTCACTTTGTTAGAAGGTATAATGAACGTTTTCCTTCTAGGTTGCTGAGTATCACAATAAAAAACTCCATTTGGACATGCAGTAGTGCTTGGTTCATCAGTATTATCTTCACAATCACAAAAATCATCATTTACCTGATCGAATGGAATTTTTTGATCAGATGATTTGCATTTAAATTCATTTTTCGAATCGGGCCGATAACTTTTTATATCTGCATAGTAAACACCTCTAATCTTTCCATGTTCGCTTATATATTTGTCAACATCAGAACGTAAGTGTTGAAAATCTTTTATTATATCATGATCTAACAGTGGCACAATTACATTGTTATTAGCTTCTGATGTGATGGTAAAGAAGAAATACAGTTGATATAAGAAATAACATGAAATCATGAAGCACGTAATGATTATAACATTTTTCTTTTTCTTGAGACCCATTACAGTAGCATAGGTCATTAACTCGTCTTTACTATACTTTTTACAGCGTGAAGTATTAATATTACATTGTTTTTATTCAACAGTATGTTTAATTTTCTATCAAGCAATTGTCAATTATTTAACGTTAAACTTCACTTCACAGTCAAAACTCAAAATTAAAAAAATGTAAATAAAACTATGGTCTGTGGCCTGTGGGACACAGATTATCCAAAACTAATAATTGTGCATTCCTCGCCTTGTCCGGGCAGATGGTGAGAGAGAGCTATTGCTGAATTTGAGTGTAAATAAGTATTTTTGCGGCTGGCAACCACCTTGTTTTATCCATCCTGAGCTTCCGTACTACGAATATAGTTGCATTTTATCAACTTCCTGTTTCACCTACCTTCCCCACCAGGTAGGAGCAGGCTTGTCTCCTAAATTTATTCTTTCATTGCGTTGTTGAACTTCGCGGTGTAAAGACGTGTTTAAAGGTAATTCTGTCGGAATCTAATAGTCGACATGAGTACCAATAGGGCTGGCAACTCAGGGCGACGGCCGAGAAGACGAAGTCAAGAAAATCGAAGGAGAACCCGATCATCGTACGATTCCAGTGGCACGTCAAGCACGGATAGCTCTGTCGAACGAGCTAATTGGCGCCATAACAAGATACGCAAGAAGGATGCGGGTATGTCTATTTTAAATCAGTTATGTAACCAAGTCCAAGTTTTAACCGATTTTATGAATAATATGTCACAACAAACCGTACAACCGGAAGTTAATCATCCGGAAGCCAATTTTATCGAAAGAAGTGAATCAAATGACCCAGATTTACTTGAAAATAATGATGACTTTGTTTTTCAATCCTTGCATACTACTTTAAAAGACACAGGGATTGGAAAGACTAATGACGAACATTTTAATATTATTAATAATTTGCAACGTTTTGGTTCAAATGATTGGTTTAATATTAATTTTATTGAAACACAAAAAAATTACATATCGAAACCTGGTTTTATAGAACTAGAAACTAATGACGACGTAAAGCCATTTGATAAAAATAAGTTTCTACCCTCGTGTGAACGCACATTATCCGCGTTATCAAATGCGATTTTAATACAAAGGAACATGTTACAAAACAATATAACTAAATTAATATCATGGGTTCATGATTTGGAATCTGTATCGTATGAAGATTTTAGTAATAAAATTAAAGAAATCTTTTGTGATGACAAGGAGTTTAATAAAATTTCTAATGATATAATGCAGATAGTATGTGGAAAACGAGCATCTATTATAGGTAACCGTAGAAATGAACTGTTAAAATCGGTGCATAACAATTTTACGGTCGATAAGTTGAAAAAAATACCACCCTCGTCTGAATTCTTATTTGAACCGGAACAATTCGATAAATTAATTGAAAAAGAAGGAGGAGCGTCAAAAGTATTTGCTAAATCACAGCCTGCTAAGAAAAATTATGTAGCTTCTTCTAAACTACCGACTTTTAAACCTCAAGTAAAAAATCAGTTACAATCATTTCGTTCACTAAATAGTAATATAGGTTCAAGTTCAACCAAATTTCAAGATTGCTTATTTCGAGAAAAACGAAGTGCACAATCTAAAAAGTCATATTCTGGTCGGAGTCATGGCAGTACAAGTAAAAAGCGTCGTGAATGACTCGAACAGGTTTCAAGCGGGTCGATTAAAACTTTTCCTATCTCGATGGGTAACAATAAATACACCTACTATAATTTTAAAAATGATATCGAATTTTCGAATACCTTTCATAAAGAAACCGCCTTTGATAGTACCAAATTTAAATTCTTATCAAACTCCGGATACTCCGCAGATGGCTTCGGAAATACGAGAAATGTTAAAATTACAGGTTCTCGAAGTTACAAAAATAAGTCCCAGCTTCATTTCTCAAATGTTTTTAAGATTAAAACCAGATCAAACTTATCGTCCAATTCTCAACTTAAAGAAATTAAACGATTACATTTTTGTAAAAAAGTTCTACCTCATATCACATTTCGAAATTCCCAACTTTCTCCAGCCAGGCGATTGGCTGACAAAGATAGACATGTCTCAAGCGTATTTTCACGTAAATGTGGCTCCGAGCCATCGTCGATTTTTAAGATTAATTTTCAGAGGAACCGTGTACCAGATTGCATGTCTACCGTTTGGAATAGCGTGTGCGCTCCAATGTTTTGCAATGATAACGAACTTCTAGGCGCAAAAGCTTCGAGAAACAGGTATTCGTATTGTGGTTTATCTAGACGATTTTTTAATGGCCAATCAAAACAGATGTTTGCTTCAGCAGCAAACATCAAAGACAATTCAATTCCTTCAAGAATTGGGTTGGATTCTGAATTACGAAAAGTCTGTGGTAAATCCTACTCAAAATATAGAATCTTTAGGGATACATTGGGATACAGACAGGAACAGGAAGTGTCTTCCTCATCAGAAGGTACTCAAACCTCGTATACAGCTTCAGCAGCTGCTATCGATGAAAATGTGTTCTCAAAGGCAAGCCTTAACCATACTAGGCCGTTTAAACTTTGCAAACTATGTTATTCCTCAGGGGCGCTTGCACTGCCGAAACTTTCAACGACACCTTCGTATGCTGCGCAACGCCCATCCCAGGAGGAAATATGTGCTACCAGGGGAAGTACTGACAGATCTTTACTGGTGGAAACATGCAGTAAGCAAATGTTCCTTAATACACTTACCACAGATTACTCATCATCTCGTGACCGATGCATCCAACCTAGGTTGGGGAGCGATGCTAAAAGATACGCTATTATCGGGCACGTGGGAAAGGAATCAACAGGGTTGGCACAGCAATCTCAAGGAATTGGTTGCCATACAGAGAGCGATAGAAGCTCGGGCAGAAGACTTAAAAGGCGCCAGTCTATTAATACAATCGGACAATTCGACTGCATTAGCATACCTAAGAAACGAAGGTGGTGTGAAATCGGCTCGTTTAATGAAGCAAACTCGCGAGGTATGTCAACTATTTCAAAATTTACAAATAAAGGTGACATTCCAGCATCTACCGGGCCGTTTCAACGGCATCGCGGATTGTTTATCTCGAGGCAAACCGATTCCAGAGTGGCACCTTCTCCCAAGCGCGACATTACCGATATTTCAAATATTCGGTATACCTCAAGTGGACTTATTTGCGAGCTCATGTCGTCCATCAGTATGTCTCCCTAGATCTACTGGACGAAGAAGCAGTGTTCCACAACGCCTTCAGCAGGCAGTGGCATTACCAATTAGCGTGGATCTTCCCTCAACCATCACTCATACCACGGATTTTGGTTCACTTGAACAGCTGCACAGGTCAGTATATAATAATAGCACCCCAATGGAAGAAGTCATTTTGGAGGCCAGACCTGCGGAACAGAGCTCTCAGCGAGCCTGTACGAGTGCAGAACCTGAGAGAAACTCTAGTAGATGTAACGACGAGACGCACCTTACCCAAGGTGAAGGATACTGGAAGCTTGGTCGATTGGAGCTGGGACTCCTTACTCCAGAATTGGACTCCGGACGAGAAAGCAGTACTAGTTAATGGATGGCGTAAGTCCACTTTAATATCTTATAAGTCTGCTTGGAATCGCTGGGCTAACTGGTGTATCAATAACAATATATCAATAATTAAGCCACAGTCTAAAGACTTAGCTAAATTTCTCGCGTACCTACATGTTAAAGAGAGATTTAAGCCTTCAACTATACAGCTTTACAGATCGGCAGTGTCTACTATTTGTGAGCCTCACTTAGGCAAGAAATTAAGTGAAGATATTTTTGTGAGACATGTACTTAAATCTATCGCACAGGCTAATCCTCGTTCTCGGGGTCCTATATGGGATCCTCAACAGGTAGTATCGTGGCTACAAAATAATGTACCCCAAGAAGTAACGTACTTTGAAGCAAGTAGGCGATGTGCAGTAATATTGTTGCTTGCGTCAGGTAGACGTGTGCATGATCTTACGCTTCTGCGCATATCCCCTCAACACTTCGAGGATAATGGTACTGATATGACATTTTGGCCTGTATTTGGTTCAAAGACGGATACTGCTAAACACCAACAGTCAGGATGGAAGCTTAATGTTCATGAAGACGAGAGGATTTGTCCAGTATTTTGGATTCGAAAAGTTATTGATTTATTGAAAATAAGAAGACTCTCATTTCAACAACTTTTTATTACCATTCATGGGGAGCCAAAGCCTGCATCCAGGACAGTGATTGCTAACTGGGTAAGAACAGTTTTTAAAGCTGCAGGTATAGAGGCTACCCCAGGTAGTACCCGTTCGGCAGTAGCTTCATATAACTGGATACATAATGTACCAATTGATATGATTTTACAAAAAGGTAACTGGAAACAAGCTTCGACTTTCCATAAACATTATTGTAAGGAAATTATAAAGAATAGTAATTCTAGTAGTAATCAAAATCTATCTAAATTATTTAATTCAATTTAATTAAACTACATGTGTATTTATCTGTATGATTTTGAATTTTCTGTTTAATTTATGTAAATAAATGAATATTGTTATTTTATACAAATGTTAATATTTCAGTTAATATGCATAAAAAACATTTTAGAATGATTACAGCTCATTTAGAACACTTCACCAGGAAATAACAGACACTTCTCACCATCTGCCCGGACAAGGCGAGGAATGCACAATGAATAGGTTTTACCTTACCAATAAAACCTGCATTATGCTCCGAGCCTTGTCCGGGCACTTTTAGGTACCTGGTGAGAATCAATGAAAGAATAAATTTAGGAGACAAGCCTGCTCCTACCTGGTGGGGAAGGTAGGTGAAACAGGAAGTTGATAAAATGCAACTATATTCGTAGTACGGAAGCTCAGGGTGGATAAAACAAGGTGGTTGCCAGCCGCAAAAATACTTATTTACACTTAAATTCAGCAATAGCTCTCTCTCATCATCTGCCCGGACAAGGCTCGGAGCACAATGCAGGTTTTATTGGTAAGGTAAAACCTATTCATTATTAATTAAAAAGATAATATCCATAGACATCGGGAGAGAATATCCGATGCATAGATAACAAGAGGAATGTTGACTGCTGAATGTATTCTTCCTGGAGATGCGATGGGATAGCTTTGGTTATTTTTTATACATTTTTAATTCAAAACCTTTTTTTTATGGTATTATTTGGTTATATACAATAAAGTCAGTAGTAGCCCAGTGGTAATGCGCTCACTTGGTACACCGAGTGAACCGGGTTCAAATCCCGGGTCCCGCACCTCTGATATTTTCATGTGCGAATCATTTCTAACATGATCATGAATTATCACTTGCCTTACGGTGAAGGAAAACATCGTGAGGAAACCTGCATGTCTGAGAGAACCGAGCAAGTTTTCGAAAGACATGTGAAGAAGTCCATCAACCCGCACTTGGGGCCAGCGTGGTGGACTATGGCCTGATTCCCCTTGTATTGAAGGAAGGCCCATGCTCAGCAGTGAGACATAAAAAAGGGCTGAAGGATGTATGTAACATACACGAATACATTTGGTTATGAGTATTTTATTTTACTGTATTGATTCTGGATTAACTTCCCATAATATCTCCAAAAAAATATCATCAATATACATATTGTACATACCACTTTGCTAGTGGTGTGTCTTGGTATAATTAAAAAATCAAATTAAGAAATGGTTAAATCGATGAAGCTATGGTAAAATATTGTACATACATTAATTCGCTCAGTCGTTTCAGCGTGAGGGAGTAGCACATAAATTTTCTATTTTTTACTAGGTATTTTTCCTACCACCAATAATTTTATTTCAAAACAAACAAACAAAATGTTTTATTTAAGGCCGATTATCTAACTATAGAGTTTTCTCTTCAATTCAATTTACTTGTTTTGTGCAATGGCTCCTGAGTGCCATTTGGATTTTGGACACAATTTACCAGTTTCTCTTTGTAGTCTGGTGTCATGTCAGTGTCAAATGTCAATGTAAACAATTTGATCAAAAAGTAAATTTTATATTAAGAACGATTAAAACGGTTCATTAGGCTGTAAATAATAAATAAAAAACATTTACCACATAATATCACTATCTGATGTACAAAATGATAAAATAGATTAGAAGAAAATAAATTAAGTTCTCCAACATGAATTATTTGACTGTCGATTCTGGTACAACACCAACAAGCCCTGACAAAATTAAAGATGAAGCAACAAATAATGAAGAACTCGAAGTAATTGTATATATATATATATATATATATATATATATATATATATATATATTATAATTTTATAATGAATCATCATACATTTTTAATCTTGTAGTTATTGTATTAAATTTCACTGCAGCTATCTGAAGTCCCTACAATATTTGATATTTTAAGGATGAATAATGTGTATTTATTCTTATTATATAATTAAGTAATACACCTATGGTTTTATTAATATTTTTTTATTATTTATTTTTAGATTGATAATTCACAGAGTGTGCTCCTCAAAATTGCAACATTGTATGCTGAACAGTTGATGAGTGATCTAATTCTAGAAGTTGGTGGTGTTGGATATCCTGCTCATAGGCTTATATTATGTGCTAGTAGTGAAGTGTTCCAGGTAACCTTTCAACATCTATTAAATTATTTCTAAATTCATTAAAAAAATGCAAGTTAACATTTTTTAGTTTAGTTATTATACCTTTGAAATATGTATTAAGTAAATTTACTATATTGTAAATGGTTATTATAATTTTGAATAAAACTTCATGAAAAAATCCGAAATCTTTTCGGATTTATTTCCCAAAGTTCCAAAGGGAACCAAAAATAAAAATAAATTTGCGAAAAAATCTGAAAAGATAGTTTTATTTAAAATGTCAAATATTCACATAAGTCTAAGAAAGTATTATGACTATTATAATTGCGAATTGTGGTACTTTTAATCAAATAAAGGTGCACAACTAGTAGAGTAAATAGTAGTATTTAAATGAAAAACATATTAAAAATAACTATTTTAATATTTATTAATACTAATTCACTATTTCTTTTTGTAAATTATTATTCATTAAGTACTTGGCTTTTATATTATGTTCTTTTAGTTCAAGAAATAAATATGTTTATATTTAAAGTACTGTTAAAATTTCTTGATAAAGTGAATATATTTGTTATTGTTTACAAAGTTATTATATAAAAATTAGTGACTCACCCTCGCTTCACTTGGGTTCCGTCCTAGGTATGTGTTAACGGTTACTATAGAATAGATGCAAAGGTATGATGAGTTGTTGCGGGCTCTATGATAATGTGTTTTCTCAAAGGAATGATATAATCTCCCATGGTAAGTAGCCAATGTCACTCTCCAGCCAATCAACACCAATCCAGCACTCTGTTTAATATGAAAGGACAGACAAACACATTTTCACATATTTTATAATATTAAGTAAGGATTAATAGTGATACATTTTGTTATAGGTGATGCTTATGAATCGTGAGTGGAGTGAATGGCAAGAAAGTCGTATTGTGTTACAAGAGACACCTATTGCTGCTTCTGTCTTCCCACATTTTTTGAAATACTTCTATACAGGCCAAATTAAGATATCCCACCAAACTGTTCTTCCGGTTTTATCGTTGGCAGATAAATATAATGTAAAGGTATGTTCTTGCTTCTTTGTGATTTTTAAAATATTTTTTGTACAACTTTCTTTTTCTGTCCCACTATTTCATACATGGCTTGACTGGAAGCTTTTGTATAGATAGATAAGTAAGTAATATAGTAAGTCTACTTTTGTCTATGTCATTTTCTTTATATTTTTCGTAGTATTTGTTTTTAAATGTACGTAATAATCTTATTCGATTATTTTCTGGTGGTTTATATGGTTCTTTAAAAAAGAAAGCTGAAATAGTAAATGTAGTTTTAGTATATGCTTAAAGTAGTCAGTAATCTAGGTAATTTAACTTGCTTGTGATGTTGTTGAAATCAAATAATATCTAAATAATTTCCCAATCAGTCATAGGCTGAAATATACATATAATAAAACAGGTACTTAGCAAAACTTACTTTTGTCTGTAAGTCTGTTTGTCTGTTTGTGTGCGCGGTTTCATGCAAAAACTACTAAACCAATTTTAACCAAATTTTGTGTAGTGAAAACTTATTACTCGGGTCTACATTAAGGATGCTTTAAATGTTTATTTCCACGGGAAAACACAATAACGGGTTCTATTGAAATTTACATGGCTAACGCTGGCCAAACCTTACACTCGCAATAACTATTTATATTTATTCAAAACGTACCTACTACCTAGAGGGACGCACCCGAGCGAAGTGACGGTAAGCCGCTAGTTATAAATGGTAGAAAGAAAAATAGTTTTATGCCGATCGGAATCCGTTTATTTTTAAGAGAAACTAATCAAAACCTTAATGGCTTTAAAACGTAGCAGGTATATAAGGAACAAAAAATCGTGGCTCTCGCTGTTCAGCTACCCCCGAGAAATGGAGGGATGCAATGTGCAAACCGTTAAAAAATGTTTTTTTTTTTTCAATTTCCGACTTACTGTGACATTCTATCGAAAAATGTTCTTTACAAAAAAAACTACGACTTTTATAGATGACACTTTTTACAATAACCTCAAAGTTTTTGAGATATTTCCATAAAACCAGTTTTTAACCCCCGACGCAAAAAGAGGGGTGTTATAAGTTTGACATCGATATCTGTCTGTCTCTGTGTGTGTGTGTGTGTGTCTGTGGCATCGTAGCTCTCAAATGGATGGACCGATTTCTATGCTGTTTTTTTCTTTTGAAAGCCAGTTTCCTTGCGGTGGTTCTTAGCTATGTTTGGTTAATATCGGTCAAGCAGTGTAAGAGTATCAGCTCTTTTCCAAAATAATGTAAGGCATTTTGGCGTATGATTACTCGTAAAGTCGGTCGTCTTCGAGATGAAGCTACGAATTTGGCAATGGAGGAAATATTCACTTAGGTACATCGAACATAGCGATGACTGTCTGTTTACTTTAAGCGAATTGATAAGTGTTTGCAAAAATACAACTTTAGTTTGTGTGTGTATTCAGCACTTTTTAACGTCCCACTGCTGGGCACGGGCCTCCCTTCAGTACGAGGGGAATCCGGCCATAGTCCACCATGCTAGCCAAGTGCGGGTTGGTGGACTTCACATGTCTTTTGAAAACGTGCTAGGTTCTCTCAGACATGCTGGTTTCCTCACGATGTTTTCCTTCATCGTTAAGACAAGTGGTAATCATGTTGGAAATGATTCGCATATGAAAAAGTCAGAGGTGCGAGACCCGGGATTTGAACTCGCTTCACTCGGTTTCCCAAGCGAGCGTTACCACTGGCTAACACTGCCTTTAGATTACAGGACCTATATTATATACCTGCTTTATCCTAAACTAGCGGCTCACCCTCGCTTCGCTCCGGTTCACCTCTAGAAAAGCACAAACAAATCTATCCCACGGGAACCGTTCATTTTTCTGGGATGAAAAGTAACCTGTTGTTTGACTGGCAATACAAGGTATCAGCATGCCAAGTTTTACTAAATTAGGTGCATAAGTTGTTGTGTACTAAGTTGTATAAGTTGTTATAGTTTTTTAACTATCCCAGAGAGCAGCACTCTTTAATTTTCTGGGATGGAAAGTATCTAAGATGTTGCCCGGGGATATAAGGTACCACCATGCAAAATTTCATTTAAATCGGTCCAATAGATTCGGAGATTAACCCGTACAAACAGAAAAACAGACAAACAGCTCGCTCGGGCTCGTGCATACCTACGAATATGTTGTATTATCTCTTTAACCATTTGTCCAAATTATATGCAGTAAAAGAGAAAAGTCTTTTGTTTTAAACATTTTAGACGATAAACTTACTTATTTTGATAAGAATTCATAATTGTCGTTAATATGACCAATAAACATGACCTACTTTAAATTATTTTTTTAATATAAAAAAGTACTTTTTGTGACTCAAATATAAAAGTTAGACATATGCTGTCGCTGACTTTTTTGTAGGCATTATTAAGCTCTACAACTTTTCTCTAGAACATAATCATATATCTCTCATCGTTAAGGCAGCGTTCGTAAGAAACGTTTTCGTACGACCGTTTTTTCTCCGACTTACTTTGCAAATCCGACTACCATGAAAAAGCCTTTTTATTCTTCGGGTTAATATATAGCCTATGACACTCGGAAAGAATGTGGCTTTCTATCGGTAAAAGAATTTTGAAAATCGGTTCAATAGATCCAGAGATTACCCCCTACAACGTCACAAACTCACAAACTCACAAACCCACAAACCCACAAACTCACAAACTCACAAGATCACAAACTTTACCTCTTTATAATATTAGTATAAATACCAGAGAACTGCAGCTACATGCATATACCACGACACCAAACTGTACACACCACTCGTGCACCTACTTTACGTACACTGGCAGTGCCACCCACGAACTGATGAAAAGTAATTATTACATATATTTAATCTATTAAATAATTAATAATCGAACACGGATTATATCATCGCCAATCGAGATCGATAATTACCGCTTACGTACCCATATAGGGAGTGAGAAAGATGACGATTATGACATCTGCTGGGAAAAAACACAAACAAATTGATGGTAAATAGTATTAGTTTTACATTATCAGCTTTTTTTAAATAATTATTTTTTGTTAATTAAAGTAAGACGTGTTTGTGATTTATTCGTCAAAAATATCTTGCTGTATTAGTGGCTGTTCAAATATGGCATATAAAAATAATAAGCAGTTGAAATTTTATCGCTTCCCCGATAGTTCATTGAACACTGCGTGCCTTGGATATCCTTTGTCAAAAATGGATAAACGCAGTAAAAACCCACGTGTAAGTAAAGTCTTCTAAATAATTTTTTTTATTAATTTTTTAATTATTATTTTGTGTAATCAATATGATACTACAGTTGGCAGGTATTAGACAAGTTGTAGAATATATTTTTTCCATAAATAATATAAGATTATTATAGAGCTAAAAATAATATTTTTTAATTTTATTAAAAGCTTCTTCAAAAATTTAATTATTATTGAAAACAATAATTAATCAGTTTTTTTTTATTTCAAGTGATTATAGATTATAAAGTAATATTATTAGTACTTCGAATTTTTTTCATAACTATGAAAGGTAATAAATGTTATCTAAAACACGCAGAATATATAATCTAATATTAAAAAATAATATTAATAGGGTTCTGTGATATTATTTTGGTTATTTACTTAGGTTATTGACACCCATCCTTTCAATATTATGATTTTACATTTTTTTATAACATTTAAAATTAAAAAAAAATTGTATTTATATTGAGTTTTTTTTATATTAATGTATCTTTACATCTTTGTATTTGTAAATCATTATTGGTTTCACTTACATATACAAGTAAATAGAGTTGATCGATTTTTTTATTAATTGAATTAGAAGTACGTACTTATAATAGAATATAAAAATGAGCAAAGATAGTTTTGACAAAGGGAGTAACGGATGTACAAAAGGCCTTAGATAGAGCCAAGATTGATATTTCTGATCAAAAAATTCTAAATATTGTCATAAATATGGTGAGCTTTTCACTTCATAAAAATAATGTATTTAAAAGAAATAAACAACATAAAAGGTTCAAAGTAATATGTTATACAACAATGTAGTATATAGAATTTTGTATATATATACATACTAGCAGAATCTGCGGCTTTGCTGGAGCTAAAACTATAAAAAAAACTATAAAAACGTAGGTTTCATACGAACTTTCATCCCCTATTTTAACCCCCTTATGGGATGAATTTCAAAAAATGCTAAAAAAATTATTTGTGTAATTGTATCGAAGAACACTAATACCAAGTTTCAAGTAATTCTGATCATAAATATTTTTTTGGGTTGCATTATAACGTGTTTTTCTGTGGGAATGAGATAATCTCCTGCGGTAAAAAGTAGCCTTTGTCACTCTTCAGACCTCCAACTATCTCAACACAAAAATCAGGCCAATCCGTCGCTCTGTTTTGACGTCAAAGAAGGACAAACAAACACACTTTCTCTCTTATAATATTAGTATGGATATTCTGAATGTTATTTAACAGGACCTAGTAACGCTGTGCCTTGACTACATGTCGCAACACATAGCACAGGCAGCCAAACGAGGGCAGCTCATCGCATGGATGCAATACACGATGGCATGCGGGCATAATGAGGTAGCTAAGGTATGTTTTAACTTGTATGTTATTTTATTATATGTTATATCAATACATTACTTGATTGATTCGGTTTTTGATGTAACTCTCGTTTATATTTCAATATAAATTGATATTTTCTTTTTAATTATAATTATTATTTATTATCTATAGAAATTTATTTACATAATATTATAAATACAACATAAATATTTTGTTTCATCTATTGACATTAAAAAAATATATGTAAGGCAGAAAAAGATTAAGGAAATATAGACACCATACCGTACCATAAACGCGCCGACGACAATACATATAAAAAATGCATATTGATTACGTTAGTATCGATACAATCGAGCGACAAGCGCGTTAAAACGTCGTCGTGTGTATACGCCCTAACGTAGAAATGTAGCAACGTATATAGAGTAGAAGTGAATATTCGCAGACGTGTCAGAACTTTGTGAAATGGAACATAGAGTGGGTGTTGGACAGCGAGCTGGCGGAGCTGGAGGACGATACGCTGCTGCTCCTGCTGCAGCACAGTGACCTCGTGCTGCATAATGAGATGACGCTGTATCTGTGAGTGTTGATCTGTGCTCTTGTAAATAAAGTTCTAACTCCATTGAAATTGACAATTTACGTGAAACATATTAGAGTGTACAAGTATGTGCATAAACCATAGAGCACGCTCTAATCCTTTCAGTAAATAGGAAATTGAGTTCAGTTTAGTCAGATGTCATGTGACACCTGCTACTAACATTTTTGATTGAAACATTAACTTGGTCCAACTTGGGACTCAAACCTAGAATCTCACGATGAGCTGCTTGTGGATGTGCTTTTGCGACTTAATTAGAATTTTCTTTGTATATGTATGTATATATGTAATATCATGTATATAATAAAATATATGTATTCATCTTTTGGCAAACGACTAACGCCACCTTTTAGCAAATTTTGTTACTAAAAAGGATCTACATGTTGTGGATCTATGTGTTAGTACAGATTGAATTGAATTTTATCCAAATCCGTCCAGCCTGTATCGTGAAAAAATAACAAACATACAAACACAAACTTTCGCATATATAAACAAATAAAATTTAAGTTTCAAAACAGTGCCTTAATAAAAGAAACACGACATAACATGATAATGAAATGCTATATCTATGAAGATGATTGAAAATCACGACAAGAAAGACATTATTTATATAAACAAAAAGCTCGTTTTCAGATTCGTAGTGCGTTGGTTAAATAAGCAAAAGGAGAAGTTGAATGCCAACGAGCTGTCCGAGCAGGAGGTGAAGCTGCACTGGGACTCGCTGGTCACTACGATGTTTTCACATGTCAGGTTGGGCGTTCTATTTTTTATTCGGTTTTTCTTCCGCCTTTGCAATGTTTAACGGACAAATAATTTAATTTTTTATTTATCATTATTTTTTCTTTATGAGTTCAGACCAAATATAAATATATATAATTTTATATGAAATGTCTACTAAATCTTTATATTATATAATATATAATACAAAGATTTAGTACATAATTATTATTATTGTTAAATAAATAAATTTAAAAGTGTCCATATAAACTTATTATATAATTATTATGTAAGTGTCTTTATAAACTAAAATAGTTGTTCGTTTCCTGGCCGTGCGTGGCGCTTGTGTTCTCTCTCTTATATGTCATCTGTAATGAAGTTGTTGTGTTCCTGCAAAATAAAATATAATAAAGTATATCAGAAGTCTTACTCAATTCTATTAAAATGTTATTTTAAAATTCTATTATAACCCAATCTATATATATAAAAGAAAGTCGTGTTAGTTACTTCGCTTATAACTCAAGAACGGCTGAACCGATTTAGCTGAAAATTGGCAGGGAGGTAGTTTAGAGCCAGGAGAAGGACATAGGATACTTTTTATCCCGTTCGACCGCGTTCCAATTTTTATGATATTTTAATTTTTGGATTTCTCTTAGTCCGGAATAGGTAAGTATTAAAACATATAATTAAAATGTGAGAAAGAAAGATTTTTTCTTTTTATATCTATTTAAAACGTACCTAGCGACGAACCCGAGCGAAGCGAGGGTGAGCCGCTAGTAATTATTATAAAACTAAACTTTTTTCTATTGGATTTTAATTACTGTATTTATGAATAAGTATGTGCTGGGATGAAAAATAGACATACATTTATTAAACATTTATTTATATAACGAACACTAGCGGTACCCCGCGGCTCCGTTCGCGTAGTTTATTTACATATAGTTGCTTCGCTCCCAATTTTCAAAACCTTAGTTTTCATCCCCAGGTGATATAACTATCACTGTAGATTTAAAAACAACAGATTTTTACATCTGGCCTCTTTTTTTAGAGTAAAGAATTTTCAAAAATCCTTTGTATATATTACTATATCTACTGATACCTGCTTCATATGAATAATCTATCTTTCAAATATCACGATTGTAGCATTTATAGTTTCTGAGATTCCGTGATTAATCAGTGTTCAAAGCACTAAGTCATGACTTTTAATAATTCAACCTCTTAATGCATAATTTTTGATAAAGAAGTTTGTTATTCAATTTGTATATATGGAAATAGATATTTAAGCTTCGTTCTTCATTACTTCTGTTGAGTAATCTCACAACCCAACTAACATGTCCAGGTTCCCAATGATGTGTCCGAACCAACTGGCCAAGTTACTGCTCTGCCCCTTGACGCAAGAGCACAAGGAGTTTTTCATGGAGCGGATGGCCATCGCGATGAGTTACCAGTCAGGTTAGTGCAACATAATAATAGGATATTTATGATGAAATCGAATCAATATAAATATATTTTAGTTAGTCTGTCTGTATGTTTAGACATATTTCAGTTTTATATCAGTTTAAAAGCAGATGATAAGAATTTCTGTGGAATAACGGGAAAATACTTAAAAAACTCTTAAAAGATGGGATGATACTTTCACACGACCGGTGAGAGTTAAGTCGCAGGAGCGACACGACACGTGCTTTGCCTAGGCATGAAGGTGAAATACCGCCAACTTCCCAACTCCGGGCTGTTACTAGAACTTTCTTAACAGAAAGACAATAAATTTTGGCTTAACCCCAGATTCGAACCCCATGTGCAGCCGTACATGCTAGCTACTACACCACCGAGGGAGTTATTAAAATATATACTATTCAACTGTATAAAAAAATATTATTTGAAACATGAAATAATATGTAAATGATGAAATCTAATAATTTAAAATTAAAATGACGTATTGCCTTATTTTACCCAAGTAAACTATAAAAAGATATAAAACTCGTCACCCAATATTCATTTTTCTAGTGACCCTACTTGCAGTGCCTGCGGTCGCGGGTTCGAGTCCCCCTGGGGGCATTAATTTGTGTGATGAACACGAATGTTTGTACTCCAGTCATGGTGTTTATATTTATTATATGTATGTATTTAAACTTAGATATGTGTAGTGTATCAACTGTCTGGTATACACAACAAAAGCCTCGTAGCTTACCATGGAACTAGATGGTGCTCTCTGTTAACGTCCCAATATATTTAAAAAGAAAAAAAAACTCCCAAACAGGCCAATATGAGCGTATATCGGAGATCCAGCAGACGGAGTCGGGTCGGATGCAGTTCACGCCGCGCCTGTACACGGAGGACACGTGGGGCTCCATCCTGGCGGTGGACAACTTCCACTCGCTGCAGAGCTACCACACGCGCACCTTCATCTTCTCCACCCGGCCGGCGGTGGCGGACGTGGCGGCCGACCGCCTCACCGAGTGGACCGTGGACCTCTACCCCAAGGGCGTGTGGTTCAGGAAGAGCATGCTGATAGTGTGGGCGGGGACGTATGATGTTAGTTTGTTTTGGTGTTTTTATTTGGTGTATAATGCATGGATCAAAAAAGTACTAGATACGCAATCAGCGACAAAAAATGTCCTCATCGAATCAGCGCTCATTCGAACATTTGAGCGCGCTTTATTTTTTTTGTGAAAACAACTTTAAGCATTGCATTTAAGGTTCATTTTACATTGTTGTATATTTATTTCGACTAGAATAATTACCAAAACACAAGTGACACTTTTAAAAAAACTTTTGTATGGAATTGTGTATCTAGAATATTTTTGATCGCTGGTTTTTAAAAAAAGAGAACGAGAAAGAAAGAGAGAGAAAGAAAAAGAAATCTTCTCTCTTATGTTCTAAGAAATTTGTAAATATATATATATATATATATATATATATATATATATATATATATATATATATATATATATATATATATATATATATATATATATAAATAAATAAGAAATAAGTGGTTTTTAAAACAATCCAACTATCTTCTATAGAAATAAAAATGAATGTTCGTATGTTTGTACTCTATGCGTTGCTAAACCATTTAACCGACTGTGATGAAACTGTTGTGTTGTTCTGAATACGCCTGCGAATGATTCTGACCAAAAAAATGTACACATTTGTCTTTTGTCTGTTACCAAAATCATTCAAGCTTAGTCGCTAGTTTTAAATATAAAGCAATGATTTTCATTATAAGTGTATAGACTGTTATGGTGGTGCAGGTGCCGGAGGTGGTGCTGCGTACAGTGCGCATCTCCATCACGTGCCAGAACTGCCCCGAGGCCGCGCACGAGTACGACTGCGGCGAGCCCGATGTGCGGGTCAAGGTATTACTTTACTGACTATTATTTTTAGACGTCCTAGGTTCGACTAACGGGTCGGGCCAAGTTCAGTTACTGATTTTTTCTATTAAGAAATGCTTAGTAATAGCCCGGAGTTGGGAAGTTGGCGGTGTGTCACCCCCGTGTCGAGGCTGAGCCCGGTAAGCTGTAGGTTTTGCGCTTGGTTTCTTACCGCGAGTGTCGAATGTTGTCCCACAGTTATCTAGCTACACTGCCGGCTTGTCTCAATGAGATTGACCGCCGTGACCGAAATTCATCAGGTCGGTATTATTTACTGACTTCATCATACAGACGACTAATCTACGATTATGCAAATATTTACACGAATTTTTTAGACCTTATCCTATAAGAGTTCGAGCGTACTTACTTCTTTCTTAAGTTATCAATATTTGAACCTCTAAAATATGAAGAAATCGGTAACCCATTAGGTATTATATTTAAAAAAATCCATACTAAAATTAGTAGACCTGCACTTAGTACTTAAATGCACTGTATACATGGACAAAATTAGTTTTCTATATATAAATTAAACGCGATGTTCTTTCACAGATAGGAATTCTTGTGTGGGGCGTGCAGAACGGCGTCGAGCACGTCGCCTCCGTCGTGGAGCGGGTCCATAGGTTTTCTGCTCAATACAGGTGAATGTCTCTACATTGTATTGTAATCAGCCCCTTAACAATTCAGAATAAGATATTAATAAAAATGAATGTTGGTAAGCGCATAACTCAAGAATGGCTGGACCAATTCGGCTTAAAAAAAAATTCGTATGTTTCTTAAAGGTCCATGGAAGGTTTTAATAAAGAGAAAAAATGAGAAACTAACGCAAAAAAAATTTATATGGCTAACGTTGGCTATAACTATTTATATCTATTTAAAACGTACCTAGCGATGAACCCGAGCGAGGCGAGGCCCGAGGGTGAGCCGCTAGTTATAAATATAAACACTCATGACTGGATTACAAATATTTGTGTTCATCACACAAATGAGTGCTCTCAGCGGGACTCGAGCCCGCGACCGCTGGCACAGATATTACAGCACTACAAACTGAGCCGAACGTATCGACATAATATTAATGCAGATATAATGACTCCGTGGTAAACATTTAAACTAAATGTATGAGTATAATGAGTGAGTATGCATGTTGTGTCGCAGGGTGCTGAACATCGACGGCGCGCTGGACTTCGACGAGCTGAACACGCCGCTGTACAGCCCCGCGCCGCCCGCGCCCGCGCCGCGCGCGCACGGGTGGGTCTATGAATATCTATACATATAATAATATTGTAACTAAGTCGAATCTGCACATTAAATATTTTTTTGGAAAATCTTATCGATACAGAGTCCGAATCTATAGTTTTTTGAATTTTTGTCTGTCTAGACAGTCTGTCTATTACCGTATCACGAGAAAACCAGTGGATAGATTTGTTGAAATTTGGTATGATGACAGCTGGTTATCCGGGTCAACATACAGGATACTTTTTACCGCGGGAAAATATCTCATTTCGGAGAAAAAATGCTAGTATATAATAAATTTAAATAAATATGCTGATAATTGTTGATGAGTAGCGACACCACGGACCTGAGACCTCCCGGGGGAAACAAAATCTGTCCCGCTCTGGCTTGCCTTCATTGGATCCGTCCAGAGACGAGCACAAGAGCGAGATGCTCGAAAGGGTATACTAAGTAATCTACATAATAACGCGATGGTAGACAATTTCATCTCTCGCCATCTCTTAGCCGACAACGCCGATGTTGCACCCAAGGAACTGTGCTGCTATGTAGGGGGCCATCTAGTTGGGTGGTGAATCACCGTTCGCCAAATATTCAATCTGAAACTGTTGAGAAGGCAGACGTCTAGTAGTATCATCCTATAGATCCAATTAGTTTTTCATTTCCCATATGGGTTACTCATAGATGGATACCGGCTGATGCGTCACATTCATCGATTAAAAAACTACTAGATACACAATCCCATGCAAAAATTCTCTTAAAACTGTCACCAATTGTGTTTAGTTAATTATTCTAGTTGAAATAAATATACAATAATGTAAATTGAAAATACAATGCTTAAAATGGTTTTTCACAAAAAAAAGCGCGTACAAATTTTCAAATGAGCACTCATTCGGTGAGGACCTTTTTTGTCGCTGATTGTGTATTTAGTACTTTTTTATCTATGGTCACATTAAACAAACTTAAATCTATGCTCTAGACGGTGTCCGAAGTGTTCAGACAGCTGCGACGCGCCGGAACCCAAACACCTGCTGGGACCCAACAGAGATCAACTACGGGTATGACATGTATTTTATAATTGATTTATTATTTGTTTATTTAAAATGTAGTATTAGTATTGTAATTTATGCAGACGTGCTTTGAAAATAAACTCTCACTATAAGTATATGCTCATAGTGTATAGTGATTAGTTTCTTATACGTAATAAAGACTGTGGTAGCCCATGGTATCGCGCTCTCTTGGGACAGCGAGTGAAGCAGGTTCAAATCCCGGGTCTAGCACCTCTGATACTCTCATGTGCGAATCATCTCCAAAATGATTACCACTTGTCTTACGGTGAAGGAAAACATTGTGAACCGCCCGCACTTTGCCAGCGTGATGGACTATGGAATGAATACGTAATGATGGGCTGAATACATACATACACATAATAATGTAGAATAGAAAATTCATTTAAACAACATCTTAGTGCAGACCAGAGATTTAAATGAGATTTTCTTTTATTTTTCAGATACAAGTAGTGATAGTGCCAATGACGGACTTATGTCACGTGACGACGCACTCGTGACCTCGCACGCGCCCTGATAAGTAGGTACTATACGAAGTATTCATGTGTTTTAATTTGATGTATCTGTTAAAATTATATAGTGTTACCACAGTGTACTTATCCATACAGTCGTCTAACGAAGGTGAGCATAGAGATAATACGCATAGAGTATGCAACTGCCATTTAACACCGTCAGTGGCGGCGTGGAGAAAAAAAGATAAAAAATATCTGCCTAGTTTCTATCATTGTTTCATCACGCATACGCATAGTAGACTTTATATGGCGCATAACTCATTTAAAACAAATGCACAGTAAGTATCTAAGAATTAAATTTGTATAAAAAATATCTTAATTTTTGTAATAAATTAAAATCATAGTTTATGAAATTAAATTTTCTTTCGTTTTTTATAACATTTAATATTACTTAAATCTTTTATGTTAATATCCCGTACACGTACAATTCCTATTGCCCACTTTCATGTTTTGAACGTATAAAATAAAAAGAGATAGAAAGAGGTCTGGTTATTCTTTGTCTCTTTCTATCGGGATATTATATTTTTGATAGGCTTGCTTACTCTATGTGTATTATCTCTAGAGACAGGGCAATCGTGGGGCTTGTGTGGGGAGCGGAGGGGCAAGGGGGGTGTGGGGAGCGGAGGAGTGCGGGGGAGGCGCTCCCGAAAGTCATACTTACTTTTATATGACAGTCGGGTCAGGGCTGCCAGATCGTATAGTTAGATACAAAAAGAAGGATTTTATTTGTCCAGTAAGTTCGGTAATGTTAAACAAAAAGGTAGTTTCCTAATTGTTGGCAAGCAAGCGCCATGTGCTGTACAATTGTACAAAAAAATTGTAGATGGTACTGTGCAATGACCTTTTTTTTAGTTATCCAATTTTTATTCTAACGTATTGTTATTGATATTTTTAATCATCACACTATCTCAATAGCTTTATTGATTTGTATAATAATATTTGATTTGGTATAATTTTAGCATCCTAACGGTATAAAATAAGTTGGCTCTACTGGCAGCCCTGAGTCGGAAAACGGCTTTAGGTTTGACGCGTATAGCTGTAGCTTGCCACGAAATGCCTCTATAGTGCTTTAATGGGACGTGGTTATGCAAAATACATCCAGCCTACGTAAACCGTTTTTTTTAAATTACTGTCATAAATGGCACCTATATATTAACTTATATACAGAAAGTATATAAAATGCCCAATATTTAAGAGGATTTTGATATACCAATTTTATTAAAACTCCTATTTTCTCAAAAGTAAGTTTTTAGGTTGGATCTGTTTTGCATAACTACGTCCAATTCCATTTGACAGCGTTTCCGTTAATATCAATGGACGATCGCATTCTGTATGGATATATATTGTAATAACGTTTTATTATTGTATATTTTGTTGTAAAAAAGACTTTGGAAAAGTTGGAAAATCTAAATTATTTTAAGTGTTGTGTTTTAAATTGACTTTTTAGTTAATAATATTACTTTGTTTCGTCCGTGTGTTTGGTCAAAATATTTTTTATGTCCTAATTAACTTTTATATGTATGTATAAGTTGTCGTCTGTAAGTTGTAGGAATTAAATATTTTCTTTTCCCCATTTAGTATAGCGCGAGGACGTGTTAATTTGTGCTATTAAATTAATAAAATTAATATTATATTGTGTAAAATGATTACATACATATATACATACATACATGAAAAATATATGTGTATCGTGTATTTAAAGTAAGAGCTGTTCATTAAACTGACATGATTATTGATTTTAAAAAAATAATTAATATTAACATGAATTAGATTTCTTAATTTTAGCTCATATTCGTGTTTATTATGTATTTAATAAAAAAAGCCCTTTTTTACCGTTTAATATAATGTATTAAAAATGTATGCATAATGCTCTTTTGTCATAAATAATTGAGTATTTTTTTTTATTTTAAGAAAATTTAAACTTTATTTGTTTATTATTCATAATAACGATAACTTCATGGGTCGTGGATTCAATTCCAAAACGACGCGATTCTGCATTAAAACATACATCTGTCTATAGGTCCAGCTTAGAGAATATATTTTGAGGCTTCATTATTAATTTTACTTAATAAAAGTTAAAGTAGAGATAAAAACGATGATACTGATGTGTCACTCAAGTCTTAACTTACAGTATTCGTATTAAAATAGTACCGTTCTGAAATACGCTTTACTCCGAAGACTTCATACAAGTCAGTACTCAGTACAACTCGGCGACTACAAGTTGTATGTATATAGCCCACTCATTGATATATAAAAAAAATAGATTCACATTTCCTAATAAATATTTCTTCAAAAAGTGGCGTATTACGGAATTATTAAAGATGTCGCTAGTAAATAAATATCATTGTGTAGGCCGTAACGGACTTTAAATAAAAGCAGTGGACTGTGTAATATGAATTACGTATAATCAAATTAGTGTATATGGAAGCGTAGTCCAGCGCGCAGGTAGCCCCCGCCCGCGCAGCTCGTTCGTCACGCGCCCGGTGAGAGGGAGACGCGCCGACAATCATAAAGTATTTTAAATTATCAATCTCACGTGAACTAGTTTCAGAGCGATACATCAATACGACTACTTTAGTCATTTTATTTTATAAGCTATATATGTTACAGTCGAAACACTTTTCTAGTCAAAAGTACTTTTGATCGAGAAAAACAGTCAAAAGTAGTTTTGACTGTAAATTCAGTCAAAATTCTTAAAAAGTTGAGAAGGAAAATAAGTTACATATTGAAACGACACATGGGAAACTTTTTTTTTCAGTCGAAAGTAATTTAGAAAAAGAACAAGTTTTGACTGTAACATGTAGAAATTGTGGTTGTGTAACCTTTTCCTTCCTAAATAATTTCAGTCATGCCAATTGCAGTGTGCAATAATGTATTAGGCCAATGTCTTTGTTATATTTGATTATTGATTAAAATATTTAAATATTCTCAGCGAGTTTCATTTTACAGTAATATATTATTATTATTTTACTTTTTTATTTTTTTTAACACACAGCACTATCCAGTTCCATGGTAAGCTACTATGTTTTTTTTTATTAGAAATGGGCTCACTCTTGACCTTCATCTTAGCTCGAAGGCACAGATAAGGTCTACGATCTGGCGAGTTTGCTCAGGAGAAGCCTGTTAACGCGCACCTTAAATAGATTCAGGTTATACGCACTCGGAAAAACAGACGCAGGTAGGGCATTCCACTTCTTGGCTGTGCGCATTATAAAAGATGACGAATAGCGCTTAGTGCGAGTGGTCGGAATGTCAACCAAGAAAGGATGGTATCCTGCAGTACGTCTGGTGTTCCGATAGAAGAATGGCGATGGCGGTATGAGACTGTGGAGCTCGTGGGCACACTCCCCGAATTAGTCTGTAGAAAACCGACAAACAAGCAACTTGGCGACGGTGTGCTAAGCTGTGAAGCTTAGTTTTCACAAGCTTTTCGGCGCCGATTAGCTTTTTAGCTCTAAGTTTTTGTTTATGTTATGAATACCAGAGAGTTGATACACTACACATATATAACTTTAAATACATACATATTAAAAATATAAACACCCATGACTCAAGTATAAATATTTGTGCACATCACACAAATGAATGCCCCTAGCGGGACTCGAACCCGCGACTACTCGCACAGCAAGTACAAACTGACAGTCAAACACAAAAAGTCACTACAAACTGAGCCAAACGTGATGTCAAATGTCGCTTGGGAAATCATCATATGGTTCTTACTGACCATCAACGTGCAGAGGACTGTGAAGCTTACTAAAACCCACAGCAGAACTGCTATATAATAATTGGAGCGTTAAAGAAGCGCTTACGCGCATAATATAACACACTGTAGGTGTGGTACGGATCCCCCCCCCCCCAACGTGCGTTCACCTTGTCGTGGTGGGGGGGGGGGTCTCAGTAGTGCCCGGCAATCTAACCGGGCGCGAAGCTAAGAAACGCACAGGGAGGTTGCCCACTTCGGTGGGCGGTGGGAGGTGGCCCTCTCGGTGGGCGGTGGGAGGTGGCCCTCTCGGTGGGCGGTGTACCATGCGGGTGGCTCCTGGTACTTCTCTGATAGCAGAGTGGACCTTGGAGCAACCCCATGGTTGTGGTGGTCTGCTTCGGCAGACCTGCCGTCGGGGCGTCGTAGTTGAATGCGTAAGCGATCCTGCGACGCCCCATTAAGACGGGGGAAGGTTTTGTTGGGTTTTAGTAGGTAGTACTGGCTGTATTACGCCGGTGAGTCCCACACGTCGTGCGTAAATGCATTTCCCAACGTTAAAAAAAAAAAAGGTGTGGTACGGACGGGCCAGAATCGCGGGGCGACAGGGATATAAGCATAGGCTAAGTTTTAAATTTAACAAGCTTTTTTTACTGACTTTGCTCTTGTAATACGGCGACGATAGCACATTTAACTTATACACACAACACAAATCCTTAAAACATTCAACTGTCAACATATTACAAAATAAAAAATCTATAGTTGCCGAGGCACTAATATCGTGTATTTTGTTTAGCCTCAGTTCTAGTACTAAATGTCGCTGTAAGTAGCCAGTAAAAGCGGTGCGATTTTATTTTATAACATACAAAATTTCGATAACTCGAAATGTACAAACAGCGCCATCTATGAATATATAGCAGAAACTTAAGGAAAATTTCTCAATAATAAATGATATAATTTGATCTCTTAAACCATTTTTTTTATTTTCCATCACTAAAGAATTTATTAAACCAGTATATTTTTGACTTCATGGGATAAATTAAAACCTCTCGTGTCTTCTCAATAGGGAATATGCGTGTGATGTAAATAAATGTAAAATATATATTTTTTATAATCGTTATTGCTTTTGAATTATGCGTATATCTATATTTTTAATGTAATTATTTTTTGATTAAGAAAATAATTATTAAAAAGTGCAAATATAGAAGGGAAACTTAAAGTAATCGAAACGCACGCCATTGGCCAGACCGAATATAACGTCAGAGTATATCATAACAGAGCGATTAGCGATTTTGTTCACTACAAATTGAGTCATCATTTCTGTGTATATTACATTGTGACGTCATGCTAAGTGCTCCAAATGGCGAGCGTTTAAAGTATGTTAACGATGTGATATTTGATTTTTTTATACGACATTTTAGTTCTTTGGAGATTTTTTTTTACAATTATATAAAGATGAAAGCTATTGTATATAAAATTAAAAAAAAATAACACAATTCCCTATTGTGAGTGACATTGGCGAGCTAATCAAGTGCCATACATTAAAACCGTTAACAAGAAAATAAAATTGAACATGACGCATACAAATTGTTTTCAATTTTCATCTTTTTTTGTATCACTATTCATTAGCGTGAATTTCTTAATTTACTTTAAAATCACATTACGAGTCAACCGCTCTAGAGTGCTTTTCAGAGAAAAAAATATCTATATGATTGATTTAGCTACTGCGTTCTTTTAAATACTTTGAACTTGGTTTTTTTTTGTAATATGTATGTATGTATGGTATTTGTATAATGTATAATTTTCAGTAAAATTGATTACAGGTAAAAAATATGAAGTAGTTTTTATTATTTAAAACGTCCCTTAAGACTTTGAAATATTTGAATTCTTTAGAAATACATAGATGGGTAGCGCTGTGGTAAGTAAAACAAAAATAAATTTCAATACATTTATATTATGCAAATAACTACACAATATATAATGGTAGGTCTATTACGAGGTCCAATATAATTTTCAATTCTAGTAATAGACCTTCACAAATGAAACTTTGTTTCAAAATGCATAATTAAGCATACTTAAAATTATAAGCGAATAAATTCTAAAAGGAGTTTTAAGTTGAGCAGCGTAACTAAAAAAATGTATGGTCAGCAAAAAACATTCGTATACAATGGGTGATGTGATATAATCTATCACACAAGACTTGTTATTGACTTGTGTTGCTTGTGACTAAAAATACTTTAAAATATTTTAACATATAAAAACCACTCTCCTAAACTTGGAAAAACTATGAACTAAAACTATTTTGGTCAATATTTTTTTTATTTTTCCTAAATTTTTTTTACTGACAATACACGCAACATTTTATACAAGTCAATGCATATAATATAATGGTAAGTAAAAGATGCAGCAAACAGTATTATTAGTAGAGAAACTAAATTTTCTTCTATTATATGCTACATATTTTTCTCAGCAGTGTAATTTATTGAACTTTTCTGTAAATATTAATTATTAATATAAAATATTAAATTGACAGATCGCTTTTTCTATTATATTTAATTTTTCTTCTTATTACGAAAGATACTACAATTTGATGTTGCAAATAATATTATACATGTATAAGTTAAAAAATGGAAGATTGTATAAAAAAATTATTCAGTTAAAAGGTTAAGTACATAATAAATCTCAAAATTAAAAATAATGGTAGAAATACAATGGAATACTTAAGTACAATAAATCTCGTTTCGCAAAAAAAAAACCACGGATTGCGATAAAATGAACACTATTCTTAGATATGGAAGTTAGAAAATTTAGTATAAAAGCCGTATGTTATGCTTTTTGGTATAGACAGTCTTTATTTAACTCTACTAGTTATTTTTGATGTGGATTTTCCATTTTTTAATAAAATAATTTGACCAAATTACTAACTGTCCATAGTTTTATCACAGCACAAAATATTCTTATTTTAAACCCTGGACAATTGACAGTTTTTTTTTATTCTAAAAAGTTAAATATTTTGGAATTTTTGAGTTTTTTTAATTTTAAAATAATGCTAAGGCAGTATGGGATACAAATCATCATCTACAATATAAATGCTTAGAACAATAATTATGTCTTAGTCAAAGTAAGCTCTCTCCGTGGAGGAATTTTCTTAAAATCGCGTAAAACGGAGCGGTTCATAAAATGAATCATACAAATATTTAGACTTGAGCTTAAAGCGGTCATAGCAGGAGTTCTTTAGGGAAGAGATTCATCGAAGCGTAGTCTTGCAGTACCTGTAAAGGTAAAAAGAATAGTTTAAAACTTCATACTCATATTTTAGATGTGAAACATCTATTGGCGCGCTTTGCGGAGCGACGGTCTCGACTTCCTTGTATGTACGCGCCCGTATACTATACACGTTGCTTCTCTGTGTGAGCTGCGTAATATTTTTATCCCACTATAGTATACTTGACACGTTTATCGCTTGTATACACACTTTGTATTTTTTTTAAATAAATGAACGGTTTTCGGTATAGAAAATATAGAAACAACAAGTTTATATATTTTCTATACAAAACCGTTTCGATGTTTCACATCTGACAGGCGTCCCGCGACGACTTTCTTTTTTTATTAATATAAATAGAAAGTTTGCAGGAAGGTCTGGAGGAGATATAACTGGTTAGGTTATTACGCAAGTAAAATCACTATCTATATAAAATATAATACGTATGTCTATGAATGTATCTATGTATTCAGCCCTTTTTAACGTCCCACTGCTGGGCTCGGGCCTCCCTTCAGTACGAGAGGGATCAGGTCATAGTCCACCACGCTGGCCGAGTGCGGGTTGGCGGACTTCACATGTCTTTTGAAAACTTGCTGGTTTTCTTAGACATGCAGGTTTCCTCACGATGTTTTTCCAAGCGAGCGCGTTACCACTGGGCTATCACTGCTTTGTGATATGCATTATGGCGAAATAATATTATTTAACATAGTGCCTGCTTTTATATAAAAGCAAAAAAATATCAAAATATTGCAATGCTATCTAGATTTCACATAATTTAAAATCGATAAGACCATTATATAAAGTCTAAACACTAAGTTACAAATAAAAAATCATATACAAAAATCAAATTTATTTCCATAACAACTTCATTAGTACGAGCTTTTTTATTACCTCCAAAAGCTTGTCAACAGTGGGCTTGGGCACTTCCAGTTCCATAATCGCACGCAACTTGCTTCCATCGAGACATAATTGCTTGTTTAGAAGCAGCTCTGCGCCGGCGCTGGGCTCGAGCGGCGTGTGCGTCAGCGCGTACTTGCGACACATGTCCGCCCACGCTGTTAGGTGCTTGTCATTCGCTTCTTCCGCCACTGAGGCTATGTCGTTCTGAAATAGATATAAAATAAATAAAAAAAAACCCCTTTATTTCTTGCATATAAAAATAAAAATTAAATTTACAAAACTACAGATTTCATGAATATAAAATTAATATTATTATTAGGATTTTCATATTTGTAAAATATCATAGTATTTATGCATTTGCATTTTATTCTAATAATAAATCATTTCTATTTATATTATATTTATCGAAATTTAAAAATCAAATCTGAATATTTTATTGTAATCTGGTGAATTTAATATTAAGCAACGCTTATATTTATTTAAATTGTTTTTTTTAATAGTATAGCTTATGTCTTAACGAAAATTATGTTAAATACAAGAGATGTGTATATATAAAATTACCAAACGAATTTCATACGGTTTTCACCAATCGATGGAGTGATTCATGAGAAAGATTTAGGTGTATATTTCATTAATATTATGTAAAATAACTGAAATATGACGATGATTGTTGAAGATGTCGTAAAAAATCACGCCAACTGGGAGCTTTATTGGCGTGCATCGCGTAAACTAATAAAGTTATATGAAAACAATGCATTACAAAATTGTTCCTCTTAAAAAGATCTACCTATTAAGCCGTACTGAGGGACGTACCCGAGCGAAGCAAGGGTAAATCACTAGTTATTATTATTATTATGTTTCATACCTTCGCCAAAGTAGAGATAGCAGTGCCATAATAATCATGATTTATATTAAATATCTCAGACACTAGTTCTGCGAGGCTTCCTTGGGAGCTGTTAGCTTCGTCCACTATATTGTATGTCTGTCCGTTCGCATCATTCTTCATACCCAGCAACCAGATAGCTCGGCATACATCCTTTACGTGTACGGTATTCATTTTCAAGTCGGCTGTCCATAGAAGTTTCATTGTTTCACCTAAATGTTTATATATGCCACCGTAGAGTAGACGAGGTGCTAGAAAAAAAATGTAATGTATAAAATACTACATCAATAATAGAAAAATAAGCCTACTATTGCAAAATTGTTATGTTTGTGTGTATGTTTGTACCTCCTTCAAGCGGAAACAGCTGAATGAATTTGGATGAAATTTGGTACTTGGAGAAAAAATCCGATACATTACGACATGTAGCAACATAAAGGACACTTTAAGTATTAAAATCTGCTAAGTGTGTTGCTTGCATATAAAATTAAAAATACAAAAGTACCTCCCTATGTAGGTAGGGAGTAAAGCAAGAGTTAAGTCGCTACTTTTACATATTATCAGAATACATATTTTTATTAGAAACTTTTAAAGGTACACATTATACAGTCCTTTAGGTAGGCAGAGATCCAACATTTTTAATAATCTTATTTTACCAACCAATCTCCTTTGTGATTTCTCCATTCTACAAGAAAACTTGAATTGAATAGAAATATTAGTGTCTATTCTTACTTAAGCTCCTTCTATCTCCAATTCCATAGACAATTGCTGGTCTAATTATAGTGTAGTTCAGTTCAGATTGCATTTTCTTAAGTTCTTGTTCCACACGACTCTTCATGCGGCCTTCCACCGTCCACGGGTCTACTGGGCCATCTTCTTTGTGTGGCTAGAAAAAGATATATTGTAATAAGAACCCATTTGGTTTAAAAGTATAAAAAATATATAATATAATAACTGACTGTATAACTGACTATTAATATGTATACTGACTAATAATAACTGACTGAAAAAAAGTGACTGCCTTGGTGGTGTAGTGGCTAGCATGTACGGCTGCACATCTGGAGGTCTTGGGTTCGAGTCCCGGATTGGGCCAAGTTTAGTTATTGAGTCTTTCTGTATAGTAAGCCTCAGTAATAGCCCGGAATTGGGAAGTTGGCGGTGTCTCACCCCCGTGCCTCGGAGAGCACGTAAAGTCGTCGGTCCTGCGCCTTAACTCTCACAGGTCGTGTCTCGTGTCGTCCCACCAAAGTATGAGAGTGACAGGAATAGAGAGTGCACTTGTGTCTGTGCGTACACTCGTGCACTATAATATCTCCTGCGCAGTTGGCTCGTCTCAATGAGATTGGCCGCCGTGGCCGGAATCGGTCAGGAGAGCATCATCATACTAGTAAATATAATAAAAAATGTATTATTTCAAAATTCTGTGCCTCGGAGAGCATTGAAAGGCCTAAGTTTCTGAGCCTGCTTCACGCGTCAGATTGCAGTCCCATCAGTCCATAGACCGACATATAAGATAGAGTAAGGGAATAACTACAATCTTCGTTTGAAAGACAATACAAATTGTTCATGTGCAGTTAGCTAGGCTCATTATCATATTTAAATGAAGTGAAAGTTGGGTATGTGACATTACACTTAAAATTCAATTCACATATTATCTTGATCGATATAAACACTAATATATATTTGATAAGCAATAATGATATATCGTAGCAGTTATATTTTTAGAAATAATTAACTTCAAACAAAACATGCAGCAGGAAGGAAATTATTTCTGAGACTATTGGTATAATATATGACACGTAATACAACGAACATTTATATTTATACATTGTTGCTACGTAAAACAAAAAGATGTTTACGTTTATTGCTATTACACGATTACAGTCATTTTGAGCCGATATCTGAATTGGAATCTATTACAAGGAATTGTAGTGCTGATTCTGGCGAGGAAGCCTTATGTGAACTGCCCCAAAAATATCTAATGTTACATTTAAAAATCCTTTAGATGATACCTTTCAATAGCGTATCGTTTACCTAATCGTATATAACAGACGAGGTCGTATAAACATATCTTTAGACCTAAATAAATAAAATTATCGTTGCAAACTTAACGGCCTTTTCCTGTGACGAAGTTAAAAAAAACAAATACATAGATCAAACAGACATACACCCAGCCGTGGCAAGTTTAGTGAACCTACGTCTAACATAATGGTAAAGGCACTCGAATGCCAAGAGGTAGTCAAGGGCACTCTTTCTATATTCGATGAAAAACGAGAAGTGATAGAAGCTTTTCAAATGTTTGTGGTATAGTGGCTTTCGAAGGGATTGACCTGAATGTGGTTTATTTAATTGATGTTTATAGCTATACATATATGTTAAAAAGCATTTTTTTGTTGCATTAAAGTTTCATTTTTCTCCGAAAAGTTGTGAATTTTTTTATTGATAAAAAATGCTGTCAATCAAAACCAAAAAGAATTTTGGTACGTATTGGTATGTTCATAAAACTAATCGCTGTTGATACAATCATCTTGGTCCGATGCTGCTAGCCGAGACGAGGACTAGCCTGCAGAATACTCAATTCCTCGAAATTTTTAAAAAGTATAAAAAGTTTACAAATGAAATTTTAATTTACATACTTGTAAAAAATGCTTACTACTAAAACCTCTTTTAGAACTTTACTCACCTTATCACTGCTGTACATATGCCCGCTGGATATCTCAACCAGTCTCGGCACTTTGAGCTTGGCGCATTGCTTGGCCACGTTGACACTTAACGTGAACAGGCCCTCAGCGTACACCGCCTCTGTCTGCCCCACGCGAGTCTCTCCCGCACAGTTCACTATGAGCGACCAGTCTTCCCCATTCGGTTCTAGTGCCGTAGCGCATGATGCTGGAGAAATAATTCAATGTAAAACTCATATACACACGCTCTGATACTTAAAATACAAATATAATGTAATAACAGAAAAGTAAGGGAGATATTTGGTATAAAATAACAGCGAAATTTTGAGTTTTAAAAGTTTTTGCCATACTCCTTGGTCAAACGTCCACCAAACCGAGTATAAATTGGACTTCATTATGTTCAAACTCCTTGTTTAATAGTATTTCTAAGTAACAGGAAAAATGGTGGAGATACGCGTGGGTTGTACTTAATTTCATTATAAAGCTGTGCTATAAGAAATTGAATTTAGTTCCGCTTTTAATGTTATTACAGCCCTCGTCTTGTAATACCTATTATAAATGAGAAAGTGTTTTCAGTCTGTTGTGACGCAGTTCATGTGAAATCATTTTAATTTAACCTACCCATTAAAAAAAACCTTGAAAATCGCCACCATAAACAATTAGATGTCGCGTAACATACACAAAATAATACAAACGAATTGAGTATCTCTGTCTGGTTTGAACTCTGTCAATAATTATCCAGCTTTACATAAATTAAGAAAAAACAATTAAGCATTCCCTGAGAAATAGACTTACAAAGGTTCAATAAAAAAGATGTAGCACCAGCGTACGTTAGTAATCGGAAGTGCATTAATATATGATATTAACCTTTACATCTTTCAAAGCGTAAAAAATATATAGCTTATTTGTTTTTCTAGTCATTAGTCCGTCATTAAAGGTGCATCGCCTCACACCATTGGTTCGATGGCGGACGCTGGTAATATATTCATACAAGTTTATTTAGACGAGTAAGTATTGTGTGCACCCATTGTCTGTAGTTGCGGTGAATACTAATCAACGTTATTGTCTTTTCTAACATATTTTTGGATAAACTTTCCTCATTTAATCGACTTCAAAAGAAGGAGTTCTCAAATCATCTGTATGTATGTATTATACTAGCGACTCACCTTCGCTCGGGTTCGCCTCTAGTAATACAAAAACAAATATTATATATTATTTTTGTGCTAGATTTCATCCAGATACGTTCAACCGTTCTGGCGTGATTAGCAAACATCCATCCAAATATCTACATTTCATCAAACTTTCACATTTATAATATTGGTAAGATTAGTAAAATATATTTTTATGTATGTTCGCGCATAACTTCTTTATCTATGAAACGATTTTAATGCGCTCGGTCCAGTAGTATGTATATATAGTCTTTTAATTCAATAAACTTCGAACATAGACCAGGGAACATCAAATAGGAATCCGCGAAATCAAATAGGAATGGTTGGAAATTGAAACCTCTTCGTCTTAATTTTCGGTAAACTTCGGTGACGACGGCACTCATTTGAGTTATGATCACGAATATACGAGCAGTCTTTTGGCTGTGACGACAGAATCAATGGATGATCAGATGGACATATTATGTATAGTACAAAAATATTTTCGTCATTCGAACTGTGTTTATTCTGTATGAATTAACTACGCTGTCATTGCGCCAAATCACAAATGATCTGAAAGAACATTTTTAACTAATTCTGCGCTATAGAGCATAGATGTAAGATAAAATATACTCCAGAGTATAATTTTATTGCAAGTTAATAAATTTATTATCCCTGACTTCGCTCACGTAATAAATTGATTTATTAGGGCTCTTACATTCAATTTTAGTTTCTCCATTGCGTCTCGCTTCTTTTTCCACAAACATAATTGAATCATGTATTTCGTTGCTCTAACAGTAAGCATGTTAGGCTGCCTATTACGAGGTCCTGGGTACGATTCTCGTACCAGACAAAAAGTGTAATTGTTTGTAAGTTATGAATTTTGCAATGTTATTAGCAGAAACCTCATGAATCAAAGGACATGCGTCATAAACTCCTGCCGTTCGTGTCGGCTTATTATGCCTTGAACTATGAGAGTCAATCAAGAGGAAATATGACAAATCAGAAAAGTATTATTACTTTAGTCTTGTCTCTACATATAACTTCTTTTCTATTATAATATTTGAACATTAGTTATGTTATAAAGCGTGTACTAAAGTAGTATATAAATATGAATATTTAATTATTTATAAAAATAAAAAACCCGACTGCGCAAAATGTGAACTAAAAAGATGAAAACAAGTAGGTATGTAAGACGAAGGAATATAGTATAATGCAATCGGAGGACGGAGACATACATACATAATTGTACTTCGTATGTTCCTTCGTGAACTTGTTTTTATCCTTTTAGTTCTCAGACCAATAAAAAAGTATAGACGGAGCCGTTGCAAACAAACGCGACGAAATAAGTGATGCAAAGTTTTGGCTTTGTGTGCGTAACTCTGTGTAAGATAGCGTAGATTTGCGCATGTGTGCTAGAGAAAAATGTTGCAAGCGTTGTGCTTACGACTCCCAAGTGCGAGAGATATACTTTGATAAAAAGTTTTGTTATAGGTAGTATAGTTTTTTATTTGCCTTGGTTACATGAAATGTAACCAAGTTACATTTCACTTGGTTACATGTAAATGTAAGTAAATTAGTTTAATGAGTCATTTATTCTTAAATAAAAATAATTAATAATTTAACAATAGGTACACACAAAACTTACATATATTAGAATAATTATAACTAATTTGACACGTTTTTCTTTTTAAGGCCTTTAACCTTCTGATTAAGTGTTTTGATTTTGCGTACATGAATTTGATAACGTAATTTATACTTTCTAGCTTGTTGTCTGAGTTTATTTCTTTTGGGAGTGGCAAATATTAATTCTAGTTCGAAATCACGGTTTTGACGTTTAATAATATACCTAATATACTCGAAAACTAAAATACAACAATAAGATTTAAAAAAAATAAGTTGTAACGTGTACAAAAATCACAACTTCCCTTACTTTTGGGAAAACAATATTTTACCAAAAGCACGCCCGCGGCTGACTACCGAACGGCCGTCTTCATATGGCTGAATCGTCTTCATATTACTTGCATCACTTTTTGTGCGCAATGCTCTGTCTATACTTTTTTATTGTTCTGAGTTTTAGTTCGCTTTTTACGCAGTAGGGTTTTTTAATTTTTGTAAATATTTTTTTATTTGTTGGTTTTTAGCATTTCTCATTCCAAAATATATTTAAACATATAAGTTGTATATATTTTTGTAAGTCATTTATAAAACCCTTTATTTTGATACCTCGATAGGTTTTGAGGAAAAAAATGAAAACATTATTTTGGCGCCAAAAATCGACCATTTTAATTTTTATAATTTTGATATACCCAATGTCACTCTCACAATTAGACATGGGTAAATCATATCAATGAATTTTTATGAGCTGCAGGTCAGCTCATGAGTCATATGCTTGAACCGGAGCTGTGAACCGGCTCACAGTTCAGCTCAATTGATGTTGTATGGGTACTTATAACTATAGATTTACAGCTAATTTATGACTCTGTTCAAACAAATGACGTGTATGATGTACCTAAATTATATTTGTATGTAATAAAGCAGCATTTCGAAAAAAGTTATTATAGTCATATTTTTTTCGTTCTTACACAATTATATGGGAATGATAATTTCATGCAATTATATATTTACGTCGCGATGAAATGTCATACCGTCCGTCGCAGAGTATAATAATATAGATTATAGACTATAGTACAGGTCCGTCGGCTCGGGTCCATCGAAATATCTGACGTTAGGTGGCGCTGAAGTGATGCACGGAGCCATATTAAGTAATATTGAGCTGTGAACCGATTATCTAGCAACTGAGCCGCAGCTCAACGGCTCTAGCTACTGTGAACTGAATATTTGAACCGGCTCTGAGCTGAGTTACACATAGTGACTCACAATAAAGACGAATCTAACGAAACCTCACAAGCCAAAATCCATCAAGCCGTTTAGGCTACAGAGCGTGCCAAAGAAATATACATACATACACTCGAAAAACATAACGCTCCTTCTGACGCAATCGGGTAAAAAGTAACGTTGTACAAAGTAAACCATATACTTTTATATAGTATATTAATAGCGACGTGATGGAGCTCTGTAGGCGTAACTATCGTATATTGGAAATAATCTTACATCCGTATCCGAAACCGTTAAATGACTATTAACATAATATCTCTATCCGTTTCCGATATTTCATACCCATGACATGCCTGATTGATAAAGAGCATAAATACGTTTTTAATACAGATATTCTGCTCCAATGCAAATATAGCTTACGACCTTCAGCTTAGCGGCGGCATTTCTGACAACTGCGGTCTGCGCCTCGCGTTATAAATTTTTCCTCAATAAAATTTTGTTTGTAACGGAAATTAAAAAAGTGGCCGGCATCGAGTTTGGGTGTATAATCTAAAAATTCACTTATCAGAGCCGATAAGCGGGTGTGATAACAGTTTTAGTTTCAATGTCAATCTGTTTGTTATTTTTCTTTAGAACTTTCTAAAGAAAAATAACAAACAGATCGAAGTTTTTATCTCTTGTGCTTTTGAGATTTTTAATAAAAGCTTATTAAATTACATAAAACAACAAAAGATTATGTATATAATTTGCATTATTGTAATAAAAAATCCAGGACTAGATTTAGAGACAAACTTTGGAGTGGTGCATTCATCACTATATCATTGTATGGTTCCCTCTATCTATAATTTATTACAATTATGAGATAAACAAATTTGAGATTGCATAATGCATTTTACAGTTCTAATATTTCTGAAGAGTATTTTCAAATGTGTGATCATTAATTGTATTTAGCCCTTTTTAACATGCCACTGCTGGGGCTCCCTTCAATACGAGTGGGATCAGGCCATAGTCCACCACACTGGCAAAGTGGATAATTAATTATTTATTACATAAAATAGTTATTGCAAACAAACAAAGGCAATAAGGAAGTGACTCATGCTTATGATAAAGCATCATAAGTAAATGTCAATGACATATAAATAACTTACTGGCTTCATTTAAACTAAGGCTTATTCTTATATAATATATTTTGTAGGACATTACATCAATTCCAACTTTTTTTTAATTAAAGTTTTATTTTTGTTACTAATCCTTAATAATTTTAAATTGTAAAATAAATATTTAATAGTAATCAAACATTAAAAATATGTAGAACATTTAACAATCAAAGAAGAAGATTTTTTAATTATGGTTCAAGTAAATAATAAAGGTTTATGTAATTGTATTATACAATTTTTTTAAACAAATGTTCATTATGTGTACACTTATTTAAGTGCAATGACTATTTATTTAACATTTAAACACTTATTCGTAAACTAGATATTTTTAATACCAACATAAAAAATGTGATAATGTGGAATGTTCATAAGATTAGGACACAGCCCTTTGATCAAATTGTGAATTTCGGAATAGTTTATAATGCACTCCTGTGGAACTGTATTTATTCTTGAAAAATAATTATGAAAAGCAAAATCTTTCTCAATAACTTTATTAAATAATCTGTAGTGTAGCAGAAGTAAATTGTGAGGATTTTATTGTTGTAACCCTTCTGTAATGTTAGGAAGTAGTGATTTTTAGTATGTAGGAAATATTATGGCCCTACTAAGCTAATTTTAAAAATAGTTCCAGAGTCACAGGTAATTTAAAGCAAGGTACCGTGCGAAGGAATCGAATATGATTTTGTAAACATAGCACTTACTTGGATTTATTAGATTTGCACTCTTATATTCGACGCGGGGGTCTTCAAAAATCTTCGAATGACATGGATTAAGGAAGGCGAGCTGTGGTGGAGTCTTATCCACTACACGTAACGCGCTCACCAGATCGTTGGTTATTAAATACTCCACCAGGTTCCGACCAATGAAGCCGCACCCTGAAGCAAACCGCACGATCAGATAGTAAAAAACACTTAGGTCACCGATGACTAACACTTTCAGAAACCGTTACTGAATTCAAAAACAATATCTATATAACACATGCTAATTAATGTAGACTGTTTATATAAGATTTCTTATATGAGTGAAATGAGTAATAGTAATATCTACCTCCTAAAACAACCACTCGAGGTTTTGAATTATCACCGGCGGATTCAGACATTTCGCTTGCGGTATCACAAAAGTGAATGACAATTGACAACTGACAGCTTGACACTTGCAGCAGGAGTGACATAGATCACCAATGTTGCCATATTTAAAAGTGTACTATAATCTATGTTATTATTATTTAATTTAATATCTAGTAAAAAATTAATTGAAAGTGGTAGCCACGAGAATGTCATAAATTAAGAAACATTACATCACAGATTTATAGCTGAATATTGAAATATATTAAGTAAGGACGCTTACATTGTTTAAATTATAAAAGTATAGTATGCCAAAAATGGATTTGTGTAGATGATAAATTACTAAAAAATACTATTTTATAGATAAAGGCTCTTATTATTGTTGTTTTTAATTGTATTTCAAAAGGATGGTAATAGCATAGTTGTCGGGTAAAAAACTGTAAATGTTATAACAAGAAGTACCTGCTCGTATTGAATTCCCTGGTAGATGCAGAATCAAAAAAAAAATAAAAAATAGTAAACCTAATTAGAAGTTTTTGAATTCATAGAAAACCATTACTACTTACTAAGCCAGTTTTTTTAAATTAATTAACAAAGAACTGTATGTGTTTCTGCTAATTAAAATGACTGTGTATAAAATATTGAAAAAGATTAATTCTTTTATTTATCATTTTAATATCAGATAATTATTAATTATAATAAAAAAATCAAGTTTCTGTAGGAACTTGTTAGAAGCAGGGATCGTAAAAACCGGGTTTAGAGTTAAGCCTTATAAAATGGTTACTTGTTCAAAATTATTTTAGAAAAACTTTATTTTAACAAAAGTGGAACCCATTAAATGTGGAACCCATCTTCTAGCAAATGGAAAGTGTTAATCATTTGTAATGGTAACCCTGTTATAAAATTAACCCTTTACCCTATCGAAATGATAAATCTGTACATTAAATATTTTTTGGCAAAATCTTATTGAAATAGACATTATTATCGATACACAGGCCGAACATAAAGTTTTTAGAATTTTTGTCTGTCTGTCTGTCTGTTACCGCATCACAGAAAACCACTTGAAGTATTTTCATGAAATTTGGTATGGTGACAGCTGGTTATCCAGGTCAACATATAGAATACTTTTGACCGTGGGAAAATGTCTCATTTCTGAGAAAAAATACAAAAACTGCATTGTAAGAGTATACTAATATGTAAAACGTAAGAATCTGGTTTTTGGTCATCTGAACGCGTGACAATGCTAGTCGTTTATAAGTGAATCTAAAGCTTTAACCCTAACCTTCTTTTTAAGGAGTTATAATAAAAGACTAGCCTAGTGAAGTAACCGTACATATTTTTGGGATAAAAAGTATGTGCCTATGCCTATAAAGCATGTGTATGTGCTATGCCAGACTATAATCTAGCTCTGTGCCAAATTTTATTCAGATCCATTTAGCTGTTCTAGCGTGATTAAGCAACAAACATCCATCGAAACTTTCGCATTTATAACTGGCGACACACCCTCGCTTTGTTCGGGTCCTTAGGTACGTTTTAACGATTAGTATAGAATAGATAAACTATGTATATGTATACATAGGTATAATAAGTTTTATATCCCTCAAGAAATGATTGATTCCCCATACAAACTTTTATCCCTCTTTTCATCCCTTTAAGGGATGATTTTCAGAGTAAAAATATCCTATGTCCTTCCCAGGTTCTCAAACTATCTTCATACCAAATTTCATCTAAATCAGTTCAGAGGATTTTTAGTTTATTATATATAAAATTTATCTCTTTATAGTATTATTAGCAGAACCCGCGGCTTCACTCGCGCTAGAACTACAAAAACAAAACTAAAAAGTTAGGTTTTATACAAATTTTCATCCCCTATTTTACCCTCTTATGGGTTGAATCTCGAAAACTGCTAAAATCCGAATTTATTTAATTGTATTGGAGATCATTAATACCAAGTTTCAAGTAATTCTGATCATAATTTTTTTTTTGGGTTGTATTATAACGTGTTTTCCCGTGGGAATGAGATAATCTCCCGCGTTAAAAAGTAGCCTATGTCACTCCTTGGAGGGCCAGCCCTCCAACGATATCCATACAAAAAATCACGCCAATCTGTTATTCTATTTTGACGTAAAAGAAGCACAGACAAACAAACAAACAACTAACTACAAAACTAACTACCTAACTAACTAAAAAACAACTTTCACGTTAATAATATTATGTACAATAGTCCATACTATTAACATATCTATATATATTAGTGTAGATTAATGAGAAGGGATTAATGGGATTTTAAAGGGATTATAAATCAAAATATTCCTATTAACTCTCTTTATTATGAATATATTTAATTAATAATGTGATAAAATGAAATTAAAATGTATCTTTAAATATTTTATTACTAAAAGCTAAAGTTTTACAGTGCTAATTAAACTTTACTATAAAGCAGTTCTTTCTATCCCATTTTCTACCACTGATGACGTTTTCTCTATTTTAATACACTCTGTTTCAGATTTGTCTGAAGGTAGGAAGAATGTTACAATCATTCCAGCTGAAAAAATATAGTTATAAATAGAAAAATTCTTAAAGTAATAATACATTTTAATTAATTTAAAGTACGGTATTAATAATAATATACTTACTAAATATAAGCACGATATATCCAGATATCATATGTGTACAGTAGTTACCGAGTAGACTGCCTATTATTTGGACACTGAAAAATCCAAAACCTCGTGCTACAACCACTGATAGACATGTAGCCATTCCCCTGGAACAAATAAAACATTTTTTCAGATATAACTTGCAAGAGTATTTGAGAAAATGACAGTCTCGAATCATTTCAGTAAGTTATAATTTTTTTATACGTGACATTTAATACAAAGGTTTGCTTTGTTTGCGGTCGAAACACGAGATATCTCATATCCCCCGTAGTAGACACCATCCAAGCTTCGTGCATATACCCATTAGATGGCCGAATATATTGGCCAATTTTGCATGTTGGCGATATAGCACTTTAGGTTTCAGGTAGGTCTCAGAGGTTGTGAGATTTCGATTTGGACGAAACATTGTCAAAAACATTATTAAGAAAGAGAAAACACCTACCTTAAATAAGTAGGATTTAACTCCTGCAAATACGCATTAATATTTCCCAATACGAGTACCACATATAAAAAAATATAAAACATGATAATGCTTAATATAGGTATTCTAATAAACAATAGAATAATTCCAGAGATTAAAGGAATTGCAAAGATGAGAAGCGTTGACTTTTTCTTGCCTAAAGGAGTAACTATAAATGTAAGAAGTATGTTCAAGAAGCCTGATATTCCTGAATAGCATATCACTGCGTAAATGGTCATTGGTTTAATTACACTGTCGCAGTCGGTTGTACTCTGCAAAAATATAAAAAGTAACCATTTTATAATGTAGCAATTACGTTTGAAAAAAGTGTATGTGTACTTTTGTACCTACGCACGTATGAAGTTATACTTCTTTGGCGTAATCGGTTAGTGTCGTGGGACATCCGGTAGGAACGAAGTCTATTTCTACCAAGGGTACCAGGGTAGCATAGACTTCGAGCAACGTATAGTGTACACGTTGAAGTTCATCGACGAAAAGCCTGCACAGAGTGCACACGAATTACTTACAACATACACACCTCAACTGTTATGATAGCTTGGTCCTTTTGTCGCGAGTACTAGGGGATTACGAACCTCAAGGAGTGCTGATTATACACATAATACCGGAATAATCTTAACCGGAAAATATCTTGAATACTTAAAGACTAACTTCGTACTGTAGCCAATAACGACTAACTTCATACTGTATTATAAATTTGTCGCATCGTAATAAATCACTATCAATATATTTTTTCCGCTAGTGCCAAAAGAAGTATAACTTCAAAAATAATTAAAAAAAACACATGGTAATGTTAAATTTTGTGCTATCTATATCTTTACGGTTTAAGGTTATTTATGTACTCATTTTTTTTATTTAAAAAATTAGAAATATCTAATTGTTAAAAATGGTACTTAGGCCTTATAACTAATAATGAACCTTTTCCATAGGGTATATAAACATACAGTGTTGGTAGGCGTGGCCGCAGTACTGGCAACTTCACAGAAGGTTTTCCCCGAGCGATCTTCGCCGTTAAAAAAAGCGTTTGTCATTGTTGGTACCCACATAGTATATCCTGTTGACCTGCAATGTTGAATTACTTTAAAAAATACTCTTTAACCCAGGCGCGGATCTAGAGTTAAATTTTGGGGGGGGGGGGGGGTCATAGGCTGAAATTATGACCAGGCGCAGATCTAGATTTGAATGAGGGGGGGGGGTCATATCCTGAAATGTATATATAATAAAATAGTAACTTAGCAAACTTAAGTTTTATGGCTTTTTTAGCAGGTATATAAGGAATAAAAATCCGTACACTTTTTCAATGATTATAAAAAAAATATAGTTTACAAAGTAAAACTTATCGATTTCTCCAGTTTTTTTTTCATTTTTAAGGCTGTTTTTACAGGACGACCGTACAATGTTTTTATTTCTTCAAAAAGTAGAGTGGAAGCAGAAAAAATGAGTCCTATCTGAAAATTGAACGACAATATTTTTAAATGATCCATCCACTTAAAATTGGGGGTCATTTTAAGCCTCCCGAGAAACGGCTAAACATTTCAATTTCAAAAAATTGGTTATTATATGTATTTTGAAGATTATATTCCTCTAGTTTTATGAATATCAAAAAGTTTTTGCAGACATTAAACATAATAAAAAAGAACAAGAAAAAATTAAAAATAGTTTTTCTTTGGAAATATGTCGACAACTTTGAGGTTATTCTAATAGTCATAGATTTTTACTAGACCTACAACTTTTGTAAAGAATCTTTTACGATAAGATGTCAGCCAGAAATTGAAAAAAAACTAACAATTTTAAACGGTTTGCTATACTTGTCTTGTTTGCTATAAACATCTTAAAAATATAAAACTTCCGGTTTTAATTTTTTGTGTAGCACATCGCGATCGGACTATTTGTATATCGCTATTTTAAATTAAAGAAAAACTTAATAACGAATAAAAACTTAATTCGTTTCGAATTAGGTACTCAAAAAAATTGTATTATTCCTTCTTTTCTTAGACTTCAAACTTCTCAAAAAAGTATATTTGGCTTTTGGGGCAATTCTCAAAAAAGTATATTTGGCTTTTGGGGCAATGTCATGACCCCCATAACCACCCCCCATCTGGATCCGCGCTTGCTTTAACTATGCTAGTGATAAAGTTATAATATTTTAAAAGCCCTTTGCATTTAATAAATAATAATGGAACAAGTTAACGAAAGACAATCGTAGGTATTGTGGAGTCGGAACTCACAGACATATATGTATATACATACACATATCTAGATTTGCAACAAGAAAATTTAATCCTAATCACCTCCAGGTAAATTTCTAAGAAATTAATTAAATTTCTAAGAAATCTATTGTTAACTGTAACGCCGGCGTGTCCGCGATCGTTGAGGGATTAATAATATTAAACATATAACTTGTATATGTTTATGTGATTGTACCTTAAAAATCTTAATTTTTCAAGACACAAATTGGCGTCTACAAATATCCGTCATGTTGATTTTTAATAACATCCATTTATAGGCTATGACACGCCGACACGACGCGTTAATTTTACGACTAAATTAATCTAACGACTATGTATATGTATATTGTATAATGTCTATATATCGTATACGTAAAATCTGTTAAGCCGTTTAGTAATTACGAGAGAATAAGTATAGGATCGGACATACATACATATGTACCTACATGTACATACAGACAGGTAAAACAAAAACTCTCCTTTGGGATTCGCCGCAGTTAGGTAAAAAAGTAAATTCGTCAGAACCAAGAACTTTTTAGTACTTACGTCATAAATGCACAAAGCAAGATATAATAGAGCATTAGAGAGTTTTTTAATAAAGGTGGCTTAAAGAGTGGAGCGGTTTGATTCCATATTTTTCGATAGAAAGGCACTTTTTCATCAGCCATAAAAGTTTCCTCCAGAATTATTGTTTTTACCTGAAAATATGGTCTTGTTGAAAGTTGTAACAATTATTTAGGCGCTGATTTTTTTGACGACTAGTCTAGAATTATTATTCGACTATATGGTGGCACGCACTATCTTTCGTGATAACATGACACTTTCTAAAGAATTATCTTTATAAAATGGTGTGTGTTAGAGGAACTTACGGGATAATCTGCAGTCGAGCCCTTATTAAATCTATAAATATTTCTCAATACGTCAGTCGCTGCTTCCTCCTTTCCTTGACTCAACAGAAATTTAGGACTTTCCAACATGAAAAATACCCCAATCGTCCCGACGATACCGGGAATGCATATCATTTGGAGCAGCAGTCTCCAGGGCCGGTAGGTCATGGACAACCATGGCACGTTTATTGTGAATGTTAGGCCGATGATTGGTAGTGCTATGACTGTTGATAATAAGTTTTTTAATATTTTATTTTTTTAAGTGATTTTTCAAAATAGTTTAGGATCCGATATATAAGTATTTAGGGAAATCTATAATTATAAAATTGAATTAGAAAAATCAATTTGTAATTTAGGTACTTAAATATTAAATAAATATTGGTCCAGTAGGCCAAAAGGACAAAACATACAAAACTTGTACTGTAAAATATAATGCATGCATAGGTAATAGGTAGGTATATTATGTATAACTGGAGTACAGTGGTGACTTATTTTTTATAAAACTCTGTTATTCTATATAACGGAAACCATTTTATTCACTCGGTTAAAAAGTATCTACCCTTTAGGCTTTATGTATGGTAGGGTAATGGGTATGCAAAGTAACTTTATATCTATTATAATACATACATATAAATTTTAAATCATTTTCATAAAAAAACCTGACACAGGCAGACAAAAACACTATATAATATTGCTGTTTTAATGTCCACGTCTATAATGAAAACTATCTAACTACAGTTAGCCGTAAATCGGTTTCAATACGATAATAATTAATAAGGATTACTGCTGTTAAAGTAATATAATATTATTCCTAATAAATAACAATTTTATTTATTAGGAATAATATTATATTGCTGCTCATATCATGCTGCTCATAAATATAAAAAAACATGTATCATCTGACTGTTATTCACTAGTTACCACTGTTAGCGCTATTGTAATTTAACAATCGATCGACTTACCGCATATTATAAATTGCACGAACATAGTAGCGCTCGCCATGAGGAATATGGCGCGACCACTAAATCTAAGCGGTACACTTTCACCTAACAATACAAACGCTGCTGCATTTGCTGAAGATGTGCTAAAAATGAAACAACTATAAATTAAATATTTTCGTATGAATTTAGTTTTGGGAATATTCATAGTTAAACTTATTATTTATGGAATGGCAACACTTTTTTTCTTAATAATATTAGTGTGCGTAACGTAAATTATTTTGATTGTGTTATAAAAATTTCTTCTACAGTGTCAATACTTACAATCCACCCGAAAAAAATTTCAAGACTGCCAAAGACGTAAAGGTTGGCGCGACGCTGGCAGCAAGATTCAGGAGCATTCCGATAGGCATCGCGTAGAGCAAAGTGGTCCGACGGCCGAGGGTATCCGCGCAGAGACCCCACGCGTATGACGATATCATTACTCCTATGAAGATATTCATAATTATTGCTAACACTTTTATTAGCCTTACTTGTAATCAATGTTGTACTTGTAAAAAATATTAGTAGTCAATTTTAACTTACTTCCATATCTGTTGTATCGGAAGTGAATAAAATAGAAGGAGCGAAAATATGTAGAGTCGAAGAGCTTGCTAAGTTCTACGACTCTACATATTTTCACTCTGTTCTAACTATCCCGCATATGGGATATAGCGTGAACTAATGTTATTTTTTATTACGTATGAATATATATGATAGGTTTGGTTCTATTTAAAAAAAAAAACTAATCATTTTTGAATATGTCTAATAACAGCTTCAATATAACTTTCATAGCTCATTATGATATTTAAGTGTGCCTATTTGTCTTTCTATCTCTCGGTCCGATTGTTTAGACTAGACTTACTTTAATGATTGAAATGATTAAAATTGGTTGAAGATTTCAGCGTTTTTGGAATGGGATAAGACAATAATATACATTAATATATATTATTTTTTATAAGGAAAATTCACAAAATGATTTAAGAAGTAGGTATAGGAGAAACTACAGCTTAACTGCCCTTTAAGGTCGTATACTATTTAGAATGTGCAAAAATATGAAAAATAAACAGTTTATAAAAAAAAATGATATGAACAAATACAAATTTTGTCGCTATGAAATAAAATAGATGCTGGCAGCTAGTGATTTAGGAAACAGTATCTACCAATGCATCGACTATTTTCCAGATTTTAGAAAGTTTTACTCCGGTTGGTATTTCTTTTTAAATTTGACATGTTTATTGACATGGAACAGTTTCAAAGAGATTATTCTGGTGCTATGGTCGATTAATTGAAAAAATAGGCCGGGGGAGAGTAAGACCTATAATGCGTAAGCATTTCAAGGGAATTAGAGCACAAGGTTATTCAGACAGACACCCTCTTTTTGATCTATTTATATCTAATTACTATATCGTACTAGTTACTGGAGTAGTTGAAAGAAATGCGTGGTGATAAAATATTTTGTTATATTTCAAAAATAGATTAATTTTACAAGAAAATATATATAAATATTTTTTAAAGTAGATATAAGGCTAGCGACAATATTTTTAAGTAAATTCCTACTCGAAAGGAGAAACGAAACATTGTTAATATCTGTATGATTGAATTAACCAATTTAGTTATATTTACAATCGGTACCTCTTATTGAACATACAATCTTAAATAAAGCTTACCTATTAAAGGAACTGCTGACAGAATCCCCTGTTGGGAGGTAGTGAGGCGCATATCGCACGCCGCACTGGGCAGGGCGACAGAAAAACCAAATATATCGATGTACATCGCCATGATCAGAAGAGAACACACTGCTAGCAGGCTAATGTTGTATTTACCAAAACCTGTGGATATTTGAATTAATTAATACTTTAAGCATCAGTTTTAACCGAATTAAGTTTTGAGTTAAATTTTCTATATTTTATTTAACTAGCGTTTTTTTACTGTTTTGTATTAAGTTGTTCACGATGTAAATAATATTCAACTATCTACTTGTAATTTTTTCTCATTAAGTGAATGTTAAATCGAACTAGCGACTCACCCTCGCTTCGCTCGGGTTCGTCCCTGGCTTGTTTACCAATATAAAAATTTAGCCCCATTTTCACCACCTTAAGGGATGGTTTTCGGGATAAAAAGTATCCTATGTCCTTCCCAGGATCTCAAATTATCTTCTTATCAAATTTCATCTAAATCGATTTAGTAGATCTAGAGATTACCCCCCTAGTCCTACAACGTCACAAACTCACAAACTTTACCTCTTTATAATATTATTATTATTACTAGCGACTCACCCTCGCTTGCTCGGGTTTGTCCCTAGCTTGCTTTCCAATACAAACTTTCTTCCCCATTTTGACCCCCTTAAGGGATAATTTCCGGGATAAAAAGTATCCTATGTCCTTCCCAGGGTCTCAAACTGTCTTCTTACCAAATTTCATCATCTAGATGAAAAAAAGACAGTTTGAGACCCTCGGATGTATGGGTAGATATTTTTACATAAATAAAAAAAATACTAGCGGCTTACACTCGCTTTGCTCGGGTGCGTTTTACATAGATAAAAATAGTTAAATAATAAAAAATACAATTCAGTAAAATTACTAATTAGAGTAATTACTATTCAATAGTTTCTTTTTTTTTTAATATATTAGTTATTGGCATTTTTATACCCGTCGTTTTATTATATTCTTTATTGCATTTCAAATGTGATACAGAAAAAAAAATTATTGTACGTCATACAAAAATAATATTTAGGTCCCTCGTATCGTAGGGTATCCAATTCATCCCCACGTATATCACGCGACTTTTCATAGTTTTCGAGTAATGATTTTTTTCGGAGTTATTGAGAATTTTCTATGTGACCGACTTAAAAAAAATAAAAAAATAATAATAGAAGAAAATAATCAGCTTCGTAGATGTAATTGAATGTTATGAAAATGTTGGTCGTAAGTAAAAATTTACGTTCGGAGAATTATGACTTAAATTTTCTACTTTAAATAAAAATCTAAACAGGTGACATTATGGTTCCTAAGTAAGCCTAAGAATGCGCCAGACTTTCAGCTTTTACAATCATTAAAAAAATATAGTAGGTACTTAATGGCGCTACTTTGGCTTAAATCGGTCTTCAAAGACAACGAGGTGGAAAAATCTTAAAATTAGCCATCTGAAAAATAATTTTTTTTGGTCATTTTATCGTTCCTAGTAGATAATAGTTTCTTAGATTTACGCTAATATTTGACATTTTAGATCTTTTCGGATTTTTTCACGGATTAATTTTGATTTTTGTTTCTCGACGTTTCGAATGTTTGACAACAATCATGGTCACGGGAGAGACTGATAATTACTGCATTATACCACAGATCACATAGTAGGTACTATAGGTACTTTATACTAAGTTTCTTCTTACACTTATTCCATCTTTTTAGTTTTTACGCAGCCCGATTTTTTATTTTAATAATTTATTTTTTTATTTACTGCTTTTTAGTTTTAGCGAAATAGACATTTGAAGTTTTATTTAACAATTCCTTCCACAATTTACATTTAAATTGATAAGTTTAATATATTTTTGTTATCGCCTCTTAAAAAATGTTTGACAGGTTTGGAAGAAAAAAGTTTCAAGACAAATTGGCTTTTAAAATCCGCTATTTTCATTTTTTATTATTTCTATATAGACTATAGTACTCGCATAGCGTTATTAAGACGAATCTAACAACGTATGAATCATCAAATTCGATTTAGCCGTAACTATGAGGGGACAGGACAAAAATAACCCTCCTTTGGACTTCCACGTAGTCGGGTTACAAAATATAAAATATTGAAACTTACCAGATAAATTAAGTGCATCTTCCAAGCTAAATTTTGCAAGATCCTTATTCTTGGTGGACACCTCCATTTCATTCACATAAACTAATTATATGTAGAGATAATAAAACATCTACGTTAATTTATTTTTTTCAGTTAATTAATTAAGCAGTTTGAAACATGTTTACAGTAGAACCGTCGTGATGTAAATGATACATAATTATATTATGTGTTTTGTATTTTGAAAGTAATATTATCATCTGTTTAGAAACAAAGTGTGTTATGGGTTTTATCTATTCCTTTTCATACACATCTATACTTTACTAAACAGAGTAGAGTATAGATTTTATTAATCAGGTAAAATGCACTTGAAGCAATCGTCATCAATTTCAAGTCCCCTTCAAATTATAGAGTTCAGTAACCAAAATGTAAAAATCCAACTCTTATTATTTGATCTTGACCCACTTTGGATTCAGGATGGAAAAACCACGGGACATGGGAGAGTAGTTTCTTAAATATTAAAGATATCAAGTTTCAATTAGAGGAAATATTCATTTGTTTTTTTTTTAAATAGGAGTAGGTAACTGCATTTAATTACTTTTTAAAAGTTTGCCTGAGTCGGTAATCAAATCAACTATCACCGCAAAGTGTGCATCGTCATCCTTTTATTAAGCTAATCGATAGGGTTTAAATCGTTTAAACAAACATTACAACTTATGGCTTACCATTACCGAAAACCATAAAATCTTACAATTTTTACGTGATATCGACTCTGACTAACTTCGTAACCTTAGCTACAGCTATTTATATATGGGGTATATATATATAGCCAAGGTTCGATCGATTTCATTATTTCGATAAAACGGTTTATTATTTTCGTTTTTAGCTGGTTCGATTACCGGTTGTAGGACTTAAATGAAAATGACATAACATGATTTTATTAACAAATAAATTAGCAATAATATATTATTACTCTGTGCATATGTAAAGCGTGTAGAGAAAGAGACTATTTACGATTTACCTTTTAAAGCTTACGTAGATAATGCTTAATGAATGCGAGCTAACGTAAGTGAAAATATTATGTAGATCATTATCGGTATATAGGAAAATATAATTACGTCATTTATAGAAAATGCCGTATACTAATAAGTAAATAACAACATTTACAAAGAACAAAAAAAAAGAATTATTATGAAATAATTAAGGTAATTTTGAATTTAAATAGATTATACCCAATTAAGAAACTAGCTTCACTTCTGACTTCACTCGCATGACTTAATCAATCGCAAATTATAAAAGAACTTGCGAGTTACACTCGATTCGCTCGGTTACTAGCCGCTAGCTGCCTAACAGCAAGCAAAGTGTTACTCCAGGTCTAGCGACCTTTTTTTTAATGTTAGGAAATGTGGTTTTTAGTGGTTATGTAGGACTCCCCGGCTAGAAAAGCCAGTACTACCCACTAAAACCCAACAAAACCTCCCCTGACTTAATGGGGCGTCGCAGGATCGCTTACTACGACGCCCCCTCGCGATCTGGCGTAAGTATTAACCTCACGACAAACTTATATATAATATACTAGCGGACCCGACAGACGTTGTCCTGTCTACACGTCTTTAATTTGAAAATTTCAAACTTTTTTTAATAATTTTTTTGATGAAAATTATTATTCAAATTGTAAATCTAAACCATTCCCAGATCCCCTTGAACACACACAAAAAATTTCATCAAAATCGGTCCAGTCGTTTGAGAGAAGTTCAGTGACATACACACTCACAGAAGAATTATATATATAAAGATATTGTGTAATGTAATAAATTGATAGGTATGATTTTATTTAAAGTTTATATCTTCTTTTTAAAGCATTTGAATAAAAACTTGTTCTTAAAAATGTTTGTTTTTTCATTATTTTTTATATTATCTCTATAGTAAAGTACAATGCTCTGTATTGCAGGTGTTATACCTACAAATTTAGATATACTACATAATGAGCTGTATAATTAATGTACCTACATATGATAACTAACAAATACCTAGTTGAAATTTTAAACATGAATTATATATTTTTTATTCTTAGGTGCCTAAATACAAACTTTCCATATTAAAATTCTATTAAATATTTCTTTTGAAGTGGGAATATGTAACCAGGGACCCCGACCCAGGGTTTCCAAACTCCCGGGGGAAAAGCCAACTCCTACCGAGCGCGTCCCCAAGTGGCGGATAGGGGAATGCCACCCGCTTAGAGGTGCGAGTGGTACCGGAGAAATCCGGCGCGGACCAAATGGCTTGGTGGGGGCCGCTCGTCGAGGCCTTGAGCCGAAAGGTTTGGCCGAAGACGTTGCGGCCACCTGTGGTGGGACTGCTTTGGCGGTCCCGCGATCGAATCGGGGGGTGCCGGTTGCGGGACTGCGGTGACAGGCCTGCGACCGGCAGGGGAGGGGCCGCGGCGGAAGAGGAGTGCCGGTATTACGGTGCGCCGCTCTCCCTGCCCTCCGCGGCCTCGGCGGGGCCGTCACCGTTAGATGGCGGACGCGGTGGGGCTGCAGGGGAAAAGGAGTGTCGGTGTGTCGTTGCCGCTCTCCCTGTCCTCTGCAGCCAGATGTGGGGTGGCCCACTTTGGTGGGGGTGAAGGTGCCAGAGGGCGGTCGACTTGGGGAAGTTGGCCGTCCAGTGTTCTGGCGGAGGAGGCCGTCAGGGGTGGTCGAACATCTCAGCCCCTGACATTGGGACGGGCCTTAACAGGCACTCGCCGTCGGGGTCACGGAAGAGTCTTTTTGGTACCCGTGGCCCCGGCCTTAAGGCGAAGGAGGTGCTTTGTCAGGTTTTTTAGTGGGTAGGCTGCCGCGCGTTCACCATCTTTGCGCGGCAGGAGCCCCACATAACCCGTCTCGCATCCCCCATTGGCGAGCGGGTACCCGGGAACAGGGTTTTTCCTGACAGAAAAAAAAGGGTTATCAAACTAATAGGTACTGTGAGGTTGCATTTTTATATAACGTATAAGCGTTTTAATTAAAAAATTATATATTATAAAAAGTACGCGGATATTCATTTGTATCCCTCGCGCTTTTTAACAGAGATGTCGATACCACCTTGTAGCGACGAAGTCATGAATTTATTAGTCAAGCGAATAGGTTTTTTTAGCCCCACAACTTTAATATTTGCCCTCCTTTTTTTCACCCATACATTATTTATTTAGTTTCGTAAGGGTGTTGTTATGTGTACGCAAGCGATCTTGCAATGTCCCATTGCACTGATAGGGTCCCACTGTGGGTTTAAGTGAGTCAGAGTCTCACAGTCCCCTGCCCGTAGACGTCCGGTAGAAACCTACTTTAATGCTTAACCCCATGATAGATGGATTTCCCCAGCGAAAACAAAGAAAGTTTTAGTATTAAGTAGTTTAATAATATTTTAGTAAAATTTTAGTATTGCCACGCCTGTTTTTATTTTGTTATTTGACTACGATATTGTCGTAGTGGGTCAAGAGCGACAACTACTTTCTAATTTCAGATATATAGAAGGTTATACTAAATATTCATTATTTTTGAGTAAAAATTAACATAGCTGTGAGCATACGAATTGTTTAATAAGGAAATTAAAACAAATATTTATTTGTATGGATGATATTCATATTTGTTACAATATAGGAAAAACTAGCGCAGCAGAGTAAAGCACAACACAGTATATTATATATAATACGCAGTATGTATACATAGGCTAGAACAAGCAGAAAACGAAGTGATAGGTATATTATAAGACTCTTATGCCCGATTTCACCAACATACCTTAAGCTACCACCTACGTATGGGATCCCTAGCTTAAAAGTCCCCCTAAACTAGACCCTAAATTAAATTTCGTTTCACCATCGTCAGGGCCCGTATTTCTAGTACCTATAATTAGGTGGCATTTTAACATTTAGGTGACCCCTAAGTGTCGGTGAAACAGAAACTGTCCCCTAACAGCCCCCTAACCATGCTTAGGGGATCCTTTAAACTTAGGTGACGTTGGTGAAATCGGCCATCAGTCCTCTTAAGCAATAAAAGTAACACTGTAAAGAACAAAAAAATCACCTATCACTTCTTAAAATACATAAAACCTCGTCAGTCATGTTATCGTCTCTTACTGGTGACTAGCACTGGCTCGTTTTTCGCCGAAAAGAATCGGCATCGCCATATTAAGCGGGGATATGCTGCTGCCTGCTAGCACTCTTGCCGCAATTCCTAACGCACATTGTATATATATATACTTACATAAAAAATTAAGTGTATACCTTTTTGTATATGTTATTAAGTATATTTGTTACTATAAAGACCTATCTATTTGTTTTGACGATCGATCATCCAAACCAAATGCTCAACAATGCTAATCCCCTACAATTTCCTGACAGGGCATATCATTTAAGTTACATATCTAATCTAAATACATGAGATAATATTTTTTAGTTATTATTGTATAACATATTTTTTTTATTTGATATTTGCTTAGTTTTATTTGAGGTGTTGTTAAAATTAGATTTGACTTACGAACTATAAAATACAGTATGGAATTGGTGGACGAATTCTGTGATTTGTTACAGATTCATGGCAATCGTGATAAGGTATGGCAAAATTATTCTAAATTTCGTTAGGATTAGATACATCAATTAATAAATATATGTTTGGAATAAATAATGAGTAAGTCATAAGTGTGATATATAGGGTGATATAAAATATTTCTTGCTAAGTTTTACTTCTTACCCACCCGAAAATCAGTCCTTGTAACCTCTGGCTTATAGAAAGAAAATTAGATAGTATAATACTGTGGTAGATCAATATATTAATCTCTAATATATAAAATTTTCGTGTCACAGTTTTCGTTGCCATATTCCTCCGAAACGGCCTGACCGATTTTGATGAAATTTTTTGTGCTTATACGGTACCTATGAGAATCGGCCAACATCTATTTTCCATCCCCCTAAATGTTAGGGGTAGTCCACCCCAAAAATTTTTTTTTATATTATTTATATGGCAAAACAACGTTTGCCGGGTCAGCTAGTAATTATCTAAAATAATAATTTATCATTTAAATCTTAATACCTATATAAAATTCCCGTGTCACGATCTTCGTCCGCGATGAACTCTTAAACTACTTATCCGATCTTAACGTAATTTTGTTCAAAATGTGTGATTTCTTCCCACTTAAAATGTAGGATAGTTTTTATCCCTACTATTTCCTTTTTTATTGCAAAATTAATGATTTTCGTACATGTGCCACAGAAACGCGTGACCGGGTTTGCTAATATTCTATACCTAATAGAAGGATATTCCGATACCTACCAGGACTACTAGGACTAGACAGGTCATGACTTACGGATTCATTTCAATTCAATTTTCTTGTTAATGGCTTGAAAGCGTGCCTGTTGAAAGCACAGATTACTTCGGCAATAACCTTAAGAATAAGGATAATTCTAAATGTAATAATAATCTTTTGTCAATGTTTGATTGTGTATATTCAGTTTAATGCGAGGGGGGTCAGTTCGTAGTCCACTATGCCGGCTAAGTGCGAGTTGGTGGACTTCACATTTCTTTCGAAAACTTGCTATGTTCTCACAGACATCCTCACGATGCTTTCGTTCACCGTATTAGCAAGTGGTAATCACATTGGTAGTGATTCACACATGAATGCGAGATCTGACATTTGGACCCGCTTCACTTAGTTTGGAACTAGCTATTTATTTATTAGCGAGCATGTTACTACCGGACCACAGTAGAAATTAGAATGCTTAATATATATCAATATAAAAATAATAATAAATATTTTACGTAACAGATAGTGTCGTTAACGTGCTACACCCTTAAATTTTGGGGAGCGACTACGAAACGCCAGAATTTGCTTACGGCAAGCGCGAAGCTAGCTAGCGCCAGAGCTGCATTACGACTGTTCGATGATGCTGCTGTGCTAAAAGCCTCTCTTCAATACGGACTAGGAAGACAGGTAGAAACAAAAATCGTATTCCAAAGACAGTTTTTAGTGACTTTTATCCTGAAAAAGTTTCTTTGGAACAGATTCCGTTTATAACCAGCGGAACTGTTTAATAAATTTTATTTTTAAAGTATAAGTAAATATTTTTATAGAATATTTTACAATGTACGTACGAACTCTTACCTAATAAACAAATGTATTTAAATTATTAACTTTTTATAGGATGGTCCATGGTGGGGAACATTAGGTGTAACGAATGGTGTATTTACTTTAGCTTACTTGCAAGCTGAGAAGATAGTATTTTTACTTGACACTGGCGTACTAAAATTGAATGAAGAAAGTGCTCTCAAATTTAGGATTGCACACAAATTATTCTGGTCTTTATATTCATTTGTTGCATTCATTAGGTAAGTTATAGCTTATCTTATTAATTGTTAAAAGTAAAATTTAAACCTAATCAGTCCTCGACTACAATGCCTTCAAGGCATTAAGGAAGAGTTGAATACTTATGTAATATTTACAACTTTACCATACAAAAGACACGTGCTATTATATCTACAACCATTATTACTATCAATAAGTAGGTATTGTCCAGTAGTATTCCTGATAGCTTCTGTCAAAATCTTAAGTTTTGCTTTGATTTTATCTGATTATTTTTATCTTCACCACGTGCTCTGACGTCTGATATATTTGAGAGTAAAGATCGAACACAAATCGTTTAATTACTAAAAACTGAATTTTAAATTAATGCTGGTATAATTTTATAGCACTACTTATGAGCGGACGACACATTTGGCTCAGTTTCTAGTGACCCTACTTGCTGTGCCAGAGGTCGCGGATTCGAGTCCCGCTGGAGGCATTCTTTTGTGTGATGGGCACGAATGTTTTAACACTAGTCATGGGTTTTTATATTTATAATATGTATTTAAAGTTAATTATGTATGTGTAGTGTATGAACTGTCTGGTATCCATAACACAAACCTCGTAGCTTACCATAGAACTAGATGGTGCTGTGTGTTAATGTCTCAACATATTTATTATTATTTATTGCTTTACAGATCAATCAAAGCGTTACATAATGCAGCTCAAACATTAAAAGATCCGAATCGTCCAAAGTGCGCTTCAGCAAGGTTTACGCAAGCGTCTTTAACGACTACAAAGATGCTACTCGATGTCATCCATGTGGTCAACTGGTTGCCTAGAGGCTGGCTATGGGGGAGTTACTTAGATAATTCCCACGCTGCTGGTATCGCAACTCTGTCTGGAGTCTTGGGTTTAGTCATCCATTATCGAGGGAAACGATTGCTTCCACGATAACTTTATTTGAATCAATAGCATTATCTATTACTTAGATGGGCTGCTAATATTAAAAGCGAATATAAACTTTCGAAATGAAACAAAGGAACCACGTTTTAAGGGTTCAGTGGGTATAACTATAATGAGTAAAATCAACTTTTACTAAGCTTATATTAAGATTATCGATATAAGCGTCTAAATTTTAAAATATTCTTTTTTGACCTACAACAAGATTCTAGCAAACTTCCGCTTTGTGAAATTAGATATTGTTATTTGTTTAACCGAAAAGTAAGTACTTAGCATTTTTCTTATATAATCTTAGATAAGGCGTTATCTTGAAATTTACAAATTACCCAACACAATTGATATTTTTCTATATACATATATCACCGACATTTCTTGTCAATATTAATTAAATACCTATATGACACGGTTATTAAGATTTATTTTTGTTTTATTTACAAAATCACGATTTAAATTTTTTATGATGAATAGTTTATTTTTAAGTTAGAAAATACCAACCATGTTTATCTTAGAGTATATATTTTATACTAGCATTGCCCGCGGCTCCGCCCGCGTTCAGATGACCAAAAACCAAATTCTTAGGTTTTACATATTAGTATACTCTTACATTACAGTTTTTGTATTTTTTCTCAGAAATGAGATATTTTTCCGCTGTAAAAAGTACCTATATGTTGACCCGGATAATCAGATGATAATCCGGGTATCTATGACCATACCAAATTTTATCAAAATCCGTCCGTAGTTTTTCTGTAATGCGGTAACAGACAGACAGACAGACAGACAGACAAAAATTCTAAAAACTGTATCGATAATAATGTCTATTTCAATAAGATTTTCCAAAAAATATTTAATGTACAGATTTGACTCAGAATTTTATTATATGTATAGATTACTTTAAAGTATAAGCTACCACTCCACTAATAAAATGATCATTTGACATCTTTAATTGTTTGCTTTAAATAGTAATTATAACATCTCCTTAGGTTTACTCATTAAGAATTAAAATACATAAATTTCAATTTTGTCGATTAATTTTCAGATTCATATTAGAAAATTATAAGAGTTTCATCAATGCGATATATTAAATCAAAGATAAGGAATATTTTTTTTTAATTTAGTTTGCTAAGTATCCAAAGACCTAGAACTTAACATTGCCCTACCTTCTTAATTAAACCATAGGGCTTCGAATTAAAAATTATAAAAAAAAGTACACCTGGGGCTCATGCCTTTCAGCGCATGCATTTTAAAAATTACAAATGACAACTGTCTTAATATTTTTATTATACCTCTGACTTGCACTTGCGTTTTTTAATATTAAATAAATTATTAACATTCTTAGCTATAACTTAAACAACATTTTATATTTAAACATTTATTTGAATAAATAGTTAACATCATCCATAAAGAATTTTAAAATGTATTTTTAAAATTTAGTTACGCACCGAAAAATATATTTTTGTATTTAATAATTTTCTACTAGTTACACTGATTATATTAATAAACGTGGATTTTTCAAAGTATATTGAGCCAAGTAATACGCCCTATTCATATTAAAAAGCACAGATTCAATAAGAAGAGTACTTAACTCTAATCAAGTTTGGACAAACTGACACAACATTTATATAGATGTATTACTTAATATCTATGACTGGTTGCTTGTTGTGCTATTATAAGTAAAATTTAGTACCTAATTATTTAAGATATTGAATAGGATTTACAAATAATTGAAAATAAAGCGAATCAAATTTAGTGATATGACAGATAAAGTGAAATTGACAAGAATGGTACTTCTGTCACAATAAAACACTTTAATTTGTGCTCGACTGGCACGCATTAAAGCCATTAAACTAAAAAACTGAACTGAAAGCACTTATCACATGGAGTAACAATACACATATTCTACGCGGCATTGGCGAAGTAAATGGTGCCCAAACGGCACTTCTAGAAGCCATTGAACTTAACAATTGAATTGAACAATACACATATAATTGTGCTTTACAAAATCAAACAAAATTATAGACTAAGTTTAAAAAAAATATTATATTTACATATCTTTAGTTAGCAAATAATCACAGATAATTTGTCATATTCGAAGTAACAAGCAATAGTAACGTACGTGTCTGACACTTAATGTAACTTATACAGAATATAGATAATTAAATATACTAAAACCTCTTTTACACTTACAGTTATCATAATATTTAAAATTATAATAAATGAATATTTAATAAACAATTCGTGCTTACAACGGTGAAAGTGTGTAAGAGGCTTTATAAAGGACTAAAATTGTGTATACACCCAGAAATGTTAGATAATATATGTATATTTATAAAGTATTTAGTTGAGGTTCTGAATTGAACTACAGTTATAGTATTATATTCTAAAAATACAATATTTACTTATATCTCATTTTTTGTAACGTAAAAAATATGAATCTTAAATGGATTTTAAAACTGTTGGACGTAATTTATCTATAAAGATCATTTAAATTGCAATATATTATTTTTTCCTAAACAGTATGTTAGTTTTACTCCATTCTTGGCATATGTAACAATAATTCGGTTAATTTCAATAAATTTGATTTAGATGTCAATTTTCAGTAAATGTATATATATTTTTTTTTTAAATAAGTAATGGTGATAATATAATTGTAATAGATAGAGAATGGTTGAAGCAACTTTGAAGATATTTACACAAAATATAATTCGCTCAACAAAAAATAAAGAAAATAAAAACATTAAAAAAACATAGACAATCTTACTTCTTATAACGATTCGATTTAAAGATAGTAAATACATTTTTTATTGAGCATTATGCCTTTATAGACAAAGACATTAAACTATCTTTATATAGCCATACTTGATACTAGCATTGCCCGCGGCTCCGCACACGTTCAGATGACCAAAAACCAAATTCTTAGGTTTTACATATTAGTTTACTCTTACATTGCAGTTTTTGTGTTTTTTCTCAGAAATGAGATATTATACTATCCCGCGGTAAAAAGTATTCTATATGTTGACCTGGATAACCAGCTATCACCATACCAAATTTCATCAAAATCCATCCAGTGGTTTTTTGTGATGCGGTAACAGACAGACAGACAAAAATTCTAAAGACTATAGATTCGGGCCCTGTATCGATACTAATGTTTATTTCAATAAGATTTTCCAAAAAATATTTAATGTACAGATTCGACTTAGTTACAATTTTATTATATTTATAGATAAAAGGAAGGTAGTATAAAATACATTTAATATCTATTTATGTTCTATCGAAAACAACACACATAAGTCAAGTTTTCTTATACCACAGTATTATTGATATACATACATTTTTCGTAACCACAAAACCATCCATGTTCAGTCCATATTTAAAGCTCTCATTCCAATAATAAATCTAAATAGGCCCTTAATTTTCCCAAAACATTGATAAAATTACATTATAAGAACTATGTCAAGAAATTATTCTATAACATTTTTAAAGTTGTCACCATCAAAACAATGACGTTTATTTGGCCATTGTTATAATATAGCATATTATCAATATACAAAAATTTATACCTCTATATACTCGTGAGCAAAAAAATCGACTCAGACGACACATCTGTAGTCGCAAGTCACTGGAAAAAAAACTGAAAGCAAATATTTTTTTTTCATAGTAAAATCTTAAAGCTGCTAGTATTAGCTTCAAAATGATATAAAATATTGTAAGGTTTATTGCTCACACAACCCAACAATATGTTGTGATCAGTAACCACCTTTTTTACGCATGTTTACAATAGTGCTAATTAAGGGAAACTGACCCTACTACTGAATATAAAAGGTTATCTACCTGACCCACCCTTATCAGTTAGCCGTCAAACGTCAACCGATACACATCTCCGTTATCAACAATCAAGAATTCTACCTGAAAATGGACACAACAAGCGATTTAGCAGCTCAAGCGATCACCCTATTGCGACAAGGCCAGAGTCAGCGTGAAGTGGCACGTGCACTGAACATGAGCCAGTCTGCTGTTTCCAGAGTTTACCGTCGTTACCAGGAGACTGGTGGCTTTAATCGAAGACGCGGTTCCGGTAGAAAAAGGTGCACATCAGAGAGAGATGACCGATTTATTGTCAGCACATCGTTAAGAAATCGGGCCCTCACTGGCGTTCAAGTCCAACAAGAGCTCAGAGAAACGCGAGGAGTAGCTGTGAGTGCCTGGACAGTCAGAAAACGACTTAAGGCAGCTAGGCTTGAGCCAAAAAGGCCAGCTACTGGCCCCAAATTAACCCCAGACCACCGAGCAGCCCGCCTACGTTTTGCTAGAGAACATGTTGATTGGACTGACGAACAATGGAGCACCGTTCTCTTCTCAGACGAAAGTAGAGTGTGCTAGCATGGTAGTGATAGAAGAGGACGAGTCTACAGAAGACCTGGGGAAAGATTCGCGCAGTGCTGTATCAAAGAAAATGTTGCTTTTGGAGGAGGTTCCTGGATGGTGTGGGCCGGCATTTCAAGCGAGGCAAAAACCGAGTTGGTTTTTATTGAAACTGGCGGTCGAATGGGAGAATTAACGGCGATCCGATACATCGAAGAGATTTTAGAGGATCACGTCGTTCCCTACGCCGGTTTCATTGGCGAAAACTTCGTCCTAATGCACGACAATGCCCGTCCACATACCGCAAGTTCCGTCCAGCAGTATTTACAGGAGGTCGCAATTGCCGCTATGGACTGGCCAGCGCGTAGCCCGGACTTAAATCCTATCGAGCATTTGTGGGATGATCTTAAAAGAAAAGTTTGGGCTAGAAATCCTGCACGTCTGGTGCACCTCAAAGCAGCGCTAATCGACGAATGGAATAGCATCGAACAAGATCGAGTAGGGAAACTTATTCGATCTATGAAAAAGCGATTGGAAGCTGTTATTAGGGCCAGGGGGGGCAACACTAAATATTAAAAAAATAATTTTAATTTAATTATTGTTTTGACGAATTTTACGTGGTATTTTCTTTACCGTCAACCATCACTTTTTTTATTGCTTAAGACTCCATCTCATTCAATATTTTTTCTTTACCAGAAAACATTTTTTAATAACAACATAGACCACTCATTTTAAAGCTAAAACAAAGAACTTTGAGATGTTAAAATCAGAAATATAATAAAAGCTTCCGATTTTTTGCTAGAGCTTTTTAACCGCAAGCGTGCGTCCTGAGTCGATTTTTTTGCTCACGAGTGTAGTACTCTCCTCGCCGTATTTCGAGCTCGCGAATCCGTGTCCACTTAGATGTGCTCACGTTTCACGATAAAGAAAGATAGTACATAATTTCTCATATGAGTGAGCGAGACGTATATTTAATACTGAAACGCCATGCGTTTCCATGAATTAAATCTTTGGTTCGAGACTATTAACGACAGACATGCATATTAGAAACAGGAATACAGAGCGACAAAAGGTAAATGTTCGTCCAATATACAAGAGTATTTCTCTAAATGTGCCAAACCAGACCAATCAATATACGTTATTGGTAATATTTATACGTCACTTTCACACATACACTTCCTTGATTACTCTATAGTTCTGAAGACGGTGCAATTATATATTCATATGATGCAATCTGCACTTTACCGAGCTTTTCATTCCGAAAACAAGGAAACCACGCATGTGTGAAATGTGCACATATGTAGATGTCGGCAGGATTTCATAATAATCCATTGCTTGATTACATTTCTTATTTTATTAGAAATATTATTTATGATTTTTTTTTACTTTTAAATTTAATTTAAAAGGCATTGACAAAGGTAACACCAATAATAATTTAACTTATTCGACACGTTTGTATTTAACTTTCGTACATTGCACCTTGATTCACACAGTACTTACTTATCTGCGAAAGCCGTTTACTTCTTGAATGGATTTTTGAGGCACATCCAGGAGGGGTGCGCGCCGGCGTCATGCTATATGGCCTCGGGCATGAGCTGCAGCTCCTGCTGGAAGTAGTGGTCGTGCGCGGGGTGTAGGCGCGCGGCCAGGCGCGGCAGCGCGCGGGGCGCGGGGGCCGAGCCCGCGGGGGACACGCCCAGCGCCGCGCACGCCGCCTCGTACGACCGCGTCGCGCTCTCCGACGGCGAGATGATGCACAGCGCCAGCCGGCAGAGGAGACGGTGTCTGTGGGCATTGTTGCGTTTATGTTATTATAGAAGATTTGATTTTTGAATGTGTTTTATATGATTATTAAATATAGTTGTTATAGAAGTTGTTTATGTCTAGATTCTATTTTATATTTGTACTCCTTTATATTTGATTAATTTTATACTAAATTACATAACATATTAATTATAAAACCGGCGTTTAACACGACATATAGTTGTGACACTCTTGCATGAAATTACTATAATTACGTTTAAATTGAAAGGAATTTTTATTTTTAATAAGCGTCAAATAACAATAATGTCAAATATAATTTGCTTATCTATACCAATATTATAAAGTTTGTGAGGTTGTGACATTGTAGGGGGTAATCTCTGGATCTATTGAACCGGTTTTATCCCGGAAATCATCCCTTAAGGGTATGAAAGTTTGTATGGGGAATCAACCTAGGGCCGAATCCCCCCAACGTGCGTTCACCTTGTCGTGGTGGGGGGGCTCAGTAGTGCCCGGCAATCCAACCGGGCGCGAAGCTAAGAAACGCACAGGGAGGTTGCCCACTTCGGTGGGCGGTGGGAGGTGGCCCTCTTTGGGGGGCGGTGTACCATGCGGGTTGCTCCTGGTACTTCTCTGATAGCAGAGTGGACTGTGGAGCAACCCCATGGTTGTGGTGGTCTGCTTCGGCAGACCTGCCGTCGGGGCGTCGTAGTTGAATGCGCAAGCGATCCTGCGACGCCCCATTAAGACGGGGGAAGGTTTTGTTGGGTTTTAGTGGGTAGTACTGGCTGTATTACGCCGGTGAGTCCCACACGTCGTGCGTAAATGCATTTCCCAATATTAAAAAAAAAAAAAAAAGGGCCGAACCCGAGCGAAGCGAATGTGAGTCGCTAGAATCTAAGAAAGTATTATGCAGATATATATGTATGTATTCAGCCCTTTTTAAAGTCCCACTGCTGAGCACGGGCCTCCCTTCAATACGAGGGGGATCAGGCCATAGTCCACCACGCTGGCCAAGTGCGGGTTGGCGGACTTCACATGTCTTTTGAAAACTTGCTAAGTTCTCTCAGACATGCAGGTTTCCTCTCGATGTTTTCCTTCACCGTAAGGCAAGTGGTAATCATGTTAGAAATATATCCATATATATCCATATAATGCTATACTAACTGCTGTGTGGGACAGTGCGCGGTCTGCAGCGCCACCAGCTGCAGCAGGGAGCGGCGCTGCTCCGCCCAGCGCTGCAGCAGCGCGCGCGCCGCCTCCGCGCACTCGCGGCGCTCCGCCTCGCGCTCCGCCCCCGCCCCCGCAGCCCCCGCCTCGCCCGCCGCCGCGCGCACCGCCACGCGACCCGCCGCGCAGATCCAGACGGATATAATTATTTGGTTCTCAGAACTGAGATTTAAATTTAGTTAATCGATTACTAAAAAGATTTAGAAGCAGAATAATTTGTACAGATAAATAAAATTGAAGTGTCTATCTGTAATGTCAAAATAACAGCGTTTTACTAAATGCATATGAAATTATATACTATACTGATAAGAAAAACACAATTTTTTAAAAAAAATCTGTCTGTTTGTTCCGGCTATTCTCCGAAACGGATGGACTGATTTTGACGGGACTTTCACTGGCAGGTAGTTGATATTATAAGGAGTCAAATAGACTGCTTTTATTTCAGTAAAAGAATTAGGGTCCCGCTCAAGAAATTTAAAATGTACCACCACTTATCTTATATATATCTTAGTATCTTTATATTTTACGAATCATGAAAAAATAAGAAATGGTCCTATAGTGCAAAATAGAATTTGCAATTTGCAGGTGTGACTCTGGTCAGTAATATACGCTCAATTCAATTATCATTTAATTGTTAGTAATTTTGTAAAACAAAATATTTAAGCGAGTACGATTTACTTTCTATGATCTACACGAGATAAAACCAATAATTATAGTTATATTACCACTGATCAATAACTACAGTAAACACATTTTAATACCGATGATTTAAATAAATTCCATAAATAAAGGATGAAAATAAGTATGAAAAAAAAACAATATTAATTAATAAAATTCAATTCTCTTGTTAATGGCTTCAAAGCGTGCCAGTTGAGCACAGATTACTTCGCCAACGTCTCGTGTAATAGAGAAGACATTTTGAAATAAATTATTCGGGAAATTGTCAAAGTATATTAAAATTATAATGTTTATAAAAGAGCAATCAACAACGAAAGCCAACTCACAAATCAATATCAGTGTTAACAAGCGATCTGAATATCTGGCGCAGGTGCGCGTGCGAGTGCGCGCGCGCCAGCAGCAGCGCGTAGGCGGCGTGCGCGCGGCGCCGCAGCACCAGCGCGCCGCCCTCCGCCCACGGGCAGCCCGACCAGCGCGCCGACACCTCCGACCAGTTGCCTTCTGTAATTAATATATATTATATATAATATACATTTTGGATTTAGGATTGCATTTTGCAATATATTTCACATATTAACTATTACTTTATATGAGATTTACTACGTTTTAATAAGAAGGGAAAACGGTAAAAAAATGTTTTAATTTAACAGAAGTCGAATCGAGATTAAGGATATCTTATCTATACATATAATAAAGCTGTAGAGATCGAATGTACATAGAATAAAAAGCTAAAAACCGAGTCAGGGGGATTTAAGAAGAGAAATAGAACAAATCCAGGTTTTTTTGTCAATTTTTTTTTCTCTGTTGGCAGTCCATTATTTAAATGAAATTTTGCATGGTGGTACCTTATATCCCCGGTCAACATTTTAGGCACTTTTCATTCTGGAAAATTAAAGAGTTCCTGTGGGATAGCTAAAAACTGTAGTAACGTATACAGCTTAGTACACAAAAACTACTAATTGGATTTAAATGAAATTTTACAATAATAATTGTAGTACACATGAGTGTAAACAAACCTTTCTCATTCATGATCGCCTTCGCCACAGCGTCGGCGAGCGCGGCGAAGTAGTCGAGGGTGGTGAGGCCGGCGACGGCGGCGGCGCACGCGCGCCTTACGCCCGGCGTGCTGCTCTGTATCCATTGCTCCCATACCTGTGGGGATAAGGGTTTTTTGCATACGTCAAAAGTTTATGGAAATTAAAAAAAGGAGAAACTTAAAGAAAAAAATAAATTTAAAAAAATCCTTTGCGTTTTTATGTTTCATCTTCATCACATTAACTTTCTAGTAAAAATTAATTATTATTAATTTTCTTGAAAATAAAGATAGAAAATAAGAAGGTAATATGTAATTATTTATTGATTAAATATTATTGTTTCCAGTTCAGTTTCTTATAGAAATTAACCCAATTTTTATTCTATTTGTTGTGTATTCATTAAGTCATTATGAAAATATCTATTTGTTTCAAATATCGAAAATGAATAAAAATCTTATATATACAAATAAATTAAACTATACAATACTTACAGGCAGCGCGATGGCGGCGGCGGGCTCTATGCACATTATGGCGAGCGCGCGCCCCAGCAGGCCCTCCAGCTCGCCCGGCGCCCGCTCTATATGGGGAGCTGTGACAAATACGCTTGTTTGTTATATTATAATTATTATACATGAACGAATCAACCACTGGACCAGACATATAAGCGGACGTACCTTTAGCGGTCATGTCAGTAACCAGGGAATTTTAGCCTAAGTCGTTTGTTTTTTGTGTCAGTCTCAAGCACTTACTTGTCAACAAAACATCTCCCAAAAATGACTAAATGTTCTGTTAAATGGTGTAAAAATTATAGCGGCGGAAGCAGCACTATTTTTTTCACTTGTAAATACATTATTTTATTACATTTATTGTTATTTATCACAAAATTTAATTAAATGTAAAATAAAATGTCATATTATCCAACTATGTTAAATATAGTCGATATTTCTATGTATTGTTGACATCTGACAACCATCATAAACGGGCTGGATTATATCATTCAGAACAAATGACAAAACTGTCGAGTGAGTCCATTTGACATCGACTAGTGCTTGACAATGTCGAAAAATATATCGATATTTGACGAAATAACTGAACGAATTGTGTTATTTGTACAGTACAATAACATAAAATACTTTTATCACAGTATCCTACAATCTGATGACAATAAATTTATAAAAATATTTTCTAAATCAAATAAAAATATAAATGCAAAAATTATAATTAGTATGTGTACTTAATTTTTTATTTTATTTTATACCACATTTATATACTTTGGAATATTATTCCATTGTAATAATAATAAAGATTATTTTATTTCAACACATAAATTACACAAAATCAAACAATAATAAACTAAACTAGCACTAAACTTCTGGGTTGGCGATTTGTAATAAAACAGTTTACCACTTGCACTAATTATTTTACTTTCACGATCCAACACTCACTTTTTCTTTTTCCTAATTTCATAAATGTTTATTAATAACTGAGCAATATTAGGACAGTGTCACATTTTTATAACTACCCGAGACAATCAATTGCCAATTAAAATAGTTCAATAACAGAATCAACAAAATCACTTTATTTAATTAAATTAGCTTAATATTTTTTTAATCTTTAAAAAATAATATTTATTATATATTAATGGAATATACACCCGATATTCATTTGTTTATTAACATTATTATAGGCCAACAGAATGTTGCCATCAATGCCATCGTATTTATATAAATCAAATTAAAAAATGATTATTATTTGACACATTATTGCTGCCTCTTTAATTCATTTATTTTAATGTATTATAATAAATACAGATATTTTAAATTAAAAGATGTAAAATATGATGTCTATGCTAACCAATGTCTAAAATTTCATTCATTGGTTCATCGATATATGTATTTTTTCGATTACGTTCAAGCACTATAAATATTGTATTGTGTATCAGTGTTTATAATAATGTAATAAAATCTTTGTGTGCGTTATGCATCACTTGGTTGAACTAGTTTTCATACATTTGTATTTTATGTCAGGTCCAGTCTCTAATTCGTCCATGTTATTATATTATTGATAAACTTTTAAGGTACTATTTGGGTACGAAACGACTAAATCAAATTCATTCAAAGGAATTCCAGGTTCTCATGAATAAAAGATAAAAAAACTCCTAACCATATTTTTACAAAGTTTACTGGCTAAAAACAGATTTTTTTAGTTACTTTTTGTGTGTGTTTTTAAGTAAGCAAATGGTAACGCGCCTAGAAATTTAAGTGAAACGAGTTTAGTCCCGGATGTAGCACCTCTTAATTTTAAAATTACTAATGTGGCGACGTATTGTCTAGAGCGGAATCAGTAAATTTGCGCTCGCGCCCTGAGCATGGCCTCGTTGTTAGTAGTTAGTCGTTAGAATCGCGAGTGCCTTGATTTTAATAATCTTAAGTTATGCTAAAAATTGTAGGAAAAGGTTAATATAAACAGTTAAAAAATATTCCATGGTTTCATTTGTACATCCCTAAATAATAAATAGCACGCAGTAAAACTCTAAACTAATGTTTTTTTATGTTACAACTTGCGAAGGCAACTCGCATGTCAAAGAGAAATGATAGTCATGAATCGTAATAATTGTCGACTACTATTGTTTATCGACTCACTCTCGCTTCGCTCGGGTTCATAACTAGCTTGCTTCCCCATACAAACGTTCATCCCCATTCTCACCCCCTTAAGGGATGATTTCCGGGATAAAAACTATGTCATTCACTTTTCACATCATGAGATTTAATAAAATCTTATTTTAGTAAAAAAAATTCTTTTAATTTTCTTCTATACAAAAATTGTGCTGATGATAACACAAAAAAAAAGAATTATCCAATTTGGTGCAGTCGATTTCGGTGATTCATTTTTATTTATATAGATAAAACAAAAGTTACCCAATTGAGCCATAAGGTCGAGCTGATACTTCGTGTAGGCCTGCACGTGCGGCGCGAGCGCGGGCGCGGCGGCGGCGCGCAGCCACTGCGCCACGCCGCGCGCGCGCCGCTCCGCCGCCTGCGCGCCGCACGCCGCCGGCGCCGCCGCCCACAGCATGCACGCCGACAGCATCACTCTGGGGGGGGAGGACATATTAGATGAAATTAAAAAAAATAAAGACACGCGCAAGAAGTGAAACTTCTGTAGGTTATCGGTACTCTTTATGAAATTCAATTTATGTTTTAAATAATTAGGATAGGTGAGATACTAAAAACAACACATATTAGGCATATTACTAATAATATATTTATAGAATATCATTTAAGGAAATAATATAATATTATATATCATTTGTCAGACAATAACAACGGGTTACCACGGCAACAATCGTACGTACATGTTTTCGTTATGTATTCACCAGCTTAGCCCCCTCCCCCCCTCCCCCCGAGTCAAGCGTGCGTAAAGAAATTTTACTTCAAAAAACGTGTGTGTGTGTACTTATGTACGCACGTAAGGTTTACTTCTTTGACATAACATAACAAAAATAGCTAAAAAAATCATCCCGTATATCACAACTCTCTGTTCGTAAAAGGTAATTTCATCATGTCGTTTTTTGGCTGTCAAAGTGCGCGTGCATCTTAAAAATTTTACTCTCATATGTTTTTCCAAACGTGCCAAAAGAAGTATAACATAAATAAAAAAACCTTCTTCTTCACTCTGGGAGGAAACATTATAGATTAAATAACTAAACTTTCTTAGATTTATGCAAGTATTTGATATTTAAACAAAACTATCTTTTCGAATTTTTAGGATGTATTTTGGTTTTCGTTTCCCGACTTTTTGAATGTGAATTCGAATTTACAGCAATCATGGCCACGGGAGAGTCTCGAAAAGATAAAAAACAGTTTTATTTAAATAAAACAAATATGAAATAAAGTAAGAAATAAATATTATAGTCATCTCAGTCAAAAGACGTCCACTGCTGGTAATACAATTTATAATAAATAAAAATCATGATAATAAAAGTAAAAAGGCAATGAAAGGTATAAATTTATAACTTTTACTTTTTCAAATAAAATGAAGTTTATTCAAAAGAAAACCAATAGAGACAGGTAAATAAAAAAATAAATAAAAAAATACATACAGAAAAAATGTTAATTATTAACAAGTAAAACATTACATATTTACCTAAAGTGTGGCTGTTCGTGATACGGTACTACAGTACTGTAATGGTCCACGAAATACTTCTCGAAGGCTTCCTCCACCGCAATAGCCGGCAGTCGGTGCCAGGGCAGCTTACATGCTTCATCCAAAGCCTGGAAAGTTAACAATATTACTCCATATTCATACTTTTTAGTCTTCTATGTCAAAAAAGTCTAGACGTAATTCTCTTATTAAGATATCAGTCTACCCTCTGTAATAACCCTAAATTAAAAACACAAATATGTAAGTATTCGCCAAGTGTGAACCGGTTTAGTGGTACAGGTTTCACCGCTGCTCAACATATAAACTTTGAACTAGATAATAGGAATGTGCTGTCATTGCGCAACACCCGTTATAGGGGATATGCGGGTGATTTAAACAAAGGTGAAATATTTTTTTATAACCTTCATTGCTTTTGAATTAAGCCTATATCGATATTTTTTTAATATAATACCTTTTTGATTAAGAAAATAATTATTAAAAAGTGCAAATATTGGTGAGAAATTTAAATTAGTTGAAACGCACGCCATATTATGTCGTCATACGTACACAGAAAGTGTATATCATTCTGTGACGTCACGCTAAGCGCACGAAATGGCGGGTGCGTAAAGTATCCGTATGATATTTTAAAAAAATATACTTAGGTTTTTGGAGCTGTATATTTTTTTTACAATTATATAATTGTGTTAGCCTTTTGCAGATAGTAGTGTTCATTTATATTTTAAAGTGAAATATAGACCCCATTTTCGATCATCATCATTATATACTATCCTGATTTAGCATATTTTATTCATTAATAAAAGTAAATAAACATTAAAGTATATAGTATAAGTAAAAAAAGCATAGTTCACAATTGATAAAGAACCACGTGATATACACAAAAAAGATACACTTGAATAGAATAGGTTCTCCTGATATAAATTCCATTAATAAACCTATACCTGTTCAGGGAGTACAATCTGTTTGCTGGTGAGCAGGGCGAGCGCGGCAAGCAGGTTGGGCGCGAGCTGCTCGTCCGCGCAGCCGGCCAGCCAGTCGCCGGCCGCCACGTGCCGCATCACGCCGCCGCACCACGACTGCACGCTCTGGTTGGACGAACCTATTATCTGTAATCAAATGAAAAAAAAATAGCCTTTTAGTTTTTTTCATCTGTTATAATGTCTGTCATGAGAACTCACCCAGTTTTATTGATTAAGTCATGAGAATATATGATCACAAGATGGTATTACTGACTCTGCACTTTAAAATTATAAAGTAAAACAAATAGGAGTATAACGGTTTGATAGCATAACTCTATTTCAAAAGAGAAAATTCAGGATTAGTACTTAAGTTCAGTCTCTGAAATTAATTAGATAGCTTTTGTTTGTATTAGTTATTTAATACCAAATTATCTTATTCTTCTTTCCATTTCAATGAAACGAACAATATTACGCCTTTATGCCTCAATACCACGTGTGTACGTGCATTACCGCCATCTCATGCTCTACAAAACATCAAAAGGGATGCGCTAATAGCAATCGGCTTTATAGCTGAGCTATACTACTTCCTATGCCAAGTTATTATAGTATAGGATAGTAGTGAAGTGGACACTCACCTGCGGCACGACAAGCAAGCAGTCCACATGGAACCAGCGCTGGTCCCAGGGCAGGCGCGCCAGCCGCGCCAGCAGCGCGCCGCCCGCCGCGTCCTCGCCCGCGCCCAGGCACGTCACCACCGCCCACTCCCACACGTAGCGCAGCACGTGCCCGGAACATCCTACCATGGTACACACTACATATTTACTAAACGGAACACTCAAAGGATATAATTATCGTCTGTAAGTTTATTTATTTATTAGTGTAGTAATACAAAGCTTAAATATTTGCACACGCCATATATTCGAAAACATAATATTATAATTTATAACTCACTAACAACAGCTTGTAAAGTCGTCATACCGAATCGTTCAGGGAGCAATCAACACCTACCACGATACCGAGGCAGCATAAACGCTAACATAAAACCAGAAGGTCATATATCTCACCAGCTTTCATAATCATGGAGATCGTCACACTGTAATATAACACCTACACAGATGCCAGGATAACATAAGCGTATAAGAGTTAACATAAAACCTAGACATGTATCTCACCGGAAACAGCCTGCATGACCATAAGGATAGCTTCGCAGAAGGTGGCCGCGACGTCATCCTCGGCGCCGGGCGCGAGGTGCGGCGCGGGCGCGGGCGCCACCCACGCGGACCACGACTCGTGGAGCGCCGACGACGCGTAGTATGCCACTGAGAGGATCATAAGTTTAGAAAAAGAAGAGTATCTTAATATTACTTGATACTACGACACACTAATGATATTTAATTTTCGTATTTTATTTCGTTTTTAATGATAAATATTCAAAATGCGAAATAAAGAAAAAAAGCTTGTAATTCACAGTAATAATTAACAATGCTGCAAGTTACCATGCAATTTTGTGTTATACTTTTGGAAAGCGTCGCGTGTGTATTCAGCCCTTTTTAACGTCCCACTGCTGGGCACGGGCCTCCCTTCAATACGAGGGGGATCAGGCCGTAGTCCACCACGCTGGCCAAGTGCGGATTGGCAGACTTCACATGTCTTTTGAAAACTTGCTAAATTCTCTCAGACATGCAGGTTTCCTCACGATGTTTTTACTTCACCGTAAGGCAAGTGGTAATCATGTTAGAAATGATTCGCATATGAAAATATCAGAGGTGCGAGACCCGGGATTTGAACCCGCTTCACTCAGCTTCCCAAGCGAGCGCGTTACCACTGGGCTACCACTGCCTGCTTAGCTTCTAAAGTAACATACATCTATTTGTTGCGACTTTAGTTAAAGATAAAATGATTTCTGACAGTAAACACATTTTAATTAGAATTAACAATAGCTCATAACACTATATAGTGTTAATATAGCTTCCTATTAATGAAAGAATTTTCAGAATATGATTAATAGTTTCAGAGATACCCCCCTACATACTAAATTTCATACTTTACCTCTTTATTATTAGACTAAATACTATTTCAAAGTGTGTTACTGATACCTCTCTCCGGATCGTACTCTCTCGCGACGGCGGCCGCGACGAAGCCCCGGAGCAAGTTGTGCAGCGTGGCCGTGAAGTGCGGCGCGTAGGGCGCGTAGGGCGCGTGCTGCGCGTGCGCGGCCGCCGTGTTGCGCGCCTCCCAGAATATGAGGCCCAGCTCGCGGAGGAGGTGGCCGAGCTGTTGACAGTTTATAAAAGCTTTTGTTTATAAAAAACTTTGCATCCGAGTTTGCGGTTAAAAAAATACATTTTTTTACTGATTTAAGAATAATATTAACTCTAATATAAATATAGTGACGTAAGCCAAAAAAATATATTTGTCACGTGCATTTTTACCTCCATAAAATGCAGAAATTGATTTTCTTGATTTATATAAGATATTATCATAATGTTTGTAGATAATCATTAAGATATTTTTAAAATCAACCTATTTACTAACTGAAAACCTTGTACTTTTTTGATTCTATTAAAAAATTAAAAAATACTAAATTTAAAAATGAAGCTACCTGATCGAAGGGCACCATATGCGCGTAGGCGAGCGCGGCGGCCGGCAGGTGCGCGCAGTAGGGCGCGGGCAGGCGGCGCGCCACGCTGGCGTGCGCGCAGCGCAGCGTGTGTGCGCACACCTCCTTCTTGCGCACTATCGCGCCCGAGTGCTTGTCTAGTATCTGTCACAACAAATATCACTCTTAGCTAATTTACACAATTTAAGAAAGCCAGTTCAAAATTAAGCGATATCGTATTAATATAAAAAGTGAACAACTAGACTTGCAACGAATAGTATATTGGGCCATACACCGAAAACCGAATAGTCGGTGGGCTTTCTGACCGAATAGCCGAATATTAGGCAAAAAAGACCGAATAATAGCCGAATATTCGTTGCAAGTCTAATATTAACACGAATCTAGATATTTTATTTTAATATTTATTTGTTAGCCGCAAATCATGTTTGAAAATGATCCCGCGTTACTAACAGAAGCTTTAACAAAATATAAGTAGCCCATATTCCATAATAATTTAAAGTTGATATGTTTAATCTTTTGAGAATGATTTTTGGGCATAGCGATTTCATAATTTTATGAAATACTCAAGTCTTTTTAATGGGAAAAATATATACCAAAAACAAAAAATAGAAAAACCGATATATAAATGACTTATTAAACGGTAACCCTTGCAACTTTTACTATCCAATATTTGTAGTATATTCCAATTTAGTCATTAAAAGTGAAAATTTGCTCTAGGTAGCGCACTCGTTTAGATAAAACATATAATATATAATGTAAGCCCTATATATGATGTCAATCAAAATTTTTCTATAGACATATTTATAATATAACCTCCAACAAGACCATGTAGGTGTCCGACGGCGCGGGCCCCACGCGCAGGGCCGCCTTCACCAGCGCCTCCAGCACCTCGCTGCGCTGCGACGAGTCCGCGCGCTCCGCCCACGCGCCCATGTCGAACTGAACGTCATTTTACATTAATATATTATTAATATATTAACAAATCTATCCCACGGGAATCGTACATTTTGGGGATAAAAAGTAACCCATGTATTATTCCAGACTATAACCAATCTCTGAGTCAAATTTCATCCAGATCCATCAGCCGTTTCAAAGTGAAGGAGTAGGAGAAGTCCGATTTAATAGTTAAGTTATATATAATAATATTCTATCGTGTGAATAACTAATTCGATAAGAGTTTTAATGTTAAAATGATTAGTAAAATTGTGCTATGGACTATATAAAAAGACTATATTAAAATCAGAAAAGAACTATATTACCAGAAATAATTTTTAATAAACTATAAAAAACCAATGTAGCTTGAAATATACTACAAAATGTAATAGCACGGTATCACTGTGCACTCATTTATGTTAGGTAATTGATTATTGTTAGATTATTAACTATTATTATTTATTAATATTCATATAATTATTTATGCTAAGTATGAACATTTCAGTTAATATAAGTTGTTTTATTGACTTTACTTTTAAGAGATAATCAATATGGACACTATATTGTTTTTGTGACGGAGTGAGGGTAATTACAATAGAACCGACTCGATGATGGCAGCAGATATGTGGATATTAGATTCATTCTCACTCCGATTTTTGTTCAGTGTAGACTAATAATAAAACCTTACATAAAGCTTCTGTCGTTTTTCTTATATTTATAATACTCACAACATTTACTGAGATATTCGTATTATTAAACCAGGCTCACAACATTTTTAATAATTTTGAATAGTATAGAACAAAGATATTTTGTCAGTCATTGTTTACATAGCAGATGATAAAACAATAAACATACTTTGGACAAAAAGCTAAAAGCCACGTGAGGTTCTAGGTTCAAAGTGAGCACAGTATTGTACAGCTTGGGCCACGTAGTCGGGTTGATCTTCAGAGGCGCTATGAGCGCGGTGCACAGCTTCTGCTGCGCGCTGTTGCCTTGCATCCACCGCGCGAGGTACTCTGATGCTGTCTTGCTATCCAGGCAAATAAATCTCTGAAATAACAAAATCATATTTTATGTTATTGATACACATCTTTTAACAAGACAAAATTTTTACCTAATGAATTAAAGTGAATGTCAAAGATCTAGCTAGTAAAACGATGTAGGTACGACGGGAGGTCTCATATCGGCTCGAGACGATAGACGTTATGGTCATATGACTACGTATACTTACAAAGCTTCACATGGCCGTGCAAGGATGTGTCCACTACGATCACTCTTTTACGGGTAAATTAGGAGGGCATTCCTCATAACCGATTTCAGCCACGGCGGCCAATCTCATTGAGGCCTGCTAGGTGCGCAGGAAATATTATAGTGCACAAGTATACGCGCAAGCATATGTTCACTGTCTATTCTTTTTAATTTCAAAGTCCGTTGGGACAATACTTTGACACGACCGGTAAGAGTTAAGGCGCGGGACCAACGGCTTTACGTGGCCTCCGAGGCACGGAGATGAAACACCGCCAATTACCCAACTCAGGGCTACTATTAAGAATATCTTAACAGAAAAACTCCGTAAGTAAACTTGGTCCGACCCGGGACTCGAACCTAGGACCTCGTGATCCGCAGCCGTACATGCTAGCCACGGGACCACCACCAAGGTAGTAAACAAGACGAACCAAACCAAGTGCAATATTTTGCCTTATTACTGCCACTGAAATACTTAATAAATTTAAAATTATCTGTTGTAAAAAATTTAAAGAATATTTCGACGAAAGAAGCACAGAAAAGGGTATTTGGTACAAAACTATACAGTGTGAGCCTCCTCGAGTACCATGGTTTTTTAACATTAAACTAAATCGAAAATATATTGTTGTTTTACATAGGCTGCGTTCTGGACATTATCCGTCAAATAAATTTGCGTACCTTATGGAAAAGGTAAATTCACCCTTATGTAGTAGTTGTAACATGATAGACACTGTTCAACACATCCTTGTGGAATGTGTTAAACATCAAAGGGAGAGGGAATCAATAATGCAAAAACTTAATATTAATAGATATGATATTGGACCATACTTAAGTATATTAGCGAACCCATTAAGTATTGATGTTGTTAAAATTTTGGTGGATATGGTTTTGCAACATTGAATTTATTTCCCTTTTTCCATAATATATATGTGATGTTTTACTTAGGTTAAGATACGATGGGACTGAAATGTCCGAAAAGGATAAAAGTCCCTAAATAAACATAGAGATAAAAAAAGCAAAGTGCACAACAATATATCGTACTTGCGCGATGCTGGAGACGAGCGCGGTGACGGCGTCGTGCACGGGCGCGCAGCGCGCCGTGGCGGCGGCGGCGCGGTAGGCGCGCTCCGCCACCTCCAGCGCGCACGCCTCACGCCCTATGCGACTGGGGACAAGCATTGCGTTTTATTCTAAACTTTTTGACGTGATAACGTCTCATAAATCGATGAACGCCGGCTGCACGCACGAAAAAGAGCAAGAGCGCGGGACTAGCGATAGAGAGGCACGATCGGCCGTATTTACGTAAAAAATATTTGAATTAACGAATGCAAATAAATTTTCAATGAACTCCTTTGTACTATACAAAATAATTATAATTCAGTGATAAAAATTCCATTCATAAAAGTATACAATTTTTCATCAATGTTTTCTTATGACGTCATCACGTAAAATTATCGTCCGTAAAACGACTTTACAGAAAACCAATTTTTTTTTGAAAATAAAAAAACTCGCTCAAGCGCGAGTTGGACTCGCACACGAAGGGTTTCAAGGAAACATTCAAACAAGCCACTCTCACTATACACTTGAGGATTTACGCGACAATCTTGAAAGAAAAGACATTTAATTCATGCGTATGTTCTTCTTGTAAGTATGCTTCGCAATTTCTCACCAATTGCCCACTGATTTTAATTATCGTTATTTTAATGAACACATAATATCCTTAAAAAGTTAAAATAGAAATTAAAAAAAAACACCCCTAAGGGACATTTCAAATGACTTTTAAATAAAAAAATAAGAAGAAGATAATTTATTTATCGCAATAATGTCCTAAATAAGTACATACCCGCCAATGGAGCTGACAATGGAGGTGAGGCGCGCCACGTAGGGCCGCGGCCGCGACAGCTGGCGGATAGCGTTGCGAGCGCTGCGTCTGCAAATGGAAATATGTACTTTATTATTATATACATATGTATATAAATACTGAAATTATAAATATGAAAATCTCCTAGTCTCGATGAGTGTATTTGTTACTTTTTTACGCTGTAACGGCTCTACCGATTTTAGATAAATCACGAAGAAGATAGTTTATATCTTGAATAAACAAATAGGTTAATTTTTTAACGGACATGGACTAGTTTTAATAGCATTCTCTTAAATCTATTCAAAGTTTTCGAAAAATATCTTATTTAAATAAAGAAATATATACAAATTAGTAACACAATATTGTTTAAAAATTAATTGAAATATTTATTACCTATTATCTTGTATTCCTTGCTCAGCTCCAGTAGAGATGCACCATTCTATTTCCTGCATCATAATAAAAGATTGTTTGGCACTATAGCTATAATATGTAATAAAGAATGGGACAAGAGACAAGTGAAATGGCTGTGACATACGAACAGATGGACAGACAGACATGATGAAATTATAAGGGTTCTATTTAAGCGCTAATATTTAGCTATGTGGTCAAAATATTACTAAACATATACATAAAAAAAGTTAAGATAGGATGCCAGGATTCTAGGATTTACACTTTTGGGTGTAAGCAAGACGACAACAGCTTTGGAGTGAGAAGCAAATATAAGCGACATCTTCTTGAATATCTTCGCTGCGGAATAATATGCATGCGGCTATTTTACGTTCGATACATTAAAGCGTGAGCACGACGGCAATAGTATTCGAAAGAGAAGTGTACCTACTCAGTACTGTGTGTATACATAATGGGTGTCACGTACCGGTATGCGCACGAGGCGCGGGGCGCAGGCGCGCGCGCAGGCGCGGCGCACGGGCGGCAGCGCGCGGCTTACGCGCAGTGCGCGCACCAGCTCCCACAGCGCCGCGTCCAGCTGCGCCGCGCGCGACACCTCCGCCTCCCACTGTCTGGCGTGCACACACAAATATGTCATTATGTGCTCAGTGAGAGGATCAACACACACAGTATCGTGTCCAGCCAAGTTCAAGACAAAGAAACTGGTGACGCAATACCGTGTGTATATTTTACACGAACTATTTGAAGCCACTTTTCACCTCATATAACTCAAAATCTATTTGACATAAACTCTTGAAATTTGGTTTATTTATCAAATTCCCTTAGATGAACTAGAATCCCCAATTTCATAAATGCAGCTCAAACGGTTATTGACATATTAACGTCTAAAAATCATCATTTTTATCACTCATTTAGTTAACGACGTCTTTGTTATGTGTATTATTGTAGCGGTTTTATTTTCATTTTTGAATTCCAACGCGTCAAATGCTTTAAAGCAAAGAGCCTGTACGACCGTAAAACACACAGGGACTCTCCCGCGGCCACTTTACTAGTTGTTACCCGCGACTTTGTATGTATGAAGAGTAATATGTTTAAATATACAATTAATAGCATCATGCAATGTGTCAAGTTTAGAAAATCTCTTAAACTTAAAAATAAATTTCAACTTTCACTCAATTCAATACAAATTTAGGTTATTATAAACTGTGTGAAATATTGTTGAAATAAATATAAAATAAAATATGATTAAATAAATTAATGTCATAAATAAATGCAAGTGACTAAAATACTTAATTTATATAAAAGAGAATATTTTTAATGTTATTTAATACTCACTCAGATATTTGCTTCAATTCGTTAAGATATTTGTCAACCGTCTGGTACAGCAGGTAGGAGTCCGTGAAGTACACGTCGTCCAGAGGCTGCGGCAGCGGTGGGATTTTGTATCTGTATGAACACAAACAGTATACTCCTGTTGTTATTATTTGCAAAAAATATAGTTTACGTAATACTACTTGTAAATAGATATTTGACAAACGATTATTGATCAATAGTAATTTCCTTGACCCATAAAAAAATCAATGTCTGATTTATCACACGACAAAACAAACATACAAGCAAACAAACATTTAATTACAATATCATAAGGTATGTATTTATGTAGGTATACGTTTGTATATATACATGTATTAATTTGTAAAAATTGATTTGATTTTTTACCTGAACCCGTTTCGATTGATTACATCCCTTCCCTATTTTCTCTTTATCTCTACCCAATATTTACTTGGACGATAATTAATTTTAGTGACAAGGTGGCATGTTGTCCTAATCCTACTTTGTTTATATCAGGTAATCTTTTGACATGCAACAGGACTACTAATAATAATATGAAGCTTCACATATATACTTGTAAATACGCGGAACTTTATATCTGTGTGTATAATAAATAAATATGTTGAGACATTACTAGTTCTAGTCAGATCACTATCTAGTTCCATGGTTATTATGTAGTATGAGGGTTGTGTTATGGATACCAGGTAGTTTATACACTCCCCCCCAACGTGCGTTCACCTTGTCGTGGTGGGGGGCTCAGTAGTGTCTGGCAATTCAGCCGGGCGCGAAGCCAAGAAACGCACAGGGAGGTGGCCCGCTTTGGTAGGAAAGTGTACCATGCGGGTTGCTCCTGGTACTTCTCTGATAGCAGAGTGGACCTTGGAGCAACCCCATGGTTGTGGTGGTCTGCTTCGGCAGACCTGCCGTCGGGGCGTCGTAGTTGAATGCGTAAGCGATCCTACGACGCCCCATTAAGACGGGGGAAGGTTTTGTTGTGTTTTTGTGGGTAGTACTGGCTTTGCCGGTGAGTCCCACACCTCGTGCGTAAATGCATTTCCCAACGTTAAAAAAAAGGTAGTTGATACACTACACATATATAACTTTAAATACATACATATTATAAATATAAACATCCATGACTGGAGTATAAACATTCGTGCTCATCACACAAATGAATGCCCCCAGCGGGACTCAAACCCGCAACCTCTGGCACAGCAAGTAGGTTTACTACAAACTGAGCCAAACGTGTCGTCGTATGTTTGTTACTTGTACTTCACGCTCAAACGATTGGACGGATTTGAATAAAATTTAGTAGTCTATGAAATACACTAAACATAAATATTTATATTGTATATTTACTTTTTAATTTTTCCATTTCCGATACTCATAATGGCCACAGCGGCGCGCTGCGCGTGCGCGGCGCCGGGCGCGGGCGCGGCGGGCGTGGCGGGCGACGCGCCGCCCGACGTGATGGGCGACGCGCTGGACGAGCGCGCGGGCAGCGAGATGGCGCCCAGCGACGCGCGCCACGCCACGTCCAGAGCCTGCATATTTATGATTTATTATTTAATCCTTTATTACACCAAAAAAAGCACAATTTGAAAAGAATACATAACTTTCCAAATATATATTTCAGTGTAAAGGCAGCCTTATCACTTAAAATGATCTCTTCCAGGCAACCTAATAGTTAGCAACACTGTTTAATCTGGTAAATATGAACTCGGGTTTACAAGATATGAAAAACGAGGTGGTCCAACAACGTGCACAAAATTATAGACAAGGATAAAAAAATGTAAAAATTCTTTATTCGACTTCGATTTTGTTACAAAAATTTCTAAACTTCAAATTATTCAATAAAATATTTAAAATTTTGTAAAGCACTCGTTATTTAAACTTTTGAAAGATTTAGTATTATAATGCAAAATCTCAAATTATTTTATTATGAAACGAAACTTTTGCTTTGTTTAGCTATGTAATAATTAAAAATAGCTCAATTCTTCTTCGTAATTGTCGATATTATTTAAATGAAATCTCTTTATCTTCATATATCTAAATTCCGAATATGCCATTTTGCTAATCCGTATGTATAATTATATGTATATTGTAATTATAGCAACAATATTCGCATTTACTACATCTAGTCCATTATGAATATTAACCTGTTCTGTAAGAAAGCGGTTTATATCGGCATGGTGAGGTTGCGCGCGCACGTCCTCCCCCTCCTCCAACCACATCAAATATTCACGGAATAACCTGAAAATACATAATCAAAATCAGTATAATAATATTTTATTTTATATTAAGTGTTGTTAAATGCCTATCGTATTTATAATACGGAAACTCTCAAAGAAAATTCACGCATATGGTGAAATATAAAACCACGTGCGTCACCATATATATATATATATATATATATATATATATATATATTATATGCACACCTATAATCATTTATTTTCCCAAAATGTTTATAAATTATTATAAACCTTTAATACGGATATATAATATAGATAATCGATTTTTGAAGAAAGTTTGGAAAATCCGTGCATTAATTTTTGAGATTAAACTAAAGAAATACAAGCATAACTCAATGGGTGATTTTTAGTAAATAACTAATGATTAATAGAAATTGTAAGATCTTTAAAGTATTTAAAATAAAAATGAATATAGAATTAACCTACTTTTCAGCTCCTATATGATAATTCATCAGATTACGAATATCTCTATCAACGCTCGTCTCTTTGACGCTAGAGTCGTCTGTCTTACTATCCTCAGAGAGCGTGCAATCCGATTGGCTATTCGATACTCCCGTCAAATCGATCATCGCTAGTGTTGGGAACATGTCGTTATCGATGCTAGTGCTGGTCTTCACAACACTCGATGTTGGAGTACTGACGACACTACTTTCAGCGGACTTCCATACATCGATTTGAGTGTGATGGAACAAAGCAGTTTCTTGAAGACGTTTCTTCAATTGAGACAGAGTACGAGATTTGATTATGCCACTGAAGAATAGTGGTCCTACTGGTGGTTGTAATTCGGCTCTGTAAATAATACGATGCACTTCAGATTGTTTTAAAGGAAAAGTATATTTTTCCTTATTATCTATACTAATATTATAAAGAGGTAAAGTTTGTGAGTTTGTGAATTGGGAGTTTGTGACGTTGTAGGGGTAATCTCTGTATCTACTGAACCGATTTAGACGAAATTTGTAAGAAGATAGTTTGAGACCTTGGAAAGGACATAGGATACTTTTTATCCCGGAAAACATCCCTTAAGGGAGTGAACATGGGAATGAAAGTTTGTACGGGGAATCAACCTAGGGACGAACCCTAGCGAAGCGAGGGTGAGTCGCTAGTAATTTAATATTTTACAAGAAAGTGCTTAGCAAAAGTATGCAAGAAATTAATGGAGAAGTTTCATTATGTTGTTAATATCATATTTAACGCAATGAAATAATTGATATATAGATCAAAACTAATAAACTACTGAGAAAATAATTGTTTAAGTATTTTAATGCACAATGATTGCGGTTTCTCACTAGAGTGTGACGTTATTTTCCCATAATTAAGATCGTCGCACCGCAAATTATCACTCAATTCCTCTCGCACGCGAACTCTCGCGCTGTTCCTAGTTATTTTACGTACAACTGCTTGTTTTTTATTCACTTGTTGATTGATGTTTGGTAGTGTTATTTTTAAGCAAAATTTCGGTCGTACGTGTGACGTCGCAAAATCATTCTCACAGGCGCAACTTTAAAGTTTCATTACTTTTTCATTTGTCGAGTTAAAATAATAATTCTTTCATATTTTTGTTATATTTACAATAAATGATTTATAATCAATGCATAAAAAAATTGAAAACGTCTCCATTATATGAGCAATTTACATGTAAATAAATAAAAAAAGAAAACAATTTATCAATGTATCAATTAATATCATAACTAATATCATGACACATTGCCAAATAATATAGTATAGACCAGAGGTCTCCAGACTTTTTTTTCTCATAGACCACTTTCAAAATTTTGCTGGTTCCGGTGGACCGCTGCAGCTACATTTCTACCATATTCCCAAAACTCGACAAAAATGTGAAGATTCCGTCCCCCGTAGACCCCCGTCGAGTTTCCCGTGGACTCCTGGGGGTCCATCTGGTCACTTTGGGAACTAAGGGTATAGACTTATATACTGACTGTTCAGTGGGCGGGCGCTGCAGGTATATGTGCAGCAGCAGGCGCCATAGCAGCGCGTGCGCCGGGTGCGTCGCGCCCGCCGCCAGCGCCGCCGCGCCGCAGCGGTGCACCGCCAGCTCCTCCTCACACAGGGACGACCCGATTTGCTGTTGGCAACGCACACCTTGTATTGGTGATGTCGGGAAATTATTTAGCTTTTTCGAACTTTCGAACAAAATAAATAAGTATATAGGCGTGTTTTTTTTTAATTTAAACGATGGTAATATATCAGTGGTTTTAGAGAAGTTCATTGTTAGGCCAACCTTACGGCTTTCTCTTTTCAGATCTTCTAGCAGATCTTCTCTAAAACTAAAGCAATGACAAACGCGACCGAAGACCCTATTACACTAAATGGCGAACTAATCGAATATGTGAAGGAATACACCTACTTAGGCCAACTGATCTCAACAACTAATTTAATGTCTAAAGAAATAGATACAAGAATAGGCAACGCATGGAAAAGCTATTGGAGATTAAAAGAAGTAATGAAAAACAAAGAAACAAAAATGTTTGTTAAGAAAAAGTTATACAATACAATTAAAGTGGCTTCCAATCAGATTTAGGCGCTATTTGCACGTCCTTTCCATCCTTTTCTCCATCCTTTATAACCCAACTACTCCCTCTTACTTAAAGGAACGGTTTAATTTTCTAGGTTCGGACGTGTCTGGTTTGCAACTTAGGTCTCAGAGCGACAACCGTTTGAAATTACCATCTTGCACCACCAATTACTATGGTAATTCTTTTACCGTAAAAGCTGTAAAGCTATGGAATATGCTCCCCCATGATGTTCGCCATTCAAAGTCACTAAATATTTTAAAACGTCGTCTAACTAATTATTATCTGTCTTGTTAGTTATTGAGTATATATGTATATGTATACTATGTATCTATATGTATACTATGTATCTATATGTATGTATGTATGTATTTATGTATCTGTGTACGTATATATTATACGTGTATGTATATATTTTTGTCTTTTGTATGTATTCATGTTTGTAAACGTAGTTCATCATGTCTGTATTTAGTGTTAATTTTACCGTCCCGTCTTCGATTCTTCTAATTATTTCACCAAAGGTTGTCTGTAAGAGATTGCTCGTAGCAATAAGACCGCCTTTGCATGCCTATTTGTTATTTATTTTTTATTTTTATCTTCTGTAATCTTTTTTTTTGTGTGTGCAATAAAGAATTTATCTATCTATCTATCTATCTACAATACTTGCGTGTTACCCGTCCTCACTTATGGCTGCCAAACTTGGGCCCTCACCAAAACACAACATGCAAAAATAAAGACCTGCCAAACAGCGATGGAGAGGAGCATGCTTAATATCAAGAAAAGCGACAGAATAAGGAACAAAACAATCAGGAAACAGACAGAAGTTGATGATGTAATATGTAGGATTCGGAAACTGAAATGGAGATGGACTGGCCACACAATAAGAGGCATTAAAAAATGGAACCAAGCTTTGGTTTTCTGGTATCCCAGAAACGCCAAAAGAAAACGTGGGAGACAGTTCTTAAGGTGGGAAGATGATATAAAAGCAACAGCTGGGAAAACATGGACCAGGACAGCACTTGACAGAAAAGAATGGAAAGATATGGAGGAGGCCTTTGCCAATGGCGGCACACAGACCGTTGTCGATGTCGACTCACGAGAGTCATAATTTTAATTTATTTTAATTAATATTGTAACACAAATGTGTCTGAATAAAGGCTATATTATTATTATTATAATATATCAGTGGATATTTCAAAAAAAATTGTATTCGTTTTTCATATAATCTAGAAATTCTTCCACTGATAAGTACTGCTGAATTTTATAGGCTAATTTTTTAAACGTTAGCAAAATGACACTTAACGGCGCTAGCGAAGAGAAAACCAAGTCGCAAGGAAGCAACACGAAGTTCTACCTTCGATGAGTTAGTGCGTATATATTAGTATGTAAAAGAGCAACTGTTGAGTTTTTCGCTGGCTCTTCTCCACAGAGCTGCCTTTCAAGCCGGTGGTAGACTCCTCACGGACATTTAAATTAAATTGAAAAAAAATGTAAAATTAACAATAGTGTTTGTAGAAGTCTATTCGAATAAAATTTATGTATGTATGTATGTGTGTGTGTGTGCGCGTGTACCTTGAGCGCGTTGTCGACGTGTATGCGGTGGCGCGCGTCGCGCTGGCGGCGCAGCTCAGCCAGCAGGCGCGCGTAGGAGCGCGAGCGCAGCTCGGCGGCGTGCGCGGCGCGCAGCGCGGCCTCGCACAGCAGCGGCGCCGCCGCCGCGTGCCGCACGGCATCCGACAGGAACTCAGACGCGTTCTCCTCCTGTCCCATAACACTACTATAACGCCCCTTCTGAACGACTTCGCCAACTGCGGCTAATTTCATTAATATTGGCTTTATGCGTTAGACATATTATAGTATATTGGTATGCACGAAAACACAATGTACATTCTTTATCCCTGTCACTGTAATACTCCGGTGTGACCAGAATTAGGCACGTCTGAAGAAGCGATGGCTTTAGGTGCGCTCTGAGGCGAGGGAGCGAAAATTCGCAGATTTCCGAACTCCAGATTGAGACAGAGAATTTATGAATACAAAAACTTAATAATTTAATTTTGATACTTGCTACCTATAAGACTATCAAAGTTGATCACTCATTAATTTTAACTGAAATACTATCAAATACAAGGTTGTAAAAATAACCAATACTTATAGCGAAAGGTAACGTTCGAATTTAACGTGCTATAGTATCACCTTTAGCAAGTTATAGCCGTCAACCCTAAAACGATATCTCGTCTGTTAAAAAAAATGCATATGACAGTCGGGGAGGCCTTCCGCGCACGTCCCGCATTGGTTGCGTACCTGCAGCAGCGCGTGCGCATGCGCGTCGAGCGCGCGCCAGCCGCGGCACGCGCGCACTGCGGCGTCCAGCGCGGCGCGCGCGGCGCCCGGTAGCGCGGGCCGCCACAGCGCGTGCAGCCACGCCGCCAGCACCGCGCTGCGCTCCGCCTCCTCCGTGCTGCACACACATAAACACCATCGGACAACGACATACATACAAATACAAATAAACATCTCAAAGATAAGGTAACCGACAGAGGTTCCAATCAATATAAGAAAACGTATTGTATCCGATTGACACGTCTAATAAACAAGGGTCAATTGAAAAAACATATTTGGAATATAGTAAAAACTCATCACAGAGCACTTTATAGACCGAAAACGCTATTTTTTCGCTAAAGCTAGGTTCGTCAAATATCCATGAACTGAGTTTATACAATATGCGCTTACCAACTGCTGCTTCGATAGCGTATTTTAGAGTGGTAAAATTTATACTGCGAAAACGTCCGCTAGCGATTGATACTAAACACACCGGCATATTTAGCGGAACATAAAATAAAGGTTTGATATCAGTATCATATAAGGTTGCTGGCTGGTTTATACGTCATTTAATTTAAAAAGAAATATTTTCAAATTAAGAAAACAACTAAACATCACATTTTATGCAATTGTTTTAATTTTATTCAAATACACCTTATCTGGAGCGAACTTCGAGTATCTCTTCCTTCTGAGTTTGATTTCAAATTTAATTGAAATACTGTTTTTTGTTATTTTTTTTTAATCGCGTATCTTTTTGGAGTTGAGGACTGAATTATGCCTGACTTAGACCCAACGGAGATTGCCAGGGCACTCGAAATGCGAAGATATGGTCAAACCTACAGAGTGATATCCAGAGATCTTCGTCGACCAGTTTCAACGATCCATCGCAGTATCCAACGGTTCAGGGAGACCGGTACTTATGTGAGACAAGCAGGACAAGGCAGAAAAAGACGCACTTCGAGTAGGGATGACCGTTTCATTCGGCTTCGTGTACGTAGGAACCCCCGTTTGACAGCCTTCCAAGCCCGACATGAGTTAGAAGCAGTGCGGGGTGTAACCGTAAGTGAGCGTACGGTACGAAGAAGGTTCGAAGAAGCTGGTTTGGGTTCATTTGTGCCCGCCAAGGCTCCAAGGCTCGACGTAAATCATCGTAGAAACAGGTTGACTTTTGCTCAGGAACATCGACTTTGGAACGCGGACCAATGGAGTAAGGTATTGTTTAGTGATGAGTGTAGAATTCTCTTAAATCAAATTGACGGCAGGCAAAGAATATACAGACGCAAAGGAGAACGATACATTCAGACAAACTTTGAAACTACAGTTGCATACGGTGGTGGATCAATAATGGTTTGGGCGGGCATTTGTTTGGGAGCTCGCACAGACTTGGTAGTGATTGACAGAGAGAGTCTGACTGCAGACCCCTATATCAAAGAAGTTTTAGAAGAAAATGTCGTACCGGTTGCCCCATATATCGGTAACGGTTTTGTTTTTATGCAGGATAATGCTCGGCCGCATACCACTCGGGTAACTCAAGCTTATCTTAATGATATGAATATCACTGTTATGGAGTGGCCGGCGAGATCACCAGATATGAACCCAATAGAGCACGTTTGGGACTTGCTGAAAAGAAAAGTTAAGTACAGAATTCCAGTTCCTGCCAACGTGGGTGAACTGCGAATCACCGTAGTTGAGGAATGGCGGAGACTATCCCAGGAGACCATCGATAACATCGTTCTCAGTATGCCTAGACGGGTAGAAACTTTAATAAGGAAATACGCGATATTAATCACCATTTTTTTAATTTAATTAATTGTTATTTTAATATTAATTTTCACTTTTCCCGGTTATATGAAAAGTTCAAAAATGTACCATTTTTCACAAATAGCCTTTACTCGCAAAATCTGTTTTTAATGTGATCTCATTTTAAGTAAAACAAATGAAACTTTAAATAACAAAAGAAGTGTAGTAAGTAGATTTTAAAATAAAACCATATTTTTTTAATAATGGACCTTTTTTTTGTGTTCCGCTAAATATGCCGGCGAGTGTATATATAAGAAATAAATTCGAAAAAAATTAAGCAAATAAGTCTACAAACAATGCTATTATATCTAAAAAATCAACTTAAGATAAAATTAATTACTCAGTGTCCATCATCTGCAGTAAGAGCAGACGCTGCAGCGTCTCGTGGCCGGTGGAGGCACGGCGGCCCAGCGCGCGCTGCACCAGGCTCGGCCCCGAGCTCAGGATCACCGAGAATACCTCCGTGAATCTATACGATGTGAACAGTTCAAACAATAATGATGATAAAACCATTGTACTACAAAAACTCAAGCACAATTATCGTCTCGAAAGTGTGCTCAAAAAGAAGTGCACAATTCGAACTTGAATTACGCTTTTTACCAAATCTCTTTCGTTTATTGCTTTCTGGAGGCAAAATTACGTTGTTTCGTTTAAAAAAGTACTTTATGTAATAAACGTAAGTTCGAATTTGTGTTTAGATAATTAGAACTCTCGATTTTTAAACTCTATTCTTTGGTTTGACTTCACTACTTACTTTTAGTTCGACGCCACTTCTTGAAGCAATATTTGTAAGGAAATGCCTATCATGGTTTCATATATCAATGAATAAAACAAAAATGATTTAACTCTCTTAATTACTCAGCTTACAATTTTGTTAATTACTACATTTATAAATAGAAATAAATATTTATGTATATTGAATATAGATGATTTAAAATAAGGAAAGCCCCTTGGACAAGATACCATTCTATAATCACTGACGAATAGCAACTTTAAAAAAATATGACTTGGGAATGACATACATTTTATAATACCTATTAAATAAATAATTCTTGTATACATATATAAATTTATTTCATGTATGTCAGAAACGGCTCTAACGTATGGATCAAATTTCGTATTTAGATAAGGTTTTACTTTTTAAATTTACCTATATTCTATATAGATGTCTTTTCTTTATATCTGTTACGAAAAAATCGCCAAGCAAAGTTCAGTCACGTAGGTACTTAATTATCATTAACTGTATTATATAATTATTATTTGGTATATAAACACAAATAGACACATATAATATGGCCACTAACTTGGGCGTGAGCGAGACGGACTCGGGCGACTGCGCCATCACCAGCATGAGCAGCGCGGCGCAGTGCGCGGCGTCCGCCGGCCGCGCCAGCGCCAGCCGGTGCAGCGCCTCCACGCCCGGCCCGCATATCTGGTGGAGGAACATTAAAAATTCTAAATTCAAAATATTTTATTCAGCATTAAATTATTACATTTTTTTACTGAACGTCATGAGTCTTCTACCAGTTCGGAAAGAAGAAGCCTCAGACCCACAGAAATCTTAATAATAAGGTAATAGAAATGCCATTGCGGTCTTTTAGTACTGGGACGCGTGTCGCCGGCTTGCAGCTACCAACACATTGACAAACAATAAATACACACTATCGCTCACACATGCATTTTGCATTGTTGCAACAAAAATTAAACTTTAAGCGATGACATTACGCAATATTTTCTAAAAACGCATAATCTCAGAACCCGTGATCCCTGTGACCAATAATAAACGTGTGCGAAAAGCACAGAATGATATCGCGCGCTCACTTCTAGTGCAGCACAAAGCGCATAATGCTCATATCGATAATTTTCCGTTGAGTCTTGCAACAATAGGTAACTAATTTATTGAAAGTGTTTTATGTTTCATTCCTCGACGCGATTTTAGACGATTTATTTATTTTCATAAAGGGAATACAATAAAACGTTAAAAGTAAGTAATTTTTTTTATTATTATATAGTTATACACTCAACAGCTACTATATACTCAACAGCCATATATTGTTTTTAATTCTAGTTTAATTTAATGAAGAGTCTGACTGAATTTTGTTTTTATAATGTTTTTATTGACTTGCATATATATGCATAAGTGATATAAAAATTGACTTTTATAACTACATATATGTTATTATATTCTAAATTGGGTGTATACCTTTGCAATAAATATGATTATTATTATTATTATTATACAAAAGTTATGCAAACTATTTGTTAAAATCCTATACATTTTTAACAATGACTTAAATTTTTTATAGAATTTCTATGTTATGTTTATTATCAAACAACTCGCCCTTAGAATTATTTACTCAATCAAATCAAATCAAAAAAAAAATTTGGTAAATGCGGAACATGTCAACGATACAAGGATATTCAACGCATACTGTTTTTGACTTACCCATATACATAACAATAATAAGCCTACCTCCTAATAATTTTCTGAATGAAAAAGTAGTTTAAAAGTACGAATTTACAGATAATCGTTGATAAATGACTTTTTATAAATTATTCAGACAGAAAGAAAACATACATAATGAGATGTAACAATTAAATATTTAACGAAAAATATTAAGCCAAACGTAATAAATTTTCGATAAAAAATAGTGGTGGCACGTCACTAATTCGCGGTCAACTTATGCGGCGTGTCCTTGGAATTTACGTACGCGACGATATTGTTCTTTACGCATGACTATTATTTCATTGCTGCTTTTAGCAGTTGTAATAGTAGACATGAACAAGCTTAAGTGGTAATGGTTATTGAATTGAAAAAAAAAAACGTTTTCCTGCGATAATCGTAGTAGTGGTGGTGAAAACATTTGATTTGGCTATATTTCTTAAAAACGACATTATTTCAAAAATTAAGTACTTATATATGAAATGTTATCCCTTTATTTGTAAAGTTACAAATTGTGGAAGAATTTCCGCAGTTGTATATGCTGCAAAACACCATGTTTACCTCTCCGTGTCTCAAATAACACTAGTTACCGCAACAAACGCTTTACACGCGCTTGTGACCTACGAGTCACATGCGCGGCGACAAGGTCACGCGTCTATGCCACTTCTATTAGCTTATTATTAAGATTTCTGTGCTCAGACCTGAGAAGAACTGGCGAAAGAAACTCAGCGGGACTAATATTGACTTGTTATCTTTTTTTAAAGTAAAATTAAAATTTACAATATTTCTATCAAGTCGAAGTAGCCTGGAGGGGATCATTTCATTCCCAAGGTGTGCCATCTTCTATAAAATCATTTATTGTATAATAGCCGTTAGCACATAAACGTTCTTTAACATTTTTTTTTTGAATTTGGCGATTATTTGTTATATTGGAAGAATATGTTAGAAAATTAATATGGATGAGGTTAGAATTGGTTTTACTTTGTGATGTATACAATGTATAAATAGATGTGTTAAGATTTTATGTACGTGTGTGAGGGTTGGTTGTTTTTATTTTTATTTTAGTGTTCACTTGTATATTACCTTCATTTAAAGTTAAATTAAAATAACCACTACTAACGGTAGGATCAGTACACACTAGGTACTATCACTAGGGGCTCAAGGTGGGTTTCTTTTTAATTTGGTCTTATTAGATTTTAACACACATCTAAAAGACCAATATCCATAAAAAAAGGGCTCCAAAATTTATATTATTTTTCTATCAATTATATATTACTTAGACGTCTTTTCTCTGACCTGTGATAACAAAATCCCACATAAGATGTGTTATACATTTTATTAGTAAAAAATGAGTCACCAAAGGCAACGAATGCCCCCAATCGCTGGCCAGCAGCGCGAAGGCGGCGTGCAGCAGGTCGCGGGGCGGCGCGTGCGCGGGCGCGTGCAGCGGCAGGCGCCACAGCGCGCGGTGCACGCGCAGGTGGCGCAGCGCGTGCCACGCCCACTCCGGCGCGTCGCTGCGCGGCGCCGCCCACTCGCACACCCACGCGCCTATCATCAGCTGCGTGTCCAGGGACACTCCGCTGTATGCACAATTACAACTATTTATTTCCTTCTCCATTCTACTTGACATTGGTGAAGAAATCTATTCTCAACTGGCACGCTTTGAAGCCATTAACAAGAGAATTGAAGAGATTTTGTATGCATGTTACAAGTTTTTATTTTATTGGAAAAAAAAGGCAAACGACTCAGTAAGTAAACTTAGCCCGACCCGGGACTCGAAATCAAAACTTCCGCCAATCCGCAGCACATACTAGCCACTAGACCACCGAAGCAGGCATACTCACGTATGAGGCGTATAGTCCAAAGAGAGCAGCAGGTGCTGTATGAGCGGGAAGCACTTGACGGCCCAGTCCGTGAGCACGACGCGCGCCTCCGTCGCCGACGGCCGCCAGCGCTCGCACGCCAAGTGCTCGAGGAGGGCTGGATCGATGTTTTCCGCTGTGCGAATGTAGATATAATTATCATTTATATGTTGTTATAAACATATATATATATATATATGTATATATATGTATGTATATATATATATATATATATATATATATATATCGTAAGAGAAGAAAATAGAAATTCGACTCAATTGAACTTTTTGTATTAAATTTAATAATAAAAACGGTCCATTCATTCATTTTTTTTTTAAATATTTTCATCATAGTTTGCAGGACAAAAAAGTGTTAAAAATCAAATTTCCAAACAATTTGTATGGGAAAACTAAAAGTTCGATGGAGAACCTCTTAGAATTAGAATTTTGAGCTCCGCCTTTAACAGGAGCTTTATTGGGACATTTTCTAAGATATTTTGGGGTGAGAGCGAAGAAAAAAAATATCTTCATTTTTTGGCACACCCTAATATATATATCCACCACCACCACTCATTGGTTAACCACTCATTGGATAATCACGAAATCTGAGTATTTTACAAACTTGTGGCATCCACTAAAAAGATTTTTGGAAACACGAAAAGGTTTAAAAAGGGTTCTAAAGAGGCAAAAATGAGGTTAAAAGTTTGTGTGGAAGTCTGTATTTTTAAAGTTACAGTAATCCAAAGTTAGTTAATCGTTGTGATTAATAAAAAAGTAATTAAAAAAAAAGTAAAAAAAGGCACTATAAAGTTAAAAATAACTGAACGGGGTTTATATTTACTATATATACGAGTATATACGAATGTGGGTGTGCTTGTATGCGCTCATGCGTCCATGTGTGTGTGTGTGACGTAGTATTTAGCCCCTTTTAACATCCCACTACTGAGAACTGGTCTTTCTTCAATACGAAGGGGATCAGACCATAGTCCGCCACATTGGTTAAATGCCGTTTGACAGAATTCACATGTCCTTCGAAAACCTGCAGTCTCTCAAACATGCAGCTTTCCTTTTATTATTTTCCTTCACCGTAAGACAAATGGCGATAATGTTGGAAATGATTCACAGATGAAAATAGCTTAGTGTGACGCACAGAGAGAGAACTCGGCGAGCAGGTGGAAGGCGAAGGTGTGCAGGCGCGGGTGCGCGGCCAGCAGCGGCGGCAGCAGCTCGCGCGCCGCCTCGCCGCAGCCCCGCGCGCACGCCGCCGGCGGCGGCCTGATGCCAGTCTGCGTGCACACATCATAAATGTATGTTTCATAAATAAAAAAAAAAACAAAAACAAACATCTTTTATTGATGTAGAATCAGGACGATTACTTATCAATGTCAAAAACTTATAACTAATTTTGTACATGTCATAATAAAGTAAATAATAAATACATTAAAATATTAATAATTAAGCCTTTTTATCAATTAAATACTCATTAACATTGTAATACGATTTAGATATAAGTTTACTTATGACAAATGTTTTAAATTTATTCGTTGATAATTAAAATAAAATAAAAAGGTACACTGATTTTAAATTAATGTTAATAAAAGTCATCTTTGATGGAATGGTAGGTTTTTTAATTAATATGGGATCTGTTTGTTATTAAAGGATTATGAAATTTGATTAACATTGAGCGAAGAACACGTAAAACACATTTAACCAAATACTAAATAGTCTTTCTTATGTTTTGAAATCGGTCCAATAAATACAAGTTAGGGATATACCAAAAAAAATACAAATTTTTGTAAGTTTAACCAAATTAAATGTTGCATTATAGCTAGCTTTCGCTATTACAATATAAAAATTACTATTTTGACATAATGACATCAAAATACCCATGTAGGAATAATTGGTTCTATCTATTTCATACCACTACGAGTATCTCACTTACCAAAACAATTTCCCAAAAAACAAAGAACATCACAAACAGAAGACAGCACTGTTATAAAACACCGTACGTCAGCAGGAACTTAAATGACTATCTTTAATATTTAATTTATGAAAATATAATGAAAGACATAGCCACAGATTAAGGAAACTAACAATATTGACTTTCTTAGATTTACGCGAATGTTTGACATTATTAAATAAAACTATCTTTTCGGATTATTTCGCGGATTTATTTTGATTTTTGGTTCCCGACGTTTCGAATGCTTTACAGCATCCATGGTCACGGGAGAGACTGAGGTGTTACATGTCTTAAAGATATAGTTGTTACAGACAGCCTACCCACAATCAACAAAATGAAAATTGCACCAATTACATTACAGTATTTTAACTTTAAACATTTTTATAATTTTAATTATAATTGAATATGGAAAATTATTTATTTAATTTTTGCTATTATTTTTATAATTATTACAATTTTAAATTATTAATTAGTAATCTATATTTAGTGTTGCCATTATTATATTTATAACCATAAAGAAAATATAAAATATAGTATTAATTATTTAAGCCATATAATTGTTCAATGTGTAATTTAAAAAGTTAAAATTAATTAAGGATTATAATTTTAATTTAGTTTGCTATTATTTAAAAACAACTTACTAATCAACACTATTAATATATACTTTTACAAATGAAAAATGAAAAATATCAATCTGATAAGCTGTCATTTTGATCTACACAGTATGAACTTACTACATCTGCCTGTCTGTTATGTTTATATTTATTATTTGATTTTATTATACCAGTAGTAGTACCCAGCCATCTTCCCTATTGAAATTTGGATGTTTTTTAATTTCTATGGCTTCTCGAATCATTCTAGGGCGATATCGGTTTTCTTTCGCCAGGATTTGAGGTCTATCGAAACGAATATAATGGCTTGGGCGGTCCTGGCTATGTTTGCAGACAGCAGATGTTGTATTGCGACGGTGCTTCACATCAGCTATGTGTTCTTTGACCCGGGTTCTAATGGATCGCTTTGTTTGTCCAATGTAAGAGAGCCCACAATCACAATCAAGCTTGTAAACTCCTGCATCTTGTAGAGGGATGTGGCACTTGACAGGTGGTAAGAACTGACTAATTTTCTTTGGCGGCTTGAAGTAAGTTTTAATTGAAGCTCGCTTTAGAATGTAGCCAATCTTGTCAGTGACTCCTTTCATGTATGGCAAGACTGCAGGGACGCGCTCGACTGTGGCTGGTTTTACTCGGTCACTGTGACGCAGGCGCGGCACTTGCAGCTTGTTGTCACGTAGAACTTGCTTGACATGTTGCAGTTCTCCGGCCAGGTGTTGTTCGTCACAGATCCCGCGCGCTCTCTGAAACAAAGATTTTCCCACGGTAGCTAACTGTGAAGGATGGTGGTGAGATTCACCGTTCAGGTACCTATCAGTATGGGTCTTCTTTCTATACACAGTATGACTCAAGGTGTTATCTGTGTTACGTTTAACTAATACATCTAGGAAAGCTAAGGTATTGTCTGATTCTAATTCCATTGTAAATTGTATTTTAGGATTTATAGAATTAAGGTGTTCTAAGAATACAGTTATTTTATCAGATGGTAATATAGTGAAAGTGTCATCTACATACCGCTTGTAGAAACGAGGGGTCACGGGTGATGTGTTCAGAGCAGTCTCCTCGAAGTCCTCCATGAAGATGTCGGCTACGACGGGGGAGACTGGCGAACCCATGGCCACTCCATCCACTTGCCTATAGAAATCACCATTCCACAGTAGATAGCCAGATGTTAGGCAGTGTTTTAAAAGTTTAATGTATTCTATTGACATGTTGTGATCTAGTAGCTTCCTAGATATTATTTCAATACAGTCTTCCACTGGTAGGCTGGTAAATAAAGACTGTACATCGAAACTAACCATTGTTTCATTGTCCATGAGTTTCAGGTGTTTAACTTCATTGACAAAATGGTAAGAGTCCTTTGTGAACGCTCTTGTTAATCCTCTGAGTGGTGAGAGTACTTTTGCTACTAGTTTAGCCAATTTGTAAGTCGGTGAGTCGATCTGACTCACAATTGGACGTAGCGGAGCGTTAGTCTTGTGTATTTTCGGAAGTCCATACAACTTAGGTGGTTTTGCACATGATGGAATAAGATTTTTAACATCAAGATTTAATGTGTCGGAGTGTTCCTTAATTAGCTTTTTAGTATTATTTAAAACGGTGGTAGTTGGATCCGTTTTAACCTTTTTGTACGTGCTCTCGTCCGACAAAAGTTGTTTTATTTTATCATTATAATCTGATGTATCCATCACAACGGTTGCATTTCCTTTGTCTGCGCGTAGAACGGTGATGTCTGACCTATTGCGTAGGTTCTTCAACGCTAAATACTCTTGTTTATTGAGGTTTGGTTTGGGCCTAGTACTACGACGTAATAAAGACGAAACATCTTGACGTATGGCCTCCATATCCTCAGTTTTCATAATGTTTTGGGCCAGGGCATCTTCAACTGCGCAAATAATGTTTTCATAAGGAATGCGCGTAGGCGTTACAGCAAAATTCAAACCTTTATTTAGTACCCGAATAGTAGGTTCGTCCAACGTTTGTTTTGACAGATTGACAACAGCTTGAGGTCCGCTCGAGTGTGTATCTGTGGTAGACGGGCGCGTTACGTTATACTCTATGGTTTTCTTTTTCTTTTTGATGTTTAATTTTTCAACGAGTTTTTGATATTTTAAAATATGTTTAATTTTGCACTGATTATATTTGGTTGTTTCACGCTTATTTAAAGTGTCAATGCAATCGTTGAAATCAGATGGTGTCAATACTGTCTTAACAATATTAGACGTCTGTTCAATGTCCCGGTCGTTTCTGCGTAGATCGCGGCGATTTTGTCGAATCACTGTCCGTAACAACTTAAAACTTGCCTGGTTTACGATCTTAGCGCTTCCTCGTATGTTCTTTTTGGAAGATATTTTCACACACGTAGGAATGAGACGATGATCACGACATCTCTTCAAGAAAGTTAACGATGTTAATAATCTTGCGCGCTTTGTCTTTAGATCTTCTAACCGGCGTATCTTATTTGCGGTTTCCAGTCCGTACTGGTTCACATAATACTTTCTTAGATTTACGCGAATGTTTGACATTATTAAATAAAACTATCTTTTCGGATTATTTCGCGGATTTATTTTGATTTTTGGTTCCCGACGTTTCGAATGCTTTACAGCATCCATGGTCACGGGAGAGACTGAGGTGTTACATGTCTTAAAGATATAGTTGTTACAGACAGCCTACCCACAATCAACAAAATGAAAATTGCACCAATTACATTACAGTATTTTAACTTTAAACATTTTTATAATTTTAATTATAATTGAATATGGAAAATTATTTATTTAATTTTTGCTATTATTTTTATAATTATTACAATTTTAAATTATTAATTAGTAATCTATATTTAGTGTTGCCATTATTATATTTATAACCATAAAGAAAATATAAAATATAGTATTAATTATTTAAGCCATATAATTGTTCAATGTGTAATTTAAAAAGTTAAAATTAATTAAGGATTATAATTTTAATTTACTTTTGTCGGACGAGAGCACGTACAAAAAGGTTAAAACGGATCCAACTACCACCGTTTTAAATAATACTAAAAAGCTAATTAAGGAACACTCCGACACATTAAATCTTGATGTTAAAAATCTTATTCCATCATGTGCAAAACCACCTAAGTTGTATGGACTTCCGAAAATACACAAGACTAACGCTCCGCTACGTCCAATTGTGAGTCAGATCGACTCACCGACTTACAAATTGGCTAAACTAGTAGCAAAAGTACTCTCACCACTCAGAGGATTAACAAGAGCGTTCACAAAGGACTCTTACCATTTTGTCAATGAAGTTAAACACCTGAAACTCATGGACAATGAAACAATGGTTAGTTTCGATGTACAGTCTTTATTTACCAGCCTACCAGTGGAAGACTGTATTGAAATAATATCTAGGAAGCTACTAGATCACAACATGTCAATAGAATACATTAAACTTTTAAAACACTGCCTAACATCTGGCTATCTACTGTGGAATGGTGATTTCTATAGGCAAGTGGATGGAGTGGCCATGGGTTCGCCAGTCTCCCCCGTCGTAGCCGACATCTTCATGGAGGACTTCGAGGAGACTGCTCTGAACACATCACCCGTGACCCCTCGTTTCTACAAGCGGTATGTAGATGACACTTTCACTATATTACCATCTGATAAAATAACTGTATTCTTAGAACACCTTAATTCTATAAATCCTAAAATACAATTTACAATGGAATTAGAATCAGACAATACCTTAGCTTTCCTAGATGTATTAGTTAAACGTAACACAGATAACACCTTGAGTCATACTGTGTATAGAAAGAAGACCCATACTGATAGGTACCTGAACGGTGAATCTCACCACCATCCTTCACAGTTAGCTACCGTGGGAAAATCTTTGTTTCAGAGAGCGCGCGGGATCTGTGACGAACAACACCTGGCCGGAGAACTGCAACATGTCAAGCAAGTTCTACGTGACAACAAGCTGCAAGTGCCGCGCCTGCGTCACAGTGACCGAGTAAAACCAGCCACAGTCGAGCGCGTCCCTGCAGTCTTGCCATACATGAAAGGAGTCACTGACAAGATTGGCTACATTCTAAAGCGAGCTTCAATTAAAACTTACTTCAAGCCGCCAAAGAAAATTAGTCAGTTCTTACCACCTGTCAAGTGCCACATCCCTCTACAAGATGCAGGAGTTTACAAGCTTGATTGTGATTGTGGGCTCTCTTACATTGGACAAACAAAGCGATCCATTAGAACCCGGGTCAAAGAACACATAGCTGATGTGAAGCACCGTCGCAATACAACATCTGCTGTCTGCAAACATAGCCAGGACCGCCCAAGCCATTATATTCGTTTCGATAGACCTCAAATCCTGGCGAAAGAAAACCGATATCGCCCTAGAATGATTCGAGAAGCCATAGAAATTAAAAAACATCCAAATTTCAATAGGGAAGATGGCTGGGTACTACCATCGTCATGGGATCCTGTTATTAATATAATAAAATCAAATAATAAATGTAAACATAACAGACAGGCAGATGTAGTAAGTTCATACTGTGTAGATCAAAATGACAGCTTATCAGATTGATATTTTTCATTTTTCTTTTGTAAAAGTATATATTAATAGTGTTGCTTAGTAAGTTGTTTTTAAATAATAGCAAACTAAATTAAAATTATAATCCTTAATTAATTTTAACTTTTTAAATTACACATTGAACAATTATATGGCTTAAATAATTAATACTATATTTTATATTTTCTTTATGGTTATAAATATAATAATGGCAACACTAAATATAGATTACTAATTAATAATTTAAAATTGTAATAATTAAAAAATAATAGCAAAAATTAAATAAATAATTTTCCATATTCAATTATAATTAAAATTATAAAAATGTTTAAAGTTAAAATACTGTAATGTAATTGGTGCAATTTTCATTTTGTTGATTGTGGGTAGGCTGTCTGTAACAACTATATCTTTAAGACATGTAACACCTCAGTCTCTCCCGTGACCATGGATGCTGTAAAGCATTCGAAACGTCGGGAACCAAAAATCAAAATAAATCCGCGAAATAATCCGAAAAGATAGTTTTATTTAATAATAACAATATTGATTTTAGAATGTGTCACAAGATGACGCTAGTAGATCCTATATTTTGATGTTTACAACAAGCACATACCTGAAAGAGGAACTCGAGCACGACGCGCGCCAAGTCGTGGTCGCCGGCGCGCTGCAGCGCGGGCGCGGCGGCGAGGCGCGCGCGCGCCGCGCACTGCGGCGTCTGCAGCGCCACCGACAGCTCCTCTATAGTCACCGGCGACGGCTCTAGAACGTTCCATCGTATTTGTTGAAATGTGAAGTCAGTAATATTGTACTAGCGACTCGGGTTCGTATTAGTATGGAATAGATAGGCTCTTTATGGTATACAGACAGGGTGGTCCAAGAAGTGACATCAAAATTTTTTTTAGATTCCTCACATTTGGGTATATCCGAAAAAACCCCATGTATGTTCCGCGATTTTTCGTAGGATAGAAGTTATGATTTTTTAATGAGTGTTTGCGAATTTTCTACCGGAGTAAATTAAAAAAATCATAACTTGCTTATTAGTAAAAAAAAAATTGGTTTCTTTTTCTGCAACATGATCGCCTTGAATCACTCTTTCATACGTTATAATCAACTACACAACGTTCTAATACTATAAGTTACCAAAAAAAGGTTCGAAAGTGAAAATTTTCTGTTTGAGTTGGACAGAGTTAAATTTTCAAAATTCTCTTAACAATACAAAATGGAAGTTTCATAGATTCAAAGTACTTTAAAAACTTCAGCAACTTATCAGCTTACCAAATAATAAAAAAAAGTTGTTCTTAATAGGCAATTATACGATGAAATCGACTTTTTTAGATGAAAATGCGTTAAGAAAAAATTTGTCCGAAAAAAATTTTTTAGCTATTATTTTCAACCTTATTATCAACATTAGTAAATTGTAAAAAGCATTCAAATAATCTCAAATTGAACGATCAGCGACTTTAGTGGGTAGTACTGGCTTTTAGTTCCGGTGAGTCCCACATAACCACCTGTATGTCTACAGGTGGTATGCGTAAATGCATTTCCCAACATTAAAAAACAGGAATATTGCATGTTGACTCTCAAAAAAATAGATACGTTTACTGAAGAAAATTGTACATTTGTATCGACTATCGTAGCTTTACGTATACATTCTTTAAGATAATACTTTCCCGGTTAAGCCAAAAGAGAATTCCTACGAACAAAATAAAAACACATAAATCTCCATTTTAAACACCACAAACACATACTCACTATGCAATCCCATAATTATATCATTGCAGTACGCCATAGCGGTGCACGGGCGGAGCAACGTCGCCTCTATCTTGTACGCCTCGTCCTGCAACAGGCTGAAGCCGGCCGCGAAACACGCCTCCAACTCCACTGTGATCTTCTCTTCCAGTTCCGCCGTGTAAGAAACTCTGAAACAATTGTTATTGATTATATTATTTATACTAATATTATAAACGTGAAAGTTTGTGAGTATGGATGTTTGTTACTCTTTCACGCCAGAACAGCTGAACGGATCTGGGTGAAATTTGGCACAGAGATAGATTATAGTCTGGAATAGCACATAAGCTACATTTTATCCCGGAAAATGTACGATTCCCATGGGATAGTAAAATATTTGCAAAAACATTCGTTTAGTATATTACGTACCCATAAAGTGCAGTTTTTTATTTGCGAAAATAGCATTCATAATTAATATAGGTGAGGTGAGGTTATCAATTCCTTTTAGACGCTATAATAATAAAAAAACGATGTGTGCAAATCGAGAACAAAAAAGTATTTTTTTATTTTCTCATTTAGTTATAATATTCTATACTAAAAATATGTCTATGTACATAGTACATACAACGTCATATTTTCAGTATGCGTCGTGCGCCCTCTGCAGTATGAAAGTTTATTAATTATATACCCACATATATTGACAATCCAACGTTAATATATTTAATTATTTACTCTACCTAGTAACATAAATATAACAATATCCTACCTAGAATGTAAATTCAACGCAGCCAACGCATTCAACGCAGCTACAGCCAAGTGTCTCAAGTGTCGCTGCACCTTGACGTAGCTGCAGTGCGCGTCGTGCCCGCGCTGCAGGATGTGCAGCAGCGTGCGCACGCCGCAGCAACACTTGAGGACCCCGTGACCGCCCGAATGGTCGCCCCAATACAAGTCGCTTTCTTGGCTTATATCCTGGTAATAAAACGTATTAAAACATATTATATTAAAACTCGAAAAATATCTTATTTTGGAAATAGCGCATTTTTTCTTCAAATAGTAAATAGTAACCCATATTTTGAGATATCGTTCGATCGTTTTCTTTTCTGCTGCTTAAGGCTAGGCGATAAACGCTTTTCAATAAGAAAAATACAAAGATTTATATTTGTTTACATTAAGTAAAGATATTGAATACAAATCATATATAAAAATGCCTTACAACTAAAAAGTTTAAAAATTACTACTCCGATTTAAAAAAACTCCTGTTGCATTTTACAGCCTATTTATTGAGTAAAGTTCCAGGTTATCTCCAGGCTACAACCTTTAAAAGCAGAGCGATTAATATAAATAAAACACACGGACGAAACCGCGGACAAACACTAGTCTTACACAAAAAAAGACAAAAATTTCTTCTATTTCCAAATTAGATAAAACAAGCACCTGTCTCATAAAGAGAACCAGCTTAGCGAGCATATCGCGCAGAGGCAGGGCTTGCAGCAGATACAGCAGGTCGCGCTCGCGCAGCCGGCCCTGGCCTACCGCGCAGCCCTCCCCGCGGTCATCCACTTCTTCCCATGCCTCTGTAATACTTACTTTTAATAAAGTAGTCTATATAATTTTTTACATAACTATTATTGTATAAGAATTATTAACACTTTATATAACACAAGCGACTCACCCTCGCTTCGCTCGGGTTGGTCCCTAAAAATCTCGTTCCAAAAGTTGAAAGTTTTAGAATTTTTGTTGTTTATGTACTAATAGACCAATCGGAATCTTTTTATTTTTAAAAGATTTTTTTATTGAAAACCTGAAATTTTATGATTTTAAAATGTTAGCAGGTATATAAGGAATAGAAATTCATAAAATGACCTGATCACGAAAGATGATGATTTACGATTTTTTAACAAATCTATGACTAAATTTTATAAAATATATCAACTCAATTTTTTAAAATATATTTTTAACTAATGAATAAACAAGATTAGATTACGAATGAATTTCATTTCTTTCTGTAATTGCCCTAAAATCAAATCTTTCAGAAAAATCAATAAAATTAACTCCAAAAACTAATCAAATATCGATCAATTCGAAAAAATTATAACGAATAGTATGTGTATATATATATAAATAAATATATATTTGTATATATATATATACATATATATAAACATATACATACTATTCGTTATATTTTTTTATAATTATAACGAATATAGAATTAAAAATATAAATTTTACAAAAATAAAAGTATTTTTATTGCTCCTTCTAAGAGGTAATAGTCCAGCAATTAGTGACCGGTGGAGGGGGACGGATGGATGGGTGTAGGCAGTGGCCCTTACTCATTTAAACTTGGCTAGATGTAATGATGATGATGATATAGAAAATATTTTTATTTTTGTATTAAAATGAAAATTTAAGAAATATATTTTTTTCTTGTTACAGAAGTTGTTGTTATGATGTAAATAGTATATTCCCAAAAGGTTTAGTAAATTATATATATATATATATATATATATATATATATATATATATATATACCTAGTGTTCTTACACGACGACCATACAATATTTTTATATTTTCAAAAAGACGAAAAGAATGAGCCGTATTTAAAAATTGAATGAATTTAAATTAAACGCCCACTTGAAGTTGAAGGGGTGATTTTCAGCCTATCGAGACCATAATACATACTTTTCTCGGAAACGGAAAATTTCTGTAAATATTTCAACTTTTTTTTATTATATATATTTCGAAGATTGCATTCCCTTAGTTCCATGGAAATCAAAAGATTATTCTAGAAATTAAAAATAAAAAACTCAAGATAAATTTAAAAACCGAGTTTTCTGCAAATATCTCGAAAACTTTGAGGTTATCGTAGAAAGTGTTATTTATAAAAGTTGTAGATTTTTACTAGAACTTTAACATTTGTACAAAATATTTTTCGATAGAACGTCACAGTAAGCCGGAAATTGAAAAAAACTATTTTACGGGTGTACTCGGGTGTAGCTGGACAGAGGGGGCATTTTACGGTTTCTAATCCTTATATACCTGCTAACATTTTAAAATTATAAAACTTCAGGTTTTCAATATTTTGTTCCCAGATTCCGACTGGACTATAATACTAGCTTACATACCAAATTTTAGCTTTCTAAGACTTCAGGAAGTACCCTAAGAGTTTTGATGATCATCAGTGAGTCAGTGACGAAATCGGAGTTTTTTAGATATCAATAAAATCTAATGTAAAAGAGCTTTGCAATTGAAACTTTTTATGTTTAGCTAGCATTGCCCGTGGCTCCGCCCGCGTTCATATGACCAAAAACCAAATTCATAGGTTTTACATATACTGGTACATTGCAGTTTTATATTTTTTTCAGGAATGAGATATTTTCCCGCGGTAAAAAGTATCCTATATGTTGATCCGGATAACCAGCTACCACAATACCAAATTTCATCGAAATCCCTCCAGTGGATTTTCTGTGACGTGGTAACAGACAGACAGACATACAGACAGACAGACAAAAATTCAAAAAACTATAGATTCGGCCTCTGTATCGATAATAATGTTTATTTCAATAATATTATTCAAAAAATATTTAAGGTACAGATTCGGCTTAGTTACAATGTATACATACGAATCCTCCAGTATCGATCGATATATCGATATTACCTTCTCCTCCCTAAGAGATAATAATATCGATAGCACCTTCAACATCACTACAGTCTACAATATGCCCCTGCCCCCGACCCGTATGGTGCGATAGAGAGAGTTGCAAGTCTTAAAGGCAATTACCTACATTTCCTTTTTGAAATATTGTTTCGGGCGATAACGTTTTCAGCCCCCTAAACATTATCGAAATGAGACAATTTTGGTCTCATTATATTTACAGTACACCTTAATCTAGGTCTGTACGTTTTCCTTTTTTTGTAATTCAGTTTAGTTTAATTTAAAAAAATAAAAACGCTGGAGGAAGTTTTTAGGTCAAAAATATGGATATTTAGATGCTAATAACTTCTATCGTACGCAATATTTCTAAAAAATAAAAACGTACGGACCTAGATTTTGATTATATCTACAACATTTCCAAAAATTATGAAAATTAGACTATGTTTAAGGGGGGAAAAACGTTATCGCTTTTTGTATGAAAATTTACAGCCTCACAATCCTCTTAACTTACAATTCAAGTCATGAACATTAAACATTTGCAAAATTATAAGTTACCTTCAGTACATTCCTGTGCGGTCTCGAGCACAGGCCGTGTGAGTATCACCTCTAATATGCCCATCAGTCTGGCAGCCGAGCTCATGTCGGTTATTTGTAAACTAAAGATGCTTCCCGCCCATTGCACTGACCGAGTTAATCTGTGAATGTTATTAAATTTAATTTTTTTATACTAGCAACTACCCTTGCGTTGCTCGGGTGAGTCTTTAGGTGCGTTTTAAATAGATAAGAATTGTTATTGCGAGTGTACCTTAGGAGATAGACATAATATGCTATTGCTGACTTTTTTGTAGGCCATTTTAAGAACTACAATTATTTAGTACATTGTATTGATGTATCTTAAGGTTTTGCCAGCTTTATCCATGTAAATTTCTAAGGACAACTCGACAGAACTAATTGTTTTTTCGTGGGAACGAAATATTTTCCTGTAGAAAAAGGCATCTTAAATGTTGACACGAGTAAAAAGTTTTCACTAGACAAAATTTAGGTAAAATTGGTTCAATACTTTTTTCATGAAATGCACACAGATATACAGACAAACAGACATAAAAATAAACAGAAAAAATTGTATAACTATTGTTTTCGGGTCTATATTATGTTCAATATGTGACAGTAATTGTTTTAAAAAATATAGCATGTACAGATTTTGCTTTGTTACTATTTATTATGTGTGTAGATAATTTGTTTAAGATTGTGTACAATTCGCAGGCAGACTTTAATAATAAACAAGGGTACTACTCGTATATATTACATAAGTATATTTTTTTATTAACTATAAATTTACCTACTATATTAGTAAATGTACTATAATAAAATCAATCTTGTACACTCTAATATGTATACTGCTATTACTAATATTAAAATTGTCTGTATGTGAACTAGCTATGCTTGTGTGATAAGCTATGCTAAGTAAAATATTTTATTTTAATTTCAATTCCATCCAGAAGTGCCAAGTGTCAATAAAAAGTATTTAAGTACTATAACGTAAAGACAATAAAACATGTATTATGGAAACTTTAAACTTTAAACTTTTTCTTTCGGAACTTTGTTTACATGCCATAATCTTATTAGAATGATAAAATTAAAGACATCTCTGGCAATTATATGTATAAATTATAATTCATAACATTATTAAGCAACTATAAAATTAATTAAATAGTGAATTCGCTATTGCTATGCCAAAATACATATTAAACACTAGCCACTCACCCTCACTTCGATCGGGTTCGTCCCTAGTTTGATTTACCCATACAAACATTCATCCCCATTTTCACCCCTTAAGAGATGATTTCTAAGATAAAAAGTATCTTATGTTCTTCCCAGGGTCCTAAACTATCTTTTTACCAAATTTCATTTAAATCGGTGCAGTAGATCCAGAGATTACCCCCTACAACATCACAAACTCACAAACTTTACCTCTTTATAATGTTAGTATAGATTTGAGCACATACAGTAAAATTGAGCATAATTATATTTTCAAATTTAAATAATAAAATTCTCAAGTTACCTGAAAATAATGTGCAGGAAAAACATCAAATAGCTCAATGCTTCATCACAATCTTCATCCAGGAGTGAGGAGGACAGAATGCAGGCCCAGCGCTGCAAAGCTTGTGCATAGGCCTCTGGGGCACCATCACTTAATCGCATCGCTTGAAACACAAGGAATAATGCCTCTTTGACATTATCCTTATGAGTTTGCAAGATATCATATATCAATTCATCTATCTGTAAATCAATAAGCACTTTATTATTGTATTGTTTTTTGTTAAACAGTAAAATAGATATTACAAAAATCTCTAAAAATTATTTTGGGACTTTGCCTTGCTGTTTTTTTTAATTTGATGCATGAAAAATATCACTTCCCATAAAAAATCAATTAAATCAGTATCTGTGGTTTTATTTAGCTGATACAGATAAATACAGGATAAATAAAGTAGTATTTAAATATGTTGAGAAATTTATTACTAATTATATTTAGTATACTAATGATTAAAGAAGAAAATTCATGATCATAATAAAATAAACTAGATTATTGGACATACATCATAATGTGTTTGCAGGGTGATGTGCTGGTGATGACAATATGATTCCTCTACTTCACGTAATAAGGACTCTAATCGCATACGCGCTGCTGGCATCCTCTCTTTATCTAGATTTGCTACATCAAAAGAAGCTCTGAAGGTTATAGCTGCACCACATGGACATTTTTCTGATATATTAACTGTGCGCTTGTGAACTTTCCAAAGTGTTTCCCTAGACTTGTCTTCTTCATCATATCCACTAGCTATTCGATTACGTTCTCGCTCAACAGCTTTTAGTGAAGATCTATAAAAAGACAACATTTATAGCTTCATAGTAATTTTCCTGTAGCATTTATTTTGTATAGAAATTGAATAATTGATTGTGTGATGAATGATCTTGTTCAATATGCATAGCCACTAGGAAACACGCCATAATGCACCACAATGTCTAAATATACACAATTGCAAACAGAGATATATAAAAATAAATACAGGAAATTCACTATAATTTAATAACATATTGGATTTACCTAAATGTAGATAAATAATCAATTAGAGGATGATCAGGGCGACTCTGAGGTCCACCCTCAACATAGGCCTCCTCTTGTTCACTGATAGCCCTAACTTCAGAAATTTCTCTTCCACCAAATAATCTTATAGCTTCTTCTAATGGCATATGTGTAATTTTTTCTGTAATTTGTTGTTCCAATACTTCAACGAGAACTGGATAAGACACAACTTCACGTTCCTCAAACACTGGTGCTGATGGTTCCACTTTTTCATCATTATCATCTTTCACTTTGAGGTTTTCCTCTTCAATAATAGGTTCCACTACTAAAGTGGTCTTTTTATCTGTATCATTTGTTTCAATGATCACATCACATGTCTCATGCCCTTCACCTAAGGAGCATGTTTCAAGGTCACTTGTAATACTTGCTGTTACTGGGATATTTTGTTTTTCTTCAAATAACTCCTCTGGTTCATCTTCTTTTTTTGATGAATGTTTGCTTTTTGTCTTTTTTTTCTAAAATTAAAATGGCATTAATACATTTCGTGAATTAAAAGTGTACTGCAATGCAATTATCACTATGCTCAAGTTTATGTATTACTAGTAATTTATATATTCTTTGTTAATTTTAGACAAAGAAAATATTTTTTGGATAAAGATAAGTAGTTAGTCAAATATTCTATATTACTACAGATCTCTAAAAGATATAGAATTCAACTTTTCTTAATATGATTGTGTTGTTCTATAATAACATTTTTTTAAAGATGTAATACATAATTTCTAATATGAAAACTAAATTTTAGTAAAAATCGAATACATTCGTATCAGAGAGAAAGAAGCAAACTATTCGAAACAATAATATCAAAAAAAGAATAATTTAAAAACATATAACTCTATTTTTATCAAATAAATCATATTATAAAAATAATACGCCAATCTTGATTATTCATTACATTAAATAATTAATACATACGTCTCGCTTTTTTTCTTTAACCATAGTCGCCATAATGATAAATATTAAATATAAATTTCTTTTCGATTTATTTTAAGGATAGTACAATTTATATATAATTTTAATCACTTCACTTCTCTCTTTCTCCTACATTTTTATTGTATATTTTGACGATCAGCTGTGTAACTGGATTGTTTTTGTTAAATGTCATCACTCATCAACAAGTAAAAGCAGCTAGAGATGTACACATGTATCGATTTCGATTAAGTTCGACTATTCTATACTATGTAAAATTATTTAATCTGTTTCAGTATTTTACTAACACAACAAAGGTAAAAATAACTAGTTGTTTGCTCTACGCAAGTGAGTAGTTCATCAACTCTATCATAATGCAAGCTGCTGATATGGTCTAAGGCTATTCATATTTGTTCTGATTTTATTATTTTTGACCATAAAAGTTTTTGTTTCACAGTATAACTACAGCAGATCCAAAGTATTGAAACAAGTTATTATTATTAAATAATTTTATTTTAACATGAAACGCTTAAATATTATCAGATAAGATTCATAAATTTTTATGCTGAAGATTACTTTAATTATTTTTATTATCTCTCTTAGGTAACTCATTAACCATGATAATAATATTACATAGTATGTAAAAATCTGAACATATTAATCTTAATATACATTTAAAAAAATATAATAAACTTATAAATTTAATCCCACTTATAAATGATATAGGTATCCAAATATATTAAAAATTTACCTTAACAATTTAATTCTTAAGTTTTAACTTTTAAGAACAAAACTAATTACTGATCTCTCGATACTTGTATGTATACAACACTAAGACTACTGTAATGTCAAATTTTTATATGAAAAAGATTGCCATATGTGAAAAAAAGTATTGATTACTGCACTTCTATGCATGCGCGTTATAAAAATCAATACAGCTGCATCTGAGGATTTGTTTTCATAAAATTAAAATATTAAATTAAAATTAATATATATTTTCTTTGCTTTTACTCCACCATTACTCTCTAAATTCCTTTGTTTCCTAACTCCTTTTTTTCCTTAATCCATTCCATTTAGATGATAAGCCACAAGTGATGGATTAGGATTGTATACGCGTTTACCTATAAAACCTAACAACATCTCTATCTACAGGTGATAGGTACTAATATAATGTGAGTAGCAAATAGATGCCTGGTAATTAGTGCTAATCAGACATCTAACACACCACCTTAAAAAACTGTATGCGTTAAAGAAGCAGTTTTATTAAAAAAAAAATCAGCTTATCGCCGTTTGCCGCCGGACGAAAGTCGCCCCCATAAAACGCCAACCATCCCAATCTTGGGCAGCCCGCATTTATCCTCTACCTGTGTCATAGAGAATATTGTCTGGCAATAAAATTTAAATATAAGAATATAATTTTGATAGATGTCGGTAAAAAATAAATGTGTCAGGTTGTGTTAGTAAATTGTAAATTGAAATAAATAAAACTATGCTTATTTAAAAGGGACTTTATTAAAGATAACTCCACTGCGATAAAACTACTCTCTATAAAAGGTTATGGGCCGTGCGTAAACGCGAGAAATCGTATATTGAAAAAGAGAAAGATGAGCCATCATGTGCACATAGAGCCATTAAAAAGAGAAAATTACGACACATGGAGAATTCATGCAAAAGCTCTGTTGTTGAAACTTGGTCTTTGGAACTATGTTTCTAATAAAATTAAGAAGCCAATAAGTGAAGGCGACGAACTGAGCAAATATATAGAAAAAGATGGGTTAGCATTAGCTGAATTATTTCTTATTATATCTTCAAGCGAACTAAAACAAGTAAAAAATTGTCACACAAGTAAAGAAGTCTGGGATACGCTTGAAAATATATAAATAGTAAAGGTCCCGCTAGAAAAGCAACCCTGTTAAAAGAATTGATATTAAGAAAAATGAAAGACAATGACAGCATAGTTGATCATTTAAACAAATTTATGGATATTGTCGATAAACTAGCCGACATGTATATAATAATTAATAAAGATTTATTAAGTATAATGCTGCTATATAGTTTACCACAATCTTTTGAAAATTTTCGCATAGCCATAGAATCAAGAGATGATTTACCAAATCCAGATAGCCTGAAAATAAAAATCATTGAGGAAGCTGAAGCACAAAAAAAATATGGCTACTCCAACTGATGGGAACTCAGAACAAGAGGTACTGTACAGCAAGCAGCAAAGAAAAAATAAGAAATATATTACTGAATGCTACAAATGTCATAAAAAGGGGCATAAAGCGAATGAATGCTGGTCAAAAGTGAACAAAAACTAAAAGCAGTGCGAATTATTCCATAGAAACATGTCTAAATGCTAATAATAATAAAGAAAAAGCCAGAAAATGGTGTCTTGATAGTGGATGCACGTCACATATGACTCATGAATTGGAAAGATTCCATAATGTAGAAAAAGAAGACTATAAAACTATAAGGTTAGCTTCAGAGAACTGTACAGCACAAATTGAAGGTCGAGGTTCAGTGAAACTGAAACATAAAGGAAATACCTGGTCTACAACTGACTGAAGCCTTGTATGTACCGTCGCTGACTACAAATCTTATGTCAGTAGAAAAATGACAGATAAAGGTGCAACAGTTTTATTTAAGAAGCAACAAGCAAGCGTAATGCGAAATGGTCAAATTCTGTTAAAAGCAGAAAGAAATGAAGATGGTTTATACTACGTTAAAGAAAATTTAGAAGAGAAATCCAACTATTGTTGAAACAAATAAAATGCAACTATGGCATAGAAAACTAGCACACCTTAATGAGAGGCAAATGAGAATAGCTCTTGATAAGAAAAGTATGGAAGGCTTAGAATTTAATAAATCTGATACAGTTAGAGATTGTGTAGTCTGTGCTAAAGGTAAGGCAAAGAAACTACGTTTAATACATGTAAAAATGAGCAACGGACAAATCATAGATTAGAAATTGTACATACTGATATATGTGGTCCCATGAGACAGCCATCTAAGGGAGGTTCAAAATATTTCATCACATTCACAGATGATAATTCGAGATATACACGAGTATATACAATGAAAACTAAAGATGAAGCCCTATCAAAATTTATAGAATTTAAAAACGAGGCTGAACGATTTACGAAAAATAAAATAATATATTTACAAAGTGATAATGGGACAGAGTATATTAACAAAAGATTTGATAATTACTTAAAAGACAAAGGTATCAAGAGGAGACTTTCCGCACCATATACGCCAGAACAAAATGGATTAGCAGAAAGAAAAAATAGAACATTGCTTTGATAAAGCTAGATGCATGCTGATAGGACGCTAATATGAAAGAAGATTTTTGGGCTGAAGCAATTAGTACAGCTAACTACTTGGCGAATCGAAAGTCCTTGCAGCAGCATTGATAATGCGACTCCGTTTGAAAAATGGGTAAAGAAAGTACCATCTGTGAGGCATTTTCACATATTTGGGGCTAAAGCATTCGTATTAAAAATAAAGGAAAGAAAAATGGAAAATTTAAAGCCAGAGCAACAGCTGGAATTTTCATCGGATATTCCGAAAATCATAAGGCGTACCGGATATTCAACCCGAAAACAGACAAGGTGATAATCAGCAGAGATGTTAAAGTATTAGATAAAATGTTTTATGAGAACGAGATGAAAGAAGAAGTAAATCAAAAAGAAATTGATAAAAAGGAAATAGAAGTTATATTTTTTCCAGAAGAACATAATGAAGAAAACAATGATAAATTAATAGAAAATGAAGGAAATGGGTCAGAACATGATTTTAACAATGATGAATTATTCCTAGATGCAACTACAGAAAATAGACGAAATAAATAATGACATGTGTACAGATAATGAAGTCGAAGCAACGACTAATAGTATAAAAAGACAGAGAAAACCACCAGCATGGCATCAAGATTATGAGATGGATGCTGAGCAATCATTTCCTCTGTGAAATAGATGAAAACAGTGATGAATGGGAAGATGCAATAATAAACGAGATAGAATCTCATCTTAAAAACAATACTTGGACAGTTGTACACAAGAACGAAAGCAAAAATTTAATAGATAATAAAATGATTTTGAAATATAAATATAATGCACTAGGAGAAATAGATAGACGAAAGGCACGACTTGTAGCGCGTGGATTTAATCAGAAAGAAGGTATTGATTACACAAAAACATTTGCACCTGTTGCAAAAATGAGTACTATTAGGCTACTCATTGCACATGCGATTGAAAATGACATGAAGTTATCCCAACTAGATGTGTGTACTGCATTTTTAAACGGCGATATAGACGAACAAATTTACATGAAGATGCCGAAAAATTTGGATAAATACTTAAAAATGATAATAGCAAATGGGAAAAGATAAAGATTAATAAGAAAAACAAAAGAAATGCTATTAGATATAAATAGATATAAAAATAATGGGATATGTAAATTAAATAAAGCCATTTATGGGTTGAAACAAGCAGGACGACAATGGTTCTTGAAGTTACATAATAAATTGATGGAAATCGGATTTTAAGAACTCTACAGCAGATCCTTGCTTATATATTTTAGAAAAAGAAAGTGAAAAGCTATTAGCAAACATTTATGTGGACGATTTAATACTGGCATATAAATCAGAAAATTTGTTAAAAGAGGTCAAAATGAAATTACAAAAAGCTTTTCAATTAAGAGATATGGGTTCGCTACATCATTGCCTTGGCATACAATTCACCCATGTAGGGGGAGAAATGAGGTTGTCACAGACAAGTTATATTGAAAACTTAATAGAAAAATTTAACATGGGCGAATGTAAGCCGGTTTCAACGCCGATGGAAACAGGTTTAAAATTGGAAAGAGCACAAAAGAAGAAGAAATGGAGAACATACCATACCAGGCATTGATTGGTTCTTTGATGTATCTGGCTATAGCTACGAGAGACCAGATATTATGTTACAGTAAGTTATTTGAGCCAATATAATACTTGTTTTGGAAAAACGCATTGGCAAGCAGCAAAAAGGGTTTTGCGTTATTTAAAAGGCACGAAGAATGTTAGCATCAGATACAGTAAAACAGGAAGTGCATTAGTAGGAATGGCTGATGCTGATTGGGCAGCATGTACCATTGACCGTCGTTTCATATACGGGTTACCTCTTCAAGTATGGAGGTGGTCTAATAAGTTATGCTACAAAGAAGCAAACGAGTTGTAGCTTTGTCAACTGCTGAGGCAGAATATATGGCAATGACTGAAGCCGCAAAGGAAGCGCTACACTTAAAACAGCTTTTGGAAGATATTGGAGTGACTACACAAGCTGTACCAATCTACAACGATGATTTAGCTGCACAGAAGTTAGCCAACAATTTAATGACTGGAAAAAGATCAAAGCATATAAGCATAAGGGAACACTTTATAAGAGACTGTGTCCAAAAGAAACTAATAACAATCCATTATAAGGACACAGACAATATGGAGGCAGATCTTTTAACAAAGGCCTTAACCCAGCCAAGGTTAATAAAACTGCTGAAGATGATCACTCAGACTTGAGGTGACACCCCAAGATCTTCGTGAGGGGGAGTGTCATAGAGAATATTGTCTGGCAATAAAATTTAAATATAAGAATATAATTTTGATAGATGTCGGTAAAAAATAAATGTGTCAGGTTGTGTTAATAAATTGTAAATTGAAATAAATAAAACTATGCTTATTTAAAAGGGACTTTATTAAAGATAACTCCACTGCGATAAAACTACTCTCTATAAAAACCTGCCACCTTTTCAAGTTCTCGATCCATCGTGCCGCAGGACGTCAGACACTACGTTTGCCTAAGCGCGGTCTCCAGTCTAACGTCATGGGTTATGCACGACCACCGGTCTTGGGGATACATGAACATGATCAAGATCATTGTTCATAATTTAATATTTATAATTTGGGGACATTACATACCATGTCTTACGCTGCGATGCGATGGAATTTGTTTTGTGTTCTGAAACTTTCTTGAAACTGAAAGTCTCGTCTGAAACAAAAATGGAAAAAGCAAAATTCAGTTTGGATGCAAGTCGCTGATCTATATTTATACCTACATAGTATAAAACAAAGTAACTATTTGCCTCTGTCTGTTTCTCCGCTTACTACTTTTAAGCCACGCAACGAATTAAGTTACAGTTTTAAATAATTTTATTACTCGTTTGTGTATATAATTTGTATAAAATTTTACAAAATAGTTGAGTCTAGACGGCGTTTTCTCAATAAAACTGTTTTCATACAATTACGTGGCAAACGCTAGCTAAGCCTTAAAAGACACATCAAAAGAATGTACTAGAAAATCATTGGCTTAAACAGGCCTACAGAAGAGTCCGCGATAGCCACAAGCATGTATCTATGTCTATGGTAAACTCGAATTGTCGTCATATCGGAGTATGACAGGAATCGAGTGCATTTTTGCTTGCAATCGACTTGATTGTAATCGATAAAATCTGAAACTACTGAAACGATATTGATAATGCAGTCAGGATTTTGCCAAGAAGATAGGAAAAAATGCAGCGTCCGTTGCGTAGCTACTGTGTTTACCTAAAAAAAGTATACAATAATTTGGAAGCAGATAAAACCTTGAGTCATGTGTAGTCAAAAACCTTAAATCTCCCCCGTCATCATGTTTTATGTAAAGAATTGAAATCGTTGGGAATAATAATCTAAATAAAACTACGGAGAAAATCCGATAAGATAGTTTATTAAAAACAAGCTGGCCCCACAGAGACTTCATACAAAAACACATTGTTGACAAAACCACTTCACCTTTCAGTATTTTCCGAATTTTTCGATTTTTCGGAAAAAAAACCAGTTTCTTGCTCCCAAAAAACTTTATTTGAATTATTAAATGAATATTTCTAATATAGGTATATATAAACAATTGACAAATTGGTCCAACCATTCAAAGTGCATACTCAACACAGCAAAACAGTCGATTGGATCTTACTTAGTTACTATAGAAATAAGTTATCACATGACGAATCGATGAATTGATGTATAACATAAATAAATTTTGATTTTTAACGTGATTGCTATCAATGTCCAACCAAGTTGTTATCAACAATTTCTTAATAGGAACTAGAATAATTTCCATGAAGGGTCAGTGGACCGGCAGACTGATAAACAGTTGTCTATCACTAACTGTTTTTTACTTAATACCTATAAGCAGTATTTAATTATACAATACTAGCGACTCAACCTCGCTTCGCTCGAGTTCGTCCGTATTTATAGGCAGAGATGGGTATACCTATATAGTAGAGATGAGTATGGTAGTAGAGACAGCTTGTTTGTAAGAACGCGCTAATCTCAGGAACTACTAATCCGATTTGAAAAATTATTTTTGTATTAGGTAAATAGCCCGTTTATTGAGGAAGGCTATAGGCTATATATCATTCCGGAAACATGTACGGTTCCTGTGGGATAGATCTGTTTTTGTCTAGGGACGAACCCAAAGCGAACGAAGGGTGAGTCGCTAGTCTATACTAATATTATAAAGAGGTAAAGTTTGTGAGTTTGTGACGTTGTAGGGAGTAATCTCTGGATTTACTGAACCGATTTAGATGAAATTTAGTAAGAAGAGAGTTTGAGATCCTGGGAAGGAAATAGGATACTTTTATCCTGAAAATCGTCCCTTAAAAGGGTGAAAATGGGAATGAAAATTTGTATGGGGAATCAACCTAGGACGAACCGAAGCGAAGCGAGGGTGAGTCGCTAGTAAAATATATAGGTACAGTTTTTACAATAATATTTGGAAGACTGCCCGATTTGTTGACATTTATGATTGCTGCTCCGCGCCCTTGAGTAGTAGCATGATGATATGTAGCCTATAGCCTTCCTCAATAAACGGGCTGTCTGATGCAAAAAGAATTTTTCAAATCGAATTAGTAGTTCCTTTGATTAGCGCGTTCAAAAAAACAAAAAAAAAACAAACTCTGCGTCTTTATAATATTATATCTTAGTATAGATTGGTTGACCAAGATTCGGTGTGCAACTTAGCGTAGATATCTATGTAGTTCAAATGGCGCAGGAGCCAGGAAATAATGTTGTTTGGTTCCAATACAAGTGACGTAATTGGTGATTAGTATGGTCTATGGAAAAATCTAGGAGATTAAAATAATTTTGACTTATGATGTTTAAGAAAACTAAAATAAACAATAATTATCTTATATTTAACTTAAAAATACTTTAAGGTACATAAAAAAAATAAACTATTTTTAACCATCTTAAAAAAGTCTCGTCAAAATCATTTAAGATTATATTTAACAAGATTTAATTTTTTCAAATACTCAAAATCCCAATTCAATTTCCTTCTCTTTTTCTACCAAATGTATGCAGATCCTCCACTGGCGAATATGTAGGTATATATATCAACAGTATAGACAGTGCCCGATTTAACCTTAGCGCCGCCCCTGGGCATAGTAAAAAATGCCGCCCAATTATCGAAATTTCGCATAAAATGGGTATAGTTACGATAAAGTTCCTGTATGTGAAGTACCTACTATTTAGTTAATATTTTTTTATTTTTCATTTTTTGCAAAATAAAAAAGTATTTTCGATAACACGAAGAATTTTTTTTCCTGCTCTACGAATTTTGCCACCATGGGCACTAGCCTCGAGTGCCCCTAGTGTAAATCCAGCGCTGAGTATAGATATACTCATCCTCACCTTATTTCAGGAAAAAAGAACAACCGCGGAAATCTTTCTCCAAACAATAATCTTCGTAGCACCCGAGAGGAGACGCGGGCGAATGTTAAGTTTCTTTTAAATACTTAAATGTAACATTTTTATAATAAATAAAAAAAAAACGTATATAAAACATGCCGATATGTCACCGTCTCAATATTTTTGTTTTGCGACTTTGAACCTCCACTTTTTCCATTATAATTTTAACACATTTCCATTCTAAGTTTGTTGATGTTCTGGATAGGGAATGTTATCTTCTTCAAAGGGTCCGTGTTGTTGTACTATATACATGGGTGATTTTATTTTAACAGGTCCTGGTGGTGGTGGAGATGAAGAGTAACTTCTAGGCTGTACTTCTGTCACACTCTGCATTTTTGCATTAAACATTATATTATCGATCTCATGCATGGCGATATCACGTTGTCGCTCATCCAACTTTCTAAGCTTTTTAGCTAAAAGTTGCCCAAATAAATCATATTCATCTCTGTCTTTTTTGAAATCTGTGGCGTTTTTCAAAAAGTCAACAGCTTCAACCGCTTCAGTTTTACCATATGTAGTTTCGGCACCATTTTTCTTGAGTTTTCTTTTAACATTTAACTGCTTAAGTGTCGTATTTTGGTAGCTATTATTTGAATCGTACTGTAAAATAAATATCAAAAATTATATTATTAATGGTAAAGAAACTACTTTTCGATAGTATAATTGTTATTAAACTCTTCTTTAGAATCTTCAAAAACCCAGTAACGGATATTTATTTTATCCGTAACTTTATCGAATCAACTATATTACTATATTATTATATTTATCCGAGCTGACGCGGATGTTTAAAACGACTGAATAGTTTTTGATAAAATTTTCACAGGCAAGTGGAAACTCGAAGATCAGAGAACTGAAAAAGGCTCCATTATATTCAAAAACGATAAAGTGTCTCTGCAGGATAGAATTATAATGTATTTTGTAGATTATAATGTATCTGTACATTAAATATTTTTTGGATTTATTGAATTGAATTTCTTATTGAAATAGACATTATTATCGATACAGATGCCGAATCTATAGTATTAAGAATTTTTGTCTGTGTGTCTGTCTGTGAGCGCATCATGGAAAAACCACTTGAGTAATTTTGATGAAAGGTACGATGATAGCTGGTTATCCGTGTCAACATATAGAATAGTTTTATTTCTCATCCCTGAGAAATCTATACTAAACGTTAAAACGTAAGAAGGGTTGAACCCGAGCGGAGCGAGGGTGAGTCGCTTGTTTATTTATAAGCGGTACACCTTTAACATTGATATTTCCTAAGGTAATAAATCCTGCTAGATACTCGTTGATAGTTAATAGCTGTTTGAATACATCTACTATACTTTAACGTGTTTATTTTGTACTATATCTACCTACGTAGGATTTTCATAGTAGTTAATGAATTGAAAAGAAAAAATCTTTTAGGTTGATATACCTTATATTAGTTAAGAGTCAATAAAGAGAGCAGAAAAGTAAGACAAGTCCTTAGAGCAATGTCCACAAAGATGTAAATAATGTTTGGATATAATGAGTATCTACGTAAAATTAGGTATATTAAGGAATAACATTTATGTTTAAAAGATGTTGTTGGTAATCATTAAAATGATTCTGAAAATTCTTTTTTATAAAAAAATATGTTATACCTATATCTAATATAGATACACATCTGATCAAGTTCTCAATAATTATGAAAACATTAACAAATCGCTTTTTACCTCATGATCCATTTGTACAGAACTATCACATTCATATTTCCCGCCTAAGAAACTCTCCATAAGCGGAAATGCGAACCATGTCGTGCGATAATCGTTTGACGATTTCTTTTTTCTATTCATATGTAATCTAAATGATGTCATTAAAGATTCTTTTTTCCTCTTTAAATCTGTTATTGAGCTATGAATACTGAGACTATTTTGGATGCGAAGCCACGCATCGTTGACCTCGCTACGGTTCCTGTGCAATGGATGTTTGGGGTCCCATATCAGTTGCTCAGTCCGATAATGTTCCAAGAATTCCAACACCACATCATTTGTCCAAGACATCACAAATGTTTGTGGGCCAAACCCGAATAATTGAGTAAATACGTCTGACCAATGCTGTCAAATTGAGGTGACTGGATCGCGCCGACCAATCAGAGGCGCGCTTTTACCCAATGTTTGTTTATGAATATGTTGGCCAAAATACACAGATTATGTGGTCGATGTTTGCGCTTGTAACTTGTAAGTTTGCTAACTACCTACTTGGCACTTGATTATTGATACTATATGTTTTGCATAAATCAATTCCGTCAAATGATAGAAAGTAATTTTGAAATCCCATTTAGTATTAAAACTTACATAATATTTGTATCCATAGCTTAATAAAAGTTTGGTCGAAGTTGGTACAATATCAATATCCTCAATTCATCGAATATATGTTTCGGTGAGAGTTAAAATAATGTAGGTATCTGAATTTATTAACTTCGATCCAGTGTTCCGTGAGAACCATTTCGGGATACTCTTATTGAAAACGAGAAACCTTTGAAACCCTTTACTAACTACTAATTTAGTGGTGGTCCTCGGTGAAAATTCCAATGAAGTAAATAGGATGAAAGAAAAAAAATGGTTTATTGAGCGTTGATATCTTGCAAATAACGTTACAAACGCTTTGTTTTGGGTAATTACTGTATTTTACATCTTATATATAAAATTTCCATGTCACAATGTTTGTTACCGTACTCCTCCGAAACGGCTTTACCGATTTTTACCAAATTTTATAAGCGTATTCAGCGGAGCGAGGGTGAGTCGCTAGTTAAATATAAAATAAATAGATTAAGTATTATAAAGTTTAACTAATTTTCGTTAATAGCTCTTCTTATTTGTTGTAAAAAGTTGCATCAGAATTACTACGGCTTTGAAATATTTATGACTCGGCAAATTTTAACATGATTCTCCCCACATTGGCCCACGTCACTGTCCAAAGTTCAAAGTACAAAGTATACATCATACAAATCACAATCATTATCAAAAATGAAATAATACAAATATATGCAATGGGTACACTAATTAGTAATTACATATTTTGATGATTATGATATGTAGTAAGAAAAACGGTAAACAGTCGTTGTAGTTTCCAAAATAGCCACTCGCCTTCGGCAAAACATATCACCGTCAGCGCCATAAGAGAACGATCTATAATAAAGAGTCATTCATTTATTTCACTCATTCTCCCCTCTATAAATACTCTTTGGCACGCAACAAGTAATTCATTCATTAATTAACTATCATTCAGAATTCTCCAAGGCAATCTCCAATTTCCAAATATCATTTTGCTGTTTGCATTGTTGTAGTTTGTTCGTGTAGTTATACTTACTCTGTTTTAATAGCAATTAAAAGACTTATTTGATTTAATTTAATTAAAGTGCAACGTTTTGTGATCTACTAATATTAAAGGTAGGTAATAATATAGTTACTATAAATTGTTATTTTAACTTTCAAATTGACCCTCATTAATCATTTTTACCAAGTTTTCCGGTGACGAAGTTATTATTAAATTATTCTAGATTTCATCATCTACATCTACCTCTACTACTACTATATAAATATCATCTTAAATGGTATTTTAGACTTAACTAAACAAACCTATTAGTGTAGTTTTTTCTGGAATGTAACGATTTTACAATATCAATTTACCCTCTTTGTTGTAATTTTTTTTAATTTTCTAAAGGTTCAATAATATATCAATTATCAGTGCTTATTTGATTTTATTTGATTGATCTGGTTATATCTTTAAAGAATATTTTTTTTTTATTATTCTAATGAAATGAAAAGAAAACCAAAAATATTTTTAATTAAGATATTGCTATTAGTAGGTATTTTAATTTATACACAATATTATTACTAGATGGCGACAGATGTTGGATCAGCCCCTGGAATGGCCCAGCTTCAGTCTGTACAGAAAGTTATGGCATTGCCAACAGTAGAGGCAGCCGTGGGACAAGTTGGTGCTTTCTACACAAGGGTAAAGGGTATGTTTAGGCAACTGTTTTCATGTATCTAGTTGAGATCTATTTACTTTTATTATCATATATTGCTTTTTATTATCTTTATTAAGTGTGAAAAATATCCTCAATTATATAATGAATGAATATCAATTTCACTTTTTTACAAAAAAAAATCATATTTAAATATTACCTATATTTGAATAAATCAATAATAAAAAAATCTTCTTCAGGAGCACATTCTTTATTAGAATGGGCATTGTCAACAGCAGAGGCCAGTGTGACCTTAGCTGCAGTCACTGCAGCTCCTTTTGTAGCGGCACCCCTTGCTGCAGGAGATGCTAAAATAGCTGCTGTGATTGATGAGTTGGAACGCAGAGTTCCTATTGTTACAGAACAGCCAAAAGTTATAGTGGAAACAACAAAACAAGCTGTATTGGCCAAAATTACACCACAATTGAATAAGGTCAGTACCTTTAACAAAGTTTAAAAATCTTTACATACATTGCTGACTGTAATGAACAAAATTGCATTCACACTTTATGCCCTAGGTTTGTTATATAAGTATTAACAAGGAAATTCACTTTAAAGTGTGCTATCTATGTCATTATGTTATATATTATATATATATATATATATATTATATATATATATATATATTTATTATAATAGCTGGATCCTTTTACATAACATGAATATATCGCTTTTTTAAAGTAACTAGCGATTTATCCTCGCTACACTTGGGTTCATCCCCAGGTTGCTTCCCCATAGAAACTTTCATCCCCATTTTCACCCCCTTAAGGTATGATTTCCAGGATAAAAACGATCCTTTGTTCTTCCCAGGGTCTCAAACTATCTTCTTACCAAATTTCATTTAAATCGGTTCAGTAGTTTCGGAGCCTATTCGGTACAAACACACAAAAAAATCAAATCTTTCCTTTTTATAATATTAGTATAGATGTAAATAAAATGTATAATTTATTTAACATCAACATCATCCAACAAAAAAAATGTGATAATTTATTTCAAAGTTATTCTATTTTCCCATGAAAGATTTGGAAAGCTATTTTCCTAAGAATATCAAAGTACTGATTACTAACTTCATATGTTTTTTTATTATACCACTAACACTGCCCGCAGCTCCGCCCGCGTTCAGATGACCTGAAACCAAATTCTTAGGTTTTACATATTAGTATACTCTTATATTGCAGTTTTTGTATTTTTCTCAGAAATGAGACATTTTCCCGCGGTAAAAAGTATCCTATATGTTGACCTGGATAACCAGCTATCACCATACCAAATTTCATCAAAGTCCCTCCAGTGGTTTTTCTGTGATATGGTAACAGACAGAGAGAAAGACAAACAGACAAAAATTCTAATGTATCGATAATAAAGTCTATTTCAATAAGATTTTTAAAAAAATATTTAGTGTACAGATTCGGTTCAGTTAGAATTTTATTATATGTATAGATTTAAACAAAAGCTTCCTGTTGTACATTTTGAATAGTATGTTGAAACTACAATATGTCATACTCGCAATATGACAATGTTGTATTATGAAATCTTCTGCATAACCAGACAAAACTAATAATATCAGCATCTTTTGTCTTGAATTTCTTGATACACTTTTGTATAGCTGTATCTACATTTTAAGATGAATGGTTTTGTAACCAACAATTCCATTGTTTTGTACTTTGGAATGGTGTCACGGCTATTGAATTTGATAACAAGTATTAAATAAACATATTAATAAATGTCATAATAGAGTTGGGTAAGGAGCATAGTGTGTTTAAAAAAAATCATTCTTCTTCGAAATTTACTTTGATTTAATTCAAGTTCAATTTTTTTAGACAATTTTACTGATGTTGCTAATTAATTATTATCAAACAAAATAGCGTTTTTAAAATTATTCAAATTCTCAATTATACGCTATTGCTTAAATGGGCAGGCCATATATGAACAAGGTTGGCCACAGGTGGTGCATTATTAGAGTATGAAAGTTACAGTGTACTAATGATGCATACAAATCTTTATATTATTATTATTATAATTAAATTACTACTTTCATTATGAAATCTCGTTAACTCATACATTGACATCATACAATGCCTACAAAATAGTATACTCAGGAACATCGCCAACATATCGTGGTTTATAATGCGGAAATTCATAGGGCACCTAATATTAACACTGTCAAGAATGAAATAAGCCACCAGGCAAAGTAATATAAAATCCAGTTGGAAAAACAATCTGGATGGAATTGGACTGGCTAACCAGCTGACTAACATGAGCTACCACAAACGCCTCAAACATTATAACATACAAGATTTAGACACTAGATTCCTAAATTAGTGACCGTTCCTGCTAGGGAGCCTCCTCGACCCGACATCTACACGCAAGTTTGCTTATAGTCACAAACAAGACTGGATGCATATATATGAAATCTTGTAACTAGGTGACTGAATTTGCTAGCAATTAGTACCTTTTTTATTTTAATGTTGGGAAATGCATTTACGCATACCACCTGCAGACATACAGGTGGTTATGTGGGACTCACGGGCTAGAAAAGCTGATACTACCCATTAAAACCCAACAAAACCTCCCCCGTCTTATTGGAGTGTCACAGGATCGCTAACGCTGAGTGCGTATCACGACGTTCCGACGACAGGTCTGCCGAAGCAGACCACAAACATGGGGTTGCTTCAACGGTCCACTTTGCCGTCAGAGAAGTACCAGGAGCAACCAACCAACATGCGGGTGCACGATACACCGCCCACCGAATACATATTTTTTGCATAGCTAGATGTAATGAAATCAAGTTTAACAGGTATTTCTTAATGTTAATTTTGCCAGTTGATCACTCATGCGACTGACTGTAAAGCTGATGTCTGCATATCTTAGTAATTGCTTTCGAGTTACATTGCTAATAGAATATTTCAAGTTGTTTTTGTTCAATCAATTTTAATGACATTTGTGACGTGAAAATTATATGCTAAGTGCAAACTCGGGTACAAGTAGTTTATAATTTTGTTTTCTTCTATATTTAACTATGTATACATATAATAAAATTCTGAGTCGAATCTGTGTATTAAATATTTTATGGAAAATTTTATTGAAATAGTCATTATTGTCGATACACAGGCTGGTTCTATAGTTTTTAGAATTTTTGTCTATCTGGGAATGCATCATGAGAAAACCACTGGGCAGATTTTGATGAAATTTGGTATGATTAAAGCTGGTTATTCGGGTCAACATATACGATACTTTTTACTGCGGGATAATATGTCATCTCCGAGAAATGTATACTAACCGTTCAAATGTAACTGGGACGAATCCGAGAGTAGGGTGAGTCACTAGTAAAATATAATTTTCTCAGATAATAATAAGGATATAAATGTATATATTTTTAACACTTTTATCACCATCACTTGTAAGTCGTTACTCTACTTTTATTGATTTGTTATATTGTAAGTTTTTGAAATCCAGGTAACAATATAATAATTTAATTTCATTATATTGTCTGATAATATAACCAGAACTCGTATAGTGGAACTATTCAATGGCTACTAATAGCTTAGGTAAAAGCGTATATTTTTCAAAGCGTATAGTTCAATCTCTGTTATATTAAGTGTTAAGTCATCTATTTTGAGTTCATTATAACTTAACAAATACTTTGGATAAAACTTTGGAGTCATTATGTTGCATTCATCTCTACTTTGCAGTATAGTTTTGTTTTTGGGAGTACGTGATATGCCTCAGGCAAAATTACACAGAAGCTAAAGTTATATTTACGTAACTTTACTCGTGTGGTTGTGTCGGGTTTTTATGCGTTTCCTTAATCTGCTAATACTAACCGCACAATTTTAAACCTATGACGTATTTATTCTCTGGCAAATCCTACTAATATAATAAATGCGAAAGTTTGAGAGGCTGTTTGGATGTATAGATGTATGGATGTTTGTTACTCTTTCACGTAAAAATTATTGATTGGATTTTAATGAAACTTTACAATAATATAGCTCATACATCATCTCATACAAAATACATAGGCTACTTTTTATCCCGGAAAAATATACGGTTCCCGAGGGATAGATTTTGTTTTACTTAGATTGTGAAAGTACATTTAATATATTACGTAGATAAAAGTATGTATGTATTAAAAGTACTTTCCCTTTCAATTATTCTACTACATTCGGTTGACGTCGAATGAAGTTCGTCACGATAAGATATTACTATCAACACACGAGATAACTCGTGATAGACGGATGTTGAACCGGAATATAAAAAAAACCTTCATATATCTAGAAGGTTCCCGTGGGTGGATGCGGCGTATAGTGTATTAGTAATCCTTCAAAGTGAAAATACAATAGGACGGCTATATTTATGTTTACATAATGCTAATGATCGAATCACTTATTTATAAACATACTAGCAGAACCCGCGCCTTCGGTCGTGCTAAAACTACAAAAAAAACCTAAGAAAATTGGTTCCATACAAACTTTCATCCCCTATTTTACCCCCTTATTGGATCAATTTCGAAAAATGCTAAAACACGTAGTTATTTAATTGTGTTGAAGAGCATTTATACTAAGTTTCAAGTAATTCTGATCATAAATAATTTTTAGGTTGTATTATATCGTGTTTTCCCATGTGAATAAGATGACAAGCAAATGCAAGTCTGACACGAAAGGTTCTGTATTTGTAAGTCTAATTTTAAAAACCTTACCATAGATAGACTCAAAATACCAGCCCAACATGAGTAACTTCAGTGGTAGTCTCCAAATAAAATGGCTATTGCATACGGACGAACGGACATCAAATTATAAGGGTTCCATATTTTAAAGACCAGGCCTTTCCTGTTATGTTATACGAACCCTAGAAAACAAGAATAAGGTATTTTTTTTATATAATATTAAATGAGCGATTCTTGTCTATACATATAATAAAATTGTAACTAAGTCGAATCTGTACATTAAATATTTTTTGGAAAATCTAATTGAAATAGACATTATTATCGTATTTCATGTCTCGTATTATAGTCCGAATCTATAGTTTTTAGAATTTTTCTCTGTCTGTCTGTCTGTCTGTCTGTCTGTCTGTCTGTCTGTCTGTCTGTCTGTCTGTCTGTCTGTCTGTTACCGCATCACGAGAAAACCACGACAGATTTTGATGAATACTTTTTACCGCGGGAAAATATCTCATTTCTGAGAAAAAATATAAAAACTGCATTGTAAGAGTGATGATGATGTTCTCCTAGCCGAATCCGGCTACGGCGGCCATTCTCATTGAGACTAGCCAACTGCGCAGGAGATATTATAGTGCACAAGTGTACGCGCAGACACAAGTGCACTCTCTATTCTTATCACTCATACTCTGGTGGGACGACCACTCCACACGACCAGTGAGAGTTAAGGCGCAGGACCGACTGCTTTACGTGCTCTCCGAGGAACGGGATTGTATTATACTAATATGTAAAACCTAAGAATTTGGTTTTTGGCCATCTGAACGCGGGCGGAGCCGCGAGCAATGCTAGTATAATATAATATCAGAATTTCAGAAACGGCTCGAATGATTTGGATCAAATGTATTTTTCGTTTTTAAAGTTAATCTTTATAGGTGTCTTTTTTGAAAATAAAGCAATTAGGTATTATAACTTTTCCGAAAAACACCGATGGACGCTCGGTTGCTTAGGTACCTACTATATTAAAATATGCTAAATACGTGAAATGACATAGTTCAAGAAAATACGACACATTGACTAGATAGATACATTTATTATTTTAACGAGTATACCTAAAGTATTTAGCCGTTTAAGCTTCTATCAATGTGTGCGCAGCAATCAACTATGCAGTTATTTTGGTGCGATAAACCGGTTGGTAATGTAATTTTCGAACTGTGGCTAAATCTTAGTAACCTTAATTTGCCCGTTGCTTTTCATATTTTGTTTTACAATGATAGTATTAGTATTGAAATACTGATATATCTATAAAGTTTGTGACGTTGTAGGCGGTAATCCCTGGATTTATTGAACCGATTTAGATGAAATTTGGTAAGAAAATAGTTTGAGACCCTGGGAAGGACATAGGATCTTTTTATCCCGGAAATCATCCCTTAAGGGGATGAAAGTTTGTATGGGGAATCAAGCTAGGGACGAACCCGAGCGAAGCGAGGGAGAGTCGCTAGTTTTGAAATATATTACTTAGTCATAATGGAGAATTACACGCGTAGGTATTAGTGACTTCTTGCAAAATATAGACTAAAATTTTATATTTACAATACTAGCGATTTACCCTCGCTTCGAAGGGATCGTCCCTGTGTGATTTTATAAATTGACATAACTTTTTATTTATGAGCCGATTGAAATGAAACCATACAAAATGTTAAGTGAAGCTTACCCACAATACATTAGTGAAAACCGCATCCAAATCGGTTAAGCTGTTTCTAAGATGAGTGCGCACAGCACAACACACAGACAAACTGATAAAAATTCTAAAAATCATTTTTTTTGGGTTCTATTGTGTTAATAGTTACCCCCAATAACACTTTTTCTCAAATATCTTCTTTTTTATATGTATAGATCTACTAAAATTATTCGATGTAGGATATATCACCTTCAGGCCCCTAAGACTATAATGGATGCAACAAATTATGTCAATCAGTGGCTTCTTTTTCATAATCTAATTGCCTATTTTACGCTAAATATTCATCATTTGAAAAAAAAGAGTACATTAATTATTAATTACTTTACAATAAGGTGTAAATATCCATTACGCACCTGATATCACACACATACTCAGCAGTGCAGAAGCATCGTGTACATATTTGCGCTGCTATGGGCTAGGCAACTTATCATTTTTTTTAAAAGGAATAAAAATTGCACCTATGGGATATATGCTAAAAACAGATATAATTACTTAATAACTAAAAAGACGCCGACTTCAAAAATCACTATCATCCCTAAAGGTGGATTTTACTTCAAAATATGTACCGATTATTTGAAACTATCTTTGAAATGCAACATATTCGTCAAAAAGAATCATGACAATCATTATTTCACAATTATTTTTCATACTAATCATAATTCAGTACTACCTCCATTTTTGAAGTCGGTCAAAAATAGAAATATATCGCTTTATTATCTAAAAACAGGTCCCTTTTGAACAGGTGTACGGTGCGCGGGATGTCGCAGAGCAGCGTGTAAAGTCGCTCAAAGAGCTGACATGGGCCAAAGCCAACGTGTTGCTGACTACCGCATACGGACAAAAGGCCATGACGAGCGTAGACTCGGGGGCTTCATATGCTATGCAATTGCTCAATCATTACCTGCCCCCCACACAGGAAGAGACCAATGGTAAGAACTGTTATGTATTAGCACATTGACTGTTGTCAGTTGTTGTTATGTAATTTTGATGAAGGTCGGTCAAAAATAATAAAAATATGAGATGATCCTTGAATATGTATATAAGTAAAAATATTTACTATCCTTTAAAAAGGTATTGATATTAGGGATGGGCGGAAGATTGTTTTACATTCGGTTTAACGGAATTTTGGCAGCTTGAACCGAATTTCGGCATTCAGACGAAATTTGGTTTGAATGCGCAACATTAGGCAATAGAAAAACAAACTACTCGCACTATTTTGACCGAAATTAATAGAAAGCATGTCTGTCTTATCATTAAAATAAAATTGAGTCTTATATACTCATGGTCATTTATTTTAATTAGGAACATATAAACTTAAACATAGACAATATGACATAAAATAATAGACAAAATGAAGGAAACTTTGTATTTTTTCAACAAACATCTTATTTACAATTCTTAAATTGAATAAAAAAAACACGTTTTTTGTTTACGAAATAAACACTCGGAAACATCAGGTATTTTTAATTATTAAAGTGTATTTTCAACACTGAAATTTAAGAATCTCTTCTTATCTATCTATTCGTATTTAAAATTTACTAGAAGCAGGTGATGATGTAAAAGCATCAGACTACCTTACTTGGCAGAAGCCTGTTAAGTTTTTTTCGTATAATAATTATTATGCTTCCTGCTTCTGAGTAAAGTCGAAATTGAACCGAAGTTTGGGCCCATTTCGGCCGATTTTTTTATTTTCACCGAATGCTCGGTCGAAGTTCGTATTCGGTTCAAGCCACGTTCGGCCCATCTCTGATTGATATATGTTAATAATTAAGAGATAAAAAAATTATATTTTTGTAAACATAATACATAATAGTAAAGCTTTACCTTGGATACTTAGTTTATTAATTAAAAAAAAACGAAGTAATTTCAGAGCTAATTACAACATTACCAATATTTTGATAAGGTTGAATTTATAGTGATTACAAATAATCCCTCCTTAACAGTCACAATGTAATTACGAGCATGATAAACGATAGTGTTGATATGTTAAATTGCGTTTTATTTATATTTTACGGTAATTAAAACTCGGCCGTCATATTGAACTGGTGAAGGTCACCTTTAAAGTTCGAACAACATCGGTTCTAGTACGCTTTACTTACATTTGTACATACGTTCACTTCGAATTAAGTATGTGTTAATCGTTCAATTTAAAAGTTCTAGATCAATACTGATCTGTTCAGAAAATGACCCGGTTCGTTCGACCCGTTCAATCGTTCGATTGATGACGTGATCGCCGAGCCGTGCGTATGGCAGATAGATCTTCCGGATCTAGTGATTGAATAAACGAACCAATTCAATCAACCGGTCGACAATGCGTCGACGGTTCACCTTTTTCAAATGAACTAGTTCAATTCATACACTAAAACAGTCTGTTTTAACTTTTTAGTGTATGAATTGAATATTATGTACTTTAACAGGCTTAGGACTGTCTGATTTTTTTTAACCAAAACGTAACTCAATAAAAAACATTCGAATTTCAACTTGACTCGTCACGCCCCGCTATGCGAAAGTTATGAATAATTGAGTAATACTGAACAGAGAAAAAAATATTTTCGAAATGTACCTATAAGTATAAATAATGTATCGTTTAATACTTGGAAAATTAAAAGTTAATTTATCGTGCAAGTGAAAATGATATTTACTACTTAAGTCATAAATAACAAATTTGATCTATTTTTCGCAGGTTTAATAATATAAATGTTATTTTTCTTTATTTAAATAAACATAGACTTTAAATATTCACAAATAAGACAACTATTTGCATTGTATTTTTCTTGTCAGCCTAGCGTTACTTACGAAAATGATTTTATTTTGCATTAAGAAGTGCTATGGGTAATGTTACGGTTAGTGTACTAAACTTTAGTAGATGGCGTTGAAGTTGAACCAATAGATCACCCCGTCTAAGTTCAATTTAAAAATAAATAGTAATAGATTATAAACGTCATCTAGTGTCACTTTCATAAACTATTTAGTATTTCCAATTCTAACACTCTTTCTATCGAGTATATTACTAAAAGATAAAGGTTTTCAATAGATGGCGCCGATCATAAATAATTAAGACCTAACCATACCAAAAAATATCATTAACTATGAAGTAAAATATATTCCTTTAGAGAATTTATTATTAACACTGTTAATGTTTTTTTCTGGTTAACAGTTTATATTAACTGTTATAACTTTTAACACACACCACTAAAACAGACGTAAGTAAACAAGGAGTTTGTTTGTTGTCCTTTTAAAACAGAATGTAAATTAATTTCAACTCTAATATTTACTATGGTGGTTTGACACTTGAATGCGAGCTTTAGTGTGATAAAGGCCTATTTTATAAATTATTGTTATTGTCGAGGTCAAGCTAGAAAATTGTGTAATGTAAATACAGTGTAGTAAATAAAATTATTATTTGTTTTGTATCAATATCCGGAATCCATCTTGAGTCAAGCACCTGTCTTTCTGCCTGTTGTCAATGTTTTTCTACTTCCTCTCCGCTGGTGGCGCCGCCTATACTTGCATTTTTGGCGCCAATAACCGGCAGCGCGCACCGGGTGACCGTATGATTTAACCATTATAGCGTCGTTTTTCGCGCCGTTCAGTTGTTAGTGTTGTTTAAACTTCGCGAAATTACTTATTTTTCTTAATTATAGTTTAAATAATATTTAATTGATTATATTATTATAAAATAATTATAGTTCGATTAAATTTTGTTCCTCTCCGTTGTTATTATGGAAAATCTCAATAATGATGTGGAGTCAGAGAGTGTTAATGGTGGCTCATCATCTCGTAAGCGATTACATTCGCCAGTAACAAGTGCTCAAGATAGTGATAGTGATTCTTCTTCGAGTAGTGGATCCAGACCAAAGAAACGTAAATCAAGAAGGGACTCTCAAACCGTGAGTTATGCACACTTTGAGTTTTTATCGCAGCAAATAGCCTTCTTAGCTAACCTAATATCTAAAAATACCGACACTGAACATACAAATTCAATTAATAAGAATACTACGTCCGTTTCGATAAATGAATTAAATCTGCGGCGACCTGAAGATAATATAAATAAGAATGGTAAACTTCAAATTTTGTCGGAAATCAGTACGACGGTAAAAGACCCAATCTACCCTAAGGCAAATGATACGTTTCTTAAAAAATTATCGGAATTACAACGTTTTAAATGTGAGGATTGGTATGCCGTTCGTTTTTCGGATGCACAAAAGAAATATTTAGCTACCCCCGGTTTTGTCGAGTTAAGCGTTAATGACGAATTAAAGCGTTTTGAATCGGCAATGCTTAAAGAGGATTCACGTTCATATTTATTAGAAAGATCTTTTGCGGCTTTGACGAATGCTATACTTTGTCAAAAAGATGAATTGCATAAAACTTTACAATCTTTGGTGGATTGGTCAAATGAGTCTAGGGATTCTTTGACGCCTAGTTCTTTATTTGAAAAGGTTGAAAAATTATTTTCTAAAGAATCTTCATATAGTAAGGTGACCGATGATTTATTACAAATAGTGTGCGGTAGAAGAGCTGATTTTATAAATATACGTCGCGAGGCTATGTTACGCCAGATATCTGAAGGCTTTCATCGTGATGTTTTACATAAAATTCCTCCTAGTACCGAATCGCTTTTTAATGATGAAGCCGTTCAATCATACCTTCAAAAAATAGGCGGGCCGGATAAATTAACTACATCAACAAAATCAGTTCCCCAGACTTATTCAAAGGATAACTTTTATCAAAACCAGAAGCCATCTACTAGTAAGCAAGTTGATAATAGATTTTTTCGTCGAGATACCTTCACAAGAAGTCAAAAACATTCCCCGCAGGCGTCTCGTCAAAACAAAAACAAGACAAACAATCCCAGGGTCAAACCTAGAGGAAAGAAATCGCAGGCTTCTTTTAAAAACAAGCATCGCGAATGACTATCAGATATTTCAAGGCGGCTGTCTGAAACGATTTCTATGTGCTTGGAGCAATCTGGGTGCGCCAGACAAAATATGCCGCCTGTTGAATGGTGCACGTATACCCTTCATCCTCAAACCACCACTAATATTTCCGAGCCCCACAGTCATGAAATTATACAGAACCAAGACTTCGCCCAATATGACCATACAGATTCAAACCATGTTGAAGTCCGGCGTGCTAGAACCTGCAGAACTGACACCGAGTTATCTTTCCACGTTCTTCCTGGTGGCCAAGTCGGATCAGACCTTTCGTCCTATCTTCAATCTGAGACAACTAAATCAGTTCGTAGTAGTCAAACCATTTCAACTATTCAACCACTTCCGAGTACCATCGTTTTTACAACCACAAGATTGGATGGCCAAGCTAGATCTGAGTCAAGCTTATTTCCACGTAGCGATCGCACGACAACATCGCAGGTTCTTGAGACTGAATTATCACCAAGACACACATCAGCATCAACTGCTTCAAATGACTTGTTTACCGTTCGGTCTCTCATCGGCACCCAGAACCTTTGCCTCGATAACCAATTGGGTCGCAGAATTTCTGAGGAGTCACAAGATCCGGTGCGTAGTTTACTTGGACGATTTTCTCCTAGCAAATCGGTCAAAGGTGCAGTTACAAGACGACGTCGCATTCACGATAAACATACTGCATTTACTAGGTTGGACGATCAACTTCGAAAAATCTGTTCTGGTTCCGACACAATGCCTCGAGTTTCTTGGCATAACGTGGGACACAAAACGCAACGCAAAGTCCTTGTCGGAACCGAAGTGCTTAACGCTACGCAAAGCACTTCATCAACAGCTTCGAAAAAGCAAGTGGTCCCTCAAACAGTATCAAAGTCTAATGGGGAGACTCAACTTTGCAACATTCGTAACACCGAGAGGTCGCCTGCACTGTCGTACTCTGCAATACTACAGCCGACAGCTGCCGGCGAAACACCCATACCGGTTCATGACCATTCCTCAACCTGCTCGGTCGGAGATGGAGTGGTGGTGCCAAGCTATAGGAAAGTCTATGCCGATACACGTAAGCGCAGTGACACACCTACTGACAACAGACGCATCAGACATCGGTTGGGGTGCCCAGCTCGGCGACATAAATATTATGGGGACCTGGGCAGATTCCCAGCGGGCCTGGCATGCCAACAAGAAAGAAATGTTTGCCGTTTATGCTGCTATACGCCAGAATCAACATCAACTCCAGAATGCACAGGTACTATTGCAAACCGACAATCGGACAGTAGTCTCATATATAAACAAGGAGGGTGGCACCAAATCCAAGAAGCTTCTTCAACAGACTCTACAACTTCTGGCAATTCTAGACAAGCGGAATATTCATTTGACAGCGCATTATTTCCCGGGCAGATTCAATGCCGAAGTAGATGCTCTGTCTCGGCAGAGAACTTGTCCAGAATGGCATCTCACGAGGTCAGCGACCAAGAAAATCTTTCGAATGTGGGGCACGCCAGAGATAGACCTATTCGCATCGAAGACAGCTCACGTAGTACCAAGGTATGCATCGTTGGACGTAGACGATCAGGAAGCACAACACCACAACGCGTTTTGTCATCAGTGGCACTACGACCTAGCTTGGTTGTTTCCGCCCCCAAATCTGATACCCAGAGTTCTCAGACACTTGAACCACGCCAGCGGGGACTACATATTGATTGCCCCGAAGTGGAACAAGATATTTTGGCAAGCAGACGTTCAACAGCGAGCTCGACACCCCCCGTATCTAATTTCAGATCTGGCACACGCTCTTATAGATACCAGAACTGGGACGCATCCGCCACGAGTGCAAGACCTACACTTGGAGGCATGGCTGATTTCGGGTGGCCAGATATGTTGACAGAATGGACAGATCAAGAACAACAACTTCTCATGTCAAGCTGGAGATGCTCTACGATCAATACATACAAACCCGCGTGGCGCAGATGGAGGCAATGGTGTGAGTCTCATTCAATTGATTATAAATATCCTACCCCGGATCAAGTTGCTCGGTTTCTAGCACATTTACATTGTGATATAGGTCTTGCATACAGAACTATTTTGGTGCATAAATCTGTTATTTCAACCTTCACACATTTAACAGGTAATATTGACTTGTCGAATAATTTCTTTATAAAACATGTATTAAGAGCTATTTCTGTAGCACGAGAGAAGCCGGCTAAGCCACCTATTTGGAATCCTAAAGTGTTATTGCAATACATGAGCTCTTATAATTTTAATGAAAATAATCTCTACCAAGTATCAAGGCATGTTGCTACTCTTTTACTGTTAGCATCAGGCCGCAGGGTTCACGACCTTACATTGTTGCGAGTTGATAGCACTAGTTTAGTTGATCAAGGAACCTCTATTGTGCTTTGGCCTGTATTTGGTTCAAAGACAGATAGCCATAACCATAGACAGTCTGGATGGAGGCTTAGAGAGCACCCTGATAAAAAATTAAATCTCATTTATTGGTTAAGACAATTGTTACATATAACTGTTAACCGTCGAAAAAATTTAAATCACTTGTTTATTACAGCTAGAGGTGATATAAAGCCTGCATCTAGAACTGTTATTGGTGGATGGGTGAGGTCTCTCTTAAAGGATAGTGGTATTAATGCAACACCGGGTTCAGTAAGATCTGCAGTGGCTTCTCTCAATTTTGTAGAAAACTTTTCAATTGATCAAATTCTAGCAACTAGTAACTGGAAAATGATTCATACTTTTCAAAACTATTATCAAAGAGAATTAATAACTTACAATGATTCTAATTTTGTGAATAATTCTGTATCATTATCTAATTATTTTGATGCTGTGAAATGAGAATATTAGTATAACATTATATATGTTTCTTCTTTTATATGAAGTGGTGTTTCGTAAGTATATGAAATATTTTATACTTGTTTAATTGTTCTAATACATGTACATCAAAACATGGCGTTTTATTAACCTAATATTTAATTATCATACACATTATAGCGTCTTTGGGTTCAGCGCACAAGGTGATAACAAACACATCACTCAAGATGGATTCCGGATATTGATACAAAACAAATAATAGAGAGTTTTACCATCAAATAAAACTTACCTATTATTTTTTCATCAATATCCGGAATCCAGGTAAGGTCTACCTGGTGCATCATGAGTTCTATAATGGTTAAATCATACGGTCACCCGGTGCGCGCTGCCGGTTATTGGCGCCAAAAATGCAAGTATAGGCGGCGCCACCAGCGGAGAGGAAGTAGAAAAACATTGACAACAGGCAGAAAGACAGGTGCTTGACTCAAGATGGATTCCGGATATTGATGAAAAAATAATAGGTAAGTTTTATTTGATGGTAAAACTCTCTATTATTGATCAAAAAATAAAAACGAAATAAAAAAATGTAAATATACCAAATAAAATAATGTGTACACAAATTGGATATATTATAATATAATCGTGTACAAACAATCAGTTGATCTTTTAAGTACATACGCCTAAATATGAGTTCGTGATACTTTCACTCTATTTAGCTTTTTTTTTTTTTAACGTTGGGAAATGCATTTACGCACGACGTGTGGGACTCACCGGCGTAATACAGCCAGTACTACCCACTAAAACCCAACAAGACCTTCCCCCGTCTTAATGGGGCGTTGCAGGATCGCTTGCGCATTCAACTACGACGCCCCGACGGCAGGTCTGCCGAAGCAGACCACCACAACCATGGGGTTGCTCCACAGTCCACTCTGCTATCAGAGAAGTACCAGGAGCAACCCGCATGGTACACCGCCCCCCAAAGAGGGCCACCTCCCACCGCCCACCAAAGTGGGCAACCTCCTTGTGCGTTTCTTAGCTTCGCGCCCGGTTGGATTGCCGGGCACTACTGAGCCCCCCCACCACGACAAGGTGAACGCACGTTGGGGGGGTCACTCTATTTAGCCTGTCTTAAGCCTGGAACAAGTATGAAGGGAAGCAATACGTAGAAGAATACGTATTAATTTTACATAATTATAACAATAACATTTTAATATTATTAATTTATTTAGTAAAAAATGTCATCATTACAAATTAACAAAGCCTAACATAACCGCAGCGCGGCGCGGGCGGTAACGACGAGCCTATACATTCAATTCGATTGGGTGGTTCTGTGATCCGTCCGTGATCCGTCTCGCAAATTCAGTTCATCAGTTCACAGATCTGTGAATTCAATCAAATGATTGAGAACGAATCGTTGTTGTCGTGGCGACCTAATCGTTCGCGAAGTGTTCACGACCCGGGTTGTTCGATTCTGTCAATCGCGAACGACATATAGCTACTTCGAATAGTAATCTTCTTCTATAATATAAAAATGAATCACTGAATGTGTTGCTAAGCGCAAATCTCGAGAGCAGCTGTATCGATTTCGGTAATTCTTTTTTTAGAATATTCCTTGAAGTACGAGGATGGTTCTTACGGAGAGAAAATTTAAAAAAATTGCCTGAAAAAGTCTAAAAACAACACTTTTCTATACTCCCATACAAAAGATTCGTAATAATACTTAAAAGTTAATTCGAACTTTAATACCATAACATAAAGTTTAAGTGTTAGTGGAGAGGTCCGGGATGGCAAAACAATTGAGTGACGTTATTATCGTATAAATATTAATGTCAATATTTATTAACTTTTATACGATGGTAACATTACTCAAAAACAAATTGTATAAGGTAAAATGTAAATTGTCTGTGATAAAATGTCACTTGAAATGTAAACGTCTCTTTGCTGTGTATCTACTATCTGTAATATTACTTAATCTAAAAGCCACAAATTTCTATAAAATTAAAAAAGTGTTGTGTGTTTGTGACTTAATAAATATGCCTCCTATAAGACGGCGGACAAATTTAGGCAGAAGAACCCGAAATGCAATGAATCAAATTAATTATCAATCTAATCGTACTGCCCAGGAACGTGAAGATCGCAATGAACGTGAAAAAATTCGTTTAAGACAGACCCGTAAAGCGCGACATTCGACTAATAATGGTGCAAGTTTGAAACGAGCTACTTTCTGTTACGGTATTATGTCAATTGATTACAGTGCCTATCACTGTGTTGCTATTAGACCTATGAACTCAGTTTACCAATATTTGAATATTGTAAGGCATTGATATAAGGCATTTTGGCGTATGATTGCTCGATTAAGTGCTTCATGCGTGCCAGTGTAATCGTTAAATGACAACTAAGGGCGCGTACACATAGAACCTCCGATTTACAGGATCCTTTTTAACTGATCCGTCGCTACTGGAGGTAATATTCACACAGCATTTACAGGACCGATTTTAACGGATCCGTCGCTACTGGAGGTTAATATTCACACAGCATTTTTACTTATTTCCGAATAACGTCATCTACTTTTGATGACCTTCTTAAAAGATTAGAGAAAAGGATTTAATAAAGAAAGACACAAACTGGAGGAAAACCCCCGCACCCCTGTGCCAAGCCTCGCGCGGTTTCGATCCGATAAAACGGGTATTTCTGTTGTGTATGGGATTTTTTACTAGATCCGGAATACTGTCATGTGTGTGAACTGGCTCATACAGCTACATACGCTAATAACATATACGTTTAAACGGACCTGTAAAACGGACGTTCTATGTGTACGCGCCCTAACTTGCGTAGGGGTTGTTGTAAATTTTTAATTTATAATTATTATTAACTAACATTTGAGATGTAATTATTAAACATAAATAAACTACAGCAGTGAGTGGTGAGATCGTACCAGCGGAGAGCGACCCAGCGCTACACACTGTGCAGACGGTGGGCCGCCTCAGCGCCGTGGCGGCGCGTCGCGTGTGGGCCAACCTCGCCGAGAGGGTGAACCATTTGAGGGATAGCGGTTAGTATGGACCATAATATAATATGGACTTTTTAGGAATAAAGGTAGAATAGTTCAAAAATTCCAATAGATGGCGTTATATGTATGGGTTCTTAGTTATTTTTTATAAGCGGACTAGTTCTACTAGTACTTGGAAAAAACGGCTGGTCTGTTTTGGATGAAATTAACTATACAGATAATTATAACCTGGAATAACATCGGTTTTTGTTATAAAGATACCTACAGTCGCATCCGAGTAATGCTATAGGTATTGTTAGTTTTAAATGATAATGTAAAATTTGCACATAAGTAGGTAATAAATATGTTTGTATTCATAGACGGCGCTATTTGTATTTCCTTATCCTGAACCGAAAGAATTTCTAAACTTAGTTTGTTTTTGCCCTTACTTTTTTTACAATTTATGTAACGAGTTTGGATTACAATGCCATTAATAAAAAAGTGTTTATTTGATAAATTAATTTTTGCGCCAACTTATGTTCAGGTAGAAGTCAAATAATGTTTTTCTCGGCAAGTGACATACATTGTAATATTTAATAAACACTTTAAATTATTCTGAATCTTAGATTACGTACATATAATTTGGCACGAGTGTTTACGTGCCGACGGGCGCGGCGTGCCGGTTTGGTTTATCTCTACAAAATAACATCTCTGATTTATGATACCTGTTTATTTGCCTTGCATCATTATGATGTACAAATAGTTACATTCATAATTTTTATTTACTTTGATTATCATAGTATAGTAATTTTAATGTTGTAATCCACTCACAATGTATTACAGTAAAATCGTAATAAATTCGCTAAAAAAAATGTTATTTCTAATATTTATATATATTTTTTAATAAATAAAGAATAAAATAACTTGGAAACTGACTCAACAGTACATTTTCCCTGTAAACAAACGTATCCGAATGCCTCCATTGTCTCCTATAAATTTCAATTTTTCTTTGTCAGGAATCGAACTGGACGTCCGTCGGTATATCACCGCATTATTGGCAGCGCTGCATCTCGCCCAAGTAACAAGCGAGCAGAAGCAGATTGAAGAAGCCAATGTTTCTAAACCTCAAGAAAAGGCCGAACCTGCAACCAACCAGCAGCCCGCCGGTAACCCCACCTCAACACCCACCACTGTTGAGAAAGTGAAGTCTACCCCTGAAGCTAAATCAAATAGCGACAGCCAATGATTCATATAATTATTAATTTTACTCATATTAACCTATTCTATTATAATTTTAAGCAAAACCACAGTGTCGGTATATAGCTGTGTATCAACATTGTTATGGTCATTTAATTTCTATTTTATAAATATATGAACAATGAGCGATCATAAATCAAGACTGATGGTCTTTTTGATATATTTATTACTATTATTATTTTAAGAAAAATGTATTTTGTATCGATCTTTGGAAATAAAATTTTTATTTAATAAACATATTATGTTGTTTCAATGAAAGTCGTTTTACCAATAATAGTTTATTTTAAAATAGTAACAGTACAATTTATGCGTATATTATCTAGGAAACTTTAATTATTTAGGCCAGCATATAATTTCATATGAAACAAACCGTAGAAGATATGGACTTAGATATGGAGAAAGTTGAACTCTATTAGCTTAAACATTATAATAAATGCAGTTATTACATCTCTATTTATTGAAAATAGATCTAAAAACCAGTCTCAAAATTTATTTAGAGCCAATGTGATTTCTATTATCTACACCAGGAATTCCCAACCAGGGGGTAATAGTTTATTTTGTATAAATTAAAAATTAAATGAAATTCGTTAAAAAACATGTTTTATTATTAAAAACAAACATAAGGGAGCCCCCCCCCCTGTCATGAAAATAGTTTTTATAATCGGCGAGTCTCAACAGAAGAAAGGTTGGGAAACCCTGATCTACACTGCTGGGTATTTGATGATATATAAATTGACAAACTTTATAACCATAGATAATATATTTTATTGATATTTCAAAGCCTTTGTTAGGGAAGATATAAGTACTTTGTTGGCACACTGTCTATTTCTATATAAACGAAATAACATAATGTACCAGAATAACGTATAACAAATCCCAAAAGCTGGTGCCAGAGTTAGTAATTTTATTAATCAATAAAATGCTAAAATATAATATAAAAATCTTAAGTACTGTATCGCTGCCTTAAAACTGAGCTGTGATTATGTAAGTCTATTCTAAAGTAAATCACAAAATTAAATAAAATTTTTGGACAGATTACAACAAAAGCATACAAATTATCGCATTGATTTGAATATAAAAATATGCCCTTCAATTGGTAAAAATTAAGTGGTAAATAAAAATGTATGATTCTTAATGAATTGCAAGGTGTGGCTTAAAGGGAAAGAATACATAAATTTATTATTTATACATAAAAAAACCTGTAAATATGGTTAATATACTCAAAAATAAATAACATTTATTATTAAAACTTGTTCAAGTATTGTGCAAAACTTTATATACATTGATGAAAGATTTGAAATTGGGTAAATATGTATTCTTTACCTCGAAGCATTAAACACACATATCCATCTTCTGTCCGGAGAACAGTTTATCCAAGCCCATGGTCCTCGAAGAAGCCTTGCGGGGTCTCCTCCTGCAACAAGGGTCATCACTGAGCCAGTGTCGCTCGTGGCCGTATTAGCCGAGCAATCGCTTTTCGGCAAAAAATACTATCTATTTATAGAATTTCAAATTAATATTACATAACGGAATCAAATGTTACTAAAAATCAGTCTTTTAGTTTTTACTGCAACAGTGTACTACAATGAAATTAAATAAAAAATACAATTGAATCTAAAGAGTTTAAAAAAATACTTTACCAATGAAAATAATGTAAGAATAAAATTATTGAAATTTAAAATGCATTCGTTAGTTAATAAAGTCATGTATTTAATTCAAAAATATAAATTGTTACACTTCATTGGTGGAAAAAGGTAATTACAATACTAGTTACAAAATACTATAGGTAGATAACTTTACATACAAACTTACAGTACATGCAAAATATTCTAAGTGGGAAATCTCACACAATAACATTATCAATCTCTTATTTGCAAAATTATTTAATTTATTTTGATATTTTTTATTCTTTAATAATTAATATTGAAATAATATTATAAGAATACAAAAAACATTTTAAAATAATTAAAAAAAACTTGCTTCTACATAAACTCTTTATAATATCAAATTGTTATAAAATATTTTCAAACACAAAATTCAACAAAATAAAAATAAATCTAATACAATTTGCATTAATCAGGTAACGATTACACAAGTCTTTACGTCTTACATGAGAAAGAAATTGGTCCAATAGAGAGAATATTTTAGAATAGAATAAAAATAATACTAACACTTAAGAATATAAAGAAAAAGGAAAATATGAAGGGTTATTCTACACAGACTGCAGACAAAAGTGTCTGAATACAAAACATGAACCACATATAGATATTAGTATAGAGAAGCTAAAAATTCGTTTTTTTTTATTAACAGACTTCACACAAGCTATTCATGGATTATATTTGAGTCCCTTGAACCTTAGGAAATTAATATTTGCACCTAAAGTTCTGTTTTTATTCATACGTAAGGATACACAACAGTTGCCTAGATTATTCAAAACAACCTGTATACTAAAACACTTATATGAAAGTCCTTCAAAAGATTGCTGACTCGGAGAACTATCACGAAGGCTCCATGTCGTCGTCAGCTGGGGGCAGGGCTCAGAGGAGACCCACTTCCCGTAGGGCTCCGTCAACGGCCTCGTCCTATTGCACAACACCCCACATGGTGAGGTTATATGTACTAGACACTACTCAGCGACACACTCCTTTATTTTTAGGTAGGTATTTCACATTTCAATCTGTCCTCAAGTTATCATTTATTCAATTATTTTTTAATCTATACTAATGTAATATTATAAAGATGTAAAGTTTATGACGTTGTCGGGGGTAATCTCTGGATCTACTAAACCGATTTAGATGAAATTTGGTAAGAAGATAGTTTGCTACCCTGGGAAAGACATAGGATACTTTTTATCCCGGAAATCATCCCTTAAGGGAGTGGAATGGGGATGAAAGTTTGTATTGGAAAGCAAGATAGGGACGAACCCGAGCGAAGCGATGGTGACTCGCTAGTATCTTTAATATTTATAATAGGGTCGTTATTATTGACGCTGATGAATTATGGAACCTGTTAAGTCGGCCGAGTTATTTCAATATTGTAATAATTAGGTATCTTTTGTTACTTAACAATATAATGCGAACATGGTACTAAGCGCAGGGTTATATTAACTGCATGCTGTCATTGTTAATGCAAATCCACCACCTGAAGCATTGACATCGCTTTCCATTGAGACTGATAAGAGGGAAACCGTAGCATGAATACTTCACATACTATAATTAATGATCGTCAAATATCGTCAAATTAAAATTTATTTTTCCATTGCTTCCAGATGTCTGTTGGTCATTACTCATAGTGTTTTTTTTAATATAGGGATAATTTGTTAAATATAGTATCATGCTACGGTGTACGGTTTGGGTTAGGGAGTGGAACCATGCAAGAAAACAGAAGTTTTAGTTAAAACCAATGTATTTAAACAACCCATTACATTAAATGCACGGACAGCCATACTTACAAACAATTATAGGACATTGTTTTATGAATATTAAATATATTTTGTGAAAATACGGTAGATATTTTCTTGTTTTCGTCACCTGAGTTGCCTTTTTAATGTGTCAATGTTAATTAATAATATCATATTTATAAATCAATGTCCTTTTCACAATAAGTTTTAAATTCTAAGCTACATAAATACTAAGCATTTATCACTGAGCCGAATCAATACAGATAATATAGTATAATATATAGTTAAAATCGAAAGCAAAATAGCAACAGTCAGAAAAATGTCTAATTAAGCTCGATTTTCTGTCAGAATACTTTAATATTTAAGCTGGAATGAGTTTTATTATACGTGGGCCTACTGAATAATTGGAAAATTTTTTTTTAAACAAACTACAATAATATTATATATTTATTAAAAATTAGATGTATCAAAGTTAACTAATAAAATATGTGTAAGTAATGGAATAAAACTAGATTATTGATAAATGTTATGAATTGCCTACTTAATAAAATATATTTTTCTTAATATAGTGTCTTAGAGTAATGTGAAAAAGTGCCAAAATATTCGTTTTGTAAAGTATTTGAATAAAGTAATAAAAGGTGCAATGAGCAAAAACATATGATAGCGGACATGCAACCAAAAAGCTTAAGCATAACTTTTTCTAATCTACAGATAATAAATATATTTAATATAATAATAATACTTATTCAAACATAAACTCTTTTACACATTTCATTTTAGCTACCATAATAAAAAAAACCCATCCTTACAAATTTAACTATAATATATTTGAGCTAATAAAATAAGATCTTTAAATGAAAAATACATTTTTGTAAAACAAACGAATCATGTCTAATACTCTCGTAACATAATAATATGTAAAAGTGTTTATGTGGGTATACAATACTGCTCTGTATATATGTGGTTCTCGTCAATGTATCAGCCCATCGTTCAGGTCCTGACCGCCACCAGCATGCATACATCACATCAAAATGGGAAATATTAGCAGTGCAGTGCGTAAGGGGGAAGCTTAGGGGTCAATTGGTCAGGCTTCGGCCAATCATAAAGCAGATAGAATATATTTAAAAGAATTGTCTCTGATTTAAAAATTTAAATATAATCTGTAAATTCTATTAGTGGGGATTGAATAGTAATAGAGAATAGTAGATATGTGCTTGCGTTTAGTTCATCAAGTGTTATAAGTATACCTAATATTAACATGAATAGAAATTAAAATTTATTCTAAAAATTATTATCATTAACTACTATAATAATTGATAAAATATTTTATAAGTAATACAGTTATAGGGATATGCTTTATTCACAGTAATATCATTGTGATACCACTTTATACATCTAAAAGGCAGTGCTCCTATGACATAATTTGCCGAGATATTCAAGGACACATTACTGAAAAGGCACTACTGAGGCCACAGTCCTTACATACTGGTCCACTTCTTAAACAACACTTATCCTTGCAGTAACATCATGTTACTTATTATTATTATACTTACAAATTTATATTTCAATTTAGCCAAGAATGTTGGTATTTGTGTGCTTCATTTTTATATTAAATTTAAGCCGTAATAACATGTAAACAATGCCATGCAAAATACTCCCAGAAATATATGTATCTCAAAATATGTGTAAAAAAACAAAATTGAGACCTTTCTATATACTGAGTGTATATGTACATGTGATTGTGGGGCATTATTATTCAATGATTCAATTTAACTGCCTCGGTGGTGTAGTGGCTAGCATGTACGGTTGCACACCCGGAGGTCCTGGGTTCGAGTCCCGGGTCGGGCCAAGTTTAGTTATTGAGTCTTCCTGTATAGTAAGTCTCAGTAACAGCCCGGAGTTGGGAAGTTGGCGGTGTTTCACCCCCGTGCCTCGGAGAGCACGTAAAGCCGTCGGTCCTGCGCCTTAACTCTCACCGGTCGTGTCGAGTGGTCGTCCCACCGGAGTATGAGAGTGATAGGAATAGAGAGTGCACTTGTGTCTGCGCGTACACTTGAGCACTATAATATCTCCTGCGCAGTTGGCTAATCTCATTGAGATTGGCCGCCGTGGCCGGAATCGGCTAGGAGAACATCATTATTCAATGTTAATAATAAAATTCATTGAGTAAGAATCAAGGAAACTATGGAATGTCTTACTTGTCAAAAGCATATGTATCATGCTTTTTCTAAATAAATATATAGAAGAACCATTTGAAATTTGGGCAGATTTTTAATACTGTTTTAAATAAGAAGATCACAATATCAGTTAAAGGAGCACATATTTATGGTTTATGATGGCCTATAATATTTTATTAATATATACATTTACAGCATTAGAAAAAGAATAAAGTTACCAATGTGCTGATTTTATAAGGAATCAAAATGTTTCATATACTATAAATATTAAAAATAAGACAATTTGTTACTGGGGCTCCAATTGTAGCATTACTTGTATGTAAATGTAGGGTGGACTCAATTTTCTGCATTTAAAGTAGCAGCATTATTTGTATTATTTTAACCATATAAATATTACACCTTTGCAATGTCGAAAGTCTTGCAATAATTTATATTATGGTCCCGTATTTCATTGAATTAAAAGTTTCACTAAATTAAAGGTGCAAAACAAGATAAAATTTATATTAATTTTTGTAACAACTTGGCTATATAAGCTCTTTCTCAAGCAAAACCTAACACACTGCATTATGAATAAAAAATAAACTTTTTCTATCATCCCTCTAAAAGAAACTATGACTAAAAAGCTACACAATTTTATATGGAACCCTTGAAATATAATTAAATGGCAAGTTCACACAAGTTCATTATCCTGGCTACTGACCTCTTGCAGGAGATCCTGTGCTGCTATAGCTTTGAGTACATTCTTCTTACTAGTCTCCTGCAGCTCACCTCCTAGCACCAGCTCATCCAGGATAAAGTAAGCCTTCTCAAAATTGAATATAATATCCAACTCACATACCTGAAATGTAAATTCACTCATTATATATAAAATTATTTTAGATACACTATACAATATGTAAGCGGTTTGAAAATAAATTTCAAAAGTTATTCTTTTTCAGCTGTATTTATTAAAACATTTTTATGATTGCATGAAGGAGATTTCTACTTATATAACATCAACAAATGTCCCAATCCCAATTTTGTAAGTAACTGTTTGATAACTCACACTGCCAAAATATTTATCAAGCAGCTCTACATATCTGTGTATCAGTTCCAGAGTCAGTAGCTCATTATCCTCTTGCTCCATTGCACAACAGAAATATAAAGAAGCATATCTGGAAAAATTATATTCACGTTTTTTCATAATATGTATAATTAAACAAACTTAAACATGTAATTAAGTTACAGTTAAAAAGTTAAAATTGAAATTAAATGAGATTATAAGATTAGACTTTTTCTATTTAGCAGACTACAATTTGTGTCCATAATTACCTTTTGTATACCACTTTAACATCTTTCCACTCCAAAAACGAACACATTTTAGGCTTTCGAGCCAGCACAGTAGTGATCAATTCTCTAGTTATTTTTTTCTTCAGCTTATCTGGGTGTGCTACGTACCATTTCTGAAGTCTTAATTTTCCTTGTCGGCTGAATAACAGCATAAATTGCATCTAAAATGGTGACAAAATACGATAGTTGAAATTATTTTTTTTGATAATATGGACATTTTTCATAAAAAGTATTTTAAATGGGTAATATAGAAGTTATTTCATTTAATTAAATATACTTTTATAATTATTATTACAGAAAACTTACCATTTTGACAATCAAAGCGTAATAATAGTATAAATCTTATCTGACTTAAATACTTCTTGGAATATGTTAATTAGAGCTTAAAACTATTTACAACATTTTAATTAAAACTTATGTAGGTTTTGTTTTCTTTAAAATAACAGCATTTTGTGAAATAGGTACAAGCTGGAAAATTATCATGGATGACAAAAAAATTATTTTTTAATGACAGACAATAGACATCAGTAGACCATAGTTAATGAATAATGATACCAACAGATTATAAATGTTAATTGTTACCATAGACAACGAACTTAAGCCAGACTCAAACCTACCCTACCCCAGCCTGCAAATTTATGATATTTGCAATGAAAAAAATACTAATCGATAGATTTTCAATAGCTCAATTTAACTACGTAGCCCTTTCAAATTGCTCACCTTTAATTATTTAATTAAAAATCAATAAAGTCTTTGAAAAAAAATTAATTTATCTGTATATTCAAACTCCTATATCTTTTGATGTATACAATATTTCAAATTGCTCAAAGTTCTAAAACACTGCTCAAGTTGCATTTGTAATTGCTCAAGTAGAGTTTTTACCAGCTCCACTTTCGCTGATTATTAAATAATTAAAAGTATAGTTGTAATAAATGTAACGTAGGTTAAGTGAGCGTGCGCATGCGCACCGCGCATTGTCGGTCGGCCTCGGCGGGCTTGGACAATCGTTCCAATTCAAAGTCTTAATTCTGTTTCTCGGTGGATTTCTTTAAATTTATTGAATTTATGAATTGTTCACATTACGTGATTCCACTTCAGATATTATAACATAAAGAACAGATCTGGAATCTACCAATAAATGAAAATTAATACCAACAGATAAATTAAGACAAAATCTTATGTTCAAATGCTTATTCTATTAAGGTAATAGCCATGACAGGGATCATTAGTAAAATGTTATTAACATCAATACAAGACGGAGCTGGTAAAAACTCTACTTGAGCAATTACAAATGCAACTTGAGCAGTGTTTTAGAACTTTGAGCAATTTGAAATATTGTATACATCAAAAGATATAGGAGTTTGAATATACAGATAAATTAATTTTTTTTCAAAGACTTTATTGATTTTTAATTAAATAATTAAAGGTGAGCAATTTGAAAGGGCTACGTAGTTAAATTGAGCTATTGAAAATCTATCGATTAGTATTTTTTTCATTGCAAATATCATAAATTTGCAGGCTGGGGTAGGGTAGGTCAGACTCAAAACTCAAAAGAGTATAGTTATAAACTGGGGCCAGACCAAAGAGTATAGATATAAACTGGGAAGACTTGAATTGGATAGTGTAAATGTAATGTGTGTGACATATTTCAATGTCAATTGTCAATTGTTAATAAAACAAGTCTATTGCGAGAATTTGCTAAAGTCTAAATTCTAAATATTTCATAGAATTTGAATGAGAATACATATTTTAACGAAATTGGAAAAAATATTAATTATCATTAATTCAACTATAAAATTATATTAAAAATATTCAGAAATGGTGAGAATGCCGCACTATTTTCAATATCAACACATTATTGTATTTATAAATTTATACGTAGTTATGTATTAGTAGTCATTTAATGTAAGAGAGTAGAAAGATATGTTTAAGTACTTATTATATTAATGTAATTCCGTTAATGATATATAGAGAATAAAGAAAATATATAAATATATTTAATATAAATAATAGGCATCTGCAACGGGAACAGGATCAGGTGCTGGAAGCTCAGGTGAATGCGAAGGTGAGGAACAGGAGGACTCATCTTCCTCAAATTCCTATGTACTTGAGACTACTGAAGCACTGGAAAGAATAAATCTTAATGATGTGGTTAGTTTTTTTGTTAAATTTTGTTGATTATTTTGAAATCATGTTTTATCATCTACAATAGAAACATTGAATCTACCTGATTAGTGCAGTCATTCATATTATATTAACTACAAATAATAATCATATTTGTACTTAATCTGGTACATATACTGTATATGATGTTCCTGATTTTATAAATTTTGCATTTAATCATTAAGTAGCCCATTTGATCAATCATTAAGTAGCTCATCTTGAGCATGGGTCTCCCTTCAATACGAGGAGGAGCAGTCCATAGTCCACCATGCTGGCCAAGTGCAGATTGGCGGACTTCACATGTCTTTCAAAAACTAGTTAGGATTTCTAAGACATGCAGGTTTCCTCATGATGTTTTCCTTCACCGTAAGGCAATTGGTAATCATGTTAGAAATGATTCGTACATGAAAATATCAGAGGTGTGAGACCCGGGATTTGAACCCCCTTTACTCAGTTTCTCAAGTGAGTGTGTTACCACTGGGCTACCATTGCCTAGCCCATTTTTATTTTGTTTTTATTGAAATATATGAGTATATGATTAAATTCTTGTATTATTTTGCTGCAGAATAAAGATATTGAAGATGAACTAACGGTTTTCCGTCAGCAATGGCAACGGGAACTGGTATCTACACCATCTCCTCAAAGAGAAAGGATTCCTGTAAAAGCTGAAGTGCAAAAGGAAGATGAACCTCTCAGTGATGAAGAAAAGGTATATAATAGCACAGACCACATAATACTATACTAGTACAGATGCCTCATCCCATACAAAGAAATTGGATAGTGCTACTTCGGGGTATTTTTGTTTGCTTGAAAAGAGAATAGATGTTAATTTGCAAATAGTTAAACTGTTTTCTTTTTAAATTTGGGCAAACCAATGAATGGTTAACATTATAAAATTTATTCTCTATTTGATTAAAAAGGATCTGTGATTTTAACAAATTTTAACCGTGATAAACAATTCATAAAAAGTAAAAGCGCTATCTATGAATATATCTGACTAGCATTGGCCGCGGCTCCGCCCGCGTTCAGATGACCAAAAATCAAATTCTTAGTTTTTACTTATTAGTATACTCTTACAATGTAGTTTTTGTATTTTTTCTCAAAAATGAGATATTTTCCCGCGGTAAAAAGTATCCTATATGTTGACCCGGATAACCAGCTATCACCAAACCAACTTTCATCAAAAACACTCCAGCGGTTTTTTTGTGATACGGAAACAGACAGACAAAAATTCTAAAAACTATAGATACGGCCTCTGTGTCGATAATAATGTTTATTTCAATAAGATTTTCCAAAAAATATTTAATGTACAGATTCGGCTTAGTTACATTTTTAACCGACTTCCAAAAACGAGGAGGTTCTCAATTCGTCGGAATCTTTTTATGTATGTTCACCGATTACTCGAAGACGCCTGAACCGATTTGGAAATTTTTTGTTTTGATTGCTTAATCGAATATGTTACTAAAAACTTTCTTCCTACAAATTACCTGATTATTACGTCTACACTAAAAATTTAAAAATAAAAACTTTTTTACAAAAAATAAAACCGAATTCCAGGCACTAAAATGTAAAAAATAACTAAACGGGGATTTTCATTCAGAATAGATACCTAATCAGATATTTTCGAAGTCGGTGCCAGCGAACAATATTTTAAGATATGAATATCTAATAGGTAAATGTGTATTTTACGTATCAAAATATATTAGATTTCCTATGCGTTGGCTGGCACCGACTTCGAAAATATGGAAGACTAAATATGGAAGACGGTTTTATTTTTTGTAAAAAAGTGTTTTTATTATATGTATAGATTGCTGATATTTCAATATTCAGTAAAATTACGCAAATTTGATTTACGGGTGTATTATTTCTTTTCCCTTCACTTAGAATATTTTTTAAAACTATAACAAATCTTTTTTGGATCTAATTCTTTATAGTAGGGGAGCCCACGATGCTAAATGGGGATTTACTCGAGCGTCGTAGAGACCTATTGGGATGCAAAGCTTAGATGATAAGAAGAAAAAAATGTTATATGATATATACCTTTACATCGGTGGGGGAAGCGGCTATAGATTTTTAAATATGTAAAAAAAAACTATTGCATAGACATCCTCGAGCGCGTCAGATATTGATAGCATCAATGCCCTACGTATTTTTAATAATGTACGTATGTTAATCTGATCGTTTGCATGATGCGGGTGGTTGTATTTAAGGGTTGAAAATGAAAAAAAAAAAAATTTAATCGAGCGCGTCAGATTTTCTAAGGGAGTGTTAAGTGCACCAAAAAAAAGCTCTCATTCACTAATCTGACGATTTCGATGGGACGCAAACTCGCGGCCATTTTCATAATATGCAAAAAAAAAATCGCCATTTTGAAATACTCAAGCGCGTCAGATTAAGATATATATGGTTCATCTTTATGTTCTAAACAATTTTCAAATTTTCTAGAGGGATTCGCCTGATCTGACAAAAAAAATAATTAGAAAAACGGTTCACCTTAAAGGCCATACCTGCAACTTCCCGCTAATTCCATTCCTGGGCGCTTAAAATTGTACTTATGACATTTTTGAGCTCAAAATATAATTTATGTGATATTTTGAGCTCGCTGAGTTCAAAGAAATAATATTTCTATGCATTTGAGCTCTCCCAACTCGAAAGTCTGATAGAAGTTTCATAGAACACTATTTTTGGAATTTCAAACCGCAATAACTTTTGAATAGATCAAGCAATTTTCACACGGTTGACGCCATTCGATGCAGTTTTATCATCAGTTATTTTCAGGTTTTAATTGATCGAACCAAAAATTTCGGAGTAATCCCGAAAAAACACTTTTTTCGGTTTTCTTTCGTTCACGATATCTCTCGAACGAATCAACCGATTTTGACCGGATTAGCGACGATCGGCGTGGTTTTTCTAGCTTAAGAGCGGATTAGTTTTTGAAGTTAATTGAAAAAGCCGGTTAAAAGTTATTCCAAAAAACCACTTTCAAAAAAAAAATCTTATTTTTTTGAGATTTTTCAAAATTTCTCAAAATCTATCGGTCCGAATCGGTTCAAATTCACAGGAAATCTAATTTTGAGGGAAATCTTTAGAACGCCGTTTAGTAGATTCCGATCGGTTTAGTCGTTGAAAAGATATAAGCGAGTCACACATACACACACCCATACATACATACAGACTTAGTGACAACATCATACTTCACACAAATAATATTAAAATAGCAAAAAAAGCCAAAACGTTGGAAACACGTTGTAAACAGTATGCCACGAACGAGTCTTTATGATCAGCTGTGATGGCGTCATGGCGGCAGAAACCAGAGTGGGGACGGAGTGAGAGAGTAATAGATAGAGAAAGAGTGAGAGAGGAATAGACACACGGAGAAGGAAATGTAGGCATCACGCAGCTGCACGCATTTAACTTTATCGACGAATTTTTGTTATTTCGGCTTGCGGAAATCGTCAGATTATATATTTTTCATTATACTTGAATTATTTCCTTCAAAATAAAAAAAAAATTAGCTACGCTCGAGAATGTCGAGATGACGTTTTTTTTTACAACTTTGTTGCCCTCCCCTTTTTTTACGTCACTCTCAAATTGTCAGATTAGTGGAATATACACTTTTTAGGATGTAATTAACTCACCCTACCTTAATCTGACGCGCTCGAGAATTTCTGATGGTCAATTTTTTTTTACTAATCTGATCCTGTATCCTTCACGGGCGGCCTTATATATGGGCCTCATGTTTTGTGGAGGTACTTAACCGGGTACAAGGTATCCCCCTGTATATTAATCTGCCGCGCTCGAGTAACTACAGAAAATCCCCTCTTCGGCTCCCCTACTATTATAACAAATTGATACATGTAACATCATCTATTGACATTTTTTTGAACTAATTTTTCTTTGTTAGTGATGAGACCCCTTGATAATAATATGATAAAGTATTTTTAATGGCTGACTAGAAACTTTTGTATGATATTTATAACACTGGTTTCTTGATACTATTTTTTTTAATATCCTTAGGAAAAATAATGGAGTATATTATAGTACAATGTTTCCAAGGATTTTTACCTATTTTTACTTTTTATTCAGTTGTTATTTTAAGAATAGAATAGTATTTTTAGATTCATATTATACTCTGCTTGATGATACCAAACTATTTAATATAATATTTGTAATGTAATGTTTTGTTCACATAGAAATTGCAAATCCCTATAATTTAGATATTATGACTTCTCAGTTCTCATATAGTGGCAGGGGGACGCTTATAATGATCAATTTTACACTGTCCTTACTTTTTAATAAAATGTGATGGTATGCACTAATGCAGCTCAACAATTTTCTGAAAAATCTTCTCTGATGATTTAAAATTAATAATTGATTTAATGTGTCATATACATAAGGGTTAGTCCAAACCAAGTTGTTGAAATTGTGTTCTGTTTTATAAATAGAACACAATTTCAACAACTTAGTACTTGGAAGTTGGCATAGAGAATGTAGGTAAAAGAGGTCTCATTATATTCTTTTTCTTTGACCAAAGTAAAAGTATTCTCAACATTTTTAACATTAAGACAAAGTTTTCTACACAAATAAAAGATATGATCTATGTGAAGACTTAGAAATTCCTTGTAAATCTTCGATGGAATAATTATGAAAGAATGAATAATATTTTTTAGGCAAAGCAATTGTTCATGCGTGGTGTGGAAATGGAGAGGGGTGGAAAACTATATGAGGCAATACAACATTATAAACGTGCTATACAGATCTTGCCTGATGTAGAGAGCAGGCTTTATGAAGGTTCTGATATGAGGGCTGATACACCTGAAGGTAAATATTCTAAGATCATAAGAAAAAGTATCGGTTTTCTTTATATAATATGAGTGTTACCCATCCTCACTCAGGTGCAACCAAATGCTACCTCCACATGCTACATGCTTTTTGCGACTTGATACTAAAACATTGATGAATGGTGTCACCTTTTGGGGAATTTTATTACTAATGATATCCTGTGTGTTACTCCAGACATAACACATACAAACATACACCTTGTAATTTAGTAGGATTATTATTTTGTTTATTTTTGTTAATTATATTTATTTATGAACTTATTTGCAATAATGTAAAGCCAATGGTGGGAACATTTTTTTTATACAAATACTAGCGATTCACTCTGGCTACGCTTTGGGTTCGTCCTTAGTGAAAAATAAAAACAAATTATCACACGGAGACCGGTTTCCGTGATAAAAACTATCCTATCTTCTCTTCCATACTATACATTTGCCTTTAATCAAGATCCGTTCAGCCTTTCTGGCGTGATTGTGTTACAAACATCGATCCAAACTTTTACATTTATAATGAGATGGGATTGTTGTGCATAAAGATAAAATGGTTATTACAGAGGTCCCTGAACCGACTGAAACTTGTCAATCAGAATATGTAGCAGATAGTGATGATGAAGATGTAATTGAAGGAGAAGATCTATTGTCCAGGCTGCAAAGGATTCTTGCCAAAAAGGGATATTTGTGCCAACCTGAGTATCCGACGAAGGTTTGTGTTACCTTAACTTTACATGTTAATATAACTTGATTGCCTCGGTTGTCTAGTGGCTAGCATTTAAGGTTGTAGATCCGGAGGTCCTACTTTAGAGTCCCGGGTCGGGCCAAGTTTAGGTTTAGATTTTTTCTGTTAAGAAATTCTCAGTAGCAGCGCGGAGTTGGGAAGTTGGCAATGTTACATCCCCGTGCCTCGGAGAACACGTTAAGCCGTCGGTCCTTTTTTTTTTTTTTTAACATTGGGAAATGCATTTACGCACGACGTGTGGGACTCACCGGCGTAATACAGCCAGTACTACCCACTAAAACCCAACAAAACCTTCCCCCGTCTTAATGGGGCGTCGCAGGAACGCTTACGCATTCAACTACGACGCCCCGATGGCAGGTCTGCCGAAGCAGACCACCACAACCATGGGGTTGCTCCACAGTCCACTCTGCTATCAGAGAATTACCAGGAGCAACCCGCATGGTACACCACTCCCCCGAAGAGGGCCACCTCCCACCGCCCACCGAAGTGGGCAACCTCTCTGTGCGTTTCTTAGCTTCGCGCCCGGTTGGATTGCCGGGCACTACTGAGCCCCCCCACCACGACAAGGTGAACGCACGTTGGGGGGGAAGCCGTCGGTCCTGCGCTTTACCAGTCGTGTCCTTTGAGAGTGAAAGGTATAGGCAAGTGTATCTGCACGCATACTTGCGCACTATAATATCTCATGCGCAGTTGACTAGTCTCAACAAGATTGGTCGCCGTGGCCGAAATCGGCCTGGAGGACATTATTATATGTGATAGTATGACATACATATTTTTTTTATTATGAATAATACAGAGTTAACAATGTTACCGATGTTACATGGTTTAATTAAGTACAAGCGTTTCGGGACACTTTGTAAAGTCATGATAGTTATGCATTCTCTATAAAATTTTATTTAATAAAAAATAATTTTTATGTATATTGTTTTTATATTACTTGTAACAAATTTGTCTCATTAAAAGACGAATAATTTTTTTTCATGTAATATTAATACGTAATTCGGGTGACAATACTATTGATGACGATGGAGTCAGGAGGTGGATAGTGGAACTCCTCAGTGGCAACTAGTAAACCGCTCGAGTTAGGGCTCATATGATTCGTTTTGGCGAGTTCCTATACATTTCAATTCGTCGAAATGTGTTTAACAATAACAACGGTTACCATGGCAACAAACGTACTTTACATGTTTTCGTAACGCATTCATCAGCTTACCTCCCAAGTCAAGCGTGCGTAAAGAAGTTTTACTTCAAAAAGTAAATATAATTATTGTTTACAATAGAGTGCTCACTTCTCATGGCTGCCATACGAGGTGGTGCAGCTGATACTGCGCTGGGTGGTGGGCGCAGACATGGACGCGGCGGCGCTGGAGCGCTGCGGCGCCGTGTGCAGGGGGCTTTATGTGGCCGCTCGAGAGCCGGACTTGTGGCGCTGCATGTGTGTTAAGTGAGTATCTACCTTTATTTGTTAAAATGTGATAATATGTAAGAAGAAATCCATTAATTACTGAGCTGTTTTTCACATAATTTGGACCTAATTTGGAAACAAATATATTTTTTATTATGTATATAATTGTATATTCTTTTAAAGTTGACGTGTAATTTTCAATTATGGCCCGCTCAGTTTAATTGAGATTGAATGAGATTTTACTAATTCCCTACATTATTGTAAACTATAGTTTAACTTACAAAAAAGATATCGTAATAATATTAGCCCAACTAAGTTTCTATCACCAGTTCTTCTCAGGTCTGAGGCTTCTTCTTTCCGAACTGGTAGTAGACTCATGACATTCAGTAAAAAATTACAATAATTTAATCTATACATATAATAAAATTCTAACTGAGTTGAATCTGTATGGGTTTTTTGAAAATCTTATTGAAATATTCATTATTATCGATCAGAGAGTGAATCTATAGTTTTTAGAATTTTTTATGTCTGTCTGTGACCGCATCACGGAAAAACCATTGGAAGAATTTTGATGAAATTTAGTATGATGATAGCTGGTTATCGGGGTCATCATATAGGATACTTTTTAATGCGGGAAAATATCTCATCCCTGAGAAATCTATATTAAACGTGAAAACGTAACTAGGGGCGAACCCGAACAGAGCGAGGGTGAGTTCTGTGCTAGTGCTGAATAAAATTTAGAATTTAGAATTGGAGTTAAATGATGTTTTAAGAGTAACTCGTGTCCCCAGGACGTGGGGCGTGGAGTGCGGCACGCCGCGCGCGCACGGGTACGCCGCGTGGCGCCACATGTACGTGGAGCGCGCGCGCCTGCGCCTGCACGGCGTGTACATCAGCAAGACCACGTACCTGCGCCACGGCGAGAACAGCTTCCAGGACCACTTCTACCGCCCCTGGTACCTCATTGACTACTATCGGTATCTCAGGTTAGTGTTGCTTAGTACTACATATATGTAAAATATGATTTTGTATATATGTATATTAAAATACAGCCTATGTTTCTCGTTGCTACTAATGTAGTTGTCTATAGGATAAAGTTTAATTTAAAAAAAAAAAAAATAATAATAATAATGTTAAGTACTTTTTGAGTTAATCTATTACAAATAAACATAAAAGAAGTTTTATCTTTCTTATTATTATGTTTTTTTTTTTCAATTATTATGATGATTTGAATTTGTAATAAAAACTGATGGTCAGATATCCTCCAGGTAAATTTCTAAGAAATTAATTAAAATTCCAAGAAATCTATTGTTAACTGACACGCCGGCGTGTCCGCAGTCGTGGAGGGATTAATATTGAAGGTGTTAGAAAAAACAGCGTTACATTAGATGAAGTGGATGTAGGATACCATAGCAAATGGGTCAAATTCGTAGGACAGGACGAAAGAGTACTGTTTCTAAATGTAGATATTGAGTGAGAGTGCACTCTCACTCTAATACCAGCCGGATATGTTATTACATTTATTATGGAAATAATAGGGTATTTGACTGGTTTTAGGAAATTGTCTCAAATTGTCATGTTAGCAAAGTAAATGAATATAAAGGCCGCTAAAACGCTAAAGGTATCATTCATGTAGATCATGTGATGACAACAGTACAAAACTTCGTTCGACTTACGTTTCCTGTGAACAAGCGGGTGACGTCGCGTCAGATTCAGGCAATTCCGTGCGTTTCCAATCACGTGGTTAGATATGAAAATTTAATTATTTTTAACTAGCGATTTACCGTCCCTTCGCTTGGGTGCTAGGTACATTTTATTTTTGAGAGGAACCCCAATTCTTTTTCTAAAATAAAAGTAGTCTAAGTTACTCCTTATAACATCTGCTACCTGCCAGTGAATGTCCCGTCAAGATCTGTCCAGCCGTTTCGGAGATTAGCCGGAACAAACAGACAAAGAGACAGACAGACAAAAATGTTTAAAAAATATTGAAGTATCGTATATATTTCATATGGATTTAGTAAAAAGCTTTAATTTCGACATTACAAACAGACTCTTCAGTTTTATTTATCTGTATTATTAAGGATTTCTCAAAAAATCATTTATATTTTAAATTAATCTGTATTTTAGCTGTAGTCAAATACCCTATTAAAAAATATGTTGTTATTCTTGCTTATAGATTTTTCCCAGAAGGCCTAGTTTTAATGTGGACCACAGCGGAGGAGCCGGCGGCGTGCGTGGGGCACCTGAAGACCCGCGACACCAAGAACAACCTCGGCATCATGTCAGGGCACTACCGGCTGGTTGGGGATATGGTGAGTTGGTGGAATGTGTATCGTTTCCGGTGGCACCAGTTGGTACCACTGGTACCAAACATATAATAAAAATAATAATTTTAAATAATTAATATTTTGATAACCAAATAGATAAAGTGTTGTCATTTTCTTAGCTCTTACTACACTAGCGCTTCTCGTGGTGAATGTATATGTTGTATATGGTGATTGTCTTTTTTTGTGGATAATGGTTAGTCGAATAGAATTATAAGTAATTATTGAAGAGTTTCACTATCTACCTTCTTCAGCTCCTTCATCAGATCAGCTCGATAGAATTATCTTATTGTCGATGAGATTTCATATTTTAATTACGTAGTTTCACCTACACATTCTCGACTTCGGTCTGCTGCAGAATGTTTTATGACAAAAACACAATAACTATTTTTACCTGACCTGGGACTCGAACCCAGGAACGTAACAACTTGCAACCGTATATGCTAGCCACTACACCAATAAGGTAGAGATTACATAGTAAGCTAATTACAAGTGGGGCGAGAAAGCGTGTAAAAGAGACTTCTCCGTCCACCAGGTTGTGATAGTGATAAAGAAGACGAGCTCTGAGAAGAAGCAGTCGCAGGCGACCAACACGCGGTTCCGCGCGCGCCGCAAGGAGCCCACCGACCAGCACGAGCAGGTGTTCCAGATGGTAATGTTCTTGTTTGTAACTTATTTTTGCCTCTGATTTCGTTTGCTTGGTATGTAATAGGTACATCGATAAAAAGTAGTCTGTGTTAATCCATATCTCTTAATCACTCTAACTCATAAATTCTTGCATTTATAATAATTTGATTAGATAATGAAAGTGTCATAAAATAAGTTTCTTCTTTTTATATATAAGAAGGTATTCAAATTAATATATATTTTTTGAGTTTTAATATTTATATATATTTTTATTTGCTCAATATGGACTAGCTATTGCGAAAGCATAGAATGTATAGTCATTGAAAAAATAAATATAAGCCAGCCAGGCACTAACGAGGTAGGTGCGCGCATATGTAGAAAAACAAGATAGTTGAGGATGAGGCACATAATTGCACGTGTAAGATATAAGCCAACGACTAACGAGATATGTGCTGTGTTAAAAAAATAATAAAACCATAACACAGCTAGTACGAGGTAGGTATACCTATCTGAAAAAAATAAAATAAAGTTCCAACAAAAAGGTATAATATATGGTGTGCGTCTGTGCAGGAGTTCCAGCTGCGCAGCGTGCGGCGGCGGCGCAACTGGCAGCTGGTGTGGCGGCGCTACGCCGTGCGCGCGCGCGACGCCTGGTCCGCCTTCGACCTCGCGCCCAGCAAGTTCCCGCCACTCGCCTTCAGCGCCGTGCGCGCCTACACCGCCGAGGCCACCGCGCCGCTGCTCTGCTCCAGCGTCTGAGTATATACAAGTATACAACAGCGCTGCCGATTGGCGGGTAATAATACAATACACACTATACAGCCTACATACTATAGGGCTACAGTTAGAAGTGGATTCTAACTTATTCTAAGCTATCTTTATTCTAACTATATCTTCATCTATATATTTTTTGCTTATTCATATATACATTTAATGGGGTGTTTATACATTGATACGTCTATAAAACGAAATGGATATAGAACTTTCATAATAAATGTTTGTTAAAAAAAACTTAAAAATAACCGACTTCAAAACACTAAAATGTAAAAAATAACTAAACGGGGGTTTTCATTTAGAATATATACCTAATCAGATATTTTCGAAGTCGGTGCCAGCCGATGCAAAGCGAGTCTAATATATTTCGATACGTAAAATACATATTTAACTTTTAGATATTCATATCTTAAAATATTGTCGGCTGTCACCGACTGTCACTGCAAGTACAGTTATTACAAACAAGCCAAACGTGTCATCAAAAACGTGTTTGTGTTTATAATTAATCAATCAGATAGTTATTTTTTATTTGCATCACTTTTTACAAAGTTATCTTTTGTTTCAGATTCTGAATCCTGCTTACATGTAAGCGTAAATAGAATTTTATTTTTGATTGCTGTTTAAATTTAGAATATAAGGGTTGTTGCTAAAATGATCGCTTTTTATTTTTTTAAGAAAAACTAAGTTATTAAAAGACAAAAAAAAAGCAGAATTTAATTTTTAAATGTGGCAATGAATTCATGTTGATAATATTTGATTCTTTACTTTTACTGTTAAAAGAACCTGATTGTATAAAAATGTGTAGAAATTCCTTAATATTTGATGGTTGTGTAATTTATAAGTCTTGACTATATTATCTAATAATTATTTATGTGGCATTTCGTCTTGTAGTTTTGTGTGTCTGAAGTAAAATTGTTATTTTTGGTACATTCTTCGTACGAGTATATAATCTTGGCTGGATGGAAATAAACACTCTATCTTGACTCATAACTTCAGTCCAATATCGAACTTAAATTTTAATTTTTTATATAAATAATTAGTAAATTTTTTTTATAATTAAAATTAGGCAAAGATAATTTTATTTTTATAATAATTATTAAATTTTTATAATCAATCTTAAATCAAATTAGCGAGAAAAATATTTTGAAAACAAATCCGGCTTGGTATTTCTAAGTTTAGACCATATAACTTGGGAGTATTATGTGGAAACTTCACAAAAAAGTAGTTAAAATTTTCAAAGCAGCAAACCAACAAGTTGGTAGCTAACCTTATAACATATTAATACAAAATAAGTAATTTACAATTTTTCCTTTTAAAATTTGCTATAAAAATCTAGGCAGAAGAACTACTTAATAAATCACGTTGAACCAGTGCTAGAGTAGTTGTGTGAACAAAGCTCTTATGTTATTTATGATAAAATAATAATGATATCTAGACCTTTTCAACGTCCCACTGCTGGGCACGGGCCTACCTTATACGAGGGGGATCAGTCCATAATCCACCACGCTGGCAAAGTGCGGGCAGACTGAGTGTGTCTTTCGAAAACTTGCTAGATTCTCTCAGACATGCAGTTTCCTCACGATGTTTTCCTTCATCCTAAGACAAATGGTAGTCACCTAGGTAATTATTCGCACATGAAAGTCTCAAAGATGAGATTGGAACCCGCATCATGATATTAATATGGAATTCCAATATTTTTCTTGATGGATATAAATACTTAAAACTTATGGTATTTATAATGAACATTCATTTTATGTCAGTTTCGACCTCAAAAATAGCGTTAAGCGGGATAGCTCTAGACTGTTATCCTCTATATTTAAAAAAATAATTTTATTTAAAAGCTATTCTATGGGTTTGGAACAGATGTTAGAAAGTATTAAGAAGATAGTTTACAATATGATTTAATACTTTAAACTTTTATTATCAATTTTATTGCTACACTAGTGACTCATCCGAGCGTCGCTCGGCTTCTTCCCTAGGTGACTCTTTAAATTGACATATTTTTTTAAATTTATGAACCGGTTGATATAAAACAAATACTAAATGTGAAGTGAAGCTTGCCACATTACATTAGTGAAAATCGCACGCTCCTTTCTGAGATTAGCGCGCACAGACAAACAGACAAATATTCTAAAAACTATTGTTTTTGGTTCTATTGCGTTAATGAAGTCCACCAATCAGTAACAAATTTATTATACGTTTATAGATTTTGGGTTACTTTTTAAAACTTCATTTTTCGTTATTTCAGCCTAATTAAGCAATTTTGTTCTGACAATCATTATAATAAACATAATATGATTGATTATTCTTTTAATTCTATAAGGTAGTGGGTGAAAGTTGTTGTTTGAGGGGATTCCCCTTGAACAAAATCGACATACGCTTAGTTATTTTAGCGAGATTATTTGTAAAAGCCTAAATATATATCTAACATATTTCGTACATATATTTCGATTTCTGGTTTTCTACACTTGATTTTGTATTCAAGCATAACTGATGGTACAAAACATGACTTATGAAAATTGTTAGGAACGCTTTGTGATAAAGGTGTTTATGTAACTTATTTTGCATTATTTTATGGAAGTAAGAATAACATGATTAACATACGATAAATAATACATATATATTAAGTTATGTCAAAGGTGTAATAGTTTTATACAGAAGGTTCACTTACTTAGTGAAAACATGCCAAGTTACTAACAGCGAAGGCTAGGGTTGCCGCGCGCTTTTAAAAATATACGTAAGAGCGCTACTTACGCGTCCTGTTGCCAATAGTTTTCTACAACCCTAACTTCCCATGTTGCATCAGAAAAAATATATAGTGCTGCAAATTATTACGTCTTAACAAGACTTGTCATTAGTGCTTATTTGTTCAAACGACCAATACTTGTTGTACTTTACAGTAGAGAGTTTTTTCTTCTATTTAGAAACAAAAACTTTGTTTCTAAGATTTATATAGATATATGTATAGATAAAGTATATTTTTCCGGCTTTTTATAGTAAAATGTATATTTTATACCAATAATTCTCTATTAAAAATTCTGTCGGGAAATTGTTAATTTGGACAAAAGAGCACAGAGTCGACGAAGAGTGGTCATTTATTTAAATATTTTTGCTGAGTGAGCCTTCTGTATCAAACTGTTATGTATTCTATGGCAATATATTTATTTCGATGCACTTTAACTTTGAACTTTCGAATGCTGAGAATATTCTGTTTGCTTATCTTATAACATCTAACGAAAAATTATTAAAAATAAAGTATTTTTACTGAACAATATTATTTTCCAATGGCCTTGCATTGTTTCATTTCTCCTTAAATGGACTATCTATGGACGCTAGAGACGGGGAATGGATACGAAACGCCCTTGCGTCGGTTTATGTTTTCCACTATAGCACTATCCTAATACTTTATTAGATTTTGATTTGGCATTTTATATAAAACTATCTTTTCGGTTTTTTTCGCGGATATATAGTGATTTTTGAATTATTTAGTTTACATATATTGATCTTTGAGGTGTATTAAACCTGTCTCTCTCGTGAAACGTCAGAAATCAGAAAAAGTCGAAGAGATATTTTTATTTGAAAGCATCCTGGCAACAGTAACGATTTCAGTTGTTTATGAGTGTATAGTATTAGCCAAAAAAGATTAAAATAATATAAATTTGGTTTCGAGATAACGAATTCATTGCAGTGCCTTGCTTATTTCCTATGCAGTTTTTAATATATCTCATCGCAGGAATTTCCCTGTTCTCTAGCCTACATCAAGTTCTTATATAAAATTCACGTTATTTAACTGTTAGATATAGTTAGAAAATATTTTAATTACTTATTATATTTAAGCTTAAACAGTATATCGAAACTAACGCCATCTAGGGCGTACTTAGTAAATCTTTGCACTTTTATCTTTTGGAAATCACATTTTTACATATAACGTTTAAATACATACATTTTATCCCTTTAACATTTTTAGACGACAATTTTATTCATTGTTATTCCTAAATATTAGTAAATATCATTAGTATTGGTCTATATATTTATTAGTACTTTACATATATGTTTTGGACTCGATAGCTATATTTATTAACAAAATTATATATTGTGTGAGAAAATCCGTCCGGTTGTCAAAGTAGAAATTATGTGAATATCTGTTTAGTACTTGTATAGGTTCGTTTGATTGTTTTTGATCTAAATTGTGAACAATGTTTTGCCAACGATAAAAAGTTTTATCATTTTAAAGAAATCTTTACTCCCCTCAACAATCAACCTGTGTTGCATATTAAATTTTCTATAACCATACATAATATCTCAACTAAACTCTGCATCTAAATATTATATCTTTTAACGTGAAACGTCTTTAATATCACATCGGGTGAGAAAAGTGGACCGTACCGAAATATGTTCCATTAGGTTGCCATAGTAACCGCTATTTTTACTGATTTAATTTCAAATATGCAAAATATTTATAAAAACCAAAAACATTTACAGCCCCACCCGATTATTTTATTGATATATATCTAAGTCGTCTAACATTATCATCTATTTATAGAAATATATATATATTAAGTATGTATATCTATTTTTATTATCTCTTAGAGGTTTTACTAGATTAGCTTTAAGAAAAAAAAAGACGTGTGGCACTCGGAGACTGCCGCGGTAAAGCTATTGCATAGCATTTTTTATCAACTTATGCAATTATAATTATTTATTTATTTTATTAATGCAGTATTTTTTTTCCTTGACTTTCTTCATTAATAAATGCACTTTGTTTATTGATATTTAAAACACTTTGTACACAAATTATACGAGTACATTCACTGTTGTACATAGATGATAAATACCTATACACCTATATATTTTCTCACAAACAGCCGATTACGGTAGTTTTCCAATACAACCAATGCCACCTAAAGGCGGGTTGCTGAACTAAAGAGACAAGCGTGATATTTCAAAAAGTCATTAAAAGTTCTGGTATTTATCGATAGACGGAAGTATCACCGCTGTGCCGGTCGGAGTGGGGGTGTTAGGTTTTTTTCGTTACGGAATTTCTGGATTCGATCTCCACGCTCAAGGCCCGCGATAGAAGCTATGCAATAGCTTAAAACTTTAGAGCAATTATTATGATTGAGCCCCTGTTTTTTTTCAATATGGATAAAATGTTTGGTATCTAATAGTTCTTAACTAAGTTGCAGCTTTGTATATTCTTTGGGAAAATAAAATTCGTTTAATATAGTATTTAGTTTTATTTTATTAATCTTATCATATAGCTATGTAAAAGAAATGTATAATTAAAGCTTAAAATAATTTTCAAACAAATAGCAAGCGATATTTTTACCTCATAAATAATATTTTCATTTTTTTAAATAGTGGATTAACATTAAGTTTGACTCATACTTTTTCTAGTAATTTGAATTATAAAAAAATATTTATTTTTTTAATAAAAAAGGGTAATCCTTACCATTTATGAGACAAAACGTACATAAATATTGTGATATTGATTGGATATAAAGTTTTCAGTTTAGACCGAATTGGGAAAATAAAAAAAAACGCCGAGAATATTTAAGTTTTTATTTTTATACATGTACCATCTGTTTGTATCTCTATAAATGAAACAACGTCTAATGACTATAAATTTATTTTTTTAAATCATATATATTATATTTCTTTTGTTAATAATTTATTTACATATTAGAATATTAATAATTTTAAAACTTCTACATCTACTGGGAATCGCGTCCCAGCGAGCGCCCGCTGCACAGCCTTGAGCCCGAGGCGTCAGATGAGGCGCTCGCTGAGCCAGATTCAGGAGTCTGGCGGCGCAGCTGGAGGCGCAGGGGGCGCCGGGGACTGCCCGGCGAGGGGCGCCGTGGGGGGCCCGGCGGGAGGCCCTGCGGGGGGCACGGCGGATCCGGCGGGGGGCGCCAGTGCTGGTTCCGTGCTTCGCCGGCGAACTTTGCCGCGCTTCTTCAACATGGTGGCCTGCGGGCAGCGCGCCACTGAGCCGGGCCGGCGTCACGGGCCCGCGGCGGGGCCCGCGCCCGACCCGCGCTTCGTTTTTTTCAGCATCGTCGCCTGCCGGTCACACCGCTCACCTCGTTAGCGCCCGAGATATCCCACCCGACACCTGACCGCGGGAACTTACTTGCCCAGAGACTTTCATTTTCACCGTTTTTAACAGAGAAGTTTTTTTTTAAAGTAGTTAAAGTAGTAATGTTAGTTCCTTTTTGATCGTTTAAATTTACTTTATACGTTGTATCTTATAAGGTGTATCTGAATATAATGAAGTATCAATGTAAGCTAATAATTCCTGCAAGTAAGATCCCGTTCTCAGGTACCAATACATTCACACACATATCGTTTAATTTAGGTGTATCACATCTCGGGCGTTGACTGCGTTTTCACTGAACGAACATTTCAGTACGTTAGCAATACAGACACGATCAAAGCATTGTTAGTTCGTTGGCAGCGCCGGCTCGTCGCTGTGACCGGCGAGGGGACTTGGGAAATCACACGATGAGGTCATTTGTATTCGGTACGTTTGTACATGTTTTCGTATCCTCAATCGTTCTATACCGCGTCGATCGTGTGAATTCAGCTATGAGCTAAAGAAACCTGACTGTTGAACTAGTTTTAAACTGTGATGCTAAGTCTAAAGGCCGCGTGCGTTGCGCGGTGGTGTGCCAAATGCTTGGTCATTCGAAATGTTACTGTAACTGGCAACAAGCTTCATTCAAACGTCAATCCTTAACTTTAAATTCGTTGGTCAATTTCTTTAAATGAGATTAAGTATATGTTTATATTTATTACTTGTAAAGTTAAGGATTGTTTAAAGGTACAGTAACATTAGAGTAAATTATCAAAAAAACAGGGTGATTTATCGTCGTAGGGCCGGCGCTGTCTCGGGCAGTGAAAACGCGGGCGTAACGTGGATAGTGCAGTTAATATCAAACACATCTCAACATAAATAAGGCGCATTAGAATATAGGTGAGCTCAAAGCTTTATTGAATTGGGGGGAAAACTTAACCACCGTGCAAGAGATTAGATGCTAGGGCAAGAATTAAGATAGAGTGTTTAATATTTATTGATATTGCAATACAGAAAGTGTGGACAAAGACTAACGGGTTGGATATGAAATTAGTAGAAAAAGTGGAAAAGTACTAAACTAATATAAAAGCAATGTTTTGTATACAGTTCTGGTGTCGGTGATCATGCATTATTGTTTTATAGCCCAATTACTGCAGATGATTTATCATTTGGTGATCAATTAACTTAATAATGATGGGTTTTATGTCATAATTTAAATTTTACTTGGTTTTCCTTTCTCTTTCTATTGGTCTTAACATGAATCACCAGATGGTAATAAAATGAAGTAATATCGCATGAGTGCACACTCATCCCATATTTTCAAGTGCTATTGCATAAAAGTAATTAAAAAAGTAGAGAAATATTTGCAAAAATATTGGAAAATAAAACTTATATTTTTGCTTTTGAAGATAAATTATAGGTACTATTAATACTCTGAAGAGGTAACATTAAATTTAACTTAAACAAGAATTAATAAGAGGGCAATAAATATTTTACAAAGCAGATACAAACCACAGGAAGCTAGTAGACTTGTATTTACCTTTAACGCTGACTTGAGCACGACCACCTCGCTGGGCGCCGCCACCCATGGCTCGCCGTCCACCTGCACCGGGATCTCGCTGCGGAGGTTGATCTTTATGTGGCCGCCCTAGAATCATGCATTATAAATAATAAAAATCATTATAGATTTACATAATTTTTTACAAGATATCTATATAACACTTGACAATGGGCTCGCCTAAAGCCAGGTTTCCCATGGATGAAATTAAGTATTTAATTAAAATATTGGATTTTATAATAATTATTGAACAGTAGACTTCTTTAAAATTACGTCTGTTGTCTTTTCTTATGGTTCATTTAATTTGGACGTAAAAGGTACATAGACCGAAATCAAAATGTCTGTAAAAGCAACTACTCCACCCTTAAAAAATTTTAAAAACGTAAAAGTTTTCTTAAAATATATGGAGTACTTGGTGGAGGAATAACCTTTGAATTAAAACTATTCAAATCATGAAAGTTATCAATTGACGAAGATATTGCGTAACATACACAATGAAAATATTCCAGCGGAGTACCTATTAATTTTTCTTTTTTTAAAGTCGATTAATAAATATTTGTAAGTCCAACTGATATTTAAAAAAACCTTATTTTCAAAGGTAACTTACTTGTGCTATCCGCATCGCGCCGCGCAAACCGGACTGGATCTGCCCTAAATGGACGACCCCGGTCACGCCCACCACCTCCAGCATGCCGTCCCAATGGTTCGGCTTGTTGAACTGGTCATCCTTCTCCGGACCCCATGGATTCGCTCCTGAACCCCAACTGCATCCACGTAATGTGTTTGTAATTTATATTTTGTTTTGCGAGTTTGTTTTTTTACGTGCTATATATCAACTTAGTTATTTGTTAATGATTCGTACCTACATTACTTATATGGAACTAAATCCTGTAAATCTCAACAAGGAAAATATAGTTTATTTTTCCATAGTACATTTGCAAATTTAGCAGGTAAAAGATCCGGAATGTTAAAATGAACTAAATATTGAAAGAGCTTTCATGTTGGCAGATCGCAAAATTAGCTTCGACCGATAAAAGTATATGTAATTAGAACTGATACTATATATTATTATTATACTATTAGGTAAGTAGGTATGTAAGTAGAATGGTAAATTGCTATCGTTAGTTCTAAAAAAACTACAGAAAATCTACTCGCCGTTAATGGGTAGTGGGTACAATATTATAAAGTATCATTTACCTAAGAATATTTAATATAATAATGCCCTCTACTGCGGGCAGGTCGACGTGCTTGCCGTCCACCTCCAGCCGGACCGCCTTGTGCAGGTCCTTGCACATCTTACGCCCCACCATCTTGCGCAAACCCATCTTCACGTACACGCCTTTGTTGCGCAACCTTCGTCATACAAATTATTTTACTCCAAACATTATATTTTCTTAGATTTACGCGAATTTTGAAGATATTTTAAATAAAACTATCATCTCTACAGCAATCATCTCCCGTGACCATGATTGCTGTAAAGTTCGAAATGTTGGGAACCAAAAATCAAAATAAATTCGCGAAAAAATCCGAAAAGATAGTTTTATTTAAAAGTCCAAACATTATATTAGTAGTTTCTCATGCAAACTTAGAAATATACCAATTTTTTTTTATAATTATATCATGATATAATTTTGAAAAGAATTAAAGTGTACAGATTGATACAAATAGAAAAAAAAAATAATTATGCACGATTGATTCATCTATCTGTATGAAGGTTTCAAGACAGGAGTCAATTCGATCATCGGTGGTTTAATTTTAAATATTATTGTTTTAATTCATTAAGTAAAACTTTAATAAGTACGTACGTTATTAATATTTTTCATCCATAATCTGATAAATTTTGGATAAATTTACCTGCTGTTAAATTTATTAGGATTTTCTTCGCGCGCGTTGTGGAAATCAAGGCAGAGATCAGCATCGATGCCAATACCGAAGTAGTTGTTCATCACGAGAATTTGGGAATTATCTTCACTTTGTGAGCCTGCAGAGCAACAATAAGAAATTATAACACAAGAGATTGTAGAATAAGCCTTTCCTTATATTTGCAATCTGAAGTTAAAATGATGATACTATTCAGAGCCTAAGAAATGACAAATATGCTTTTGCGAGGTAAACCATATATGTATATAAAAAAAGTCTATCAATTATATTGATAATGGCTTTAAAGCGTGCCAGTTGAGCACAGATTTCTTCTCCAATGTAAAAAGTCCATCATTACTAGTTAATCAAATATCAGTATTTATGCAAGTATTTCTTTCAGGTATTGTTTAAGTTCCTAGCAGTTATTTTAAATCTAAAACTTGTATTTTATTGTACATAGCTTTTATAATTTTATTTTAGTTTATAGCTAAATTTTGACAATTACAAAGCATTGCGTTTATATTCACCCGGTAGCTGCTTAGACACCTCCTTAGGTTCGTCCTGCTTATCCTCAGGATGGAAGACGACGGTCCAACGGTCGAGGCGGATCTCCTCCGCGTCGATGACGTCCCGAAGTAGAGATAGTGGGTCTTCGCATCCGGTATATCCTGAGCCCCAGCGCAGCACTCGTGCAAGGTCATTTCCTGCATACATAATGTTAATTTAAGGATCTTTCTAATATTTAATAACTAAATGATGTAGAATTATAAGATAAAAAGATAGCCATATATATATATATATATATATATATATATATATATATATATATATATATATTTCTATCTATTATGTTAATATATAAAGTTTCTTGAAATAGTTTCATTAACTCCTAGTCTAAAATCTTGGACCCCAAAGACTGAAATGTTGACGTATTTCTAATACACTTTAACTCTTAAAATGATGAGACACTTTGCATGAAAAAATAATATTTTGCTAACTCTTTGGTAAATTAATGTAATTTGGTAATTAACGCATACTCATTTAATGTAGAATTATCAAAATTCAATCAATTAAGAGGAATAAGATGTGATTGGTTTTCATTCTTTATGCGCTGAATTAAAGGATAAAAATATATAATAAAATTATATAGTTGTTACAGACAGACTACCCACAAAATGAATTCAAAAATACAAAAATGGGAAATGTCGGGAACGTTTGTATCCAAAAATAAAAATAAATCTAGGAAAAAATCCGAAACGATAGTTTTATTAAAATATCAAATATTCGCGTAAATCTAAGAAAGTATTATTGGAAAATTATGAATTAAATACTTGTAAGCCAACTACTAAAGGTGTATCTCACCGGTTCCAAGGGGTACGATGGCGCAGGGTGGGTTCGAGCACTGCGAGTCCTGCCCCACGTTGTCGAGGCACTGCAGCACCCACCCGATGGTGCCGTCACCGCCGCACACCAGTATCTTGTAGTTCGGGATGTGTCGGAACACGTATAATCTGGGGTTTTAGAGTCATTTAAACTTTGATTTGCATGTAAATAATTGATTTGCATTTTAGATGAAAGCTCGAATTTTTGTGAGCTAACGTGATGCGGATTGAAATCCCGGGTATTCCTCTGATATTTGACCTCTGATATTTTCATGTGCATCATTTCCAACATGAATACCATTTGTCTTACGTTGAAAGAAAACATCGTTAGGAAACCTACGTGTCTGAGAGAACCTAGCAACTTGGACAGCGTGATGGCATATGGTCTGATCCCCCTCGTATTGAAGGGAGGCCCGTGCCCTGCAGTGGGACGTTCAAAAAGGGCTGAACACAAGTCACTTTGAAAGATATTCCTTATGAGATATGTACATGTATGCTTTGTCATAAAAATGTGAAGCAATGATATTTTAATTTAAATTATTAATTAAATATTTTTATATTTATTATTATAATTGTGTAATATTAAAATTGTACTTCACTTTAACTGTTAAAGAATGTAATTATTTTTGGGTGGTGTTTTATTTGAACTTCTTCATGCTAAACCCTAGACAAGGTGTAGAAGATACAATCACCCTCCCACGTCTATTGTATGTAATATACTTTATTGGTTTGGTATTGGCTATTTAAATTAATACGGATACAAGTAATATTTCAATACTGACCCAGGTAGCGGTCCTCCATTCTCCAGGTCGAATACTTGGTAAGGGTTGAGAAGTTTGCGGAAGGAAGAGATGAGTTCGAGGCCTTGACAGCCACCAGACTTGACATTTACGAACACTAGAAGGGGCTTTACACCAGCTGGTACCATTGAAGGTTCGATGCTGGGAAGTAGCATCACTGGTACACACAAATAAAATACGTTAAGATTAGATTATCCTAACTTTCATGTTTATTAATTCGTAAATATGAAAAGAAATGTTTGGATATATATATATATATATATATATATATATTTATACATTTTTTTACTTGTAAGAATCTAAATAACTCAATGTTTAAGAAATAAGAAGAAGAAAATGTACCTAATAAAGGTTTATCTTCATATTTGGCCTCTCGGAGCGCGTAGAGGGCGCGCACTGCTTTGCTCGCATCCTCGTACGTAATGACCATGGATCCATACTCGTAGTAAATCGGGCCGATTGATGTGAACTTGTTTTCTATGGAATAGACAATTATTTTTATATCGATAAACTATAGTATAGACTTAAAATTCGTAATGATTATAACGAACTATTAACTATTTATCAAAATATTAAAAATAATTCGATTATTAAACACATAAAAATGGATTTTATTTGTAATTGTAAGTGTGCATGTGCACATACAAAGCAATAGATATTATTGATGTAGGTATAACCAGGGCCGTGCCTGGGTATATGGCCGCCTGCGTGCCAGTCTGTATGGCCGCCCCCAGGATAACATTAAAAAAACTACTTTAATTTTTAATGTTTATTATTATACACAGGGCATCAAACCGGGAAAAAAATCAGTTTTTGGTTAACCGAAATCGAGAACGAAAAAAAATATTGGTTTTGTTCCCAAAACCAAAAATTTTGTGATAAATAACAATAAATGTAATAAAATAATGTATTTACAAGTAAAAAGAAATAGTGCTGCTTCCGCCGTTATAGTTTTTACACCATTTAACAGAACATTTAGTCATTTTTGGGAGATGTTTTGTTGACAAGTAAGTGCTTGAGACTGACACAAAAAACAAACGACCTAGGCTAAAATTCCCTGGTTACAGACATGACCGTTAAAGGTACGTCCGCTTATATGTCTGGTCCAGTGGTTAATTCGTTCATGGACTAGGTATATAAATACTACAACGACCTAATCAGTTTTTATACATTTCTTATTTCTGAGAAACTCTTTTTAGATAGATTAGATTAGAGAAACTGTTTTTACTTCGTATCTTAATGAAAACAAACCGATTGTATTTTTGCCCAGTAAACAACTTGTAACGATTTGGCCGCCTCTTAATTTCGGGCGCCTGCGTGCGGTGCACGCAATGAACGCCCGTCAGGCACGGCCCTGGGTATAACAGATTGTATAGCCATGGTCTTAGACAAGACGTCGATCTACGATGTTGAAGAATAGGATGAAGTCAAGACCGCAAACTCACCGGCACCCAGGAACTCGACCAGTATATTCTCATAGTTCCTCTCAGAAAGTCCAGGGGGGAGCGACGCGACAAAGAGCGCGAGGGTGGGTCCGTGCGGGTCTCGACGCGGCTGCAGGTAGAAGCGCGCGAGCTCCATGCGCCGCACAGACTCGCGAGCTAAACGCACTAAGATGCGCCACGGACGCTCGTCCTCTTCTAGCACACGCTCTGATACTGTGAGGAAATCCAAACGTCATGCTAGGTAAGGTAGGCGTCTTTAGATAGATATTAGATTAGGAAAGGTACCGTTGGATTTTAGCGGGAAGTATTGTGTTTTCTAGCCAATGAGTCTCTACATAATTACCTGTGAGTATGTTTTATGCGTAATTAAACGATAGAAAAGGTGTCTTAGATAGTTTTTTATCGTTATGTTTCTAATTAAATAGTTGTTAGCTAAGCAATTGTAGTGAGAATAAGTCATTCCCATAATATTTTAGTTTTCTATTAGCAATATAGATTGTAGAAAGTCGAAAGTCTGTTATGATCGTTACCTCCTCGATCGAGCAGTATCTCTGAGCAGCGATAGTCCGCAGTCGCATTAGAGGAGTCGAGTCCGAAGCTCTCCAGCGCAGCTCGCATGAGGTCGGAAACAGTATGTTCTCCCGCACACTTCACCGTGACGAACGCGTCGCCCGCGCCCGCCACCCGCCCCGCGTATACCCGTACCTCTCCGCCACCCGTCTCTGGTTCTCTGTTATGGAAAATTTTATGTTATTTACGAGAAAACATTATATTTTAATATAATTAAAATGGTTGAAATTGAACTATTCTGTAAAATTACTATGTTCTATGTTCAATCTCTCTATCTATACTAATATTATAAAGAGGTAAAGTTTGTGATCTTGTGAGTTTGTGAGTTTGTGACGTTGTAGGGGGTAATCTCTGGATCTACTGAACCGATTTTCAAAATTCTTTTACCAATAGAAAGCCACGTTCTTTCTGAGTGTCATAGGCTATATATTAACCTGAAAAATGAAAAGGCTTTTTCGTGGTAGTCGGATTTGCAAAGTAAGTCGGAGAAAAAACGGTCGAACGAAAACTTTTCTTACGAACGCTGCCTTAACGATGAGAGATATATGATTATGTTCTAGAGAAAAGTTGTAGAGCTTAATAATGCCTACAAAAAAGTCAGCGACAGCATATGTCTAACTTTTATATTTAAGTCACAAAAAGTAGTTTTTTATAATAAAAAAATCATTTAAATCGGTAGGTCATGTTTATCGGTCATATTATCAACAATTATGAATTCTTATCAAAATAAGTAAATTTATCGTCTAAAATGTTTAAAATAAAAGACTTTTTCCTTTTACTGCATATAATTTGGACAAATGGTTAAAGAGATAATACAACATATTCGTATGTATGGACGAACCCGAGCGAGCTGTTTATCTGTTTTTCTCTTTGTACGGGCTAATCTCCGGATCTATTGGACCTATTTAAACGAAATTTTGCATGGTGGTACTTTATATCCCCGGGCAACATCTTAGATACTTTTCATCCTGGAAAATTAAAGGGTTCCCGTGGGATAGTTAAAAAACTATAACAACTTATACATCTTAGTACACAAAAACTACTGATTGGATTTTAATGAAACTTTACAATAATATAATTCGTACATGACAAAAACAAATCAACGTCTTTTCATCCCGGAAAATTACAGAGTTTCCGTGGGATAGTCAAAAAACTATAGTAACTTATACAGCTTAGTACACAAAAAGCACTGATTGGATTTTGATAAAACTTTACAATAATATAGTTCATACATCAGAATAACAATTAGGTAACTTTTTATCCCGGAAAAATGTACTTTTCCCGTGGGATAGATGTGTTTGTTTATTGTAACGTATTATGTCCACAACATAGACCCCAAAACAATAGTTATTAAAAAAATGTCTGTTTGCCTGTAGTATGTCTGTTTGTCTGTTTTTGTGTGCGCGGTTCACGCGAAAAGTAATGTACCAATTTCAACGAAATTTGATGAAGTGATAACTTATTACTCGAGTCAACATTTAGGGTACCTTTTGTATGTATGTATGTATGTTGTATTCAGCCCTTTTTAACACACGCACGGGCCTCCCTTCAGTACGAGGTGGATCAGGCCATAGTCCACCACGCTGGCCAATATCAGAGGTGCTAGACCCGTGATTTGAACTTGCTTCACTCGGTTTCCCAAGCGAGCGCGTTACCACTGGGATACCACTGCCTAGATACCTTTTACTTAAAGAAAATCTTTCTTTCCCACGGGAAAATATAATAACTGGTTTTATCGAGTGCTCCCTAGAAACCTTCCTCTGGCTAAGCCTTAAGACATACATCAAAACAATATATTAAAAAATTGTAGGTCTTGAAAGGTCCTACAGAAAAGTTCTGAATAGTAATTATGTCTATCTCCTAAGTTACACTCGCAATATTTATTCTTATCTATACCTATAATAAAACTTAGTCAAATCGATGTGCGCGTTTACGCAAAAAGTACTCAACCGATTTTAACTTCATTTTGTATAGTGATAAAACTTAGTGCTCAGGTCAACATTTAGAATACTTTTTACGACGGGCAAATTATTCATTTCCACGGGAAAATACAATAACTGGTTCTATCGAATTGTCCTTAGAAATTTATATGGCTAACGTTGGCTCAACCTTAAGAGATAGATCAAAACATTGTACAAGAAAATTGTAAGTCTTACAAAGGTCTATAGAAAAGTTCTACATAGTATATGTCTATCTCCTAAGGTACACTCACTATAACTACTTTCATTATTATATATTTCTGTTTTATTATACGTTATTTATTCTATCTGAATATAGGTACATATATGAATAATAAAACTGTAGAGGTCGAATGTCTGTACATAGATGGTAGAAAAAATTGCTAAAAAACGAGTCAGATCTCTTCTTACATCCCGTAAGGAGAGAAATAGAACAAAACCAGTTTTTGTTCAAATTTTTTGTTTCTCTGTCTGCTTGTCTGTTCGTACGGGCTAATCTCCGATGCTATTGAACCTATTTAAATGAAATTTAATACTTTTCATACCGGAAAATTAAAGAGTTCCCGTGGGATAGTTAAAAAATTATAGTAACTTATACAGCTCAGTACACAACAACTTATGCACCTAATTTAGTAAAATTTGGCATGCTGATAGCTTATATTGCAAGTCAAACAAGAGGTTACTTATTTTTATCCCGGAAAAATGAACGGTTCCCGTGGGATAGATCTGTTTGTGCTTTTCTAGAGGTGAACCCGAGCGAAGCGAGGGTGAGCCGCTAGTTTATGAATAAATAGGTTATTTATTTAGTAAAAGTTTATCTATTTGGAAGGTTTGTGTGGGGTCACAGGTCCAACACGTATAGGCCCTTTAAGAGACTCAAGTTTGTTTGTGACGCATCAGCCGGGATATATTTCTGAGTAACACTTAGGGAATTGCCCAAAGATGGCTTCCGGAAATTGCGTAGTGGCTTTAGAAAATGTGGAAAATTAATGAAAATTATGTACTGAAGTTTGGTTTAACTAAAAACTGGGCTATTGGATAAGACTACGGCCCCCCACAAAGTGCGCAACATCAGCGTTGTCGACTAAAGGTGTCAAGAGGTGAGATTCACCATCATCAGAGAGCTCGAGAGCGGGTTTCCCCGTTACTAAGCAAATTGAGCACTTCCACCCTTTCGAACATTTAACCTTTGCGCTCCACTCTGTACGGCCAATGAAAGCAAGCTAGAGGCGGGGGACAGATGTTGTTTCCTCCGGGAGGTATCAGGTCCGTGGTGTCGCCATTCACCGACAGCCACAAGCTGTCCTGCAGGCTTATTATTATTATCGTGACTTCGTATGGGAGCATAAAATTATTGATGTACTAGCGACAGTGGCGGCCTTAGGGGGTGGCAAACAGGGCAACCGCCCGGGGCCTCGCTCTTGTAGGGGCCTCGCGCCTTCGCACAACAACCCAAGTGTATCAGAATCTCCTGCCTTACGCCGGACATTACAAAACCCACGTCGCGCCAGTACAAGCATGTAGCGTTTAAGTCAATAAGCCATTAATATTAAATTTGACGTTATTATAATAATTATAGTAAAGAGTGAATTAGTAAAAAAACTGCGTACAACTGCTTGTATTTTTTTTATTAATTTTATGTGTAAATAATATTTTCTAAATGAGTTCGCGCGATTGCGATGCCAGTAGAAAAATTGAGTTTGGTAGTTCAAAAAGGCAACAAGCCATCAAAAGAAAGCAGGTAGAAGAAAATCTGTATGGGTCTCTATATAAATATATAAATAATAATAATAATAAATGCTTTTATTTCAGGCTTATTCGCCAATATAAAATGTCTACAATATAGTTACAATAAAATTATGATAGAATATATACATAAAAACATCAAAATACTATTACCTACTTTTTATTTCTACCGCATTGCTGTGTCAACCAATGCCTGAGAAAGTCAACACTCAAGTACTCGCCCATTACACGTAGAATCTCATTATTAGAGTTACGTAGTCGATCCCAGAATGCAGCAATTCTGGAACGGACCACCGCAAAAAAATCTGGTATCCTGGCTGAAGCAAACATATCAGATGCGCTACAGAACCTCGGTAAATTCATCAAAGTCCGGTAAGCATCATTGTACTGAACTCTGATGGTGCTGTACGCGTGCCTCGTATAATTGAACCACAGTTGACATGTATATAAATTCTGACAGTATGTTTTAAACAGAGTAGTTTTTACGTCCTGGTTACAACGAGAAAACCTGCGCGCAATCATGTTACATCTCACAGCAAGGGCTCGACGCTCACGTTCTATATCACTGTCATCTTTGAGATTCTCCGTTAACAAATGGCCCAGATACTTGAATGTTGACACTCTTAGGATTTGTTTACCGTCAATAAATACAGAGGGCACCACATCCGGACCCCTTCTACTCTTAAAAACCATAAATTCAGTTTTAGACACATTGTATTTAAGTCCATGACTTAAAGCGTATTTTTCACAAATACTTAATAGTTGTCTAAGACCACCGATAGAGGGACTGAGTAGCACCATATCATCGGCATAACTTAAATTATTTATGCACACACCACCGACGTGACAGCCAACGTTTGTGCTTCGCAGTTCCTCTATCAGATTATTTACATAAACATTAAAAAGATCCGGTGATGTAAGCCCACCTTGACGAACTATATAAAAGGTGATGGTTGGATGGTCAAGTAGCTTCTAAGTCCTTAAGACCTTTCAGTGACTAAAGGTGACATGTTATTGCATTCTAAGCCTAACCCAGCTGAAATATGTTTTGTAGCCCATCCAAACTCCATTCCATATACTCTTTTAGTTTTCCATATTTTCCATAGTCCCTACGAATTGTCCGGACCATACTTAAGCAATTCCTTATGGGCTACTCAGAGGTGGATGCCAGCATATGCGTCATATTAAACATTTAAATCTCTAAGGAATCTCTACGTGTTGGACCCGTGTTCCCACACATGCCTTCCTAACAACCGAGATCCTTCGAGCTCGTGAATTCTAAAGAGCAGTGCCGGATTCACTTTAGTGCAACCCCTGGACACTATAAAAAATGCCGCCCTATTATCGCAACTTTGCATAGAATGAACAGTTTCGATAAATTTTATTTTTTTTGAAAAATGCAAAAATAATAATTTATAAGTGATATTAATTGTTCGAAAAATGTATCTACTGGGTAATCTGTTTTAATTAATCTTTTTTTTTTTCCACCCTCCGAATTTTGTCGCTCCTAAAAATTTGCCGCTCTGAGCACTACTAGCCCGGAGTGCCCCTAGTGTGAATCTAGCGCTGCTAAAAAGATACAAGTAATGTCCACTATCTCTGAAAAATTATTCAAAATAAGCTAATAGAATTAATGGCAAGTCACGCAAATCCTGAAAATGTTGACAAAATAATTTTGTCTTCTTTGTGCTTGTTAACTTTTCTAAATTTCCAATATACAATGTTAAAACTCTACATTTATTTATTTATAACTTTTACATTTTCCATCAAGCATCATCATTAAAAAGATTTTTAATTCACATATATTCCATAAAAGACCAGTGGCTCGCAAAGATCTCCTGCCCGGGGTCTCGCAAAGATCTCCTGCCCGGGGCCTCGCAATGGCTAAGGCCGCCCCTGACTAGCGACATATCGAAGTTCCACTCGCGTGCGTTCCTAGATACCGTTTTACTCCAGGTATATAGCCTATGTATGTCCATATCCCTCCAGCCGTTTTAGCGTGAAGAAGTAGCAAGCACATACGTATATCAACAAACTTTCGTATATATAATAGTTATCCGATTTTAACCACTGATATCATATCAGATACAGATATCGTATCGGTAGGTAGGTAAAATCGATCTTGTCTTAATATGGAAGGTTGAACTTCTGAGATGAATATTAAAAAATATTGATACATAGGACCACTATTACATATGCGATTTTAAAACTTAACATGCAAAAGCCCACTCACTTAAAACGTAAAAACAGCGCAGGTCTCTTGTTAGGCAGTCGTGTGACACGGGCGAGCGGCGTGGGGTCTTCTACAGGTGGCTCTTCGCCCGCTAGCGCGTCCGTCAGCTGGAACTGCTCCGGTTCACGCGCCACGTGGAATGCTCGCAAGGCGGCCGCTACCAGTTCCCGCTCGCTGAAGTTGCGTCCGACCACCACCGGCCGGTACAGGCGACGTGCCCACGCCGCCTCCCCGTCGTACACTTTTACTACCTCTGTTTGATTGAAATGGTTCTTGTTTAGAAAATTTCCTTAAGATGGGTGATATAGTCGATGTGACCATGCTGCATTTTTACTTGAGTAAACACTTTTTTATTTTCTTGACGATATTTTATATCTTTATAAGTTATTGAAATGAAATATGAAAAGCATATGTTTAACAGTAACTTCAAATCTTGAACAGAATTTGCATGCTTAGGTACCTACTGCCTGAACTGTCGCTACGCTCTCGTTACTCTTTTATTATTATCTACACTAAATACTGAAGCTGATTTCGTCATCTTATTTATAACTTTATTTAGTCCACAACCACCAAATATGACCTTCGATTCTATGAACATGTATAGCGGGAAGCTCACGCTATATCCTCCAATCTGGCTGTTTGAAAGGAAACTAAGCAAACTTTCTAATTTATCTTCTCTAAGCGCCATACAATCCTATCTCATAAAAATAGATTCTTTAGATACATAAATACTTACATTTAGTATGGAGAAATAAATGTAGTAGATGTAGGTAACTCACCTTCATCCCTGTCGTCTGGCGTCCTGTCCCGATGTTGTTTGTGGTCGGGTCGGTGGTCCTGATCGGCGGGAGCGCCGGTGGAGCCGCCACCGGAGCCCGAGCGCCCTTCGCAGCCCGAACTGAACTCCTCACTCACGCTTCGAGCTGCACAACATTACACCGTATCGCACATGCCCTAAATCCTTGCAATACTTCAACATTAAATTAGAAGAGGATATAAACCTTTATTTTCTTGTTTTTTTTATTATGATATTGAGTTTTTAATTGTCGAATTTATATATCACTGTTGATAATCTAATAATGACATCATATACTTATGAAAATTTATAAGAAAAAAAATGGGACACAAAATATTGATTAAAAAGGTCTACTTAAAATTAAACGGATATACCCTTTAATTTTAAAAATATTTAGTCACATCAACTACTTTTATAATTTATTATGTCCATTTTATTTTAGGTATTTTAATTATAAATAAATATTTATGTAGAATTTAGTATGGCATGTTATTTATTATTTTATTGTGTTATAACTAAATCACACGTTTCACATAGAATCTACATATAGCATTTCATCTAAAACACCATTCCTGCAAGGACAAATTTCTAAAAAAACACACTGTTTGCAAATCAGGTTATAAACATTCCAAACCAATATGCACTATCAATATATCCCTCGGTATCTTTAAAAATATAAAAGAATTTTATAGATGAAAATAAATAAAGGAGTTTTAAATAAGATTATCTAAATAACAACATATTATGTATTTTATTCTGTTTCTCTAATGCAACCCAAATTATTTGACAGTGCATACAGGTTTAAAGAGACACTGAAGTGTGGCCATCTAGTATGGTGACTGGCAACACTGAAATAAATATCAGCAACACTGTGTGTCTGTGCATGTTACCTTAGACCGGTGGAATACTGCATCACGAGTATCCTTGAGGAGTCGATCCGTAGAAACAAAATTGGGAGATGGAACTAAGACTATAAAGTCTGCTAGTGGTAAAGACTCGATAGATGGTAATGCTAGTGCTCCTCTAATTTTGCATTATTACAAAAGAAACATAAATTCCCATGGCTTTACTAATTTGACTTGAGTAGTCGAGAGTCAAAATTTAAACAAACAAAAATCAGATGATATATTTTACTAAATAAAACAAGATGGAGTTATACATCAATAAGCTTCTTTTATTAATGTTTCAGTCTATTATTTTTAAATATTGGGATAGTTTTGCAAAATGAAGAATCGCTTTCAGAGTTAGTAAATGTCTAGAAAATAATGCAGTGACGATGTTCCTAGATGTGTAAGTGTGCGATAGTAAAGCAGTAAAGCAGCGGAACACGCACAACATTTGAAGATTATTTAAAACAAACCGTTATGACAAATAATCTTCAAACAAGCATATTTAGTGCCTTCATAATAAATAAGCATGAAGAAAGCTCAACTAATGTATCCTTCGCAGAACTAAAACCTGGTCCGATTCAAAATTTTAAATTATGTATCTTCATCGATCACTGGTACGGAGCCAGTGGTAGGTAATAGTTCGGGAGCGAAGCTGGATGAGGAAGCATAGTCACCTCTGGAGTAGGGCGGGGAGGCGCCGCCGTGAGGGCTGCAGGCGGCCGGCAGCAGGCGCCGCGCCAGCAGCACGAGCCGCGCCGGCGCCCAGCCGCCGCGGCGCCGCGCTGCCCCAAAGACACCGCTCACACTCCGCTCACCCGCGCGGCCCCCCACATGTGCCGCGCCACCCCGCAGGCACATGTGCGGGGCCTGGGCAACCCCCTGCAAATGACACTTACGGCATCCGAAGTCTCGCTGCGAGGGTGGAGGACGCACGTGCACGCCGATGATCGCCTCCATCGGCACTTCGGTCCGAGGGATCGACACTGCCGACGGAGGCAGGAAGATCGGCTGTAATGCGCCGAAGTTGCATTCTTCCGGGACTAGTGCACGGCATCCGGCGTGACACTGCAATGTTTTGTAGTTAGTTTTTGATCTTTATGTATTAGGTACTGTCACGGTTAACTTGGCAATTTAATCCCATCTAATTTATTTATCTTTATTATTCGTCTTTAAAGTAATACAAAAATTGGATAGAAAAAAGCAATTTCAGTTTACCCCGAATTGCCCAATTTTTCGAGCAATTCTTCCATTATTTTCCAAAAAGATCTTATTTGAACCATTTAAATGATAAAATAAGTCAAATCGTTTCAACGTAAAAAAGTTTTCAACGTTTACCAACGAAAACCATTTTATTTTTATTCTACAGATACCAAGTTAAATAGAAAATTAGGCACCTTAGCAATATTTTTGGCAAAAGCGACAACTTTGGCAGTTCAATAACATTGAGTTATACTGACCGTGCTGCCGCACCACTCGCAGCGGTACCCAGTGAGGCATTCCCCTGACCAGCAGGCGCGCCGGCACGCAGCACACTTCGAGTTGGCGGGCAGGTTGCCCTCTCGCCAGTGGTGCACGTGCCGGGGCTCGCTGCCCGCGCAGTACGTCGCGTTCTCTTTGCAGTCCGCTGCCGCGAAGTCCACACATTCTCCGTGGACGTAGTACTCGCATACTAGTCACAAAAATGTCTGTTTTAATTTCATATTTTAAAAGTAACTATTGCTCTCTTAATATTTTCCAAGCGCTATCTAAATATTCGAGCCTACAAATAAGTTTTACATACATGAGTATAACATTTGTCGTTTTTAAATTAGCCCCTCTAGCAGTATCTAGTATAAAGAAAGTAAAATAAGAAAGGATTACATGGTGTGTCTGTGTTGTTGCTGATAACCTGTTAAGATAACATATTGATTCAATATTTTAAAGTATAATAAAAGGAAACAAGACTTTCAAATAAGAATGATACTTACTCATACAATGTAAAGATGGCAGTTCATCAAGTCGCTTTCGACACACCGTGCAAAACTTCCGTTTGTGGTGTGTATGCTCTGACCAACAGTGAGCCACTGGATTCTATTGAATATAAAACAATAAAGAACGTTAGCTTATGATAATTTTCCTAATTACTACTAATTCAGGAATTTCGTAATATAAAAATGAAGACAGGAAAGTTAGATCGATGTAAATTAAATCAGTGATTACAAAATATAAGTCCCTAAACAATATATCGTAGATTAATTATTATAAAAATTACCTTGATTAGGCTCGGCGCCACCCCGCAGCATGGCGTCACCACTTGCCCCACGCAACGTTCGTGCACTATGAAATTGCACACTGAAACAATAAAATCTAAGTTTATTATTATTATATATTTAAATAAAATGGATAATACAAGAGTATAAATTTTAATATTAATAACCACAAAAAAACAAAAAATAAATACTAGAAGGTAATATAATATTTAGCAACATTGACAGTTCTTTATTGTACCACCTCGTAAAATTAGATCCATTCCACATCGTAGAATTAAATCCATTTCAAAATAAGTTATTTTTTTTTATTGTCAAATATCAATAAGCGAGGATGTTTTTGAATTGATTCGTCGAATTATTAGAACCACATCTGAAAACAAGGAAAATTTCTTGTGTACACGTTACGATGCCGCGATATATTTGATCAAATCTGTTTATTTACCTCCATATTTTTAATAAATCAAGTACTTCTAGGAAGACCTGATGAAAATCAAATGGCATTTAGAGGAAAATTCCTAAACTGCTGATTCAATATATCGATTACGTTACACGTATCTAAATTATTATATAGTACATATTCTTCCGTCGAAAGACGAGGATGTATGGACTGATGGTACCTACTCGTAGTTACTATTTTAATATACTTTTTGTTCTTAAATATATCTCCTCTAGTTAGTCTGTGTTTTACATGTACAAGAAAGAGAGAAATCCATACTAATATTATAAATGTGAAAGTGTGTTTGTTTGTTTGTCTTTCTTTCACGTCGAAACGGCTTGGCGGATTGGCGTGATTTTTTGTGTGAAGATAGTTAGAGGGCTGGAAAATAACATAGGCTACTTTTTATCACGGGAGATTATCTCTTTCCAACGGGAAAACGCGTTATAATATAGCCCAAAAAATATTTATGATCAAAATTACTTGAAACTTGGTATAAATGCTATTCAATACAATTAATTAAATACGTGTTTTAGCAATTTTCGAAATTCATCCCATAAGGGGGGTAAAATAGCGGATGAAAGTTTGTATAAAACCTACCATTTTAGAGTTTTTTGTAGTTTTAGCGCGAGCGAAGCCGCGGGTTCTGCTAGTAAAAATATAATTTTACGTATCTATATTATAAATGACGCATGGTTTTCATACTTTGTAACCCTTATATAGCTTGTAGCAGTTAGCACTCGTTGTATTGTTAACTTTTTTACACAGTTAATTTAGTTCACTGTTCACTTATTAATTTTTAAACGTCGCGACTTGTTGCTTTCAACAGTGAGGAACGCTAGCCTTTGAAAAAGCGCGACAGTAATTTACGGTCAAGTGTTAGCGTTGATTACGCGGTCTGCACGCGACCGCATTCAAGTTCAAGCGTGGTAATCGACGGCAGGTGGGCTTTTTAAGTTGGGTAAATATTTTCATAACATTCCCGTGTCATGGAAACGTATGGTGTATCAACACTGTATTTTTTAAGTTACATTGGAGTGTTGCTTTCCTAAAACTATCTATCTATATAAATAAAAATAAATCATCGAAATGTATGTATATACACGCATAACTTCCGATCCTCTACAACAAATTGGATAATTCAAACTAAAATAAGTTTTTTTTTAAATATCATGATTCGATTTAGATGAAATTTGGTAAGAAGATAGTTTGAGACCCTGGCAAGGACATAAGATAGTTTTTATTACGTAAATCATCCCTTAAGAGGGTGAAAATGGGGATGAAAGTTTGTATTGGGAAGTAACCTACGGACGAACCCAAGCGAAACGAGGGTAAGTCGCTAGGAAAAATAAATGAAATTAGTACTATTTTTTACTCGTTTAATTTATTTTTCTTTTATGGTTTACGCAACATTGTTGAAGAAACTTGTATTAAGTTGGCATAAGCTCTGTATATTTTTTACAAGCTTTTATTTAACTTACAAAGTTTGTTTGTTTGGGACAAATTTTGCAACTGACTTTTAAAGTAAACACGTTTTTTTATATAATGGCTTATAGTTCCGTTAACAGACGCAATCCATTCTGCCAGTGTCACGTTTTGTGAGGAAGACACGAATGAGATTAAGCGGTAATTTTGAAATTTAGTTCCTTTAATGTGGAATTAAAACTATAAATGAATGATCGGTCTACAGGAATAACCTACAACGATAGAAAGATAATTACGTAATACAAAAATGACACATTGATTGAAAATGAAAAAGCAAACAGTTTGGATGACAATGCATCGTTATCTAAGTGACAACTCTATCTCTATCAAATAAAAGGGTTTACTGAGAAGAATACGATAAAATAAAAACTAAAAAATAAATTAATAGTAAAAAAACATTTTTTAAAACAAGCTTTTATTTAGATGCTCTAAGAAGAAGAAAATAAACTTTAAATAAAATCAAAATTATCAATTTATTACATTACACAATTTAAGTACATATCTATACATATAATAAAATTCTAACTAAGCCGAATCTGTACATTAAATATTTTTTGGAAAATCTTATTGAAATAGACATTACTATCGATACAGAGGCCGAATTTTTTGAATTTTTGTCTGTCTGTCTGTTACCGCATCACGGAAAAACCACTGGAAGGATTTTGATGAAATTTGGTATGGTGATAGCTGGTTATCCGGGTCAACATATAGGATACTTTTACCGCGGGAAAATATCTCATTTCTGAGAAAAAATACAAAAACTGCATTGTAAGAGTATACTAATATGTAAAACCCAAGAATTTGGTTTTTGGTCATCTGAACGCGGGCGGAGCCGCAAGCAATGCTAGTATGATATAAAAGCTTGTCGCGAGATTTACCTGTGTAAATAAACAATAATACAATTATGTAACTTGATCTTGACCAGTGCCAAATAGTAGCATATTTTTTACTCTATAATCTCTCTTATTCTAAATTTCATCCAAACCGTCCTGCCGTTTCAGCGTTAAAGGGTAACAAACATACACACACATACAAACATGCGCATATATCATTTTCCATGTACTTCACATATATAATAATAGTTATCCGATCAAAGAAAACTATTTTTTATGACGTAAACAAACTGTTTAGCTATTTTCATTTTAATTGGGGAAGGTTTCAAGCTTATCTTGTTCCACCCACATCACACACCGTGGCTCCTATACGGTTTCAAATTAAATCTTTAGAGGTTTAACTAAATACGGTCTATTTGAACAGAGCTGGCTTATATATTATTCAGAATATTACGATCATAGTGAAAATTTAATATCTATCACTGGAATGAAACTCCATGAACTAAGTTGAATGTGTTTCTGTGACACAGATAGGGGATTAATGCAATGACAGAATGAAATTAAAAATTCATAGGTTATGAGATGGGTATTAAGGATGTACCTCTTGATGGCTTAAACAGTAGTTTCCGTAAAATATTGCACGCTCGGTCGCATACAAAGTTTTTACTTTTGTTTTTTTTTTAAATATTTATTCAAGTTTAAAAAAAAAGAAAATTGAATTTTAGGCCAAAAACTCCGAGCGAAGCTCTGTAGCCCAGGTATTAATATTTTACAAGAAGATCGTTTTGGTTTACTGGGTTTTTACTCGGTCTTATTTTACGTTATTTAAAAGAAAATATTAGCCCATAAACTATAGATCGCAATTTATATCAATGAAATTATCTGTAGCCCTATAAATACCATAAAAACGTTCTATGTCTCTGGTCGGCATAGATACGGGCCTCATCTCGCGGGGATCGATAGCGGCGCGCATGCCCGCATCCCGCATCCCGCTGAATAGATGTACCTAATAATGTATTAGACGTGCTACTGTGCTATGCTTTGATGTTGCTTGCAAATAACCGGCAAGGGGTTCACCGTTCACGTTTTCTTCGTATCTTATCACTTTTGAATTATTCTTTTTCATTTAATTACTATGGCAATGCTCTTTCGGACTTAACTTATAGTACTTATACAAATATTGTTATACATATTTATTGGCTGATTGAAGTTATATATGGACTTTATTTTTCTTTTTTCTTTTATCTTTACAAGTAAGCAAAGTCTGCAATTTGAAGCGTAAAAAAATATATATTGGTAAAAAGTTAAATAAAAATATATAATTACCATTTTTAATCATATACTCGTAGTAGGTACTAATATCTAAATTAAACAAGATTTTTATTTAACCTTATTTCGATGTTCATATAAGTATTTCAAAATATTTTAAATTAATATCCAATCAGCACTGAAGTTTAACAATGTACTTCTATATACCTACTGAAAAAGTATACATTCTACGGATTTACTTAGTTTCATTATGTAACTTAAGAAGTACCTAGATTTATTTAACTAATAAACTATCTGATTTGTTCAACTGAATTTTTGACCTCTATAATCTTAAACTGCCAATATTAGAAGCTTAAATATACTCGTACATACGTAAGTTTTTGTGAAGATGTTTTGTGAGGATTCGGGATTTCATAAAGGTTACAAAATATTTGTTTTTGTTTTCAAAAGTAGCACCTAAATCGTGGTTACAATTCAATTTGACATTAAATTGTGTCTGCAGTTTTAATTAATGAAATATGAATTCCATGAATATATTTTAATTAATAGTACGTATTTACCTCTTCTTTCACCTTATTTTTCATTATAACACTTTCAACTGCTGTTATACAAGAAATAAAAGTACGGTAATATTATTATTATTTTTATTTTAAAACGATTATTACATGTTATATTTACTTCGTCTCACGCATTATCTCGGAAAGTGTTTAGTTTATAATAATATGTGTAATGTGAAAGTAGAAGCGTTACTAAGTGCCAAGAGTATTGCGATGTAGCGCTGGCGGGTATAAGATTCTTCAGGAATAAAATAATATTAAAGTTGTTTATAACTATGTTTTTACTTATATTTTATATTTCTATAAGTTACTCTAATGTTAATAGGTAAGTACACTTGGAAAAAAACCAGAAAGGTTAGTAATGTTATCAATGCTGAAATGCCACTCACTTCTTTGTGGGTAACTTAAAATTCTGCCTCCCTTTCGTAACGCCGTACATATAACACTAGTAATTTGCGTAACTATTGCATCACAAGACATCTTTGTTAACTAAAGACATACC